TATATAACTAAATATGTGTTATTCTTATTGTGGCAAATATGTTTTCCTATAATGTTCAAAGTCCAAATAGTAGGCGGAAATATTCTTTTTCCTCCATAAATGGAATAATAAAATTCGAACAGCTGCCAACTTTATCATCAAATACACTTAACGAAAATCTACTTCTATAATCACTAGCTGTTCAAAAACATATTGTATAGTAATTTTCGTCAACGTCGCAAAAACATACTGTTTTTAGCCTATGTTATAATATCTTATTGTAAATGTGAGGAAATGCGAATAAAACCAAACAAATAAACTATAAATAATCATATCTTTTTGTGAGTTAGTAAAATAATATTCACAGTAAGATATGAATCCCCGTAAGGTATATACTTTATTTTTATAATAAAATACCATTCTTTTATTTTACTAAATCGTTAAAATAAAATTAATTTATTTTTTATGAAAAGAATAAAAGACTGCGAATACAATACACACGTAGAAACTCCATGCATGGCTTACCTGTATTCCATGAAAGGTTTTTTTATTTTATATGGTATTCCTTTATAAGAAAATACTTTTGTCCTTATTGATAAATAATATGCGGCAATATATTTTGGTTATAAACGAAAACCTTGAAATGAAATGAAAAAAGTAGGTTGGCTCGTCAAACAAACTTCGTGTATATTGGTAATACGGTAGGTACGCAGTCGGTTTAAGAGGGATTTACGTCATGAACAAGTTTTTACTATTATTATTTTCTTCTTCAAACCTTTATTTTATATTGTCTACACACATATTTGAAATTTCTCACATTATTAAACAATAAACATGTATGTTCTCAAGATAAATATATTATATTTATTGTAATAATAAATTGAATTTCCTAATTAAGGTATATATTCATACGATTTTTATTCCTGAACTGTCAACAAGTTTTTTTTTAGTTTCTTTATGTATATACAAATATAATAACACATAGTATTTGCATGTTGGAAACAGCCGCAATATAAAATAGATTATTTATTGTAGAGTCATTGAACTCATATAATGAATTTATTATAAAATTTACCTTATTATATAAAATGCATATAACGCTTATGTACGTTGCATTAAGGTAAATATCATAGTTAGACTAAGACCAATAAAGTCATCACATGTTTAATGGAAGGGTTTTAAAATATTACCTACAGTTAAGTCTGTATACTGAATTAAGGGAAGATCAAAAAACTATGCGGCCTCGATGTATGCATCGGTGTATGTAAGTCTGGTTGAAGAAATATAAAATAGATTGCCAGAAAATTTGACACTGATAAAAAAAATATCTCGAATAAGTATAGAACAAGCATCTAGTCACAATAAAGAACCATTAGTTGAAATTATGGCTTAGTTCAATAAAGCAGCGGAACATATAGCGGGAGTGGATGATCAGAGACATCGAATTCATTTATTAAAATGGAATGAGACCAAAAATACAAAAAAAATGCATATCAAATATGCTCAACGAGTTTCGAGAATCGAGGAATAACCGACTTTTGTTACTGGTCTTGTAATATTATTTCATTCTAGAGTCAATATTAAGAGACTATTCGTGATCAGCCTATCAGCGCCCACTGCAGAGCAAAGGCCTCTTTCTCACATGGAGAAGGTTTGAACAATAATCACCACGCTTGCTCAAGACGGGTTGGTGATTTCAAACTTATAATTGTGAAACTATAAGTCCAAGTTTCCTCACGATGTATTCCTTCACCGTATATCAGTGATGTCTTAATACTCTCAGAAAGTACATATGACTTCGAAAAATCACTTTGCCAGGTATGAACCCGCTTCCTCGGCAACGAGAGGCGGACCCTTTAACCACTAGGCCACGACTGACTTTTAAGAGAATATTAAGTGGTACGAAATTAATAAGAACATGTAAAAGAATAGATTAAAAACTCTTAATCACGTTAAGAATACGTTGTGGTTTGAAGTTGGAGGGAAATAGCTGCAATAATTAATGAATCCACAAATTTGCGCTGTACAAGAAATCGACATAAAAGCATCATATAACTTAGATAAATAGAAGATAATGCAGACAGCAATGATTCGTACGAATTAATTTACAGAGCATAGTTGTTATTATTTAATCATTTGTATGTGGATTTACCTACTAATGTTAATTTGCCTGCAAATGGAATGTTGTTTAGCGGTTTGTTTATTTTTATAACATGCTAATAAAGAAACCTATCAATGTACAATTATTATGTATGTATCTACTTTTTTATTTCGCAATATTTTTTTTTGTGAAGTATTAGATGGTTTAAGTGTAGGTTTTTTTTTGTTAGTGGTTTTAAAAGTCGACTCTGGTAGTCCGCCCTTAGAACTGTTGGCAACACTGACTGAAGCTCGTATTTACGTAAGTAGGCTAAACCCAACACTGACTAGTTTATTTATGTGAAAAATGTTTATTTATTAAATTATATGAAAAATGAAATATTATGAAAAATGTTTATTTATTAAATTATAAGGAAAATTTAAAAGTACCTTCGCTAACGAAAAGGCGATTTTAATGAACTTATTTGGAAATGAGGAACAAAGTTCTTTTTTATATTAGCTCTCAGTTCGGTAGCATCCAGTGTTATGGCCCTCCTAATAGCAAGCGGTCACCGTAGTCTAGAGATGCCCTCAATACCGGGGGCATTACTTGGTCATTGATATCCTTTCAAATGCTTGTTCAGTCCTCTCATGAAGAATCTCGTTGAAAAAGCTTCACTGGGATAACTTACCTCGTCGAAAAAACTGTAATAGGGAGATTATTCCATAGCGCCTGCGTTAGCTGTAGGAAATTTTTCTAAAATCTTTCTGTGTGCGACCACTGAGGGTCCACGTTATGAGGTCGGATACCTTTGCGATGGCGAGCATATTATGATAAACAAATTACCATTGACATCACGTCAAAAAGTTCCTCATCATCGATAATTCTCACAGGTCGATTTTTAAAAAAAGGTATAGATAGTGTAACCACGGTAGGTGGTAGAGCTAGCTGTGGCCAAGTTTCTGCAGCTCGCACATGAGCCTGCTGGACCGGATAAGTGCCACCCTCTCACAGAAGATCGGCGTGAAGTAGCCTTTAATGGATGCGTTTCGTCCGATGAGTGAGAGAGCCGGTTGCCCTTTCATTTTCCCATCTTTTCCTACCCCTTATCCCCTTTTCCTCCCTTTAGCACTTATTCCTCCCCCTCTTCCCTAATCAAAGGTAATGAAACACATCCGCAACATTTCATATAAGGAGAGTAGTAACCATATAGGGTCGGGACTGATTATTAACAGCAACAATGTTAGCAACAAATTAGCCTTTCTAGGTATTTCGGTTAATTTGTGATGATCACACGCTACATCATCTTGGAGAGACAGGAGATCATCAAGATAATTCATGAAATCTGAGCTATAACGTTTTCTAGGCGCAAGATGCATCTTGGTCGCTTTCACTAGAAATTGCGAAAAGTCGCATAATAAGTTATATCCCTACATAATAACATAATAAGTTATGTGCCTGCTATGAAAAAATATAAAATATTACTGATTTCATTTTAATTTATAAATGTATAAGTTTTTTAGTTTTCATGCTACGTTTTAAAATTTCATGACCGAAAAAAAGTGCATTTTGTTTCCAACAAAACCTGTCTTATTATTTTTGTCAAATTCATAGGCTATGACATGACATAATATGCTATAAAATTTATATGTACTCAAAATGGCGACAGCCGACAGTGACATAAGGGTAACAACCCATATGTCTGAATTTAACTTTAGACTCTCTTTAAATCTCATAAATAAAATTGCTTCCACCCACAAATGCAAACTTAGTATAAAATTTTTCTAAAGACTAAAAACTTAATAGCGCCGAAGCCTTCCAGTAACTCCTTAGTGAAGCTTTTGCCGGCACTCCCTGATACCGATACGACCGTGTGCACTACACATACAACACAGGCAAATACGGCTTATCGAACACTAAAACCAAGCAATAATTTTAACAAGGAACTTTTGTTTGTACATTACATCTACAATTTATAACTCCACTCTCTTCTCTAACTAATAAGTACCTATTAAAAAAACTCTATTTTTAACAATTCGTACTCAAAAATTGTTTTCAAACGATACCTCGTTACGTAAGATCTTACTAACAGTATGGAATTATTACACATACTTACTTACAAAATTATTGCGCTTTTAGTGACAGAGAGCGAAATAAATATCTTAAATAATATTATAGAGAGAATCCATTGTGTTATTTATATGTAGAAAAGATGTGCAGGAAATTATTTTCGTATTTCCCGTATGTCAGTTCCGTGACGAATGGCAGAGGTACTTTATCATAGCCAAATAGTGAATTGAAAAATTGATATTTATCAGTCAACACGGTGAAATTTTAACTTTGATCGTGATTTTAATAAATAATGGTGTTATTGATGTAGTAAAATATTAAATATCTTTAAGATTTTACCTTTATTATTTAATGAAAAACAGTTCAATGGATGTTGATGATGGATGTTAAAACGATTTTGCGGGTTTTAAGCATAATGCCATATTTCTCATCTTGCATTGCTTTCAATATATGTATTTTTTTTAATTGAAAAATTCTTTAAGAAATATTTACATAAGATTATTCTTTAATATAGGGATTATTCTTAAAAAGCATAACTTTAAATAACAACAAAATTGAAAATTGCACTATTACTAATTTAGTTCTTTTACAATCTTAACCTCTACTCATATCTTAATCTCTCTCTCTACTTAATCACTAATTATTGTCACTACATCCTAAAGAAAACTTGGTTTTATTTAGTCAAATATATTATCATGAATTGAAATGTATGAATAACATTTTATCTAAAAATATATTTTTCTACTTATTGTTTGACAACTCAAACACCTAGATTCCGTTGCTTCATTGACAAGCTGCGAAAATAAAAAAGCACGGGGCCATCTCATGCTATGATTTTATTTTTATAAAGTAAAAATAATAAAATTACGAAATGGCTGATGTTAAGGTTCTCGAAAATGATAAAAACATTGAAAACGAAGAGGAGGAAGACGAGGGTGATTGTATAGAAGAGTCAGAAAACAAAGACCCTGCCAAAAAGAAAAAAAAGAAAAAGAAGAAGAAGAAGACAGGTTAGGTTATAAATACAACTCAGATATATATAGCTTTCTAAGTATTTAAAGTATTAATACTACACATATATAAGTAATTAACATTTCAGGTATTTAATAATTTCTCTACAGTACTCAATATGTTTTTCAATGTTAATTTTAGCGGGAACTGAAGTTCCGGCTGAGAATGACTCGGAGGTATCAGTGAAACCATTAACAATTGAAGAAAATGCAGTTGACGGAGATGAAAAGAAAAAAAAGAAGAAGAATAAGAGCAAGGTTGCTGGGAAAGTCCAAACTAACCCTCCCACGATTCCAATTTCCGAATTATTCCCGGACGGTGTGTAGATATAAAATTGAAATACACGTAATTTAATTAACAAAACTGAAATGAATGTTTATGAATAATTATACTAAGTTTTGATGCTTCTTTTCAGTTTTAAAATACACAAGTTCATTTTTTATGTAAATGTTATTTGGCTATAGGTAATTTCCCTGAGGGTCAGATAATGGAGCATGGCCCTGCTGAAGGTATCGATGACAGAACGGCTAAAGACCGTTTTAGTAGTGAAGAAAAGAGGGCATTAGACAGGATGCATAACTACATTTATCAAGAAATAAGACAAGCTGCCGAGGCTCATAGACAGGTTCTTATTAATCTAGTATATAAAATAAATAAATATTATATGTATAACCCAAAACACTAAATGCTTTTAAATAATACACATTGAGACAAAACAGATACGTTATAATGGGTATATTTGTTATGAGCAATGATAAGTAAACTAATAAGTAAATTTAAATAAAACATTTCAGACAAGAAAATATATAAGAGACTGGATAAAACCAGGCATGACAATGATCCAAATCTGTGAAGAGCTCGAGGCTACAGGAAGACGTCTCATTGGAGAAGACGGTCTCAAAGCAGGACTGGCCTTCCCTACTGGCTGCAGTCGCAATCATTGTGCTGCTCACTATACACCAAACACTGGTAAATTAGCAAATAACAGCTCTAAGATTAATTATAATGTTAACAATTTATTTATTTCCCAAAAATATCCATCTCATCAAGATACATAAAGCATTATTCAAGATTGATATTTTCATTAATTATTACATGTATAGATAATTATGTGTGCATAAACCTAAGACCTTTACATACACACACTTACCCTTTAGTTTTAACATTAAATACAAAATAATTTTGGATGATAAAATTAAACAATTTTGCAGGTGACAATACCGTTCTTGAGTATGATGATGTAGTGAAAATTGACTTCGGTACTCATATCAATGGGCGTATTATTGATTGTGCCTTCACACTACATTTCAATCCTCGTTATGATCCTCTCGTCAAGGGCGTTCAAGAAGCCACTGAAGCAGGCATCAAAGCTTCAGGTGTCGATGTCAGGCTTTGCGACGTTGGTGCTGCTGTGCAAGAGGTTACTTTCATTTTTATACATGAATAACCAAAATATATATCATGTCATATAAGTCCAAAACTTCTTGCAGGTTATGGAATCACATGAAGTTGAACTAGATGGGAAAGTTTATCAAGTCAAACCAATTCGAAACCTTAATGGCCACTCCATTGGACCCTATCGTAAATATTCTTCAATTTATAACAACATTTCTTGATACTATTTACAGGAACATTAAATATATTAACTCTTCATATTATAGGCATTCATGCTGGCAAGACTGTGCCTATTGTGAAAGGTGGTGAAACGACAAGAATGGAAGAAAATGAATTCTATGCTATTGAAACATTTGGTTCCACAGGACGTGGCCAAGTTCATGATGATATGGATTGCTCTCATTACATGAAAAACTTTGATCAACAATTTGTGCCTTTAAGGTAAAATTGTTCTAAGAACTTATAATTTAACCACTTACAGTACACTCTAAATTCTGTTACAATTAAAAATCGGTAGTGTTGTTTACAATATAGATTATGTTCTTCTTATTATTTTATATCGTTTCTCTATTCCTTGCAGATTACAGTCATCAAAGCAATTACTCAACTTGATTAACAAGAACTTTGGTACCCTCGCCTTTTGTAAGAGATGGTTGGAGCGTGCTGGCGCGTCTCGTTATGCTATGGCCTTGAAGGATTTGTGTGATAAAGGTGTTGTGGATGCTTACCCACCACTGTGTGACATCAAGGGTTGCTACACAGCTCAATTTGAACACACGATCCTCCTAAGACCTACATGCAAGGAGGTCATCTCTCGTGGTGATGATTATTAACTATACAGACTACAGTCAGTGTAGCTTTGAATTATGTTCATAGTTATCAAAGTAATATTTTGACAAATATAGGTTATTTTTGAATTTTACGTTTTCCAACTAAAAATATTTTATATAGAGACACAACTTTTGCCTCTTAAGCAATAAGTCCAGTACCTACTGTTCTGTTTTCATTGTAAAAACTAATAGTAAGTCATTGTTACAAATTATAAATACAATTTTTGTATAACATGTTACAAGTGTACTTGAATGTATTTGTAAGTAATCAGGCCATTATTAAATAAACATACCTATATTGGTTATTTTAACATCTGGAATAGTTTAATTTTCACAAAATAAAACCAGCTATTATACTTTTTTTATTTAATGATTATTAGGAAAGCACTATTTTCCTAAATGTAGCAAAAAACGATTACATTACTTGTTTCAGTAAATTATCTACATGGTATAATAATAATATCAATAAAAAGTCTTTCGCCAATAACATTATTTCATAGAAATGTATAAAATTGTTTTGACGTAACCCATGATATATCACTAATGTTTCAAAATATTTTACAACTACACTACACACCAAGTCTCTAAATTTAAAAATACATCTTAAGCAAATCGACGTGATCTAAGGAGAGAAATGAAATATATTCGCCCAAATTAAATAACATTACAGAAATAATATACTTCTTCGGAGGCTTAAAATAACGATATATGTTCTAAATTATTATCACCATTCAGCGACAAAAGGAAGTACAAAATAATACATTATATTTTGTTGCCAATGTAATTAAAGCCGCTTTAAACAAATGATTTCAATTATTCTTTGCTTTTTACATAACAAACTAATGCAGAAAGCTTTTCTCATCTAATAATGAAGCATTTTCCACCTATTGCCATTGACTAGATATCGGGACCATTTGGTAACAAATGTTCATACATCATGGCTTTGTACTCTGAGTAAAGATTCACAGCTCTCAATTTCGCCTTCATTCTTAAAAGAAACAATAAATAAGCTTTGCAAGGGTAATAAAGAGGTAATAAATCAAACTAATTAATATACAAACTCCTTATACCAAATTGGTAAAGTATCACAGAAATTAAACATCCCTAGCTAGACTATTGTGATGTCTAAAAATCCCCAACAATACTACATAAATATCAGGACTTGGTCAATGTTCAACTATATCATAAGAAAAGCCGAAGTTAAATATAATACTTAGGCAATACTTAAAGTCTACCCAAAATAACACATATGAGGTCATAAATTAGGCCATGTTCAATACAAAATTTTAATAAATGTACCAATACATATGTCTAAGACAAGGGTACAGGTATGATTGACTAAAAAATATTTCAACTTTAAGTAATGTAATTTCAAACTAAAGTAGGTCTTAAATTATATTATTAACTCTCAGAATTTTGCACATCGCCATTAGATGTTATATCTCTAAGAGAACTGTTGTATATTGTTTGCAGCGGCACATGAAGCAACTCCACAATGTGTCTATAATTGGGCTCTGAAACAAAATAAAAAACTGAATATTGGATCTAATAACACTTAATATACCTTTGAATGATTTATAATGTTCTTCCCAGATTGGAATAATAATGATAATAAAACAATTTATTTCCTCAAGTAGAATAAGTTTCTTTACATATATTTTTTTACTTTTATTATACAAAAAAAAAACGAACTTACCACACTCTAGTTTAAAATATCATTGAATAGGAGATTTAGTTGAATGAGAAGAAACCTAATGAACTAATGATATATCGGTAAATTTTAATGGAGGTGCTACAATTTTTTTTGTTCTATATAAAAAAATGTTTATATACTCGTATTGGCTTCAAAAACTGTGTCATAAGTGATGTGCAGTATTTACTAAGGCAGCAGTACTATAAAAAGTTTTCATTGTTTTATTAATGATTAAAAGAGGCTTTACTTTTAAGAAAAATACCGTTGCCCAACTAATATGTTGTACATAATTTATTAAAATTGTTACTAAAAAGAAAGGTGCCATAGATTTGTCCATGCTATAAATATATTTCTGGGTGCGTGCGTTTGTGTGTATGACGTGTGCACAACGATGTGCCTGTGTATATCTATCTGTAACATCGTAGCTCTTAAACAGGTTGACTGATTTCAATGTACTTTTTATTTTCATTTAAAAGTGGTGGTTAAGTTAAAAGTTCCTTGTGGTGGTTCTCAGCTATGTTTGATAATATCGGTCCAGAACTTTAAGCCTTCAGCGCTTTTCCAAAATGATGTAATTAATAACATTTTAATTTTGATTCTATATCTAATGTTAAGACATGAAAGATTATTCTAATCTACACTTTAGAACATAGAAAAAATCCTCAAAAAGAAATCTAAGATAGATTTATAAATAAGAAGTAATCTTATTTACAAAACAAGAACAAAAAGCAATGGTAGGACTTCTAGTCCTACCATTGCTTTTCTGTCCTTGTTAATAAAAGTTAATAAAACTTTTATGATATAATTATAATACAGAATTCGACTCTTGTTATTTTTAAATAATTTTTATCAATATAACAGAATAACTAAACTATTTTTTTAAGACTGGTTTTAGATGGAGCTAAATTTATTCAAGGATAGAAGAATGATTAAATATTATAATATTTGTCACTGAGTAATACATGCTCCATAAAAATATAGTTTTAAACCGATGACTAAACACTGCGTAATGCGAGCGGATACAAAGAAACCTCAGCCCCCTCCCGCCAGTGTAGGCCCCCACGGCCTTGACTTCGAAGTCCGAACACTTTTCTGTATAAAAGTCAAATAATAAAATGACGGGAGGCAATTGCTGGTAGAATAAAAACAAAAGTATATTAAGATACCCTTAAGACTGATTCTTGTATATTTTATAATTTGCATATTTCTCTATTATATTTTGTTTTTTCGTATCTCTTTTTATACAATCCAATATCAAGTACTGAACGAAATTTTAACGATATGTTACAGTAAGCTAGTTTGTCGATGTATTACCATACAAAGAAAATATACTTTAACTTTTTACATCGCCAAAGAAAAATATAAAACGGAAAAATGTGTATTTTATGAATGTATTTTAGAAATTAACGATAAATTCATCGTACGTTGTCCGAGTTACACAAAATTTATTTCATTATCGTGATTATCTTCACAGTCAATCGGTTAGATATCAAATATTTTTAATTTGATTATAATATACACGGTGCGTTTAATTAGTATTTAATAAATTTTTATAAAAAAAAAACATACTTTTATCGCTTTTTGAACTTTAAACACAAACTTCATTGCTGTTGATGAGTATATATTTATTTTATAGCTAATTTGATACATTTCCTCCGCTATTGTTCAGAATATTTTACTATCAAACCGAAATAAGTAAATTCTATGTAAAATAAGCGTAGTTGAATGATATTAATTGTATATAACTATTGATTATAAGTTTTTTGTGTTAAAACAAATTCATTAAAATATATGATTATCATTACGATGTTATTAAAATAATACATAAAACTATGTAGACAGGTTATGTGTAGTCATAATGTCTATAATTATGCTAAAATAAGGGAAAAAAGCATATTTCCATAACACACTAACCATTTTCGGGATTAATGTAGCCCCGTCTGATCAAAAAGTCCAGTAGAACCGGTGCACTTGTTGTCTTAAACTGCGGTGACAGAGCTCTTTGGACACATTCCTCAGCAGTTAGAAGCTCAAATGTTTCAACTTCACCGTCAGCATTTTGCGGAACAAATTCCAATGGCAGCTCCAGATCATACACATACTCCGTGTTCGGAAACAAACCTCGTTCACTTTCAAAATAGAAACTGAAAATTATATGATATGTTATTTTTTTGTCACATCATTAATGACTTTTCCTGTTTAAATTTATGATCGGAAACATATATATTTAATTTTTGCATTCTATTAAGATAAATATTAACACACATATATTGTACCAATGATATTTTTTTTATATAAATAAGTCAATGCAATAAAATCTTGTCACACCTAACACATCCCGCAGGCACCAATTTCTTAACTAGCTCTCCAACAACAGAAGCTTCTTCAGCCACCTCTTTGATGGCAGTTTCAAGAATACCAAAGCCCACCGCCAATCCACCGCTGACAAAACAATCCCACTTCCCTGAAACAATATGTAATCACAATACATTTTATATGTGGTATAAAATATTTACCTAAACATAAATAACAACAAGGACCTCCAATTGTATAAATTTAATAAAAACCTGGGCTACGAATTTTACATAATAAAATTTTAAACTAGACTTAATGATTTTTTCCTCTAGATAACAGTCTATAAATTTTGAAGGAGAGGCAATAGATGATTTGGAATGAATTTTACTTCTATTAAATAGCTTTTTTCTACTTGAACCATAGACAACAAATTAAAGTTTCTAGGAATCTCTAATTCAAATATTTTAAGGACCTAAATTTCACAATCCTCACCACAGCAAAAATTGTGATTTGTCTATGATTACAATGTAGCAGTAAAATTATGAAGTTCTAACAAAACCTATAACTACAACACTAGATACATATAATATGTTATAACAATTACATTTCAAAGCAGTAAAAATATATAAAAATCTAACCTGGCCATGTTTGTTTAGTGAAACTTCTCTGCTGTAACCAGATGCAAAGACCCTTAGAAGGATGAAACAAGTAGCCATTCACACTTATACCATAGTTTCTTATACCAAACAGGCAGACAGCACTTCTATCCATTTCCAGTAGACTCTCATGATGAAAGGGGGTACTGACTTCAAAACACTGAAAAACTTATTATTAACTAACATTTCTAATAAAGAGCCATTTTGCGATAATTAATAGAATATTAACCTCATCTCGCCAGCCCTTAAGAGCGCATATTTCATTTTCTTTTCTTAGACTTTGCAACACTTCCGCAACTTTTGAAGTCCTTTCTTGATAATTTCTAAAGGCTGGATTGAGTTCTACATACTCCCCTGTGATCCGGAAAACCTAAAAGGCCATGAAATATACACTAATAATATTTATTATTTATGATTTGAATCGATTTTTCCAATTAATAAGCAAACAAATTGTACCTCCGGGAATGTTCGAAGATATTTAAGTATATCAGGTCGAATAAGTCCAACTTGATGTCCGGCTACTAAAAATGGTTTGCATATACCTTGACGTAATCCTAAAATTTAAAATTGTAAGTTTGAATAGATCGTTAAAAATATGTACATATACTAAGTAAATAAAAATATTTTAGACTTACCTGACAAATAAAAACAATTGAATTTCCTTGCCAATAGTGCTAATTCAGAAATGTTAGTCTTGGAAATAGAAGTCATATCTTTCATATTATTCAGCTTTACACAACAAATAACATAATACTTATAAATCAGAGAATTTTAGACATAATAAAATAAAAAACGCCAAGAACTCTTTATAAACGAACGCTGGAATCTTGTGAAACACAGATAAATAATGTTGTAGTTACATAGGTAGGATATAGAAGTCATTAAAATTATATTCTGTGCCTTCATAGGTGCGTCGTCAAAAAACTATTTCAAAATAAACTTCAGATAAACGCATTGAAAAGTATTATAAAAATATGGTTTTTGTAGTTTAACTGTGAATTTTCGAGGCTTTTAAATGTATTAAAATAAAATGTTTTTCTATAAACTAAAAATAACAAGATTAAAAAGGTTTTCCCTTCGTATTTTTTAAAAAACAAACTTAAATATGTATATGTATAAGGAAGTACATACCTAAATGGTTTAAGAAGTTAACTTTACATAAAAAATAAAAAAACACATTCTATCATGTTTTTTTTTTTCAATATATATGAAGGTTCAAGGTATATGAGTTTAAACAAATGAATGTTTCTTAAATTAGAACCATATTATCAGGAAATATTGTCATAAATATTTTAAATATTATGAAGGTAATAACTAATAAGCAAGAATTCATCATCAATTTTTTACCTATAGTGACTTAGACCCAATCGTGATATAAAAAAGACATTCTTAGGTGCCTAATGTAGAAAATAAACTTTCATACGTACAATCATTTTGTTATTTTTTCATGAAATGTTTTAATAAAAACCAAAGCAAGAACATTCTAACACTCCTAGTTTTATAAATTCGACGTCGATGTTTGTTAGTGACATCGTAACTCTTAGACTGATAGACCAATTTCGATGTGGTTTTTCTCAATTGAAAGGGACGGAGGTTCTTAACTGTGTTTAATTAATCAGTCCATCAGTCTAAGAGTATCAGCCCTTTACTAAAATTATGTAAGAGGTTTGTAGACTATCAATTTCTATTAAATACACGCTTCTGGGAGAGTGGGATAGTTAATCGAGTAATAATATAATCATTAACTGACAATTAATGAATAGTTTTCTTTATTTAATAAAATTTAGTTATTCACAGGTTAACCGGTCATAATAGTACTACAATAAATATAAACATGTTAAGGCGAAGAGTGAACTATATCTCTAACTTATACTAAGACCGTGAAACCTAAAATAAAAAAAAATATTTTTCCAATAAAATTTGATCAGTTTTTATCATACACTTACATCTCCAATGCCCATGATCACGATTACTGTAAAGTAATCAAAACGCTAGGAAAATGTTAAATGAAATAATAAAGCTGCACAGTTTATACAGAAAGTAAACTTAAATTTATTGAAACAATTATTTATTTTGAACACAAAAACATTAATTGCTGTCAGAAACACTAGTGTCAATTGAAATTTTACCTAGAAATGAGAATGTCAAAAGCCAGTTTGTGTATACAGTAATTCCACTCAGAATTTAGCATGTAAACAATTCATTAAAATTTTAAAATATTTACCCATTCATCACACTTCAAATATATATTTTCTGTAACTATTTTTTTAAGTATTCAATATGTCTGTAGATAATTTAGGATTTTTGAATGAAATCTCTCCTATGTTTCGACCTTACATTCAGAGTATATTCCAGGATTTAAAACTAGGTAATGATATTATTTTCAATGTTCAAATTTATTATATTAAAGTCGTACAAAACTTAAATTTCAATTTAAAATTAGGTCTCTGCAAAGCCAAGGTAGATTTGGAAAGAATCGGCGGTAATTCAAGTGGAGCTGAGAGTCAGTTCAGATTGGTGCTACCTTATTGTTCAAAAAAATTAAAATGGGATGTAATATTTGATACTTCGACGCCATGGTTCGCACCGGACTTTCGATTTGATGATGACAGTTTCTTGAGCAGTGCAAATGAAGATTATTTAACAAAAAGTGTTCCTAGTTTGACTAATTGGGATGCAAATAATCCAAAATCACTTGGTGATGTGTTATCAGAATTGATTACATTGTATAAAATACATCAGGTTAGTCATTTTAGGTAAAAAAATTATTTTTTACTTCCCTATTTCTATACATACTATATTGTTAAAATTTCAATAATAGGTCCGAAAGCTCCACGAAGATGCAAACTCTCGAGCATCTTTCGAATACAGTGCCTTGATGGGGAATGCTCTTACAACAGAGAAAGATGTAGAAGTGTGGGTTGGTGGACACATTGTTGAATTTCTTATTAAACTTAAAGTAGATGTATTACGATTACCAGAATTATATAATGATGGGTAATTATCAATATACTGTGTAATTATAATTGTAATCAGAAAAATATTGTTCAGAAACTACTAATAGTAATTTTAATATTACAGGACTGAACAAAATCCAGGCATAGATACAGCTCTGCTACTTGTTAGATATCCAAATTCAACAAATGCAGAATTAATTTTGTCACCATTTCTCACTAAAGTTCTTGGAAAAATCACTTTACCAATGTAAGAGGCAAAATAGAAATACATTTATTATTTCAAACAACTTACCAATATCCTCTTAAGTTTAATACTGTTTGCCTAATAATATATGACCTAAAGTAATTTAATTCTTTATAATATATAGGATGCACCACTCAGGGGTACTAATGGATTATGTTCCACTAGTTACAGAGATTTTAAACAATAAAGTAGGTAAAACTAAATAATGTGTTCACTGTTTACATAGTAATGTTTAATAAAATTGTAAAAACCTTCTTCTAGATATATCATCTTCTTAATAATGACAAGCTGAAAAGAGATCTACTAGCTCAGCTAATTGTAAAATTTGAAGGTGCAATATTGGAACATGATGCAAGTAGTGCTGCCCTCTTGTTACAAATGAATGATTTTCATTGGATACTGCAAATTGATATTGGTATGTACATTTTACAAGTTCCAATATAAAGTTGTCTATTTTTTTTGTACAAAATATAAATATATACTGTTAATGCTTTATTTTCTTAAAGGTATTAAATTCCCAGAAAAACCACCGGTCTTAACACTCAGATCTGTATATTACTCTTCAAAAGGAAAACCTAAGTTTAAAGTGCTTCCCAATTGTCCATACACCAATTTTGAAGGATACATAATGCAACAGGTAGAAATATTTAAAAATGAATGCATCGGAATAACTCAGAATCAACAAATAATAAGCATTGACAACTGAAGACTTTCAATTATTGTCAGTCAGTTTAAAACATTTTTGTAATATCATGAAAATATTTTAGTTCTAAGGGTAAAATTATAAATCTTTTGAAATTCTGTTGGTTTTTATTACATACTTGATACTTATATATTTGATTTGTAATTAAAATCTTCTATACATAATTATATTTTTGAAACAGCAATCGCTGCTTGTATAATAAATGCCAAACTAACTCTGTCTATTATGTTTTCACGACTAAACCGCTGTACGGATTTTGATGAATTTTGGTATAGTGATAGATGGAGCCCTGGAACAAGACATAGGCTACTTTTTATCCTGATCCTGAAATCACGCCGGTTAAAATTTTTATGTGCATCGTGCCAGAGTCACGGGCAAAAACTAGTATTCAATTTTAAGGCTAAAAAGCATATATTTCAATAAAATAATTGAGAGGAGGTAATGACTTTACTTACCCGCATAAAAGAATTTCTAAAGTAGAGAATTTACTCAAAAACTCAACTGACAATACTAAATCAAAGCAAAATAAAGAAAACACTTTTTAAAACTAAGTACATAGTTAATTATATTAAAAATTATTACTTTGGTCTTAATGCATTTTCTTGTAATTTTATAATACTATGTGAACTCTGAAGGAAAGTATTTATCTAAGCGCACGGTAGTGCGCCGGCCAAGTTCCACAGGCCGGCGCATGCCGTGCACTATATTTACACGAACCGTTTCGACCCACTTTTGACCCCCCTGTAGCTCAGTGCCTATTGCAAGTACAGAGATAAAATTTTACCTACGTAATTATATACTAGAACTAAAGCAGTTTGCCAAATTTCATAGATAAAGCTTCAGTAGATCCTGAAATATGACCCTGTGAAAATAGCTAATTTTGGCACTGACTCACTGACAGGTAATCAAAACCTCTAGGCCACTTCCCATTGTTTTAGCATTATGAAATTTGGTACACAGGTTGTGTGTTATATGTAGATTAACAAAAAATTAAGAAATTTAAGAAATCGGTCAAGCGTGAGTTGCCTCAATTCTAAATATCGAATTTTTAATAAATTCGACCCACTTTTGACCCCCTGTAGCTCGATGTCTATTGCAAGTACAGAGATAAAATTGTACCTACGTAATCATATACTAGTCCTAAAGCAGTATGCCAAATTTCATAGATAAAGCTTCAGTAGATCCTGAAATATGAGCCTGTGAAAATAGCTAATTTTGGCACTGACTCACTGACAGGTAATCAAAACCTTTATATAGCTCAGCACAATAAAATACATAATAATGAAATATTATTTATTAATTATATGAGTACATCTATCAATCGGTGATAAATGAAACTAAAAAATAAAAAATAAATATAGTTAAAAAAAACTAAAAAACACGCTCCAATGATGAAAGAAACCGCGTGGAAACTAATTTAACCTTTACAACCTTGGAAATCAATTTAATTAAAATTGTTTAAAATAAACAATAAATGGTATTATTGAAAAAAAAGCGTGGGGCGCTTCTCAAGAAGTGATATATATGAATGAAGCTCCCCACGCTTTTTTTAAACAAAAATACCATTTATTGTTTGTTAATTTATTTTTAAATTAATATTATTGTGAAAAAAGTGTGGGGCGCTTCTTAAGAACTGATATATATATATATATATATATATATATATATATATATATATATATATATATATATATATATATATATATATATATAAGGGATATAAAATATTGTCATGTATACATAATTCACACTGTATAACTTAATTAAATATTGCTTACCTAAAAAATCAGGTTTCTATTGTTATAAATTACTTTCGATAGATGGGGCTAGCGGTATAATTGAATCGCGATATTGTTTTGTCTGCAGTATATATGAATGAAAGTCGATAAGGAATCGATGGTCATTTCTTTCTATTTCTTTCTACACTTATGTCTTGATATCTTATATATGGTTACGATTACGATTAAATGGATCACTGATTTGACTTGCTAAAGGATTAATTTTGATATTGCTTATTGATTGATTACTTGTGTGTGTTAAAAGCACAAATTCACTCTATTTAATTTCTACTATTCATTTACCAACGATGGAAATTGTATATCTTTCGGTGGTTGGCGGAGATATACCACATAGGGTAATTCCTATGCCATCAGATGGTAGCTGTATGTTTCATGCTGTAAGTTATGCATTGTACGGCTGTATAGTACGATTGTATGTACGATTTCTTGAAAAAAGTATTGAAATCTCACCAAAAACATGCCTGTTAAAAAGGGGGCCAAGTTCCAATCTTCTAATTGTTTGCCTAAAAAAGGGGTGAAATCCAATCTAATGCCAAGTTTAGATGCACTTTGAAATCGATCATAATCATCTTCATCAACAGCATGATCCACTGGTAAACATTTGCCATTCCCAAGACTCGCCACCACACCCAGTCCTCTGCCTTCCACATCCAGCCACTACTCGCCACCTTATTCACGTCAACGGTCCATCTGGCCGAAATTCACTTTACCATACACCCAACTTAAAATATGGTATAGTTGTGAAAATACGTAGGTGCTTGGTTAAAAATATCTAAAATTATAATACTTCTAAATTTGAACTTGGCAGGTTAATTTAATTATTTAAATTATATAATATTTAAATTATATAAATATAAATAATTGTATAACTAAATAATAAATTAATGATACAATTAATTAAGTGTTACGTAGAGCACAAAAACCTGCCAAGTTCAAATTGAGAAGTATTATAATTTTAGATATTTTTAACCAAGCACCTACGTATTTTCACAACTATACCATATTTTAAGTTGGGTATATGGTAAAGTGAATTTCGGCCAGATGGACCGTTGACGTGAATAAGGTGGCGGGTAGTGGCTGGATGTGGAAGGCAGAGGACTGGGTGTGGTGGCGAGTCTTGGGAATGGCAAATGTTTACCAGTGGATCATGCTGTTGATGAAGATGATTATGATCGATTTCAAAGTGCATCTAAACTTGGCATTAGATTGGATTTCACCCCTTTTTTAGGCAAACAATTAGAAGATTGGAACTTGGCCCCCTTTTTAACAGGCATGTTTTTGGTGAGATATTTAGTTCAGGGAAAGAAATGTAATGAAAGAAAGAGAAACAGTTGAGATGTTTATTTTCTAACAAATGATAAGATAATAAACAAATTAATTTAAGTACTAATAGTAGTCAATACTAATATAATTATGTTATCTAAATGATTACTTCTATTTATTGCTGTGTCCTAAATCTTACACAAAGCAATAAAATAAATGATACAGTTAAATACCATGAGAAAATAATCACAAAGAGTTATTTCAGTGACAATATTACAGTCGACAGAAGTACCCCACACTACAGTATTACTCATAAAATTTCTGTAAAGTCAATTTCTCCCAAATTAAAAACATTTCGGAGGGTTAATTTATTTTATAAACAATTATTCACTTAATTAGTCAATTTGTTTTGTTTCTTGTCACCAATTATTTCATAGCGGTATCTCATATACATAACTCTCATTCTGTCCCAAACATTTTCAAATGAATCTATTGCAGGCCTGACATCAAGCAAAGCAAACTGATACTTATTATCAACTTCTCCTCCATCGTAATAATCAATGATATAACGCACTTCTTTGCCACATCTATCGACAATCCAGTCATGACGATCAAATGGTAGTTCATATCTGAAAATAAGGACATAAAATAAAGTATGGGCATAAATTAAACATTATAAGAAATCTTTTAGAATGTTGTTATGTTCTTGAATAAAACTTTTTACTAAAGCAGCTAGCTTCTAGAAGTGGTGGAGCCTAGCTGTGGTCAAGTAACCACATGTTGAACATGGGCTGGTTTGACTGGGAATGTACCACCCTCTTACAGAAGATCGGCGTCAAGCATCCATTAATGACTGCTTTTTGTCCAATGAGTGAAAGAACTAGTTTCCTATCATTTCTTTATTCCATCATCTCCAATTTCCTCAAAAACTAAGGTTGGCAAAGCATCGGCAACAAAAATTTTGGGGATATCCATTGGTGGCGGTGACTACTGCCCATCAAGTAGGTCATCTGCTCGTTTGCCACCTTTTACATGAAAAAAACTGAAAAATGATCTTACCCCAACCAAGAGCGGAATCTAGCTCTCGGACTATAGTCTGTGGCTTTACCACCAAAGCTTTTAAGTCTTGGGTGTCCGCATTCCTTAGCATGCAGAGCTTCCCATTTTAGAACTTCTTGCCAAGCCTTTAACAAAAATAACTTTTTATTAATCTGATACAACCACTTTATTTTATAGATGATATGATTCCAAAGTACTGACTTGTTCATTGTTAGCATTATGGATTTTTATTATATCCTCCATATCTTTTTCCTTAATTTCGTCATCCTTCCAACGCCAGCCTTTACGCAGCATAGCATTCCAGAACATTTGCTGACTAGGATAAACCCAAAATTCTGTTGAACCGTCAGGCATAGCCCGCGGAATAGTTGAAACTTGACGATTGGTTGGCAGTGGAAATGGTTGATCAGGTGCAGGTTGTTGATTAGCTGGTGGCATCTAAAAAAAGCGAGCGAAAATTAAATTGATGTTTTATTTATAACAAAAGATCTACAACAATATTTAATAAATTACAAACCATATTATAGGGATTGATGTTATTATCATGTTGCACTGGACATTCGGAGGGTTTCGGTTTAGCTTCATTTTTTTCTTTGGCGTCTTTATTGTGCATTGGACATTCTGGTGGAGGGTTACCTTTCATTTCTGGTAACTTGGTATTCAATGCTTCTGCCGACACTTGGCTTCCCATTTTGTATTTGTTTCTTACGTAAGGTTACAAGGTTAACAGAAATTATAAGCTTGTCATTTTGACTGAAAATGTAAAAAATATATCTTTTATGATCTATAGAAATAAACACAATCTTTTCCGTTAATTACGCAACAATTAATAAATAAACTTACAAACGACAAGATCAATGTGACTTCTCTAATATCCGATGACTGAACCTACACATGACGAAATTTAAGTTCTTTACTCTTTTTAGCCTTGGGCCTTGGCTATTGTCAGTTGTCAACTTTTTATGTCAACTATAGGTAAACTGTCATACATAGAAATAAAACTTAAAAATTTTAGTTTATGAATTTACTTTTGTAAGTTATCTTATTTTCCTCATTTATATAATTAATTTTAATATTATTATATTAAAGTATTTATTAAGTTTTAAGATGCAAGTTCAAATCACAATAAACTTCTAACATTTTCTAATAATTAAAAAAGATCAACAACTTTAAAAACATTTTTGAGTTCAACTTCATTAAAGCAATATATTGTTAACCGTTATTAATTTGTGTTGTGTTGATTATAATAATAATAATAATAATATAATAATAATAATAATAACTTTATTTCAAGTGACTATGACTCATATTATTGTTAGTAATACATATTTCTTATCTCCTATGTTAGTATAATAAATTAGTTAAACAAAAATAAAAATAAAATAAAAATAAAAAACTATCACTAAACTTGTAATCATGGTAGTAATTGCTGAACTAATCCGCTCGAGATAGCACAGCAATGACTAACATACTTACAGTCTAACCTGCTAGCAATTGCCTTCATGATGCTGTTGGGACTATCCCGCAATCTGTACACCAAGGATCCGCATCTTTTGCGTATAATGGCATAAAAGCAATCGACCCTCGCTGCCGCGAACATCCCTGGTGCACTACAATGGCGGGGCACTACAATGTGTTGTGTTGATTACCTTTGAGAAAGGTAATCAACACAACACAAATTTTAATGTAAAAATATGTCTAGTTTTCGATGAAAAATATTAGGACATTACCTGTTTCAACAAAGTACCGATTACAACTAAGAATGTCCCTTTTACCTTTACCCTTATCCCCAGAACAATTATTTATTAACAACTGCAGCGGCATTCTTATGAAGGTAAACTTTAAAAACGGAAATTTGTTAGATTAACTACTTGCGAATTCTGTATAACATTGAAGATGGAGTGGAGAATTCAGTTCTATAGGAATTTTTACGAAATAGGATTTTAAAAAATCCTCCAATCATTAGTAGAAAGAGCTTTTGGTTAGACAATCTAATTCTCAACCGTCATTAAGTGTCTCCCTCGATTTAAATTGGTACATATAGGTTTTAATTTTTTTTTCATAGAGTTCTTGAGGTAGGTACTTATAGCTAAATATCAGTTAAGTAGCCCATTATTGTTGGTATCAGTTATTAAAAAAAATACAAATAGTTATATTAAAAATAGTGGCAGTGCCAAGAACCATTAGTAGAGACTAAGTAGAGGTCGATTTGATTATTCGGACCCAGGGCCGCGAAGTGGTTGTCTTGAGTAAAGATACTAGTAACAGTATTCCTGTATCAAAAGGCGACAATCTTAGAGAAATTTAGTTTAAAAATCTAATCAAGTCAAGTCAGTTACAAAAGAAAAAATCTATTTTATAGGATCTAGGTATATACAAACACAATAATCATCAGATAATAAAAAGCCTTGTCTTGTGGTACAAATTCTCAATACCTTCAAATTATCTGAGCGATTTAATTGGACCCGTTGATGTCAAATGATCTATATAATACAATCTTGAGAAGTTGCATCTTGTCAATAAAATAAGATCTACTTTAGACATTAACAGTCTCTTATTTAACTTTTTCTCTTCTTTCCTGATTACTGTACTTTGACTTATTACTAGTTGTCTTTGACTGTTTTAAATTCCTTCTTTCTCAATTAACGAATTTTCTTTTTTTTCGGTTTTATTTTCCTAGATTTAGTGTATACGTAGGTGTCTTTTAAGTTTTAATGGAGTACATTAGCTAGTTATGACAATTAATCTCTTCATTTCTTAGTTTAACACAGTATAATTAGAACATAGAGAAACAGTAACTACTTATTTGGTTTATATGTGGGCAGCAAGCAGTTCGATCAGACATGGGCTGCTGTTCTTTTGTACATGGTTTTCACACAACAGCAAAGATTCCACGGGAAAATGAAAATTTTGATATTTCTGGCCAAAACCAAAAATCTATAAAACTGCTAAATTTTTGCAACAAATATTAAATAATATTCATAAAACTTACCGAATAAGATGTTTGGCCTAGACATGATAACCGGCCATGATGGTTCAGCCTAGTCATTCGTGATTAGAACGAGACATATGTTTCATTAAGCTTACTTCAAATTTGAAGAAATAACACTGACTAATTTTTGATTGCTTTGTTACAGATTTGAACATGTTTTCAGGCAGGCTGGTAACATTAGATTCCCGTCGCCTTTGTGGAGCAATAGAAAAATTATGTGAACAGGGAATTCAAACATTACCCACATAGGTTGAATTTAAATTTGGTACATACTTACTCTATAAGATTCTCTATTCTATAAATTTATTATTGACTATATACATTTTTATTGTAATTTGTCATAATATTGTGATTGTACAATTTTTACAAAACTTAGTAACTTTGCCTTGATGGCTGGTTTCTGAAGCAATTCCACAATTTGTACATATTCCTTTTACATAATAAGGTGAAGTAGGCTAAATACTTGAACTAAATAAAATTGTAACAGAAAATACAGAATGAATGATGAACAATTCTTCAGCACAAGCAAGATTCGCAACTGGTGTCTCCAAAATATATCATTGTACATTCTTTGGCATTTGTGTTATGTTCTGATGTTCAAACATTTTGGTTTGGAGTGTTTCAACTGAAGTAAAACTATTGTTTCTTTAAACAAACTCCCTAAAATTTGCTGCTGACTCATTAAGATTGAGATAGTTTTCTTACCAGATGACAGAAAACACAAAGAAAAGGTGATGTTTGTTTTTTAGATATCTGTTACTTTGTGTTCTTCTCAGTGAAAATTTCTTACCATTGTTTTGATTGTTTTAACCATATCCAGAGACCCAAAGTCAACATTATTGTATATTATCCCTACTAATATTATAAATGCAAAAGTAACTCTGTCTGTCTGTCTGTTACGCATTCACGCCTAAACCATTGAACCTTGACCTGAAACCTGAACCTTGACCTTGATAAAGAATATTGGTTAGTTTTTATCCCAGACTTTATAAAGGTTCTCTTGGAAACGCGATATAACCGAACTCCATGCGGGCGAAGCTGCGGGCGAAAGCTAGTTTAACAATATATTATTTTACCTTTGTACCTTTGGTATGTTTTTCTTTCTATATTTTACACTTCTCCAGTTTGAGTTGTGTTTGTTTATTCTTTTGGAATGTGTTTACTTATTTAATTATACTATATAAAATTAAAAAGCCTAATTTTAATTTAAAGATTGATAATAATTATCCAAGTACCATTTTGTCCAACTTAAAAGCCGCTCCTAAACTTGTGTTTTATTCTCCTTAATATTACTGAAAAAATATTATTTGTAGTAACAATCTTCCTTTACAATTAGAAACTTCTAATTACCTAATTACTGCACACAAATTACATCAGTAATTATATTACCACTTCTTTAAGTCTTGGAATCACCTACAATAATTTTATTAGCTCTCCTTGTTGACACACAAGGTGGCACAATAATTGATGTTTTATTTAGAATTTATAAGTTTCAAGAGACCTCCAATGGATTTAGAAAAGATAATGTATCTGTTTGTTACCTTTAAGAATGGGGTTTTAAATTTTTGAAAATCTTACAGGTTATTACCAATTAATATTTATATAATTATTATAACAAATATTTTAGTTTTCAAAAATTAAATGAAACTGTTTTCATAAACTAATATATCATCATTTATTATTAACATAACTACCTAATTAACTATAAATTATTTTTTGAGGTACTTCAAATATTTCTTTGCATTAAAATTGTCTTCAATTGTATCACTAATTTTGACTTTTCTTTTGGGCTTCCTTTTTTCTAATCTCATTTTCTTTTCTTCCTCAGTGAGGGACGAAAGATCCAGTGGTAGCTGGAAATATTTGCGGTTATTAATTTATATGCATTGTTAAGGGACTCTGATACTAAATTTTCCAGAATGATGTAATAAATTATTTACTGCTAGTTACAAATAAATAATAAATAATGTCTCACTCTGATAATTTTTCTAGGTTCATGATAACGAATGTTGATTGAAGCTCCATTTGGTAGAACTACTTTTGTAGGGTACGTTCTAGTATAAATCTCTCGATGTATTTTGGTTATGCTAGCTACATTGTTGTTAAGGTTCCTTTTTGAATAACCGTTTAAAATGGTTGACCTTATATTTAACAGTATTTTCGAATTCATAGTTACAAATTATGAATGTAACCTATATGTTTATTAATTCTAGTTAATAAAATTTTCTTCTTCATAGATACCTGTTTACCTTTTTTTTACTTTGACAGTTCTCTACAGATTGACAAAGAACTGAAAATGTTGTGGGTTCTGGCGTTTAGATATGCAAAACACTACAAGTTTTAATGTAGTAATTTTGTTAATTAGGCTTCTTGTTATTTTAATATTATTTTTTGTTTTTTTTTTTTTATAAAAAATATACATGGTTTTACCGTCGTTTTTTACATTTCATGTACTTTCACAGTTCATACACTAATCTAAATTGTATATAGACATTGAATGATTGAGTAAAAGAGTACAGACTACAGAGTAGGTGGTACATATTATACCAATTGTGTGATTGTTTTTGTTTTGACCTGGGCGTGGGTAGCTAGCACAGTAGGTAATCAGTTAAAAGGAAGCTCAGTAATAAATTACTGACTGATACAATGTCCGCAGAATCTGCCTGATATCACTTTTATTATATTAATCACTTGAAATATTTTTATTTAAAATGGGTTGCACGCAAAGTGAGATTGCTCCTCAAAATGAAACGCCCAAAAAAGGCTGTACTGATGTATTATGGCTTGTTATATATATTATATTTTGGATTCTAATGGTAAGTATTTTAGAGAGTGATAATATTTTTTTTCTTATACTAATTGGTCAGAATAAACTAATATATTTGTGTTTAATTGACTTAAAATAATCATAAATTTTATTTTAGATTATTATTGCGGCTATATCTTTTGTTTACGGAAATCCTCAGAGATTAATTAATGGATATGATTCATTCGGCAATACATGCGGTGTCAAGAACAACAAGAAACTTATAAATTTCCCATTAGCTGGTATCAGTACTGCTGATAAAAGTTATTTATTTTTCATGGATATTAAGGAACTCCGAAGATCACTTAAAATATGTGTTAAACAATGCCCCAATAAAAAGATCGAATCATTCAATGATCTGCAAAACTTTTACCGGGAGACTGGATCAAATCTCTGTAGATATGATATCCATTTGAATAATGTAACAAGCACCAAAGACCTGCACAATTTTATAGGCCCTTGTCCAACATTGCCTGTATATGAGTCATTTCCACTTCTAAATAGGTGTTTTCCTAAATCTGCTAAAGATTTAGCTCAGAAGGTTTTCACAGACTTTTATGATTTATTGAATAGTTGGGATACCATCGAACAGATGTTATCAGATCTGTATTCATCTTGGAAGGAAATGATTATTTGTGTTATAATTGCATTTAGTAAGTTTCTATGTTTTTTTCTCATTAAAATATAAAAAGTGGTTTAAAATTCAGATATGCTTGATATTTTATTTTTTTTGTAAAAAGTTTTTATATGATTTTCAACATTTCAGTTTGCTCATTGATCATGGTTTCAATCCTGCATTTATTAGCATCTCTAGTGTCATGGATATTCATGATAATAGTATCAATAGCTAGTATAGCTGGAACAGCTCTTCTGTGGTACACATATCATGAGTTGAGAACTAAGCAGAGAGATTTTTCTGATACAACTGTATTCTTAGCTGTAAGTATTTTTAACACATATTTATATAACTATTGCTTTTTAATATCTATCAATCACCATATTTTTTTTTTTTTTATAAAATAATATCAAATTTTTCCAGGAATCTCTTAAGAATGAAAAAGCCTTCCTATGGTATTCTATTATCGCAACCATAATAACTGTAAGTATTCACATAAAGATTGTTTAGAGATTTACATCATTTTGCATTGGAAATTATGTGGTAAGTTTGAGACTAAAAAAAAAAATTATTTACAGGTAATATTATTGTTACTGGTGTGGGTGATGAGATCGCGTGTCTCTTTCCTGGCAGATTTGTTCAAGGAGACTGCGCACTGCTTGGGTTCCATACCAGCTCTCTTCCTCCAACCAATTATAACATTTTTCTTCCTTATATTGTTCCTCACCTTTTGGTCTCTAGTTGTAGTAAGTATTATTATATCTTTATCTCGGCTGTACCAGTATTTAAATATGGAACAAACAGCCTATACATATATATTTTTTAAATTTTCAAGGTGTGTTTGGCAACAGCAAATTACCCAGGTATACCATACAAGACAAACTTCTTCATTAATGGAACTCCTTTACCTGACCATGTAGATAATGCAGCAGTTCAAGCACAAAACATAGACAAAAATGCTAGTCTCAAGAGTAAGTTATAATGAGATAATAGAATAATACTGTATAAATTAGTAATAGTATAAACAGACATTAATATACACAAGACCTTTTACATGATCTTTGAATACCAAAATTCTTTTGGCAGTAAACCATCATCTGTAGCATGTAAATTGACATAAAGTGTTTTTGTTCTTATTATCAATATTACATTTCTTTTCTCAATGAAGTCCATTTGAGTTATGAATATTGAACACTAATCATATAGCTAAGCTTAAATCATATAGGTTATGTTTTAGACCCAATCGAGTTTGATCCAATGTGGGTGAAGAGTATGTGGTGGATGTGTCTCATATGCCTGGTCTGGGGCAGTGAATTCATTTTGGGATGTCAGCAGATGACTATCGCTGGTGCTGTCTCACATTGGTACTTCAGGTACAATCAGTGTACATTAATTTTAGAATAATTCCACTTTTATTTAAAGTATCTAAATAAAAGCTAATTGCTAAATTTTTATAAAAATAAATATAAAACATAACCAGAACAAAATTTGTCAAAGAACCAAAATGAGTATTTCTAAATTGTTGTGTGTCTCTCTGAATGTTTATTCAATTTAATCTCTGTAATGGTTCCATGAAATATAAGTCTCGACTTTCCGGGCAAAATTTTACTCACATATATAATTTAAAAATATTAGGCACAGAGGAGGTTAAAATTATTTTTCTATAATTGACATATCAATAACATATTACAAGAACATTAAATATTAACAGTAAGTTATTAATTTTTTTAATAGAATAAATCAATAGTGTAGTAAAATCTACAGCAACTATGACTCATGATTAGTCAGCAGCTAAGCTTACATAGTACTAATATATGACACATCTTTCCAGTAAAGTATTTACTATCAATAACATAAAACCATTTAAATACAAGTTATGCACTTTATATGCAAAAACACAAAGGTTTGAAAAAATTAAATTATAAACTAAGAAAATATGGTTAAGAATAATAATTACTGATATGTTTAGAAGCAGACTTAGATTTAAGCTTGAAAAATTTTAATGCCCAAAATTAAACATAGAAAGGACTTTTTATTTTCATATTTTTTTTACGCTAAACTACTCTGATTGACTGTCACTGAAGAGATAGAATATAATTTTAAATTGTTTTTAAATTATTAATTACAATATTGTTATGCAAATTTATAGAATGTTAGCACTTTTTTTAATATTTTGTTACAGAGGTCCAAACGCAAATCCATCGCCGGTGCTATATTCCATAGGCAAGCTTTTGAAATATCATTTGGGTTCTGTAGCTAAAGGATCTTTCTTGATAACTCTGTTCAAAATACCGCGACTCATTCTCACCTACCTACACGCTAAGTAAGTAAATGGAAGCAAAATTATGTTTTTTTTACTATTAAAGAAGTAATGTAAAATTTAAAACAAAATTATAGTGTCCCAAGTAGTGAATAACCATACAAGTAGACACAAATTATTTTCTATACCACACCTCATCTACTTATTTAATAGAATTATAATATTTTATGTAGTAATATAATTATAAGTAATTTTTTAATATAACTTACCAACAGGTTGTTAAAAACTAATCTGTGATATTCTTGTGTCATTTGTTTATTTTTATTAAATTTTTAAGGTGTTTTTTTGTATACTATTTTGTATATACAGTACACCAAAATAAAGAAAGAAAAAACATAACTGTAATAAAATAGAAGAAATGAAAAAAAAATGATATTAGATTACACAATACTTATTAAAACCAAACAATGTGTGTAATTATTTATTTTACTAACTTTAATTAATTTGATTATATTATACGTTTAAAAGGTTGTCTTCACGAGCCGAAAAGGGATCAGAGTGTGCGAAATGCGGTCTGAAATGTGGAATTTGCTGTTTTTACTGTCTGGAAAAATTCATAAGATATTTAAATCACAACGCGTACACTATTATAACGATCGACAGATGTCACTTTTGTAAAGCCGCGGGAAAGGTAAAGTATTTGTACAAAATTAAATCTTATTTAGCTCAATAAATGAGAAATATGTATGTGTTGTTGTGAGTGATATCATATTTTTTTAACTGTTTTATTCAAAAACAATGTAATACTTATAGAAAAGCTAAATATTTATAGCTAATAATAATAATTTAAGATAAATACTTATAGCTAATATTATAGAATACAAAATATAGAGAAGTTTTGTTACTTATTCATTGAATTTATATATATTTTCAGGCGTTCAGTACAATAGTGAATAACGCGCTTCAAGTGGCGACGATCAATAGTGTTGGTGACTTTATACTTTTCCTGGGGAAGTGCATTGTAACGGCTGTAACAGGCATTGTGGGACTTCTCATGTTGAAGAGAAATCCAGATCTACATTTCTTTGCAGTTCCCACACTCGTTATTTGCATCTTTTCATTCTTTATCGCGCATTGTATCCTATCACTGTATGAGGTACGTTAATTTTAAACACAAAACATTAACATTATTAATGTCTAAAAATTTAACTTTATAATTGCTATTCATTCAACACAAAATATTAATTAACTTTTAAATAGTAATAGTTCCCCTTCTGTCTTCATTTTTTATTATAACTTAATATACAACTGACTTTTCTTTATTCTTACAAAAAAAATACGCAGATAAAACATTCGAAAAGAATTTTAACCAATAAAAAAAGTGTTATATGCAACCTTTTTTGAAGTCTACAATTAATAAACCTCCATATTTATAGATGGTTGTGGATTCTCTGTTCCTGTGTGTGTGCGAAGATCGAAATAGCAATAATGATGGTCGTTGGCAACACTCGCGACTGGCTGAACTTGGCTTGAACAAGACTGAAACGACAGATGGCGCTGAAATGCAGGATCTCAAGTACTAACAACAATTTTAATTTACAAAAACATTCTATGTTGCTATTTTATGTAGTCCTTTGTGGTCTTGCTATATGTTTTTCCTAACTAATATTAAAATAGTTGTTTTATATACTACATATAACTTATATGCTTTTATATGTAAAATTTAATATGCTTTGATGTTTTTGTTAACCATATTTGATTACTTATTTATTGCTATTATTTATATATTTTTAAATCATGTTATTGATCTTTGATGGTGTCAGGTACTTGCATGTTGCTTCCTACATATAATTAAATTATTAACCTTATCAAGTCTAATTTAACTAAAGCTTTCTAACAAAATAGCTATTTAATGATTGTGAATTATTATGAGTAACTAAGATTATGTGTCTGTTATTATTATCTTAAAATTTTATTGTAGTTCAAGGTATTGTTTTTTTTTTCAGATGAATATCATCAAGGGATATGAATTGTAATTAAATTTAGGCTTACAAATTTTTGCTTGACTTTTTATACTTTATTTTTTTATAGTGTTTACACAGTTCTAGTACTTTTACGTAATTAGATATTTATTATATATAGATCTAAGAGAAACTAAAGTTTATATAAATAGATGTTTACTTTTAAACAAGTCAGTTTAATCATAAAACTATTTTGATGTGTGCTATTTTAAAGATTATCTATTTACTGTTTGATAGAGCACTTGAATTATTGAGAATCTCAAACATGAATTTAAATACAACAATTGTACGTATTATGTATTGCATTTTACATGTTATACACATTCCGGTGTATACTTCTATAGTAAGAATTGTGGTGTTTGATAGTTTTTATCTTTTACAAAGAACATTTTGAAATACAAAATAAACAAATATTGTATAACATTTTAAAATCAAATCCATTTTGCACTTATCACATTGTTAAAACTATCAAATAATATTCAAGTATTGGTGTTCCAGTAAATTGTATACTAATTGAATTGCTTCATATTATAAATAATTTATTAACTGAATAACAATAAGAGGCTTTATTGTTAATTTTTGTTAAGGGATGAAGTTTTGTAATTCCGTCCTATATTAACACAAAGTTTTAAATCAGGTTAGAATGTTGTGTTTACTCAATTTTATTAATAAGAGATAAGTTTGTGAATGTAGTTGAATAACTTTCATTATTTTGCTCATCGATTTTTATTGAGGTTGAAAAAGTATTTGACATTTATAAGTATGGTTTTAAGTACATTATATTTTTAATATATTAGTGTAAGATTTTCTTTGATTTAGTATAGCTTTAAGGTTATAGCTATTTTCTACCTCTCATTCTTCCACATTTTGCATTATTTAATGTAATACGATTATTTTTAATGTTGATATAAGTAAATCTGTTAATCATTTTTTAACCAATAAAAGATAAAGTGCTTGCCTTAATATTTTTTTTGTGTCATCACATTTTTTTTTTGAAATTATGTAAGATGTATAAAAATTAAAGTTTTTACTGAATAATAGACTGGGTATGAAATAAAATAATTAAATTTTTAAGTTAATTCTTTTAATTGATAGAATTATTTCTTTGTAGGTTTTTTCTTCTTGATCTGTTTCCTCTTCTTTATTTGATCAGATATTGATTTGCTCTTGGCTTTGAGTTGTTTACGTCTGATTGTTTTTTCAGGACGACTTGTTGATTTTTTCATACTAACTATTGGTTTAGATGGAACTTCATTTTCACCTTCTTCGTCCATTGATACATCTTCTTGCTTTATTTCCTCTGTAGATAAAATTTCAAATAAGACAATATAACAACCCCCTCGGAATCAGATGACTAAGAATATCATGATATATTATATAGACAGAAATATTGTAGGATAAAGAAACAGAAAAAAATTACAATTCTTGTTTTACTAAAAAAAAAAGTTAAAGGCAGCATGATTACTTTCTTAAGTAAAGATGGTTAAGTAAAGTTAACAATATAATATTTTATATGTATATTTTTTTTTTCTATGGCATAATGTAATTATTAAACCTATATTCTATAAGTTTTAATTATTTATTTATTACCTTCAATAACAGCATCTTCAGCTTTCTTCAAAGGATCTCCCTTGAAGAAGTCAGCTCCTTCAATGTCAGGATAGCCAGTTTCCGGCCTAGTAGCCTCATTCATTACTTTCTTCTCAATTCTTCTCTCATACTTGTTAGCAGCTTTCTTTGAAAATGCTTGTCGCAGTTTTGCTGGACTAACATATTTAGGGTTCTCCCATAATGTTGTACCCCCAAATGATCCAGAAAATATTTTGGTCTACAAAAGATGGTATTTTAATGTTTTATGAAAAAATATACTAATTGATTTAACCATATTGAATATTAATAATTATGAATAATTCAACACTATAGACATAAAACTTACTGGATTGAGTACAAATCGAGGTCCAATTTCAGCTAAAGCTCCATCTTCAGAGAGTATTTGGTAATTTCTAAACCAAATGCGATTGTCAAGAATCATGAATGTATAAACGTGATCAAAGAATGGTTGACTCTTGGGATGATGTTTTGGAACTCCAAATATTTGTGTTAGGAGTTCCTTTAAAAGACTATAATGGGGGTCTTTTGTAAACTGTGGGTCAAAGGATAACAACGGCCTGGAGCCTTTTAGGCAGTTGCCTGTCATTTTCAGCTCTCCCATAGTGTAAACTGAAATTATAATAAGGTTTAGTGTATTTAAGTTTTAAAATACTTCTTTAGATAGTGTAATTTTTGTACTACTTACTGTTTTCAACTAAAAATTTTGCACTAGGTCCATTAGGAATGTTGGAAAACCATACATATAAATCCCTCATTTTTCTCCCTTCAAAGAGTATGCATTTGTTGCAATTCTTCATTTCACTGATTTCATTTACCACATACAAGTTCTTGCTTCTTTCCATTTTAGATTCGGTTTTATGGTGCGGCATCAGCTTTTTTAAATCCTCCATTAAATGCCGATGACGATGATTTATACTACGTGCAGCAAATACTAAAACCCTTTGTCTATTAATCCATTTTGCCTAAAACATACGGAAAAAGGTAACATTGTATAATTGATAAAATTCATTAAAGGATTTAAAAATAAACCTCGTATACAAATATAAGAAATATGTAAAAATTAAGAAGTTTTTTTCATTTCTATTACCTGTTTAGGAGTTGGCTCATCAGAAGATCGGACGGCAGGTAGCACGACTTCATTTTCTTCTTTGGGTTTTTCAGGAGCTTGTTTGACTTGTTTTTTAGTCTTCTTTATTTTTAATTTCGCCATATGTGACCTTTAAAAGTATTTTTTAATTTAAAAACAGCAAACTTTACTACACGTGGTTTTACCGCTCCAAAAATTGAAACAAAATATTGATTGTTGACAATGTCACATTGACATTTACACGACAGATTATATTATACTTTTTACGGTACCTGTTCTACCGAAACCTTTAAGGACTAAAATGACCAAAACTAAAGGTTTGTTTCAAGTTCTTTAAAAGGGAAAACATTTCTTTTTTAAAAATATAATGTTAATGTAATTCACAATTTCACCTATAATCGATTTTTAAGTAAAAACTGTCTATGTAAAGGATAATAATTGATATTGAAATGAGTAATATTGAATTAATCCTTACACAACTATCTAATTGTAAGGAACATCAAATTGACAATACAAATTTTTTGAAAGTTCATATTTGACTAACTAAATCTTTTGACAATTGGTCAAAAATTCCATAATATCAGTGTGGATGAAGCCATAGCATAATTAAAAAATTAAAATCATTAATCACTTTTCACTAATACGCTATATGTCATTTTAGTGTTATGTGGTGATTGTTGTTACATTTATTAACAAATTTCGTCAATATTACACAAATTTATTGTTTTGAGAGCTAATATATTTTTATTGTACATTATTAAGAAGTGTTAAAAATGTTACTGCGTTATACTTAAAATGACTGAAACGACTAACAAAGCAGTCAAGAAAATTGAATTCGAACCAATTTTACCCGACTCGGGAATTCTATTTTACGAAGAATGTCCATCAGAGTATGAAATTGAGCGGCCTATATTACTTCCATTGAAATCTCCAACTCAAATACGTTTTGAAGTACTACAACAAGAAGCCGTACAAGTGTGGAAAGAAAGACAGAAGACGTCAAAGAAAAACTAGCATATGTCTTTGTTTTTGTGATTGCATTATCATAATAATATAATATGGCATACACGTTGTTTGTGATCGAAATAATATCGGCATTTATATTAGCAGCTACCTTATTATATAGATATGGGGATTGTTATAGGAATCATATACTGGTTACAGTATCTGTTCTGATAGCATGGTACTTCTCATTTGTTATCATGTTTATTCTTCCTTTGGATATATCATCGGTGAGCTATTTCCTTAGTAATAATCAAATTAATATTGATATTTATGTAACATTATGTATAACATTTGAATTTCTTTTAGACTGTGTATAGGCAATGTGATAATGGAACTCATCCCGTCACTGCTGCTACAGTTACTGGGACTGGTAATGGTTCTATTTCAACACCTGCCCCTGACACTCAGTGTCAAAAGCCGTGGAGTTATGTTCCAGATATAGTTTTTCCAAACTTATGGAGGGTTGTTTATTGGACGTCTCAATGCTTAACTTGGTAAGAATACCAATTGTAATAAAATGTTATTGTTATTTGATAAGGACCTCTATGGTGATACCGAAATGTTATCATTTTATAAATTGGTGTTTTCTGTTTAGATTTATATCAGAATTTTTGTGATAACTGTATTGTGTTACAGTGTATCACTAACTACATTTGTAACTTTTACATTACAGTATAATAAATGTTTTAGAATTATTTCTTAACTCTTGAGTAACTAGGTAAGACATTAAACATTAGGTAAGGCATAATTAAACAAAATAAAATTTAAAAAACTGTATTCATAGAAAAAATCTCACCAATATGATGTTTGGTTAGTTGGAAAATTTTTTATAGCCGCTGCTATGGTTATCACGTTGCTGTGTACAGTCTGAATATTTTTATGTGTGGAGACAAGTGGCAGTAATTTCTTCCATATGAAAAAGAGATCTCTCTATATCTTGTGTATCTAGGCAAATTACATGTTTGTTAAGATGATACAATTAGAAATTCAAAATGATATTTTTCTTATCTTTCAGGCTTATTATGCCAATGATGCAATCATATAGCAAAGCTGGAGATTTTACAGTGAAAGGGAAATTGAAATCGGCTTTAGTAGACAATGCCATTTACTATGGCTCATATTTGTTTATCTGTGGCATACTTCTCATATACATTGCACTTAAACCTGGTGTTTATTTGGATGGGCCAAAAATCAAAGCTATAGCATCCTCGGCAAGTAACACATGGGGTTTATTCCTGTTAATCCTACTTCTTGGATACTCTTTAGTAGAAGTGCCAAGAAATTTATGGAACAATTCCAAGAAAAATTACACTTTGACCTATAGCTATTTTAAGGTAGCAAAATTGAGTACAGACAAATGTGAGGCTGAAGAAACGGTTGATGATATTTTAGAGGTAATTATGGAGATTTTCTAATATGTTCATTTTTCTTTCCTATGTTATTGACATATTGTTTTGTCCACAGTGCTTAAACTCTGTAACAGCTGCAGTAGGCCCCGGCCATCCTTTACATACTCATGTTGAGACTATAGTACAAAAGTTGCCGATTCAATTAAGGGATAAACTGAATTCCAGATCTCCCCCGGAAAGACCTACACCACCTTCACTAAAATCTCTAGTGAATTTACACAAAAAAGTTAGTAAACAGATTTCATAAAGTTTAATTACATAACAAGTACCTTTAAATGTTTTGCTTATTGTAATATTTTTTTTATTTTTCAGACGATAAAGGCCTTACATGTTTTACAACGAACCGAAACGCAATGGGGTCTAATGATGGAGCGCATCTTTCATTTAGAGGATGTAGCATCCAATTCCCGCTCACCAGACAAAAGATTCCAACACACATTCCATACTCCACGACCAAGATTACAGAGGATATTTTATCCTCCTATCATTGGTAAACATTAAAACCTATGAAGGTTTTTTATTTAAGTGTACTTTAAATAATTTTCTAATGTATTTTCAGAGTGGTACTGGGAATGTTTCCTTCGTCAATACTTCCTGAAGGCCATGTTTGTAGTGACATGTATATTGTCAGCTGCCGTTGTTTGGTCAGAGTTGACATTCTTCTGTAAAAAACCTGTTCTCTCAATATTTGCTAATATTGTGCTGGCAGCTAAATCAACCTACAATTATGCTTGTATTGTTGTAAGTAATTAACCATTATAAATTATACTATATCTATTAATTATACAGTGTAAACTCCATATAACGACACTCGATTTAACGACAAACTCTCTAAAGCGTCGAAATCATTTGACTTTGGTTGGTTTAGCTTGTCTACCATACAATGATACACTCTATATAGCGGCACAGCCACTCTCAATAACGACAAAATTAAGTAATAAAAAGTACCCTTCAAGTTGCTAAAATTAGTAAAAAATGCGCAACTGTGTACGTTTTTTTGTCGCTTTGTTATCCTAGCCCGCAATAAACTCCACTGTCGTAATCATGCATACCAAACTTTCTAAGAAATTCGTTCTTCACCAATATGCCTCAATATCGCAAGATATGAATAAAATACGTAAAAAATACAACAACATTACTGGTGCAGCAAAACACGTCAAACAAAAACAACAGACTTTATAACATTCTTTTTTATGTACATAAGTACTAACAGTAGTCTGAAACAAACTTTGTCTTTTTCTAATTCTGATTTTTCTTCCCTCTATTTAACGGCAACTCTCTATAACGCACTAAAATGCACGGTCCCTTCAGTGTCGTTATATAGAGTTTACACTGTATATGGTCCATTATGCAAACATATGAGACTATGACGCAGCTTCGCCCGCGTGGAGTTCTGTTATATCGCGTTTTCAAAAGTCTGGGATAAAAACTATCCTGTTCTTTCTCAAGGTCATCTCTATATCTGTACCAAATTTCATTAAAATCAGTTCAGTGGTTTAGGTGTGAAAGCGTAACAGACGGACAGACAGAGTTACTTTCGCATTTTTAATACTAGTAGGGATACACATCAAAGTATGAATTTTACATTAACATAATAGTAGTATTAAGCAATATAATTACTATCAAGCCAAAAAAACTTAATATAAGTAAGGAATGAATTTCATCATATATCAATGTTTTTCTTTTTCAGTCTATATCAACCTTAGTTATTGGTTATATGTTCTACTGTGCATATTCAACGGTACTCAAGATTCGTCTCCTTAACCTCTACTACCTGGCCCCTCATCATCAAACCAATGAGTACAGTCTCATATTCTCTGGTATGATGGTCTGCAGACTCACTCCAGCCATGTGCCTTAACTTCTTGAGTTTAGTGCATATGGACTCCCACGTCATTAAAGAGAGGGTTATGGAAACTTATTACACTCAGGTAATTATAACACCACATAAACATGAAGAATATTAATTCTAACGAATTAATTGTAAATTTTAATTGCAAATTGGCACTTATATTTGTTGACTCACATATCATATTAGAAGAACAATTACACTAATAATTTATAATAATATTAAAATTTCATAAGATGAGGTATTTTAGTATTAAAGTGGAAAATGACTTTAAATATAAAGTAACAATCATTTAATATACAGATCATGGGTCATATGGACGTACTCGGCATTATAGCTGAGGGATTCAACATATACTTCCCTATGTTGGTGGTATTGTTGTGTCTTGCGACATATTTGTCGCTGGGAAGTCGTCTATTGTCGCTGTGCGGCTTCCAACAGTTCGTGGGTGATGATGAACTCACAACGGATTTGGTGGATGAGGGACGGGAAATCGTTAAGAGAGGTAATTATGTTTTGATATATTGTAGACAAGGTCTATATTAGTATTTATAATGCTACACTTTTTCTAGCAAGTGAATGATGTCCATTTGAGTTTGCTAAAACAATGAGAGAAAGGTTAGAGCTCCACATATGGTTAAGTAATTATGTATAGGCTATATTTAAATTAAAATTAAAGTTCAAGTGACTATATGTATCATTTTTTAAGTAAAGTAGGAATAAAGACATTGATATATTACAAATTGACTTACAAAATTATTGTTCGAATAATTTGTATTGGATATGTAATTAAAAAGGCATATTATACAATATAAAACCTTAAAATAAGAAACAGTAATTAATTTATTGAGATCATTAATAGTATCAACTTAAAAGAAAGAAAATAATGAACATTATAAATAAAAGGAAGAGAAATTCGGAATAAAAAATGTCCTAAACTCTCTGGATATTTTATAATAGATTGATTATGTTAACAGTAAACCGATATGAATGTATGTAACCAATCTTAGCCGCCATTTTGTTTTTAAGATTTTGAACGTCAAATTTCTATTTTCGATCTCTACCCTTACTATAAGTTTCCAGTTTTGAATCAAAAATCTTCACAAATGTTAATAGTAATGAAAATATTAGTTATATAATATAAATATGAATGAAAAACTGGCCACTGTTTCTGTTTAATGTCAATATTAGTGGTACTGACTACTGAGATAATTTAAATTTCGTCAAAAACCTTCATTAATACTTTTATTTATAATATTTGTAATGTAGAAAAACGCAAACGTCAACGTGCCGAGGAGTCACTCGCCCGCCGCCGAGACTACAGTGAACGATTCACGAACAGGAGGGACGAGGAACATGACAACGGTAACATCGACACTACTGTGTTATATAATGATTATTATAGACATAGATAAATATTAAACATATAAAAAAATTATGTTAAGTGATAGTCATCGTTCAAAGGCTTGCTTCCTGCTTATATTGTGTATAAAAAATATTTTGTTATATTCTCATAATATATAAAAATCCATTAATAGTATCAGTTACTGTGCATGCGTTCACATTACAGCCCGTACTGGGCTCCTCAACGACGTCGATTCAGACTACTACGTGAGCCCCGACAGACACTCCTACCAGCGGGACACCTTCAGACCCGGCGTCGAGGACCTCGAACAACGGTTCGGAGAGAGCGCACTGCCCTCTATAAGGACGGAATACGACGGCCGAAGACGGGACAAGATGACTATGCCGCCTAAAGGATTATTCGACGATGTTTAGAATGTTTTCGCGCTGTGAGAATGAACCAGTTCATTGAATTTGAACATGTATAGGATATTCTCACCTTGTGAGGATGAACTAGTTCTCTGATGCTGTATAGGTTTTTTTATGAAGGTATAGAGACGGTTGCCTTCGCTGAGATTAAATATTAAGGATGTGTAGCTTGTTTTTTAGTTTGACTATAATGAAACAAAAGAAAAGCTTTCAAATCTTTTGGAAATATAAATATGATAGATTACTAGTAAAAATGTATTTGTTGCTGTAATTAACAAAAAAATTGTAATAACATTGCTCGGTATCCATTGTCTTAATTTTGTTTCAGTATATTAAAAATTACTTCAGATTGTTTCTGTAATCAGAACAGTTGTGGCAGTTGCATGAAAACTTTATAATTAAGGGGTTCATAAGTGCATTATTATCATTAGAATAGTTTTAATTTTAAATATAAGCTTTAGCACCCTTATCCAATAACAGAAGGATTTCTTAACGTCTCGTTACCTCCTGTGTTACTTCTTTAATGTAAGAAGTAATTAGTTAATTTGTTTTAAGTACATTGTCATGAACTTAGATTTAAAAAATACATGTGGCACTCGCGGTAAAGCTATTGTATAGAATTTTTTATGACCTCAAGCAATGTAATTATTTATTTATGCAGTATTTTTAAATCGAGTTTAAATTTTATATATTATGATATACACGATAAGGTCTAACTAGTTGCGAACTTGAACACACTCGTGCAAAAAGCCCTATCGTTGTGTGTGAAAGAGATAGAATCAATTCGTGTAGTCGCACGCACACATACACCGTGCCGAAGTTAGCCGAACTAAAACGACGCTAAACGATAGGTGTTAGGTTTATTTTCGTTACGCAATTACATGATTCGGTCGCCGCGTTCAAAGCCCGCGATAAAACCTATGCAATAGCTTAATAACGTGTTTAGATGCTCTAAGTATTGTTAGTGATGTAGTGATCGTGATTTTTTGTACAAAATATTTTGCTTTGGCAGTTAATTTTTTTGTTTCATAATTTATAAGTGTTTCGTTTTAATATGATATATTATTGCCATAATAACAATTAAATACCTTTATTTATAATAATCATTAATCATTATAAATTACGTGTGAAAAAAAACATTTAACTATTTAAAATTTATTTTGTATAAACACATAAAATTCATTGATATGTTAAAAATAGATTTATGTTATTAAGCAAAAATTATATTATGTTCACAAAATATGGATTTCTTAATTATAATGTCAGTGTAATTATAGTGACACCAACATTCAATTGGAAATATAATGTCAGGTTTATTATTTGTGATAGTTTAATTCGCTTGAGTTTTAAAGATAATTTTATAGAAAAGAAACGTTGATTAGATATTTATTTAGATAGTCTTTATTTAAAAATGTTACTATATATTTTGTAGTATCGACAATCTAGTTGCAATATGTAATATAATATATGCTTTTGCTGTATAGAATTGCTGTAAAGTCAATTTATTGTAAAAGTTTTGATTCATTCCATATACAGGTGCAATTATATTAAATATATCATGATAAGATTTTTGTTTCATTTTGTAATCAATAACTTTCAGAACATTTAATTTTTAATATATATTTTTTCTTTAACTCTATTTTGTATTTTTAAAAGGTTAGGTACTAGAATTTAATGGTTGTATTTATTGAAAGGCGGTGAATTGGAATATTTGTATCATATATTAAAATTTCAACGTCGTTGCTGTATACATGTAATATATTACATTGTATAATAATGGTAACACAGTACTTGTGTTATTTGAAATGTACTTTAATGTTGTCTACTTTTGCTCTCAGTTCATGAGATTCTTCTCTGGACAATTCTTGAACGTGTGTCTGATAAATTGCTTTTAATTTATTCAATTCCTCCGTTTTGTGAAGTTCTGTAATGACAAAACAGTTTTTAACAAGATATATTCAACGATTGAAAATTATGAAAAGTATAAGTAGAAATAAATACCTTTTAATTGTTTAATCAATATTTCCATTAGGTTTAACGCATCCCGTCTGTGTCTTACTTGGTTGCTGTTCTCTGTAAACAAAAATTGAATATTAAGATATATCTTTCAAGGCATTTAATATAATTTTAGTTATGTATTACTCACTGAGCGTGTATTCGATGATAGTCGTGATGTGTTCTGTGACTGTAGCAATGACCTGGTTCCTGTTACTCGCGGTCGAGTTGTCGGTTTCCATTGGCTCCGGATCGTTCAACACCGCCAGTCGTTCTAGAACCTTCGATATGGACGCCAGTATCGCCAACTGGGTTGATCTTGAACTTGTCGGATACGATTTCGAACAATGCTCGAAATATAATTCTTGGTATTTTTCTAAAATGGTATATAGTATTAATTTATGTTTTTTGTGAAGTAATTAAGTTTTTGTAATACTACTGACCTTGAGTATCGGCATCCTTTGGCCAAGCTTTACCCAGTAAATCGTAAGCTGCTTCCTTCAATGCAGTGAGTTGTTCTCGTCTCTGTCTGACCCCTTCGTTATCCTCTTCATCTGAATCTTTGTCCATCGAAAATTCATCCTGAAGTAAATATTGAACGAGTTATTATTTTAAGTAAATTGTACACGACACCTTAATATTGATTAAAAGTAGATTCAAAACAGAATGTCTCATTAATTATTGTATTCCAATGAAAATATTAAGGAGCTTACATGAAGCTTTGAAGATAAAAATTATATATTAATGCATATCCTGCACTTAAACAGTTTACATGTTCTTTACAAGACTACCATGTAACATTCCCCAAGAAGTACGACGTTTTCCCATATAGCTACAATATTGGGCCAATTAATTATCAAGTGTTCAGTTCAAGTGGCTCGTCCACTAATAAGGTCGGCAACGGATCTAAAACACTTCTTATGTTGCAGATGTCTATAATCAACGGTAACTACTTAGCACCAGGTAGACTTTTCGCTATTTTGCTTCTTTTTTCTTTGTAATATTCGAAGACATACCTTGGTAAGTATCTGTTTAACGATCTCATATAGACTTGTAAACCGCTGATGGTCGGCGGCGGGCAGCGCGTGACTCAAAGCCAACAGCGCGTGTCTCTTGTACGTGGGCTCCTGCTTGCGACTCTCACACACGAGCGCGTCAACCGCCTCGGATATTAGAGACGGCGATACCTTTTCTCCTTCGGGGACGCTGTAATAAAATATACATTCTTTTTTTAAATTTTGCACACTTCTACGATAAACAGCGCCACAGATAAATAATAATGATATTTTATTTTAAACATAGATTAAAACTTATTTAAACACCGTATAGAATGAGCATTATAATTGATCGTGTTGACTTAATATTTGATTTGATTTTAAAGTTAACTACACCATTATATTAAAAATCTTTAAAAACATTTTTTTTGTTTCATTCAGATAAAATACAGAGTTTTCGTATAATAAGTGTTACTTACACACATAGTTCAGCCAGCGCTTCTATAACGTGATGTTTTCCATCGAACGTCTTCCCTTGAACAGCGGCGAGTAAGGATCTTATGAACGGTTCCCTTTCCTCACCAAGTTCCCCGGACAGCTCCTTACATATTGTTTTAACCGCTTTGGCTGCCTGAACAAAAAACATTTGACAATTTCACATATATACATATTATAAACACATAAAAACATGAACTGATATGTAACAAGTTACTTCTTTTGTTTTTATAACAGTATTAAAAAACATTCATTGTATAAAGTCTAAGCGCACGGTATTGCGCCGGCCAAGTTCCACAGGCCGGCGCATGCCGTGCACTATATTTACACGAATTTACACGAACCGTTTCGACCCACTTTTGACCCCCCTGTAGCTCAGTGCCTATTGCAAGTACAGAGATAAAATTGTACCTACGTAATCATATACTAGTACTAAAGCAGTATTCCAAATTTCATAGATAAAGCTTCAGTAGATCCTGAAATATGACCCTGTGAAAATAGCTAATTTTGGCACTGACTCACTGACAGGTAATCAAAACCTCTCGGCCACTTCCCATTGTTTTAGCATTATGAAATTTGGTACACAGGTTGTGTGTTATATGTAGATTAACAAAAAATTAAGAAATTTAAGAAATCGGTCAAGCGTGAGTTGCCTCAATTCTAAATATCGAATTTTTAATAAATTCGACCCACTTTTGACCCCCTGTAGCTCAGTGTCTATTGCAAGTACAGAGATAAAATTGTACCTACGTAATCATATACTAGTCCTAAAGCAGTATGCCAAATTTCATAGATAAAACTTCAGTAGATCCTGAAATATGACCCTGTGAAAATAGCTAATTTTGGCACTGACTCACTGACAGGTAATCAAAACCTTTATATAGGCGCTCAGCTCAGCACAATAAAATACGTAATAATGAAATATTAATAATTAATAATATGAGTACATCTATCAATCGGTGATAAATGAAACTAAAAAATAAAAAATAAAAATAGTTTAAAAAAAAAATAAAAAACACGCTCCAATGATGAAAGAAACCGCGTGGAAACTGATTTAACCTTTACAACCTTGGAAATCAATTTAATTTAAATTGTTTAAAATAAACAATAAATGGTATTATTGAAAAAAAAGCGTGGTTCGCTTCTCAAGAAGTGATATATGAAGCTCATCACGCTTTTTTTCACAAAAATACCATTTATTGTTTGTTAATTTATTTTTAAATTAATATTATTGTGAAAAAAGTGTGGGGCGCTTCTTAAGAACTGAGATATATATATAAGGGATATAAAATATTGTCATGTATACATAATGCACACTGTATAACTTAATTAAATATTGCTTACCTAAAAAATCAGGTTTCTACTGTTATAAATTACTTTCGATAGATGGCGCTAGCGGTATAATTGAATCGCGATATTGTTTTGTCTGCAGAGTATATGAATGAAAGTCGATAAGGAATCGACGGTCATTTCTTTCTATTTCTTTCTACACTTATGTCTTGATATCTTATATATGGTTACGATTACGATTAAATGGATCACTGATTTGACTTGCTAAAGGATTAATTTTGATATTGCTTATTGATTGATTACTTGTGTGTTAAAAGCACAAATTCACTCTATTTCTTTTCTACTATTCATTTACCAACGATGGAAATTGTACATCTTTCGGTGGTTGGCGGAGATATACCATATAGGGTAATTCCTATGCCATCAGATGGAAGCTCTATGTTTCATGCTGTAAGTTATGCATTGTACGGCTGTATAGTACGATTAAATGTACGATTTCTTGAAAAAAAGTATTGAAATCTCACCAAAAACATGCCTGTTAAAAAGAGGGCCAAGTTCCAATCGGCTAATTGTTTGCCTAAAAAAGGGGTGAAATCCAATCGAATGCCAAGTTTAGATGCACTTTGAAATCGATCATAATCATCTTCATCAACAGCATGATCCACTGGTAAACATTTGCCATTCCCAAGACTCGCCACCACACCCAGTCCTCTGCCTTCCACATCCAGCCACTACCCGCCACCTTATTCACGTCAACGGTCCATTTGGCCGAAATTCACTTTACCATACATCCAACTTAAAATATGGTATAGTTGTGAAAATACGTAGGTACTTGGTTAAAAATATCTAAAATTATAATATGTACTTCTAAATTTGAACTTGGCAGGTTAATTTAATTATTTAAATTATATAATATTTAAATTATATAAATATAAATAATTATATAACTAAATAATAAATTAATGATACAATTAATTAAGTGTTACGTACAGCACAACAACCTGCCAAGTTCAAATTGAGAAGTATTATAATTTTAGATATTTTTAACCAAGCACCTACGTATTTTCAAAACTATACCATATTTTAAGTTGGATGTATGGTAAAGTGAATTTCGGCCAAATGGACCGTTGACGTGAATCAAGTGGCGGGTAGTGGCTGGATGTGGAAGGCAGAGGACTGGGTGTGGTGGCGAGTCTTGGGAATGGCAAATGTTTACCAGTGGATCATGCTGTTGATGAAGATGATTATGATCGATTTCAAAGTGCATCTAAACTTGGCATTCGATTGGATTTCACCCCTTTTTTAGGCAAACAATTAGCCGATTGGAACTTGGCCCTCTTTTTAACAGGCATGTTTTTGGTGAGATCTACTTTACTACAAATATATAATATTGCACGTCTTCTTGAAGTGGAACATTTGGTAGGTTGTTTTTTATTTATTACATAATATACTAGAAGTCCCGGCGAACTTAAATAAATTTAGGTTATACCTTAGACTCAGAAACACGTGGTGGTTATGCTATTATTAAATAGTCGCTCATATATGACGTTCGTAATTTTAACATAGCGCCATCTAATGAATACTTAACTCAGTCAACAGATAATTGTAATAATGACAAATAATTTTCTTTAATACACAAATAATAATTTGCAATAAAATAATATTGTGACTATAAATTGAGATGTAAGCTATCCTATCTTTCAAGTTGAATTAAAATGCACACGGAATGCAAATCAAATTTAAAATCGGTTTAGTAGTTTAGGAGTCCATCGCGGATAAACACGTGACACGAAATTTTTATATATATAAAGATATGTGACCTGTATCTTTTTAGCCCAGCTGCCCGAGGCGAGTGCTTGTTCCACAGCAGTCGTCAGAGCCCGTACGTGAGCCCGCACCCCGCGACCCGCGCTGGGGCTCACGTCCGACCACAGCTCGGAAAACATGTCCACCGTAGACGAGTCTGTTACATATACACTTGATATTATATATTTATTTATTTATTTACAACAAGCACAGTTACAGCATACATATTAAATATTTGCAGTTAAAGTGACTATATTGAAACATCAGATATATACGTCAATGACAAGTGTACATAACATTTACTAACTATAAACAGTGCACAATTAAAAAGTTTACATACTAATTTAAAGATAAAATAAAAATATTACGTAAAAATCACAAAATAAATTAAATTATATTACTACATATAATATAAACTTAGAAAAACTTTAACTTAGAAAAAAAATAGTCAACTATATAAAGTACTAGCTTTTGCCCGCGACTTCGTCGACGTGGAATAGTGACTTCCGGCAGATTTTTGGTTCTTCCCACATAGTTCCCGTTCTTGCGGGATTTTCGGAATGGTCGAGTTCCCGCAGAATTTTCAGGATAAAACCTATGTTTTTTTTTCGAGTTCCAAACTATATCTGTACAATTTTTACAGTAAATTTAATTATTTTAAAGAACTTCTGCATATACTAAAAAAAGTGTTATTATTGTGAAACTAAATACTATCGTAAAACAAATAAAGTACCTACTATATAGAAAACAACTACAAAATGAAACTGTGTTTAAAAAGTAATATTATTCTCTCCCGCCGCGCCGGCCAGCGCAGAGAGCGAGTTGGTTTTGTTTCGGAGTTATTTATCACTACGCAAAATCAACATCGCGACGCGCTTAACCGCTTAATTAATTTTTAAGTTACCCAAATTTTTAAACTCGCTATATCTTTTGAATGGAGTATCCGATTAAAATAATTTAAACATATTTATATTGCATAAAGGTATTGAACAACTGTTAAATAAAAAGTTAGTTATTTAGATAAGTATAAATACCATGGTATGAATATCGACATCTTATTTTCGTTGCCGATTTAAATAGTTTGTTAAACTATAAAAGTTTTTATATTGGCGTAACTATAATACTTAGATATACACTACCGCGGACTTTTATGTAGATAATAATGCGGTCAACAAAATCGTAGTACATTATTTTGCTTCATCATCAATAGTTATTGCAGCGCACGCGATTTAAAGTATTTCAATAGTGATTTTTATCGACCGTGGTTTATGTTATCGATGTTTTCGCAAGGATCCCTAATTTTTTTCAAAATAAAATATAGCCTATGTTACTTTGGAAAGATGTACAATCATAATGGTGAAAGAATTTTTAAAATCGGTCCAGTAGTTTTTGAGCCTATTCGTAACAAATAAACAAACAAACAAAAAAATATTACCTCTTTATAATATTAGTTTAGATTATGACCGTACTTCTATGTATTGTGGAGATTTCATATGGTTCACCCTTAGTCGGAATAGGAAATTTGACTAATTTATGTACATATATAATACCATAGTATATTGCAGATTATATGTGTGTAAGCAATTTTTTTAAATATGTTCTTTCTTTATCGGAGCTTTTATTTATTACTAGCTTTCCGCCCGCAGCTTCGCTCGAATGGAGTTCGATTATATCGCGTTACCAAGAGAATCTTTCAAGTGTGGGATAAAAACTATCCTATGTTCTTTCTCAAGGTCAACTCTATCTCTGTACCAAATTTCATTAATTGGTTAAGGCGTGAAAGCCTAACAGACAGACAGACTTACTTTCGCAGTTATAATATTACTATTAGTGGGGACGATTTTCGATTTAAGAGTCCTCCTGTAAGTCTATTATTTTAATGAAGACATAGCTGTTATTGTAGTCCAAGCTTTATGTTAATTTCAATAAAATATCAATGTGTGTTCTCACCGTCTTCTTTAGAGGCGTGCATAGCTAAGAACACAACCGGCACCAAAGTCTCTTCATTATCCTTAATATGTTCGATCTTAGCTTTCGCCACCGCCTTTAAAGTCAGGGCGACCGCAGACCGAGACGCGTCATCCTCCCTCGTTTCGTATAAATTAACTAACTTCTTCATTAATTTTTCTATGGATTGCGGCTGGAATATTTAAATTTAATTAACATTCTATAAGAATATAATGTTTATTTATCAACATATTTAAACGTACCTTAGCATAAGCGGACACTTGTCCCAAAGCTTCCGCATAATTCTTTCTCACTGTAGCATTTCTGTCAAATATACCGTTCAATAGACTAGACATGATCTTCCCCGCTACAGGTTCGAGGTCGGCCCTCAAGTAATGCGCGGCCAGCACTAAGAAGTGCGCGCACGCGACCTTAGTACCCAGCTGCGGAGACTTAGTCAGTTCCAGTATCTTCGGCAACATCTCCTTCATTATATCTATAGTGATGTACGGCATACACTGAAATTATTATCATTATTATTAGAATAAGTTTCACTTTTTTATAAAAGTAATTAATGGAAAAATTGGTATTATGTTAAACAAAGTCAAATTGTTATTAAATATGTACTTAAAATAATCTTTAATCGCAAATGAATGTGATTGAATAGTACAACATTAAATTGTTGTTTTGAGTTCGTGATAAATTAGAAATCATCATAATGAAGCAGTTGGTGACATATACATATCGTATGAATATGAGAATATGAGATAGTGAAGGCCATGTGAGCAGTTTTCAGAGGAGATCAGGATTCTTTTTCGTTCGCAACGCATTTCGGTGTTATAGATTAATCGATCGTAGATTTTTGGAGTGTTATTTAATCTTTCCTACACATATGTAATATTTAGATTTCATTTCAGGATAAGTTTAAATCGAAATAGCTGAAAGTTAATAATTTAAACTTACTTTTAAACATGAGTAAAATTAATAGTGTGATTATATCGAATATTAATTAAAATCAAATTCTGATATTGGTTCTAAGAATATAAAGTCGGCATCGCATCTACACTACCCTTTATGTTTCAAATGTCCATGGGCGACGAAGACTACTTTCCATAGAAGATTGTCTGCTCGTTTGCCCCTTTGTATATATATACAGGGTGACTGGTGAATTACTATCAATATTTAAGGAGAATACTATATGTATATGACAAAATAAAAATTAATATAACATAAATATTAATAAACTTCGAAGTAAAGTTAACCAAAAGTTATGTAATTAATTACGGATCGTGTGGATACCCTAGCTGCGTTATCGACACAAAGCAGTAATGTACGTAGGTACATTTAGTTATCGCGCGGTAGTTTACCTACATCCAAACGCCGCGCGCCGCCGCGTGTTAGACCTTAGATAAACAAAAATGATCCAATTCCCTTCATACTTTAATCCTGGCTTAGGATAAGCAAAAATACCAAGATATTTCATTCGTTTAAGCAACCAATTTATTAACTAGGTAAATGGTGTGAACTTGACACAAAAAATAATATGAACTGTTTACCTATCTTGGTATTTCCGGCGTATTTAAAAATGGAATCATACTTATTTACAACAATTGTCAATCATTAAACTACGTATTTACCTACATAACTACACTAACCTTAACAAATGTTCAAAGCGAGCTTCTTCTCGTGTGATACACAGTTCGGCACGTTTACACATATTGTCTTTCACACGATTTAATACGAATGGGTCACTTTTAATAGTTTTGAAATCACTATTGATTTTTAATTTCAACTCCTCTCTGTTTACATCGACACACTGGCGCCGGCAAGGCTGGGTACGTGTCCAAACTTTATTTATTTATACGGAAATTTGGTCAAAAATTAAGTGCCTTTTTGTTTTACATAATTCGAATGAGAATCATGTACCGAGTATGCTCCTTAAACATTGATAGTAATTCACCAGTCACCCTGTATATATTTTTTATGTCAAAGGTGACAAACGAGCAGACAGACGACATGGTGTAAGGTAGTACCGTCGCCCATGGACATCCGCAACATGTTTGTTATGGATGCGTTGCCAACCTTGTATATACATAGTAACTGACCTTGACGACCGTGTCTGTAGTATAGTGCTGCCTCGCGGCGCTGGCTCGCAGGTCATCTATAGCGTCTCGTGTGGCGCCGTCAGTGATGGCCGTGGACAGGTAGCCGAGTCTTGCCGGCTCCAAATCCCCAGCCGCCGCCGCGAGGGCCGGCACCAGGCGGGGCAGCAGCGGCGCCAGAGAAGACCCCGCTGACGACACCAGCATAGACACCGTCTGCAGGCTACAACCATACACATACCATAATAGGGTGGGATAGGGTACCATAAATTATTATATCTTTATATATATAATTCTTCTGTGAGTGTGTATGTCACTGAACTTCTCTCAAACGACTGGACCGATTTTGATGAAAGTTTTTGTGTGTGTTCAAGGGGATCTGGGAATTGTTTAGATTCACAATTTTGTCCGCTGGACAATGTTTTTTTAATTAATTTTTAATTTATTAGTAATTGTTGATACAAACGTTTTTTTTTACATTAGATTTGACAACTAACTAATATGTACTTCAAAATACGGAGATTTATGGCTTTAATAGGGAAACTCCAAAAATATTATAAAAAAAACGTAAAAGATATTTCTTTATTATAGGGCGATACGAAGTTCGATGGGTCTTCTAGTATACTAATAAAAGAATATTATTATTATTATTATATTAAAGATCCTTGGGGAAGACCTATGGCCTGCAGTGGATGTCTTTCGGCTGATGATGATGATGATTATATTAAACGCATATATCTCGTCGGGGTAGTGCAAAGCCGCGTAACTACCATTGAATAATTCCGTGTATCTACATTGGATGCAGATTATCAGCAGAAAATTTAAGCTGAAATATTTTGTAAATAAACGACTTTTAAGTTAATTAAACTGTGCAGTGTATAGTGTAAACTGTGCAGTGTATAGTGTAAACTGCAAACTGTGTAGTGTATAGTGTAAACTGCAAACTGTACAGTGTATAGTGTAAACTGCAAACTGTACAGTGTGTAGTGTAAACTGCAAACTGTGCAGAGTATAGTGTAAACTGTGCAGTGTATAGTGTAAACTGCAAAACTGTACTGTGTAGTGTGGCCCTATGGGAAAAGTTTTACAAGATATCATTTTAATTACCCGGGACGAATGCACCATAATCCATAGAGCTTTGTCTCCTTATACCTACACATCTATTGATAATGAAATGGATCAAGATGCTGTCCATTACCTACAGCCTACATTTTTTTAATTGAATTGAACCCAAGTGGCCTTCCCCCATACTCTCTCAAGTTTATAATAGGTAGGTAATATCTTAGATCTCATTATAAAAACAGGTACCCCAATAATTTTGCTTAGAAACCTGAAACCACCAAATTTATCTAACGGAATACAACTTCATATCAAATTTCTACGCAATAACGTGATCGCTGCAATAGTTTTGACTGGTCCAGCAGTTGCTCAAACAGTTCTTATAACTCGCATCTCAATGATTCCAAATGATTTACCTGTTTATTTTAAAAGAATTCAATTTCCCGTTAATAAGCTATCTTTTGACATTACAATAAATAAATCAAGGGGCAAACATTTAAACATTAGGAATCGTTTTAAGACAAAACTGCTTTTCGCACGGTCAAATATATGTCGCATTGTCAAGATCGGGTTGCGGAGAAAACCAATATGTTCTTCTGATACAAAAAATAAAACTAAAAATATAATTATTTACGCAGAAGTACTTAAAATAATTATATTGTTTTAAAAATTTAAAAACTGATTGGCTAAATTAATAACAAAGTCGTACTTAAAAAGCTGAGGAGGTTTTTTACAAAAATAAATAGTACAGTGCCCAAAATAACTATTCTACGCGGACGAAGTCGCGGGCACAGCTAGTATTATATAAAATATCACCCTTATCTGTCAAAGTTACCCAGATTGACTGTACTAACAGTTGATCAAGTTCTTAACAGTGGATTAATTTATTAACAGTGGATTTACTAACAGTTGATTAATTTATTAACAGTGGATTTACTAACAGTGGATTTACTAACAGTTGATTTACTAACAGTTGATTAATTTATTAACAGTGGATTTACTAACAGTTGATTAATTTATTAACAGTGGATTTACTAACAGTGGATTTACTAACAGTGGATTTACTAACAGTTGATTTACTAACAGTTGATTAATTTATTAACAGTGGATTTACTAAGTGGATTTACTAACAGTGGATTTACTAACAGTTGATTAATTTACTAACAGTTGATTAATTTATTAACAGTGGATTTACTAACAGTTGATTAATTTACTAACAGTGGATTTACTAACAGTTGATTAATTTACTAACAGTGGATTTACTAACAGTTGATTAATATACTAACAGTTGATAAATTTATTAACAGTGGATTTACTAACAGTTGATTAATTTATTAACAGTGAATTTACTAACAGTGGATTTACTAACAGTTGATTAATTTATTAACAGTGGATTTACTAACAGTTGATTAATTTATTAACAGTGGATTTACTAACAGTTGATTAATTTATTAACAGTGGATTTACTAACAGTTGATTAATTTATTAACAGTGGATTTACTAACAGTTGATTAATTTACTAACAGTGGATTTACTAACAGTTGACTAATTTATTAACAGTGGATTTACTAACAGTGGATTTACTAACAGTTGATTAATTTACTAACAGTGGATTTACTAACAGTGGATTTACTAACAGTTGATTAATTTATTAACAGTGGATTTACTAACAGTTGATTAATTTACTAACAGTGGATTTACTAACAGTTGATTAATTTATTAACAGTGGATTTACTAACAGTGGATTTACTAACAGTTGATTTACTAACAGTTGATTAATTTATTAACAGTGGATTTACTAACAGTTGATTAATTTATTAACAGTGGATTTACTAACAGTGGATTTACTAACAGTTGATTAATTTATTAACAGTGGATTTACTAACAGTTGATTAATTTATTAACAGTGGATTTACTAACAGTTGATTAATTTATTAACAGTGGATTTACTAACAGTTGATTAATTTACTAACAGTGGATTTACTAACAGTTGACTAATTTACTAACAGTGGATTTACTAACAATTGATTAATTTACTAACAGTTGATTAATTTATTAACAGTGGATTTACTAACAGTGGATTTACTAACAGTTGATTTACTAACAGTTGATTAATTTATTAACAGTGGATTTACTAACAGTGGATTTACTAACAGTTGATTAATTTATTAACAGTGGATTTACTAACAGTTGATTAATTTACTAACAGTGGATTTACTAACAGTTGATTAATTTATTAACTGTGGTTTAATTTATTAACAGTGGATTAATTCATTGACAGTGGGTTTATTTAGTAACAGTTGATTAATGTATTAACAGTGGATTTATTTACTAACAGTGGATTAATATATTAACAGTGGATTTATTTTTTAACAGTTGATTAATTTATTAACAGTTGATTAAGTTACTGTGGTTTAATTTATATAATTTTATAGGAAATAGGCAAAAACGCAAAATATCATGAGATAATGAGGAAATTATTTACGAATATTACATTGTGTTTTCAAAATGTTTACTATTGAGTTTTTAAAGAATAAAGATACTACATAATATGATTGGTTATTTAACTGTTTAGTTATTCCAAAACATGTTAACCTTAGCGTAAACTGTTTGATATATTTCTACTTATGCTATTAACTAGTATATGTATGTACCTACCTCACACTCCTGACTTCTTTAACGAGGTTAGTTATGCCGGTGTCCAACAACACCGGTAATATGGCTGACAATATTTCCTTTCCGTCTTTACCTTGCTTCACATCTGTAGCCTGGATACATAACTGGAAACCAATTTTCACTTTTAAAATTTTATTTTGTATAATCATATTTGTGAATCTACATGGTTACATTATTCTTGTGAATCTAATCGAAATCTTAATGGTAATTCTTGTAATACATTGTTGACGAAGTAAAGTTAGTGTGTAGAAAATAAACATACTTTTGATAGAACGTTAGCTGTGGATGTGGCTGCCTGACGCGTCCCTTCATGTACGTCGTCCATAACTCGGAAAAGTTGAGTCCATATAGTTGGTAGATACTCCAACGAATCGTGTAAACTTTGTGCACCCCTGTGTATATGTATAGATTATGTATATATCTTTATATATATATAAAAATTTCGTGTCACGTGTTTGTCCGCAATAGACTCCTAAACTACTAAACCGATTTTAAATTTGATTTGCATTCCGTGTGCATTTTGATCCAACTTGAAAGATAGGATAGCTTACATCTCAATTTATAGTCACAATATTATTTTATTGGAAATTATTTGTGTATTAAAGAAAATTATTTGTCATTATTACAATTATTGTTAGTTGACTGAGTTAAGTATCCAATAGACGGCGCTATGTTAAAAATACAAACGACATATATGAGCGACTATTTAATAATAGCATAACAACTCCGTATTAATAATTCTGAGGCTAAGGTATAACCTAAATTTATTTATTAAAAAAACGTAACAGATATTTCTTGATTATAGGGCGATACGAAGTTCGCCGGGTCTTCTAGTATTATATAATTATGTTATTTCATACAAGGAACGTTGAGCTTTATAGTCGAATTAATAAAGTCACATTAAAAATAATTAAACTAAAATTAGAACCAGCAACATTTGGAATTATTTTGTTGAAATAAAATTTATTAAAACTCTTATATCGTTAGAGAAAATTTCAAGTTTTTAATGTTTTAAGCCGTTTATCTGACAGTTGGGTTATCTTGTGTTAAAAGATAGTTCATAGAAATGTACCGAGTAATGAGTCGGTTCTCGAGCGCCGCACGAGCGGCCGAAGATTACCGAGAGCGCCCGATGTATGACGAATTGAGCCATGATTGACATCTCGTTATGTTTTGTTGCATTTTCTAATTTTAATATTTTAGTAAAGTGCACCACCGGTTCGATTACCCACTGGCCGCCACTGGTTATATTATATCATTTACCTTAAAAGATCCGCGAGTGCATTACAACAAGACATCCGCACCCTCCATTGATTAGACGTCAAGTTGGCCACCAAGTCTTTTAATATTTCTTTATGGTATTTCTGCACCTGTAACATCATGTTAAAATAATACTATCATTATTGATGTAATTAAACTCTTCTCATTCATCATTTCTTAAAACTGAATTCGTTAAGAAATTTCCATTCCAAGTTGAAATTTCCATTTTTTTTTTTTTTTAATGTAAGGGCAATATGCCCATTAAGTGTCTAATAAAGTTATTTCCTTGTCCGCGGGTTACCCAATTACACAATTTCGATCAATTCAGTTTAATTTATTTCGCACGATTGCTATATTAAAAACTTCTACATATTAATTTATGAATGGCCCAAAGTATTCAGATTGTTCTGCACATCAAGAGCAACAATTCTGTTTGTGTATTTTCTATCAAAAGTAGTAACAATGTCCGTTATCGCCAACAATAAGTTTCAAACGTATATGAATGTTACCGTGGCCTGCGTGTTAGAGACGAGGGCGCTCCATATGGCAGCCATTGAGTTCTGTATGCGAGGCGTGGGGTCGAAACGGTAGCGATACAGGCGGGGCACGATACGAGGCAAGTGAGTAGACAGGGAGCCGCCCGCCGCCGCTGTGAGGGACTGGAAACCGAACGCCGCACCTGGACACGAAAGGGCAAAGAAGAATGTAAAAGATTTTCTAACAGAATCGTATTCCAAATTCAAATTTGAAGTAAACAAATTAAATTTAAGATATAGTCGGAGATCTTTAGACATCACTTTCTAACAGGATCGTGTTCCAAATTCAAATTTGAGGTGAGAGGATTCAATTGCTATTAAAAATTTTACAAATATGTTGATTTTTCTTAAAGTATAAAGCCAAACTGATAATACTCTCTTCGTGAAAGTAAAATAAGATTTAATTTTTTTTATAAGATAGTACAAAAAATGTGAATTGTAGACGATCACCTCGTTTGGAATTCCAAATTGAGTTGTGATGTGCTAAATGCATGAACTTGTATAGAAGGTCCGGCTGATTCAAATCAGACGCCAGGGAGCAGAGTTCTTTGTAGGTTGAAAGGTTTCCACTGCAAAAATAAAAATGGACACATTATATATACATATATGGTATAGAGAGTGGTTATTCAAATTGGTAAATAATATTCTATATTACTTTTTAAAAGCGGTCCTATGTAATCGCTAAGTAGACCACTACCATAATTTCGTGATAACCAGTTTAAAGTATTTAATAACCCAAATGATCTAAAAGTATGTAAGGACCATTTTAAACTGGTTATTGCCGTTGAATGCACGACATATGTATACTGTACATATGCTTTATATCTTTATATGTATATATAATTCTTCTGAAAGTGTGTATATCACTGAACTTCTCTCAAACGACTGGACCGATATTTATGAAATTTTTTGTGTGTGTTCAAGGGGATCTGGGAAAGGTTTGGATTCACAATTTTGTTGCTGGACAATTTTTTTTTAATAAATTTTTAATTTATTAGTAGTTGTTGGTACTAACGTTTTTTTTTACATTAGATTTGACAACTAACTAATATGTTAATCATTCTGTCGTACTTCAAAACACGGAGATTTATGGCTTTCATAGGTAAACTCCAAAAATATAAATAAAAAAACGTAAAAGATATCTTGATTATAGAGCGATATGAAGTTCGCCGGGTCTTCTAGTATGTATATAATCTATACATACCCGGTGGGCGCGGTCCCCAGCTGTCCCTCTTCAAACAGCCTCGTGTCGTCTGTAACCTGCGCCACGGCTCTCTTCCCGCTAGTCAGTTGCTCTATTATCTGACCCACAAGAGCCTTCTTCTGAGCTTCGTCCGAATTCTGGTACACTAAGCTCAAACCCTTGCTCGCTACGTCTTGAACTATATCTGTATATGTATAATTTAATTATTTAATGTGAATTTCGATAAAAGTATCATGAAAATGGTTCGAGTAATGTACATATTTGTTATATAATTAAATGCTTTATTGCATATGTAAACATTATGTAAAGCTTATTTATTTTAACGGCAATTACATACATGCAAGGAATTTTTATGCAGTATTCCAGGTTTGGTAAGATATTTTTACTGGCATTTATGATTGTAAATACTTCCTTTAAATGAATCCTTATATCATCTTACACTGATCTAATGTTTTGTTGTAAATAATATGATATGTTAATTACCGCTATTCTCTGAAAGGTATTCCATGAACGTGTCCTGTAACTGCTGCAGTGAATTCTTTATAGGAGCTCGCTCGGGACAATTCTTCAGTAGAGCCAGTAGCCATATACATGTAGCCTGATTGTATACATAAGAGGTATGAATCATAAAAAAATATTCAATTAAATCTTCAGGTATAACTTATGTATATTTTTTTATTTATAAACTCAACGTTATACATACTGAGCCAATAGTCAAGAGTTTAAAATTTTATTTTACAACATACATATGAGGAAATAACTTTTAGTTAAAAAGTATAAAATAAGGTTTAACTTTAATATTAGGTGTTATCTAATATATAAAATTCTCGTGTCACAGTTTTCGTGCCCATACTCCTCCGAAACAACCTGACCGATTTTGATGAAATTTTTTGTGCTTATTCGGTAGCTATGAGAATCGGCCAACATCTATTTTTCATCCCCCTAAATGTTAGGGGTAGTCCACCCCTAAATTTTTATTTTTTATTTTTTAGACAAAATTTTTAATTACTATTTTTTTATGATACAACGTACAAAAATACATACAATCCTAAATTTTCACCCTTCTACGATCAACCCTTATTTTTTAATAGCTATTTTAGTAATTTAATCATTTTTCATCTCCGGTCGATAACTGATCAATCGTCATTTAATAAGTTATCCCCGCCAGATATCTACAGGTGTCACTTCTGACCCAGTAAACAGCACGGAGTAGGGATGAGAACGAAGCCGGTCTTCTGTTTCTCTCACACAATTAGACTTCTCTCACTCCCTACACAGTTGTCGGCCATCGTTATTGTTTGTGCATCAAGTGTAGTAGTAACGTTGACAATTATTATTTTGCTAGCTCAGTGTAACTCTCATATTAACTATTAATCATTCCTAATCACTTCAAAACACGGAGATTTATGGCTTTAATAGGTAAACTCCAAAAATATAAATAAAAAAACGTAACAGATATTTCTTGATTATAGGGCGAAACGAAGTTCGCCGGGTCTTCTAGTTATATATATGTTTAAAAAAGGAAATCAAACCAAGTCGCGGGACAAGCTAGGGCAAATTAGATTACCTGTCTGGAGTGGGGATGTGGATGCTTGCCTATCTTGAACAGCTCCAACAATAACCATTTCAATATTTCGTCGTTTTCTTTCAATGCTTCCGCGTCTTTTATTTTAGATTCTACCTGTGTATAAGAAATAAAATATTTTTTAATCACGATCAGTATAACTTGACCGATGCGTCAAGCAAGGGTAACAATACAAAATCCTTTTAATTTAATATAATTTTTTTGACTACACAAGGCAACTCTCAAAGTTATAATTAACATCCTTTATTAAATATATTACCTCATTTGGCAGTTCAGTCCACAGATCTCGGTTCTCATTGGAATTAACGCCTTCAACACACAAAACCAATGACTCGCCTATTTGTAAATGTATTTCAAACTCTTTGCTCTAAAAAAAAAAAACAAAAGAGTATTACATATAATGGGTTAAGTGTTATTGAAATCAAGTATAATTATCAAACTATACTTACATCCCTCGCCATTTGAAGGAAACCTTTAACAATTTGCTTTGCGAAACTCAACCTTTCCCCGCAGCACATAAGGCCGAGATTATAAAGCGATCTTTCTTTAACCTTGGAGGGTAGTTTCGCGTTACCAACAATTTTGAATAACCTGTCAGCTACACTGAACTTCGTCACTTCATCTTCTGGCATTATAACGTCGGCTTGATTAATTTTGAATGGATTTTCGCTGTTTAATAACGGTTCCTGTTTCGACGATATATTAGGTAGTGGCAGTGACGTACATCGTACGAGTAAGGACATAGCGATACACGACGTACTGACCAACAACGACTGAGAGTGACAGAGGAAAGTAGCTGTAACGAAAACAATTTATTAGTCAAGTATCAATAATATACCATTTATCCTGCGACTTCGGGTTTAAGAGACGTATAATATATGGTTAAAAAAAATAGACGGAGGAACCAACCAACAGCGACATCTGTTCATTGCGTCGCATCTTCTTGAAATATAAAACATATTTTATTCTTTTATTTCGCGAAAAGTATCAAAATTTTTTTAAAAAATATGGGATACAGCTATACCTTATTATCCATTCATTCAAAAATACTACTAACCAATTACACCAAGTTTTAAATGGTTTGAAACAACTTGCAAACATTGGATCTTTCATTGAAAATTTAGATAGAATACAAAATTTTAGACTTTATAACCTGAATAGCTTGTAAAATGTTTTCGGGATATCATAATTGAACTTGAAAATATATTTGACAAAAGAAGTTCAACTAATTTACTGTTTATAATGAACACCAATAATGTCACAATTTCATCAGCTAACAAGCTGTTGTAAGTAATTTATGAAAAGCAATTCAATCTTACCAAGACACAAAACACCGTCTCTATAAGGTTCCCAAGTACTTGGACTGAAACCTTTGCCACCAAACTTCTTCCTCTTCCACAACACGACGCATCTCTCACAGAGATACGTGAATGCCATCATATATCCACATTGAGATTCCAAACTCTTATTATTACGTGCTTGATCAACGAATTCCTTGATTTCCTTGTCTATGGATGACTTGTCGCTGGTATGCACCGTTATGATAGCGTAAATAGCGGCAGAAGTTTCTCGAATTTCCTCCCTCGTACTATTTGTGAAGAGTTGTTTCAAGAACGGCAAGATAGTTTTGTATTTGTCCGCTATTTTATCCGGTATACATCCCACTATGTCCAAGAAACAAGTCAGCGGCATAACACCTGTCGTAACACATTTTATATTAATAATCCATTTCTATTTATTAATAGTGAAAAACTTAACAAATTTCAATATCATATTTTTTATTCATTTATATCTACTACCTATGTATGTGGTAAATTTAAAAGCAAAATTAATAAAGCTTAAGTACTGTCAAATATGTGGAACATTAATCTTTAATGTCATATTATCGGGTATAAAATATTCAGCCATCAATAACATGTCTAATATTTATATTCTATACCTGGACATGCGTTTAGAAGACTCGTTATCATAGTCAAATATCTATCCAGAGCTTCCGTTTCCAACAAATGTTCATGAATGTACCGTGACAGTAAAGGTGAGGTGGCGTTCGGGTGGTTCGAACAATCTTTCAAATTGGCATTCCTATTTAAACACATTCTTAAATATCTTAGAATCTGAAAAAAAAATCAAATTATGTTTTAATAAAACCTCTTTGCTATTTCTGTATCCATAATAGTTTGTAGAATCAATAAAAAGCACTTACTTCTTGATATGACTGTGGATGAAATTGTAGAACTTGGTTGCCAATAACGAATCTATGTTTAACATTGGAGCCCTTCTTTCGTTTCTGCATCTGATCCCACACATAGTCGACCACTTCAATGAATCCCGGTACTTTGAATTTTTCTTCCTGTGTTCCAGCACTGTCTTTCTTCGAACCTTCCTCGTCTATACTGATAGTCTCTTTCTCTTTCTTACTCACATTGTTTACGACATCTTCTATTTCATTCGCTCTTGATGTTCCGTAAAGACACTTGAGGGCCTCTGTTGAGATTTCGTCTTGGCTGAAATAATAAATAAACAAATGAATTCCTTTTCTTTTATTCTCTTATTGATTTTGTACTAACCACTACAGATTAAATAAAACTTGGTGTGACGAATGTTAACAAATTTTATATGTTTAAGTTAGTAATGCTCTCAAATAAGTGACTATGTATTGTCTTGTTGAGAATAAAGATCTTTAAACCTAAACCTAGATAAAAATATTGATATTTCATTTGTTTTCAATTCTGTGTGGATAATTATAAATTTTAATATAATTGCACCTGTCTCCACTGGCCAGTAATAGTAAGTATCTAGAAGGCACGTAGTCCTGTGGAAACACTGCTGAGGCGTAACGCATCGCGATGTATCTGATCATAGATTCCTCACAGTGCATGTAACTGTAAAAACATAATATATTAAAATATATTATATAATTTTAAATAAACATATCTTTTAGACATTAATTCAGTTTTATTATAATTTTATCAACTAATCCATGACAGTAAATTAGATTTCAACATTTAGAAATTATATTTTTGATCACAGTCAAGTAAAATTTTATGACATTTAAATTACAGTAATTTAAACAAACATACTACTACATAATTTATATAAATATAATAAGTACATCCAACAAAAATCTCGTATTAAAATAAATAACATATATGTATATATTAATGTATACTGACTGGTCTAAAAGAGCGAACAATGCTAGAGCGTGTGGTTCATCGAAGGGACTCGGTCTAGGTTTCTTACTCTCCCCACCCTCCGCGTCCTCAACACCAGATGGACCTGCCTCCTCACACTCCATAGGTTCTCCTTTATCTGAAAATAATATTAGGTTCATACAGTTTTTATATTGACTACTGAACATCTAAATGTCAATAGTATAGTCACTTCATTGACTTAAAATTAAAAATATTTAAAAATAGTAGTTACCTTCGGGTGTAATCTTGTAAGCAGTCGCCATTTCCAACAGCGCATCTCTGAGTGCTGTCTTTATTTCTGGTACAGCGTCTGGAATCTTTTTGACTAATTCCTCCAACAGCGCAAACTGATTATTGAAGCAGTTGGGACATTTCATCGCCAATCTACCTATAAATGTCATTTGTTTTGAAATATATATATAATAATATTACACCTAATAGTAATATTATAATGTCAACTCATTACCCAAACACATGTAAGCTTTAGCGTGTTGTTCCGCGTGTTCTTCTGTTCTTATAAGCTTCAACAGTCCTTGAAGAAACACAGACGCGACTTGCCTCAGCTGAACCTCGTTACCACTGACACGGAAACGAATTATTTATGATAACGATTGTGATAAAATACCTATATAAAAAACTTTATACATACTTATTGATGACGTTCAAGAGGAACATGAGAGCCATGTTGCGGAGACGAGAATTCGTATTGGTAACAAATATCGAAGAAAATACAACCTAAAAAGAATAATATATATTTTAAAATATTTTTTATATAAATATATAGGTACATAAATATATTTACCTGAACACAGTGTGGAAATATAATTGCTGCACCCGTTGCTTTGTTTAGATACTGTATTAATTTTAGCCGCAGTCTAGTGCAAGCTGGAATCTGAAATTTAGTAAAACAATGTGTTTTAAATTACAAATTCCAATTATTATTCCAACGAAAACATAAACAAATTAATAGCGCGCGGTGAAAGAAGTGGCATGTCACTCGGATATGAGAAAAAATTATGTGTATATTAAATTAAACTAAAAAAAAAATATGAATATTACAAATTTGCTTTGCATGTGCTTGGAATCTAACGATTCGCTCTCTTACTCTCTCCTACTTTCTACATATGTCTATCTTTCTTTTTCTCTCCCTCAAGGTCGATTTACATTAAACGAGCGAATGCTCTTTCTATCCCATTACATCAAATTCTTCTAGTGTAAACAGGCGTAGAGCATTCTTTCATTGTTCTTAGTGCGTTCGCAAAGATTCTATAGAATATTCTGAGAATGCTCGCTCGCTTGATGTAAACGGCGCAAGAGCGCACGAACAGTTGGCTAAAGCGTTCTAGCGTGTTCGGACGTGCTCACGCCACTGAGCGGTTTCATCAAAGCGTTCTTGTGTTCTAGCGATTGTTTACGTGTCGATTAAATTATGGATTGGTGTCAAGAAAAATGTTAGGTAATGATAGAAGCCTCCCGCAACTTCAGATGTCTCCGGGATCGGACGTATGAAAATTATAAAAATACATCATACAATTAAGATCCTTCGATGCATTAAATTTGTAACCCACCAACGTCTCTTCCTTCTTTTATTTTTGAGGTTTTGCGACAAAACAATAAATGCAGCACTTGCAATAATGACATCTCTGTCAGAGTCAGACATAACGTACCACTACCAATTCTAACCACAGAATTGAGACGAATGAGCAAGAAACATTCGATCTATCTTTCGTTTACACTAAAAGACCACGAAAGAATGCTCTTGTTCGAGCTCTATCTCTATGTTAGTTTGATGTAAGCCGGCCTTCAGTGAAAAACGCTTAATGCAATCTTGTTGGAAGTTGCATGAGCAGTTTCACTTCAAAAAGTACAAAGTCTATTTAGTATCAGTTTATTTTTATTTACTATTAGTATTTTCTTACCTTACGGTCGTCCGGGTGTACCTTCATGCCTCCCCATGTTCCTAAGTACAGGGAGTACAGCGGCGCCACTACTGACGGCTGAGACCAGTCCACTGAGCTGGGGATTAAATCACATTAAAAAATTAATAGTATGAGGAAAGAACTTAAAAAATGATTTATAATAAGATTTAATGTTTATTATTACCCATCAGATAATTTTATTTTTTAATTTTGTAAAAAAGTTGCCAGTTTAATTTTATAATACAATATTTATTGTTTAGTTCAATTTTGATAAGTAAGATATTTCAAAATACATACCTGTTAACTCTTATAAGTGGGCTGTTCGCGTGGTTAGCGACACTGAATCTAGAATCTGCGGCCGCTACCACTAACGGGACTAGAGCTTCACTGGCACTGAATACATCCTTGCTGATGAAGTTTACTATCGATAGCTTCATCTGGAATGTCATGAAGTTAGTGGATATTATGAAAACTATAAATGTTAATTCTTTGAAACATGAGAGGAGAGTCTTGATAACTATTACCAACATTATAAATGTAAAGAGAGTTTCTTGAAACATAAGGGAAGTGTCTTAAGAAATTATACAGGGTGACTGGTGAATTACTATCAATATTTAAGGAGCATACTCGGTACATGATTCTCATTCGAATTATGTAAAAAAAATAGGTACTTAATTTTTGACAAAATTTCCGTATAAATAAGTAAAGTGTTGACACGTTCCAAGTGTTCAAGTGTGGACGCGTGCGGCGACGTGTTGATACAACACCACGTCACGACATGCGTATGTGTGAGTGTCAGTGTATACCTAATCTGTAGGGTGTTCATACGATGCGTAATTAATTACATAACTTTTGGTTAACTTTACTTAGAAGTTTATTAATATTTATGTTATATTAATTTTTATTTTGTCATATATGATCGTCAAATATCACGTCCTCAAATATTGATAGTAATTCACCAGTCACCCTGTATATGTTAAGGTTTTGACAAATAGAATATTTGTGTGAAAAGAAATGGAATGTATTTTATTTCTTTGATGCTGAGTAGGCTTAGCCATCACTAGACTATTTATTATGGCTGTAACTTAAACTAACAGTGCTAAGACATTCATATTATTATACACAACACAATAATTCTTTTTCTATTTAAGACTATTTAATATATACAAGTATATAATAATATAAACTAGCTTTCCGCTCGCAGCTGCGCCCGCGTGGAGTTCGGATATGTCGCGTTTCTAAGAGAACCTTTCAAAAGTCTGAGATAAAAACTATCCTATGTTCTTTCTCAAGGTCAACTCTATATCTGTACCAAATTTCATTAAAATCAGTTCAGTGGTTTAGGCGTGAAAGCGTAATAGACAGACAGAGTTACTTTCGCATTTATAATATTAGTAGGGATTGCTTTACCTCTTCAAGCTGGTTAGGATTTATTTGATTCTTGTCTACAATTCTCTTGTAGGATTTCATACTCATACCAGGTGGAACTTGGAATTCACTCTCGCCTGAGTTAGGTAGTGCTCTTAAATACATACAATTAATTTTTAATAACAGAATTTGTCAAGAATTTGTCAAACATTTTAACCCACAATTTTTTATATGATCCACAAATATTACACTTGGGAATTCAGCAAAATAATGACAAAGATAACTTATCATGTGTACAGTGTAAACATTAAAAAAAATAAAGTTTTCAGATCCTACGCTTATTTTAATTATTTATTTTCTGCATGTTCCCAACTTTTCAATTACTTTTTAGCAACCGGAATCATGTACAGAGGATATATAATTGAAAATTTTATTTTTTTGTTAGTACCTAGTGAAAATAAATCAGTAATTTTTCTAAATAGGATTTAGCCTTAAAATTTATATAAAAAGCTCTACTAGTTTTATAAGTAATATGTTTCAGTACTCACCGGTAAGGAAGCAAAAGGATATCTGTTGCAAATTTCAATATTAGATTGGCAGCTTTAGGCTTTTCTTTCAGTTTAAGATTATTTTCTTTAACATCTCCAAGTAAAGGCATCACCAACATTAAAATACTAAAACAATACACATGCATTAATAAAAATATGTGGGAGAACTTTAGAAGATATATTTATCGAGTCTGAAAAACCATTTATATAAAAATTACCTATCCTGATGTGCAACTGGTTTATTCTCTATAGCTTCAAGTAATGATGGCACCAATTCAACTTGTTGATCCTTAGGTAACCTCGGAAAACCCATGGTAATATATATGATAGAAAAGTTCTAAAACAAAATATTAATGAACTTAGTTATAAAGAATCAACTGATGTGATTGTGCTTATTAATACTTACAATTATGAAGCTATTGGCATTGGGGTCTTTGTAGGATTGTAGAAGTGTTTCAACTGGTAGCTGAACTTCATTACGACACTTAACTCTTTTATTGACATGAATCAGTAATTCCATCACCTTTGTTCTGATCTATAATGAATGTTAACATTAAATAATTAAGACACAATTTAAGAAAAACGTTAATAATGGAGGGAAATATATATAGATAGAAATAGTAGGTAATGAATAAAAAATTAGGAGTTTTTTTAAAACCAACCTGTTCATGAGGAGAAGACAATTTAAGGATGACAGGAGGCAGGAATCTATTTAAGCAGTTTTCAAGTTGCTCATCCGTGTTGGCATTTCCAAGTCGTAGGAACACTCTATCAAGAAGAACTGTAAAAAGGAGATATAATAACTTTGATTTCAGACTAATTGTAAACATTGTGTTCTGGTATATTTCAAAGATAAGAAATTTTTAACTCACGGGAATCATTTGAGCAATCATTAGTGCTCTCAGTTATATTCATTTCAGACATTTTATATCATTTGTTTTAAACGCATTCAATGTTTTGGAATACTTTAAGCTATTTGTAATCTAAAGAAGATCGAACTATGATGACAGACAAAATATCAATTGTCATGTGTCAAAGTCATATTGGCGCGTCCATAATATACATCTGCATTGCTATGCAAATATACTGTTCGGCCAAAGTCACTTATCATCTAGAAGACGCGAATGAGATTATTCCAATTTATATTTTCATTTTAACGTTATAATAACGTTAGTTTATATTTATGCAAAAAGAATTGGTTGTATATACATATGTTTTATATCATAACAATAGGATGCAAACAACAAATAAAAAATCCAAATATCAACAAAAATAACAATCCCCAGGCAGAAGTCAGAAGGCCAGCATCGAAATTAGAAAGAATTCAGAAGTTTGATTAATTGAAACGAGATTGACAGACAATGATTACATCAAACTAAACTTGCGCAATAGACTATCCGTTAGATTTGTCCTAGTGATAATTATTATTAGATATGAGTAGGTAGTATTTGTACACTAAATCATGTAATCCCAAAAATCATCATAATACTATTGGCGAAGAAGCATAGGTTGACTTGACTGGACTTGACTTTGCACATAAAATCTTTTTTTTTTTTCATGAATTTATCAATTTTATCAAAACCGTGAATTTTAATGTACGTTTAAATAGAAATTTAATATTAACTTTTGGTAAATTAATTTTGATCAATCAAACTATATTATGTACATAACAATGTGTATAATATCATAATTTGTTCCCTTATTCTAATTTGCTTAAAAATCCTCGATAATGCATCTTTGGTACCAAGGGTGTCGCATGCATATATCTACATATATAATATAATTGCTTATGGATACTCTGTTCGTCTGAACAAGCATCTCGAGGATGATTGACCTAATCTCTCAGAGGCTCAGTTAAGTTTTCAGGGTGGGTAGATAAATAATCTACGCTCTAAAGGCTGTGGGAGACCTGACTGAGGTGGCTTTGTTCGAAGATGGAGCCGCATTGGCGTGTCTTTGAACTTCGTCGGTGTTTTCAACACATTCCCCCTCGAGTTGTTAGTCGCCAGTACCACGAAGTGTCCGACTATCTGCGGCAATATATCTGCCTGCGGGGTTGATCCTTGATTCTCGACCCATCTTGTGGGACCTCTAATGTTGGTAAAAGCTCAGAAGAGGTAACTTACTCGGATGACAGCTTTGCCGAATCGCCCCCCTCTATCTACCGTCATTCCATCTTATGTAAGGTTGATACTTCGGCGAGTACCGGCATAAGATTGGTAGAAGCGAGGCGACCTTCATCTGTCTGCACTGTGTCGAGCAGAAGGACACGTCTTGTCACGAGGAGGAAACTTTCACTTTCTTGAGTAACCGTTGGATTTTCTATAATGCATTAATTGCGAGTTTACGGGAAAGCCCAAGTCCTATCGCAGGATTACCAAGAGCCAGACATAACCATCCTTAAATGAGAACCATATTTCAAAACAAGTCATCACTCCATTAGTTTTCCAACTTTTAGCATTTAATGTCAGTAACCCCAAAGAATTTTGTATTTGTGCTTTAGTTGATTTAACTTATTTTAGGAAAGTAGGATAAATAAAATTATAAAAAAAATACTTACAAAATTTTATTATCAAAATTTACAATAACATTAAAAAATTTATTAATAAAACTGGAGAATTTGTATGATGCAAAAGAGGTTTACCTAAATCACATTACAGAAATTTATATAAAATGTAAATGAAGAAAGAAAACTTACGAATTTATAAAAAATATATATACAAATTTTAATTAAAATTCCCTCAGGAGAGAATATATAAACAATATTTTCTAACTTAACACAGCACTCAATCACTACATTATTACAATACATAATAAATAAACTGTAATTTATTTCAATGACAGAAAAAAACTGTAAAGAAAAGTGTGCATTTCTATTAATAATAATAAAAGTTTATATTGTAACCTCAGCATATTTGATAACTTAAGTATTTAGGAATGTTGAACCATCAGATTCATAAAATAATACATAAAAATGATTTGTTACATGTTACTATTACAAAATATTTATTGTACCATTGTAAATTATTATTTGACATTACATAGTGTTTCAATCACATGTGTAAATTGTGCTCATATTCATATAGGCTAGTACTATTCAATGCCATGAGCAAATATCATTACGAGGCCAGGTTCTACCATCATATGTTCATCGACATGAGTATTGTCACACTGCAAGACAAGTACCGCTTGCTTTCCAGGAACTCTTTTGCATACATATTTTTCATACAATCTGTGGGCATAATAGACAATATAAACATTTATGTCATGTACCATTACAAGAAAATATAAATTGAAATAACTATTAAATACCTTCTATTGTTCTGTCTAGTTTCTAAGGAAGAGAGACCAGGTGGCCATCGCCTCTCATGGCAGTTTTCCATCAGATCATCAATAATGTGTGGAGGACATCCAGATTCTGATAAGCTTCTCTTAATCATCATCTATTTTGCAACAATTTTACATTTTTAATCAATTTTATATGTTATTAAATTTAGGTTTAGACATCTTTATTTTCCAAAACAGACACAAGTCACTTACACGGAAACAAATATTCAAGTAATAATAAATGTCGTTCTTAAGATATAATTACATAAAGAGTTGTTTTACTCATTCAATATATTCAATTTACAAGTGGTTAGTTTTGTATAATATATTAGTAATAGTAACTTAAGATTTTAAGAGGTCAGATGTTCAATATTATAAGTTACAATAAAATGTTGTAATTACCACCTGCAGGACGTCATCGGGTGTAGAGATCATGCCACCCCAGCGGGTGACTCTGGCCCTGGCTAGTGAACCAGCCCATCGCACAACTTCATCACGCTCCATCTGGTCGGCCAGCGCTCGCATCGTAGGATTTGACACGCGCATTGCACGCATGAACTCCTACACATTTATTGAAAATTAAATCAAAACTATCTTCATGAAGTAAAACTGTTCATATGATAAAAAGTGTTTCTTTTTCATTTCATAATAGAAAATTACAATTGATATCAATTGGTTTACTTATGCCTTAGATATCAAACATTTTGTAAAGTAAATCATAATACTAAGAAACTTACTTTAAGTAGGGCCAATTCCCTTTTGTGTTCATTGATGATCAGTCTTTGTTCTGCTAGCTCCTGCTGGTAGTCTGTTAGCTTACCCTGCTGGGAGGTTATTAATGCACGCAACTCTCGCACACAGTTGTGATCTGCTAGCTCATCTTTCGGTATAACTAAACCACAGCCTGCTTCACAAGGCATTGGCCGCTTAGGGTTAAATTCGCCTGTAAGGAAATTATAATTCTGTTAAATGATTACTCATCTTCTTTAAAATTAGGAATAGGGTTTAAAAATTTCTAAATAAATTAACAAAATGTGAAAACCTCATACATTCAACTAAATGTGATGCCAATGAATCCAGTTTCAGTACAGCATTGCATCCATGAGGTGAATTGTCGCAACTTGTGCATAATCTAAAATATGTAACCAAATTCAAATATCAATTATAACATATTATTGACATAACTTTACTTATTAAAAAGGCTACAACTGAAATCTTTAATAAATTTTTCAAATATAAAAATTGTATATAATACATCAAATATTAATATAAATAATAAAAACAAATAGAAGAAAATCTAACTTAGTTATTATCAGGTCAAGTTCTAATTCCATAGAAATAAAAATGATTATTTATAATTGTAAATAAATGTTGCAAAATACGAGACCTAGATAGCAGGTTGCGTAGTATTCTAGGAACGGGTCTTAGCTGACATGCGGTAACCGCCTGCCTATCCACTGGGCAAGTCGGTTGGCGACTTATCCACTCAGTTATGCAGACACGGCAAAATGCATGCTCGCATGCAGGTGCCTACAACAATGAAATTTACTGTAATCGAACACTTTATAGTACATTTTGCAGAGTGCTATTTTTTAAGCACCTGTAATGGATCTTCTAGAACTCCCGAACAAATAGGGCAAATAAGTTCTTCGTCGACGTCACCTTGAAACCTTTTGATTTCAAAGCCCATTCTTGGTTTTTGGTCACATAAACATCACTTTAGTTTTGTGTGTGATTCAAAACAAAATTTCCAGAATAGACTTCATGCGTATTGTATAAGTTTAAATTCAGCTTCAGATTTGCATCAAGTAAATCACTACAGAATATCAAATATCAACAAAACGAAATAACAAGGGACAAAAGCATTCAAGTTACAATCTGTAACAGCTAACTACTTACTGGTAACCTATGACGTACCCATCAACACAACATGCTTAATTATGTTTTTGGACAAAAAGGATTTTTTTATATATAGCCTTTTAAATTGTAGCTTAATAAACTCAATAGTACTAGGAGAATAAACTTTATTTATTATCAATTTTCCATATCACCCTCATCCTCGGTTCATAAATTTTACTTATAATCTTTATCATTCTGTGATATTCTGTGGTCTGTACACTGTACACTCAATGATATTAATCTGCCATTCTGCAGATATATTTTTCTCTTTCTTCGTCTACATTTTAATTGCTTAAAAATGTATCCTAGATTAAGAATCTGTTAAAATGTGTCTATAAATGCTTCGATGTTTTTTAATTAAAGCTAAGTAAAATAAAAAATCAAAATGAGTGTTTTTAAGTCTGCGATGGGGTATTTTAGTTCTGGGGGTGCCAACGGTGGCAGTGATAATGATTTTGTTGGCCAATTTGTTGAAATTGGTAACATGAAATTGAGAGTGAAGAAAGTTATAGCAGAAGGTGAGTTATTGGACAAATATATTTTTTCTTCCGTCATTGATTAACGATAACATATGAACGTAAATCAAGTCTAGGTCGTTGTACTTTTTGTACATTAAAGGCAGTTGGGGGCGGTGATATAAATTTTTATAGCTCTAATAAGTTTGCCCATCTATAATATATACTACAAAATAAAGTCATAATTACCAATAAAAGCTTTTAATATAGATTGTTAGCTGTTAGGGGTATACTACTAACAGTAATCTTCAATCTGCTTTCAAAAAATGTTATATTAATAAACATTTATTTTGCGATTCTAGGTGGATTTGCATTTGTTTTTGTTGCTCAAGATGTATCCTCTGGTACAGAGTTTGCTCTTAAGAGATTGATGGCAGCTGATGAACAAGCTAATAAAAATATTATACAAGAAATAAGCATATTAAAAAAGTTATCTGGCCATCCTAATATAATTAAATATATAGCGGCTTCATTCCTTGACAAAGCCAAAACCACCCATGGAATGGGTGAATATTTATTATTAACAGACCTCTGTAGTGGGGGTAGCTTGATGGAGGCCTTGCAGAACAGGGGGCAGGCTTTCCCCCTCTCAACTATACTGAGGGTATTCTATCAAACATGCAAGGCTGTACAGCATATGCATGCCCAAGTGCCTCCTATAGCACATAGAGATCTTAAATTAGAAAATTTTCTTATATCCAATGAAGGTAATACAATTTAATGTGATAATTTTTCATTAAACTTGTAATTGTTATATAATTCTTATTTAATACTTTCTTATAGGTACAATAAAGTTATGTGATTTTGGATCTGCGACAACTGAAGTGTATTCCCCAAATCCATCGTGGAGTGCAAATCAAAGAAATATGTTGGAAGAAAATGTAAGTGGCATATTATTTAGAAGATTTTAATATACACATAGTTTATATAATTTTATTGAGTATTACTTCAGAAACACTTACAATATGGTACTTTATATTTTTGCTAAGAAAGACTATACATATACATTTATTGTTTAAGAAAATTATACTTTGACTTTTTAATTGTATCTTTAGTTTGTATAGATATTCTTTATCTTTATGAACTTTTGGGAATTAATTTTTTTTTTCAGCTGGCCCAATTTACAACACCAATGTATAGGGCACCAGAAATGTTAGATACTTGGGACAACCACAAGATAGATCATGCCGTTGATATATGGGCATTAGGCTGTATTTTGTATACCTTGTGTTACATGCAACATCCATTTGAAGATTCAGCAAAGTTAGCCATACTTAATGGAAATTTCAACCTTAATCCAAATGATCAGCGCTACAAATGTTTCCATGAGATAATAAGTAAGTGACAATATTTTTTATTTTATTTCTATATAATTCTCATAGATTATGTAACTCATAGTTATGTAACTAAAGTTTTATGTTGATAAAGACAATGCTAATTGTATTGTCTTTTCCAGCTATCAAAAAATTAATAGACATTTTTTTAATTATATTTATAGTGTATGAATGATTCTAAGTTTCTATTCACATGTATAGTATGTATATATGTGTACAGACGGCTGCCTGTGTGTCAACCCAGCTCAGCGGTTGACCGTCAGCGGTGTGCTGGAGAGGCTCGCTGCCGTCGCTGAGTCCAACAACATCAACCTCAAGCAACCACTCAAATTTGAGCGTAAAAAAGTTGAACAATCCGTGGCCACTAGCTCGCCAGGTAATAAGAAGTCAAGTAAATATTACACTACCATATCCTAAAACCCGCCGCGTTACGTGATGTGTGTCTGTTTGATGATTTGCGATTCGTCCACACCTCGGTCCATTATGTTCTTTTGCGTTTTAATTCTCGAGCTAAAAATGGTCAAGTATTTTTTGACTTTTTACACTCAAATTTTTTTTCACATAGCCTGTTCTCAATTGACTTCCTTAGTTTATTTACGTCAAATGTGTCCGAACATTCGAATGTCGGTTAAGACCAAAACAACGCCAAAGGTAAGAAATGCTATAATGGATATATTGTTGGCAGGTGAAAAAGGTAGTATAGCATTTATTTGACTTTGATGTTTTTCTTACTATCTACATTAATGCAGATGCTGATAAGAATACCATATGTAAAATTGCTGAAGTTGCTACACACAAGAAAATTAAAATATTCAAATTTTATAATATAAAGGAGCTTACTAGTGTCAGATACATAATTACTACTTAATCATTGTAATTCTTATTATACTTTAATATTATAGAAGAAAATCTATAGTGGAAATTATTTATAAATTATTAGGAAAATACCAAAAAAGACATCACACATTAAAAATGGGTGTGCATTTAATATTTATAGGTTATTGAAGGTTAATTACATGCACTATTTTATTAAAAGTAATGCCATGTATACATTCCTTTAGGTTTAAGATAATGTAGAACAAAAACCCCATACGTAACATAACATTTACTTATATGTATATTTTATCTGAGTGGATATTCACATAATTAACAGTTAGAAACGAAACATGTTGGGAATTCAAATAACATTGGAATTAATTTTGTTTATGTGTTTAAATAATGTTTTAAAGGTCACACATGTTGCGATCACAAATACTAACTTGGATATAGGCACTAACATATTTTGGTGGCTTGGTGTATAGCAATGTTAAAATTTTTGTATATTTTTTTGTGTACTAGTCGAACAAAGGCATACATTAAGTAATTTATTCGCTGTAGAAAAATATGAAATCGTTGAATTCATAATAAAATTCTGACAATATGAGTAATACAAATGTTACAATAATATAATATTATATATGGGAAACATATATTTGTAATATTAAGTCATATTAAGCCATGATTACAATTTTTTTTATCTGTGGTTATGAAACAGATGTTTTTGTTTATCTTTCATCAAAATAAATGGATATATATTATTATGATTGGCTTGTTTTTATTTATGAAACAGTTGCATTGTAGGAGGAATACTTTCGAAGGATTCTCAAGAACACACTGGTAAATTAACTTTATTGTGTCACTAATAATTTAATGTAGTCATTAACACTTGTAATTAACAAACAGTAATCTAATATACATACTGATATTAACAATTTTTGGGAATGGCTTTTGCTCTATGAAAATAATGCTTTTGAAACTAATTTACTGCCAACTTTGTTATACATGCTAAAGTAATACAGTGTTACATAATAAAATTATATGAAATATCCTTTATTTGTTTAAAAAATTATATTGACTGTTAACTAATATATTGCAATTTTTGATATATATAACTATGAGAAATGTACTCTCCAATATTTCTAATTTTTTATTGGTTTTACATACTTGATATGCTTGCTTCACATTAATTTGAAAACCATCACTCTTATTTAAACAGGGGCCATTTCAAGTAAAGGTATACTGGAGTGTATAATAATACTTTATTATAGAAAACTAAAAAAAACTATCTCTATGGGTGTATTTCTACATTTGTGGTTACCAAAGGGTAAAGAGTACTAGGAGTCATTTGAATTAATTATATCAGAATTAACATATAATTTTATAATATAACGTTAAGTAAATACTAATTTGTTGATTCAGTCAAAGTTTATGAAAATACGAATTGATGACTACTCTAGTTGCTAGTGTATAGTTACTCTATAATCTATTTCTTCTACCACTGAAAGTTGTGCTCAGTTTGACTTGCTAAGGCTATTATAAATCTGTTAAAATCTTCTTATTTAATACTTATATATAATTTAGTAGTTAAGTCTAGTAGTATTTGAATGGAAGAAGGAGCCTAGCTAAAAATGGTGTTGGTGAATGTAGATCAGCTCAACAGATTTGTTACTACATTTGGTAATTCATACTTCGTTCTATGTTTTTTTATTTAAAATAAAAGTATATTTAATACGAGAGATAGTATATGGCTCTATGGCTAGGGCTCGTTATTTAGAATGCTGTTTATTTGTTATGATTTGCATGTAATATTTAGTCAGCTTGTTTCTGTTTTGTTAGAATGAGCTAATTCATTGCATGTACGTGTACACAGTCCAAAGTCTCCTGCCTTTAGATCGGTGGTACGATAAAATTCTTTTCGAATAAGAAAATGAACACTCCTGATTACAAAAGACGTAACACCTTTTCTTGTTTTTTCATGATTAAAAATAAGACATAATTTTACATATATTAATATTATTATCTGTTTCAACTAAAGGCACGTGACTCTAAACCACTTGATCTGTTCCCATACATATCACATTTTCTTTTCATTTTAGGTGTTTTCAACTTTTTCGGGTGCCCGATTGTTTTCTCGTTTAAATGACCCGCGGCGCATGAATACCCGGACACCACTCACTTGAAAGCTTGCTAGAACTAATGGATATGCTCTCAATGATGAGTATTGTTTTATATATATTAGTAACCACGTGATGGGTCTATTTAATTTGGTTCACTACCAACATTATTCCATTTATCTAGTTTTGTTATTTCATTATAAGTTTTCTTATGCTATTTCATTTACAGTGCATCTTTAAAATTCTTATTATTCTAATATGCTAAAGCTTTGTTTGTGTGAATTATTTTCTTAGTTTTTTACCATACGTCTACTTGTAGGAATTATTTTTAAAAACCTTATAAAGGTGAAGGTATCGCAATTAAGTCAACGAGAATTTTTAATTTTTCACAGAGTTTACTAGTACGTATTTATGTACTTATATATTTTACTATTCGTCTTTTTTTTCTTTCAACCTAAACATTGTATTCACAATGTGTAAGTTTTAGCCTTAATATTTATTTATTTTTTCGTTTGCTGTGATATGTTATATTATTTTTCATAGTAAAACTATTAAAGCTGAAATATAAGCATTTTAAATAAATGGTGTTTGAGGTAACCAAAAAGATGTATAATTATAATAAAGACAATAAATGTAAAACCGTTAGAATTAGGAAAGACAAGAATTACATTCTGAATTTTCATTCCAAAAAATATATTTTAATATAAGATTTTTTGTCTGTATTTCTGATAACTATGTTTTATAATTTTTATATCTTGAAAAAAATGTGCGTGGTCTTGGATACAGTTAATCATTGAAATCAGTCGAACTAATGTGTTTCTAGAATAAGACATCATAGCTATAAATATCAACGAACGTAAAAATCGATACCATAGGTTATCGAGCGATTATTTTTTATTCGATTTGCTTCACGTTTTTATTAAATGCTGGCCGGTTTAATTATGATCATTTATACAATATAATATAATGTTGCTATTATAAATAAATCTACAATTATAAAAAAAATCCACGTTGAGTGAGATATTAAAAAAGTAATTTAATGCTGTCAATAATGTCTAGAAATTATTTGGTTTCTTCTTGTAGAATATCCAATGACCATACCTTATTTTTCTTACTTTTATTAGCTCGTCCTTGTGGTTTGCATCATAGTAAACAACGATTAGGAAGCGATATAAGGCATTGTTATTCCTAGGAATTGATATCTTTATTAGTGAATAGTATTCATATATTTTTCTAAAATGATGCAAAAATGTAACATGAAAAGAATCCTCTGTTTTAAAGTTAGAGTATTATGAAAAAATGTTACCATATAAAAATAATTTGCTTTGCTTATATCGAGGGCGAATTAGATTAATATCATGGTACAAATGTCTTTCAATTATGATACTTTTATTTGACAAGGACTACCTTGTAATTTGTTACCAATCATAATTGTTATTAATTTTATTGTTGACACACAGTATGTGTTTAATTTAAAAATATTAAGTTATTTTTTATGTAATATTCAGTGTATTTATTATTTTTGATATAATAATAAAAGAGTTGTCAAATTATCTGCAAGATTTTTAAAAGTATTTATACTGATAATTGTTAATTTTAATGTGTAGTAAGATTCTACTTCGAAAGTATTCCTTATACATTACTTTTAATGGTCTATTTAATTTTTAAAACTTTGTAGTGTTACAATAAGATATAAAAACTTCATGGTAGCTGTCAAACATAAATTTAAAGAGAATCGTCCTACACGTTTCAATAAACATTCCTTTGTAAGTAAGCTCAATATTTTCGTGAGGCTAAAATTGTTTAACAGATATCACGAAGGCCAAATTATCAATACTAAATATAATATAACTCGGATGTAAACCGTAAAATAAGTCTCTTTGTTTGAATATGTATAATTTATACACGAGCAATATTTTTGTTACTACTAGAATTTAAGGATAAATATGTAAAATTATTTAAATGATATAATAAATAGAGATTAAATAAAATTGTTGTTTTTGTGATCTCTGTATCTAAGTTATTCATGTCATTTCTTTTAGTCATAACATAGAAATTGTAGACATTATATAAATCAATACCATAAACATGGCTTTGATATTTAAAATAGTAATGTAATTTTTATTTCAGCTAATAATGGTACGCCGAATGTACAAGAGCCAGCGGCCCCCCGGCCACCTGAGCCCGCACGTCCCCCGCCACCCGCGCGCCCCCCCGCCGCGCCCCACTACCACCCACCACAACAACAGACTCCCGCCTCGGGAGGACTCTTTTCCTCTATCAAAGATGGCGCCGGCAGTTTCTTGAAAAACCTAAAAGACACCTCGTCCAAAGTCATGCAGACGGTCCAACAGTAAGTATAAATTATATAGTTTATTTAAATTTAAATTAAAAGTTTTCAACATTATTTTTTAATTCAGGTCCATAGCTCGCGCCGATTTGGACATCAGCTACATAACGAGTCGAGTGGTTGTAATGTCTTACCCATCGGAACTACTGGAGAGCGCGTATAAAACGAATCACATAGAAGACGTTCGGGTATGTCAGTTTGAAAAGGTCCTATATTAAATTCTAAATTTGAATTGCATTGTATTCCAAATACAAGCTTATGTAATGACTGTCTTTAATGGAGGAATCTCTGAATTTTTATCAGATATACCTGGAGAGTCATCATCCGGGTGGTAAGTACTGCGTGTACAGTGTCCACGAGTCCCGGGCTCGTTTCCCTCGCCGGCAGCTAGTCACTGATACATCACTATGGCCAAGAGAAGAAGACCGCGCGCCGCTCCTCGCGCCCTACTACGCGCTGCTACAACACATGTACCAGTACTTAGGGAAGGACGATAAGTCGGCCTTGGTTATAGCCTGCCAGGTAATTATGACTCTATTAGTACAGAAATTAAGACTATTTGCTTGTATAGGGCTCCAAATAAAAGATAATTAAAATGACATTACTTATGAATTCCCAGTTTGAAAGAAAATTCAAATCAATAAGTAATCAGAAAGGAATTGTATAGCATGGTAATAATCTTAATATACTATTTCTTGCACTATAGGTCGACCAAAGACTAAGATGACCTATGATTTTTTTAACAAATATAGTTTTGTTTTTAAGAGTAAATAAGTTTATTAATATAATGTTTTTAATAATATATATAACAGGACGGCAAGTCCAGGTCGTGTATGCTTCTCTGCGGCCTCCTGATGTACGCCAAGCTCGTCACTGTACCTGAGGACGCTCTACAGATATTCGCAGTGAAGCGGACCCCGATCAACCTACCGCCCAGTCAGCTGAGATATCTCTACTACCTCAGTAACATTGTTAGGTAATATCTATATATATAAAAGAAAGTCGTGTTAGTGACTTCTCTTATTACTCAAAAACGGCTGAACCGATTTCGCTGAAAATTGGCGGGGAGATAGTTTAGAGCCAGGAAATTGCAATAGGATACTTTTTATCCCGTTCAACAGCATTCCCGTGGGACTTGACATGAAACGTCAGTCACTATAAAACGTGGAATAACGAAATACAATTGACAGCTATGCAATTGACGTATAATGACAGATATGTAATTTAGTATTTGCGGGATAAATTTAGAAAATCATTGTTTTTCACATGGGCAGTTACAGTTTGTGTGTGTTGGGAAACCATCCGCTTTATTTGTGTTAACGTTAGACCAAAAACAAAAAAATGTGGTTTACGAAGGAGCACTTCAATGAAACGGATAATTATACTTTGGATACTTTGGATTCACTTTCATTTACTTAGAGAAGTTCAACTAAATAACACTTCATTTTTGTAATCGAAATGAATTCATTACTGTTGTGAAATGAAATAAAAATTTTCCTTTTCAAATATAAACAAAAAAAAATTCTTCATCTTTTAATCACCGAACGAAATGTTATATACAAGCCTTCTGGTGGCGAAACGGAGTTCGCCAGGTTTACTAGTTTATAATATACTTCATTTGATAGTTTTATTCATCATTTCATTTCATACATTTTGTTTCAGACCTGAACCAATTCTTCCTCACTTCAGACCAGTATCATTGGTCTCTATAACAATTCAGCCTGTGCCACTTTTTACAAAAGCAAGGTATTTAAGAATTTATACAGGGTGACTGGTGAATTACTATTGATACTTGAGGACGTGATATTTGACGATATGACAAAATAAAAATTAATATAACACAAATATTAATAAACTTCTAAGTAAAGTTAACCAAAAGTTATGTAATTAATTACGCATCGTGTGAACACCGTACAGATTAGGTATACACACACACACACACATACGCGTGCGGCGGCGTGGTGTTGTATCAGCACGCCGCCGCACGCGTCCACACTTGGAACACTTAGAACGTGTCAACACTTTATTTATTTATACGGAAATTTTGTCAAAAATTAAGTACCTATTTTTTTTACATAATTCGAATGAGAATCATGTACCGAGTATTCCCCTTAAATATTGGTAGTAATTCACCAGTCACCCTGTATATATATTCTTTGGGTAAGTTTTTTATTAATGTTTACTTACTATTTTTTTTTTCCTGTATCAGGGACGGGTGCCGACCTTATTTAGAAGTTTACAATGAAGATAGATTAATTTCTCCGCCGATAAGAAATTATGAAAGTCTACATTTGTATATGATGGCAGAAGGAAAGGTATATATTTTTTGGTATTTAACTTAAAGTACGTAACAATTATATGAAGAATATTTTGATTTGATTAATTCTTTGTTGCGAAAGAATATGTGCCTTGTTTATAACAATAAATGTACATAACACACAATAGTACAATTTACATATTTATTAGTCAATATGTAATATGATCGGATACAAAACATATCTTGTTTAACTTGGTTAAAACCATTATTAATTCATACATACATAATTAATTAAAAAAAAAATATCAAAATTACTTCTTATTAGTAAAAACGGTGCTAGATGTTAAGTATATAGTAAGCTGTTATATTATAATGCATGTGTCACGCCAGGTGACGCTGCCCGTGGACAGCACGGTGTGTGGTGACGTCACGCTGGTGGTGCTCCACGCGCGTCACCAGCTCGGTCGTCTGCAGCGCGTACCCATGATGTCCGTCTCCTTCCACACCGGCTTCCTGGCCTACGACCAGCACGCCATCAAGTTTACGAGGTGCGTGTGTGTGTGTGTGTGTGACAGTTTATTTGCATGTGTGCGTGTTCTTGTACAATGTATGTGTTATAAGAGAATATCAATACACGATTTCATTAATTACAGCTGAATAAATGATCGCAAGGGAAATGTTACAACTATAATTGAACTCCACAGATCAGAAATTGACGGCATCGATGAAGCTAGTCCTGTGAACGATCACTTCTCCTCTAATCTCACTGTGGTGATAAGTCTGGTCGTACAGAACGGTGAGCGACGGAAACCGAGGAGTGACCTGTGGGAAGAAGATCACTCCTATCCCATACGAACACCTAATGTATTGTTTTCGAGTAATTTGGAGAGAGATGAGACTATTGATAACTTTGGTGAGTACGATATTATGTGTTAAATTTTTATTTGCTAATTTAAATTTAATTAACATGTATAAAAAATCTGAATGTAACCATTTCTTTACTGTAACGAAGTAATAAAATAAAAATCGTGTAGATAATAAAAACAGTACAAATTTAAGAGAATCCAATGACACATATGATGCTGGTTTGTTTATTTGTTTAATTTTTTTCTAGTAATTCATATAAAGCTATAACCAATATTAAATGTTTATGTATTTATGCAGCTAATATACGAAGAAACCCAACAGCTATACCTCCGACAAGTATGTCTGTAGTGTAGAGATATCATGTAGTGTTTAGATGTATGCACTTTACATTATAACACCAACATCTATCTAATCTATAATTAATGCATGTAAAAAAAAATGGAATTCACAGGACATATATAGTATTATCAGTTTGTAACAGTGTTTAGAACTCATTTTTACAATAATTATTATTTCTTATTATAAAACTTCGTATTGTATGTTACAGTATCAACGGACGTGCCTTCGTCTTCAAGGGAGCCTCCCCGTCCCCCGCGGCCCGCGCCCCCCCGCGCCGCGTCCCCCTCCCCCGCCGCCCCCAGCCGTCCCCCGCCGCCCTCTGTTACCGCGGACTTCCTCAACATAGAGGAGAAACAGGCCTCGGCGAAAGCGACCCCTCAAATGAAAAACGAAGACTCCTTCGACTTCTTCGGCATGATGGAAAAACCTAACGACGACTCATTCGGAGATTTTCTGAGCGGTCAAGTGTCAGATAACACACAAGTGAGTATTGTATTAATAGTTATGGAGATATAAATATTACATAATATACATTTTAACTACTCTAAAACTATAGAATTATATGGACTTTCTATAGAATTATATTTCTTTTTAATTAATATGTTTCAGTCTTTCCCGCCGCCGTCTCAGTCTATATTTTCGGACCTGCCCGCACCTAACATCACCAACTCTAATGTGAACTCGAGCGACCCTCTCAACTTCGATCCTTTCGGCCTCAACGAGCCCATACCAAAACAGGAACCGATACTCGCCCCGACTGTCAAGGAAGACGGTAATTGTATAAAAAATTTTAAGAAGTTAATTTGATAGATATAAGTAGCTCTAAAGTTTAAGTTCTTCATTTTGTGACTTGTATTGTTGAAATAGTGTATTAAAATTTGTTACTACTAACGCCATCTATGCAAAAGTATGTAAACTGTGTATCTGATATATTGTCAAAGTTAAATTTGAATAAATAGTCTGTTGCGAATACTTGACGTGTCTTAATATGTATTAACGAGCATATAAAAAACACTAAAGAATATACATATATGTTTTCAGCAAAGCCTCAGAATTTACCGTCGGAGCAGGTGAAGCGTGATCCGTTCGCGGATCTTGGCATGTTAGGCGCGGGTCTGGGCGGGTCTAGTACAGCTCCCACTCCTCAAGCAACGCCACTGGTGACCCCGTTAGTGACCCCAATGGTATCTCCGCGTGCCTCCCCCGCACACACTCCACACCACGCGCCGACCCCAGCCCGCTCGCCCGCACACCAACCGGATTACAGGTTACATCACATACTAGTCCGATAATAATAAAAATGGAAATAGGTTTTTTTGACTTTATTTTGGTTGATACTGTCATTGCGTGGCCACAAGGGAGACAGCTGAAACTCAGCAGAGGGATAAAAACCCTCATAGCCTGAGCTGTCTCCTTTTGACTGCACACAAGTGTTATATGAATTATTTTAATTTTCTTTATTTTTGTAAAATTGTTTTTATATCCTTTTTTGTATAATTTTGTTTTTTTTCTTTGTGTGTATGTCAATAAAAGTATATTCTTTCTTTCTTTATAATAGTAAAATTATGTTTCATCAGTATGATATTTTTAAATCCACAGCCGCACTCATTTTGACGCCGCTAAACCCGCCGGACAAACGGAAGAAAAGGTTAAAAAGTCTGGTGATGTGTTCGGTGATTTATTGGGGAGTCAGGGATATGACTTCGCGAAACGAGACCCGGGACCGAGGACCATCAACGCCATGAGGAAAGAGGAAATGGTCAAAGTCATGGACCCTGATAAACTGAAAATACACGAATGGGTTAGTTGACAGCTGCTGAATTCCTTAATGTTATTATTATTTAGATCTTCCCTCAAAATTACTGATACAGCGAAATGAAAACATTGTTTAAATCTGACCGAGCATTTAATATTAGGGTAAATGTTTATATGGTATATAATTTATTTCAGACGGAAGGCAAAAAGGCAAACATCCGCGCTCTATTGTGTTCATTACACAGCGTGGTGTGGGCCGAGTGTCGCTGGACGCGTGTCGACATGTCTCAGCTTGTGTCTCCGGCAGACGTTAAGAAACATTACCGCAAGGCCTGCCTCGCCGTACATCCTGATAAAGTGAGAACAATATATCTTCATACTTAACCTCATATTACTACATTAAGTACATAGTATATATATTTTGACCCAAGTGATTAATGCGTGTAGTACTCATAATGCCCGGACAAAGTGATAAATTGTTTGATTATAATCACATAGTCTTCTCTTATTGGGTATTATTCATATTGCCCGGGTATTATGAAAAATGACCGATTAATCACTTGGCCCATACCATATATATACAAGTATATAAAGTGAATGGTTTTGTTGTATTATTAGATTTTGTAATTTTATATATTTAATTTATGTTTCAGCAAATGGGTACATCGAATGAAAACTTAGCTAAAATGATATTCATGGAACTGAACAATGCGTGGAGCGATTTTGAAAATGATTCCAAACAACAGAACTTGTTCCAATCTTAAAATACTTAACGCGATAAAACCGATCCTCTTATATAGCTACTTAGCAAAAGAATTATAGGCCGCAATGCCTCGGGCTTCATAAATTCTTTAGCAGCGCGATTATTTATTTAAGTTAATAGACATATACCAATATATTGTGGTTAAAGCGGTAAACAGTGTCACTATAATAATCATGCTTTAAAAGCTTCAATAATTTGTAGCCAATAAATAAAAAGATCTTCCTTTAAATCAGGTGGTAGGAGTCAACCAATTAACATACAATACTTAAATAAGTATTTAAACCTCATTTTTATATATTATAATTACAATAAATACATAATGAAACCCAGTATACCTAGCAGTGCCATTAACATATGTTTGTTACATTCAGTGGTCCATGATCAGGCAAAAAATTAATTTTGTTTAAAAAATATAATTTTCCCAATGGTCTTAATGCGAACAATTTTTGTTAAAACTTATAATGTAAAAAAAAACTTGAAGCCCCCAGATTATAAATTTTTTATAGAACATAATCAAATTAATTGTATGATATGAAACTTAGGAATATATACACACAACCACTTATATATAAGTGATTTCCTTGAAATCTTTTTGAAATTTAGTATATTAACAATTGGAATTAAATAATTTGTTGTACTATTATAGTACTTTGGTGTAAATGCAATATAATATGTACTTATGAGTACGATCAATGTTTATTGATGTTAACACTTCTATACAATGTTAGATTGGCTTTGTTACAAATTCTACTAAAAGTTTATTGTACGTTCAAAAGTTTTTTGTTCACATTTTACTTACGATTCGTTTAGGGACAAAGTCTGTTATGGTACTTACATAATATTTTTAGCAATATATTATAAGTATTATTTAGGTCTAGGAAATCACTTAATACCATATAAAAATGGGAGTAGAATAAATTAAGAGTTCTCATTTCTTTAAAACGATCTTAAATAAATGTCTTGAAACATGTATTGTGTAATATATTTATAATGTAAGACGTGTGATGGAAATATTACTTTAAGATGCTTTCTCTTTAAGTTTTGTACATTCCTGTCATTCATATAACAAGTTATATATATTTTTATTTTGAATATATTTTCAAAGTATTTAACACATCAATATAATTTAGATTCTTTGAATCAGTTTTCGTAGGTATGATTTTGTGATTTGCTGCCTAGGGCCTAAAAGTATTATCCGATTGTTTAAAAAAATATGTATGTGTATATTTTGCTTAATTCTTTCAATGATGTTATCCCGGTTAATGAAATGGTTGAAGAATAATAAATAAAGCATATGTTTATGAGCCTTTTTGTTATTTATACTAATTCCACCTTTGTCTTACGTCCTATATTCAGAGGTAAAAAATGAGTTCGAGAAACTTTCTTAGTGAAATAGAATTTAAGTAATAAATGAAAAATATTTTCCGATGTTACAAATGGGCTAATAAAATACTTGAATTCCACTAGATAAAAATAATTTTTGTAAGACAGTTTTAGTATAAGGTAATGTAGGGCACATTAACACAGTATTTGTTTTAACATTGTTTATATGTCTATTGAATGTTATCTACATATATACAGGGTGACTGGTGAATTACTATCGATATTTGAGGACGTGATTTGTGACGATCATATATGACAAAATAAAAATTAATATAACATAAATATTAATAAACTTCTAAGTAAAGCTAACCAAAACTTATGTAATTAATTACGCATCGTATGAACACCCTACAGATTAGGTATACACACACACGCACACAGACGCGGCGGCGGCGTAGTGATGTATCGGCACGCCGCCGCACGCGTCCACACTTGGAACACTTGGAACGTGTACACACTTTATTTATTTATACGGAAATTTGGTCAAAAATTAAGTACCTATTTTTTTTACATAATTCGAATGAGAATCATGTACCGAGTATTCTCCTTAAATATTGATAGTAATTCACCAGTCACCCTGTATAAAAGAGATTTTCACCTATATATTGACTCATCACGATATCTCTGGAACCATAAGGCGTAGCGACTTGAAATTTGGTAGGATTATTCCTTTCGCCGAGTAGAGGTCAGCTAAGAACAGATTTTTTGAAATTCCACCCACAAGGGGGTTGCGGGGGCGTTAACAATGGAAAATACGCTTCACGCCTAAACCACTGAACTGATTTTAATGAAATTTGGTACAGACATAGAGTTGACCTTGAGACAGAACATTGGATAGTTCTTTTGAAAGGTTCTCTTGGAAACACGATATAACCAAACTCCACACGGGCGAAGCTGCGGCGGAAAGCTAGTTTTTAATAAAATGTATCTGACGTGATAAGCAAATATATATCAATAAAGGAAATTTAAGGAAAACGAAAAAGATAAAAATAAAGTATTTTCACACAAAGAACAAGTTATACGAGGTCATACTAGATCTTTATACGTCAGGAATACTCGTACCTACGAAGGCTTTTCCTACACTCTGGAACTCGAACTCGAATACCGGGTTTTTCTTGGGATGACTATTTTATAAATAAGAAATATATTCGTGAAACATATTCTATATTTCCTTAAAGGTTAGCTTCCTTCCATCTTAACATCTAAACAACCATATCTTTCTAGTAGTTCCTGTTTCTTCCGTTTCAACAGCGCTTCTTCTACATCTTTCTGTGAGGGGACTGCTACGTGTGACGTCACCGAGGGCTTTCCGTCTTCGTCTTCATCTATTATTCTCTTATCTTCAGGCTTTAAATGAAGAAATTATTGAAATTAATAAAGTACAAAGCCTAAAATCTTAGTCAAACACGAGAAATTATATTTTTATTACTTACATCTTCTGGATAAATATTTTCTTCCTCTGGAATGTCTTGATCTTTTGTCTCGTCTTTATTTCTCTTCCATTCATCAACTGCCCTGGCAATAGCTGAGGTAGCAAAATAAAAAAAAACAAAAATAGTGTAATGAGAAACATATTACAAGTGGCATAGCATAGAAATAAATTCTACTAGAAATAGCACGATAAAAGACTAAATATTCAATTAATTTGTTATGACACATTCTAAATTGAAGCTAAGCTTTTTTTTTGAAGCCGCAGGGAAACTCTTTTTACGAGCCGTCCAATCGGCCTTGGTGGGGCCGGAAGGGATGTGTGAGATTCGACCTGGGCAGCTAAGCTAACCCATTCATAATTATGGCTCCTGGTGATTAATAATAATGATCATCACCACCCCAGTGATCAGTACCCTCAACTTTTCACCCCCCCCCCCTAAATAATCTCACCATCTATCTCAGCCTCTCTCTCCAGCGGCAGCAGCAGTCCGTCCTCGTCGTCTCTGTATCCGTAGTAATCAGCGTCCACGTCCCTCATGAGGTCGGCTCGCGTCCGTCGCGGCGCCGCCGGCGGCTCCTGCTCGAACAACTCGCGGACACCTACATCAGATAACTATCAGGTAGATCTACACTAGAGATGTGATCTCTGAAGAATATAACACTATATATTGTAGATAATCCCTACTAATATTATAAATGCGAAAGTAGCTCTGTCTGTCTGTTGCGCTTTCACGCCTAAACCACTGAACTGATTTTAATGAAATTTGGTACAGAGATAGAGTTGACCTTCAGAAAGAACATAGGATAGTTTTTATCCCAGACTTTTGAAAGGTTCTCTTGGAAACGCGATATAACCGAACTCCACGTGGATGAAGCTGCGGGCGGAAATCTAGTAAATAATAAAACGAAGAAAAGTCAAAATGGAACAGGCCAATTCCTTGGTGGAAATATATGTTTCTTTGTCCAAGCTTACCTGGCAAATCTTTTGCTGCTCCAAAATATTTGTATCCTCTATTACCCGGGACCTCTTTACCGTCTTGATCCAACATCCTTGGGCCAACTCGAGCATGATCAGGTCCTCCGAGAGATTTTATTTGTACTTCCCAATGTCGTTTCTCTCTCATAAGTTTGTTGATTTCGTCGTTCAGGTCGCGAATTCGAAATTCTCCAAGACCAGCTAAAACATATAGACTACATATTAATATCATTTACATATAATAAGAAAATATTGCATAATAACGAAACATATAATTAAAACAAAAGTATGTTTTATTGAAATTTATTGTAATCGTATGTCTTTTATTTTGTTCTTATTTTGTCTTCTTTGATTTGTTTTTTTTTTGGGTCTTCCCCTTTTTCTTGGCCAGGTTTGTTTTACTTTTCTTTCCTTTCTTTGTAGGTTCTTTGATTTCTTTCCTTAGTGGCTTATGATTCATATCGTTACAGCTGCATTGTTGAGAAATATCATTATTATTAACGGCTTTTTCTACTGGTGCTTTAGGAGTAACGAGCTCTATTTCCAGATCAGTTTTTTTGTCTTTGGTTTCAAGTTTCTTTCCTATTTTAAGTATAAAGACGTCTTTTCTTGGATGAACCTGTTTTTCCATATTTACTGGTATATTACAATTTGGCGGAGTAACGTTAATAATTTTTCTATTCCTATTATCTAAATTTCTATCATAACTTTTATATGCGTATTTTACATGGGATGTGTTTGTTTCGTGAGCGTATTCGTTGGAGTATACATTATCTTTGGGTAACTCAAGTTGAATTTGGTCTCCAGTATTATACGGTGTGGTTTCACATGAACACAATTCTTGTATTCTGTCGTACCTCGCTGTCCTGTCCAACTTAGTTGTTTTCGGAACTCTAATTCGTAACTCGTTCTCATTCATTTTTGTGAAAATTTCATTGTAATTTGGGCCATAGTCTGAAAGTTAATTGAGTTATTTATATAAACTTTGAAGGTACCTCATTTTCTATGAACATAAAAACGTACCTTGGCGGTATGGATTCGTATAATTTTGTGTATCCAAAAATTGTTTCGCTGATGCACGGCCGGCTGATAACTGCGAAACGGGACTTCCAGTTCTTCGCGAAGACATTGTATGTGTACTTCTAAGGATTTCTTTTCTTGTCAAAGTGTCCTCATCTAAGAGAATTTTTCCCTGGCCATCCATTTCTACGTCGTGACAAGTATACATGCTCATGCCATTGTCTTCCTTATTTAGAACTGAAGTACATTTGGGTTTCGTTGATGCACTGAAAGCTGTTGTAATCTCTTTCCCAAGGAAGGACATTCGAACTGTTACTTCCATTACCCCTATCGAATCGCAGTTGTCACTGTCGCCGTTACGCAAGTAACACATATTTTTATTTAGCGGAGTTGATGTGGTACACATTATGTTATCTTTAGGTTGCTCTTCTGTCCATTTCTTACACAATTCATCACGTAGATTCAAAAATTCTTTTGTACAGTCGATTTTTGCTTCAGCTACTTTCATTACACAACTAGAACATGGTGGTTGTTTCGTCAAATTTAAGTGTATTACAAATTCTTGAATACTGCATATTTTATCATAAGTCATTGCAAATAATGCAGATTTGCCTACATTTAAATGATTAAAATCATCAATTTTTCCATATGAGGAGTCATACAGAACTATGGGCTGCTTGCCCAAGAAACTTGCAGCAATAACGAGATTATTGTAACTAAACTCGAAACAGTCACATTTCATATGAATCTTGTTCACGATGAGTTCTATTAAAAACAAATGATAAGGAAAGTTAACATTTTCGTCTTTTGATATGCTTAATTCTTTTTTAGTGCGAACAATGTCTTCGGATAAAGTCCTAATTGAATTTCTTAAGGCATTAGCTTCATTAGTCAGATGTCTACTCATATCCGCAATTTTATTTATGTTTGTATAAAGCACAGGACTATGTTTGCCATCTTGTTTTAAGTCTGTTTCACCTCCTTCTGAATGATCTTCAAAATCAGATTTTTCTGTATTTAAATTACTGACATCAGATTTTTGAATACTTCCTTCACTGTTGTTACTGTTTTTATCTGTAACTTGGCTTCTTGGACTTCTAATAGATGTATTGATTGAACCTTTTATTGAAGAACTTCGTCCATTTATTTGTTCAGTTGCAGAGGATCGTCTTTTGGTTGGTTCAATTACTTTATTATTTTTTGATAATGTATCAGAACCTTGTCTACTTCTTTTTTCTATATCTTGGGACAATTCTTTCATGATACTCCTCTGACTTTTAATGGATGCATCAAGTGATTCTTTTTTTGGTGATGAAGTAAATGTGAGAGGCGGTGATTGTGGAACAGGACTTATAACCGGTGATGGAATCTTAGGGGATTCCTGTATCATAAGAGGTTTTTCTATAAAAGTATCACTAGGCTCAGCAACATTAATATCTTCAGATTTTGCAGCTGAAACCCTCGGAGATCCACGAAGAGGTGATTGTGGAACATTCGTCTGTTCCTCATCCATTTTTAAATTTGATCTTGTATTGATAATTATTGATGAAAATTTTGACTACATAATTTTGGTCCACAATTAAAACCACATTGTATCATAACCACATAGATTACAATTTTGATTTTAAATAACAAATTAACTTTTTTAATAGTCAGCCTGCAATTTACAATGTGTGAATATATGACTTACCATTTTGTATCTGTGCCACCTTTTTGGCAATTTCTCTTACTATTTGCAGTCTCCATTTTTCTGCTTGTTGTAGACTGTTACATTCGGATGCTAGATATGGCCTTCGCTCCCGTTGCCCCCCGGCTTCCTGAACTTGGGCAGCACGCCACCTGGCTAATGTTGTCCTACAAAATTTAAAATCAATGAGCAATACAATCCACATACAATTAGGCATTTGAGTATATCAAATAACTAAATATAAATTTAATATCATCCACATTTAATTAACTTAAACTAAATCCAGACATTAAAAATACCCATTTAAAATTAAAAGAAGGATAATATTTGGAAGTGCTTGATTCTTTCATACACATTCATAACATTAAAAAGTATGCTTTTCTACTGCTTGAATTGATTAATTATTAATTGAATTAGGATTTTTTTATATTATGATTATTGAGTAATAAAAAATATAACATATTTAAGAACTTGTAATAGATTACTTCTCAGCTAACTAATTGTAATGAAACAACTTAGCCCTAAGTGTTATAGATTTATTTGGAAACTACTTACATAGCTTTTTCTGCGTTTCTGGCCTGAAAAATAACAGATCAATATTTTTTTAAGGATTTAGTATAAACAATACTTCATTTTACTTAAACATAATGCTAAGAATAATTTGATAATTGTTATTAAAATATACGTACCATGGTTTTAAGATTATATGTTTACTTTAATTTTGGTTGAGTAACAAAATATAATACACACTTATACAAACTTAATGTTTTGTTATGAATTTGATCTTTGTTAAGTTTTGACACATTTTGAACTATTATAATGTAAAATTGAGGTTATGTGAAGCGTCAACAGTCACAAACGTCAACGTCAGTTTTAGAAGTCTGAAATATCTCCCACCACGTATGACAATATATGTATATGTATATCCATGTAATACACAAATTATGTGTTCTTATGCTGAACGTTATATTATATTATATGAAGATCTTATAATAAATATTGGCGAAATCTATATAAATAATAACTTTTAAAAATCTTTATATAAAATCACTCTTTGGTCAAACCATAAACAAAACCATTGGCGTCTAAAATGAAATGTTTGACTTTGTGACATAAGATTCAAGAATCATCAAACACAAATATAAACAAACCATCGAGAAACAAATGTTAATTATATTAAAATATAGTATAACGGTTTGAATAATAGTATATATATCTTATATACTGAAGTATTTTGCTAACAATGTCGTTAGCTCTCGATTTGGACGTTTCCTTTTGGATAAATTGCCCTGCTGATATACTCATGTTAATTTTTAAGAGTCTTGATATTAATTCTCTTATTAATTGTATGCATGTTAACAAAACATGGTCAGATACAGCTCATTACTATTGTCAAGTAAGTTCACAAACAGTATAAATAATATTTTTTTGATTTATAAAATTTTAGTTACTAAAATTTATTGTCTTAAAAAATTGTTTAGTCATATATTCCTGTGTTTGATTTATAGCATTACAATCTGTGGGCCAAACTATTAGAGGATATTTCTCATAAAAATGATTTGACTTATGGACTAAAATCTCAATTGAAAGAACAACATTTATTTCTTACTGCTCTGAATTGGTTGAATATTCAGAATTCTCATATTTTACCTTGCCATAAATATAGCATTGAAAAAATAAGGAGCATGTATATGCGTAAAGGTAATAAGCAGTATTTATTTTATTTGTAAATATAAAAAAATCCAAATCTTCTAAAAACAAATTTCTTGCAGAAACGCTTTATGTGACATCTGATTTGTTTGTAAATGTTATTGATATTAAAGAAAAGAAGACAATCAAACAACTTGAAAAAAATATGTGTAAGTTTTAAGTGTGAAATGTACATTATAAGTTTAATATTTTGACAATTTTAGTTATTATCTTAAGAGATTCACAGTTTATTTAATGTTTAATATACTACTTATTTTCATATTTAGTTGCTTTTTACTTACAGGCCTTGAATATATAGACAACGGATCTATAATTGTTGAATACATTTTACGAACCTCTAGTGTATCTGGTTACAATTCAGTGTCTCTTGTAAATAAATTACACAAGAATGTTTGTAAATGCAAGGTGACGAAATTAACTCTTACTGATATAGTTACATTCAAGTAAGTTTTGGTATTAAGTCAATATCACTAAATGGATTTAATATAAATCATAAAAGAAATCCTTTTGAGTGATTATTTCATACATGAAATATTGTATAAAGATTATGAATATTTTGAAGAAAAGAATCCAAATGCTTTAATTATTTTTTTAGGGTAACTATGAATGCCTGTTACTTGATTGATGTAAAAGATGTTCTGTGGGCTTACATACCAACGGAATGTCGTTTGAGTAGCGGACTTTGTGCTAGATATTATGGTAACACAGAATCAATCATACTTATACATGAATATATTGATGATGTGTATGTGTTAGTTAAAACTGGGCATGTACTAAAATTGGATGAGGAGTGTAGGAGATTTGAGAAATTCTTAAATTTGGATATACCTCACCATTTATTGGACAAACAATGTTTTATGTTTCACCAATATAGTTTGCTTGTGGCAGGTGAGTTTGGTATATAAAAAGTTTTTTTTTTATTTGTTATATGTTAAGATTATATAAGTTATATTTTTAATTTGTAGTGCCAAGTGATGAAAGCTGTGAGTCATATCCCTCCAAAGAACATAATCAGACCGTAATTACCTGTCCTGGTTTGACATGTGTATTAGAACATGGTCCAGTTTTGATTACAGGATATGAAAATGGAATGGTAAGTGCCTTATAATCATAGATTTTTAATTGTTATTGTTTTGCAGAATATTCTCTTCTTTAGTTATCAATTGTTATTAAAAAATAATCAATATAAACACTTGCCATTTTAGGTAAAAATATTTGTCATCAACAAATTACTTAAGAATGATATTATACCAGCGCTGCAGTTTAGTTTGGATACTTACATGAGTTTACAATCATACAAGATAATTAAAATAGAGGTCTACGAAGATGATGATGGACATCATATGTTTATAGCAACTGAAGACAATATATGTGAATTGTTAATATCCAACTAATTACATTTTTATTGAGAATTAAGACTGAAATTTTGAAACATTAACTGTAGTTATAATAATTGTGACTGATTTTATATAATGTATTATTACATATAGTAATAAGAAGGGTTTTTTTGATGATTTTTGACTTTTTTGATATTTGTGAACTTTCAAATAAAATATATTAAAATAACGAATCTTTTTTGTTGATCCAGAGGGTGTCCTAATAAGTATTTTTCAGATATTTGGTTTTTATCATACGCGTACGCGACCCCGGATCCTCGAGAATCCTTTTTCATACAACATGAATGTGGTGTCCTGTACGTCCCCCCTTTGCCTTCCTAACCTATTTCCCCATTTTTCTATCTTTTCCTTTCCCAGTTCTACCCCTAAAACGGGGTTTTGATTGATAAACAACATTATTATTATATATCCGAGGTAGTCTTGGAGTCCGTGACGTAGCGAATTAGCTTCAAGTGTGTCGCCTGAGATGGTATGGCCACATAATCAGATCTAAGATTTTACGGAGTATTCGTTTAAATGAAACAAATATTTTTCGGATGTACTACGCGATTTTATCTTTTATCAAAAACTACATAACGACGAGACGAGATGTGTGCACATTATATATTATCGTTGCATGCCAGCCTGAGAATTACGTCGGAAAAATTCGGCTTGATATGTCTGTCCCTGGAGTAAGACCTCTTGGATGCCCAAGGAAGTATTGGCTGGACACCGTGAAGCAGGATATGAGAGCCATTGGACTTACCACTGAGGATGCCAAAGACCGTGCAAAGAGGAGGAGTTGGAGCAAGCAGGCAGACCCTGGCTAAAGCTGGGAAAATTGCCAGGAAGAAGAAGAAGAACGAATCTTTTTTGTACTATATATTTTATTTCTACAAAATGATACACTTGGTATAACAAGTTAGATGATCATCTAAGTACGTAACAGGAAAACATAATAAGAAAAAAAAAATAACAAACACTAAAGATCTGTGTACCAGACACAAAGTACATCATAGCTTTTATTGATATGTATATTTAAATAAGAGGACAATGGACTATATCCATACATCCTTAATGATATTTTGTGTTAAAAGTCTACATAAACCAGACGAGATATCATACTTATATTCTTATAATAAAACTATTTTATTATATACATTGCAAATTGCAATCTAAAACTCCAACATCTTATTTCAAAAAACTCCATTTTGCTTAAGTCCGACAGAAACTGTTTCAATCAAATGTTTTTTTAACGATCCGTAGCATTTGGGTTAGTGTATGAGAACCCTCTGAACGGCTCCTGGTCCATTGATCGCAACACTTGAGGTTCGACCGTCGTCAGTCTCGGTCGTTCACCCGTGAACGCGCGGTCGAAATATTGGGTGTCCATCGGGTGCCTCTGAAATAATTTCATAATACATTAATATTATTTGACAAAGATTTTAAAATTACAAATAAAAATATTAGTATAATATTTCAACTACAATATGGCCCCTATTGACCGTTGAGATATGGACGCTTTGTTTAACTTTTCAATGACAGTTCCAAATAAGAACTTCTTAGACAGACCAGATTTAAAAATATAAATTTAAGTAGACATAATATAATAAATAAATTACCACTCTAGGTTTGAAGGGCGCCTCTAACTCCCTGTGTTCGAGTCGCTCCCAGTTGATCGGTCTGAAGAAATCCTGATCGCGGACGTCTCCGAACATGCACTCCGTCCCGCCAAGACGAGTCTTAGCGTCTTTGTCCAGTAACTAGAATTCAAAGTTTTACTGACTATAAAGATAAAGTTTCACTGAATATGCGTGTAAACCTAATGAAATCGGGAAAATAATTCTCTTTGTTGCAATCTTAAAAATTACAAGCCTATCTAATACAGTTGAAAAGTAAAATAATGTTAAAAGTTCATATGTATATAGGTACCATCAATATAGATATAGTGTTCGAGGCCTAAGCTGACCTTTGTATTTGCGTGAGTGCACTCGGATCGGTAAGGTGTAATGTAAAATTTTAGAATGATACTTTCTTTTCTAAGTTTGAACCGGTTTATACTGTTTTTACTCCACCCTGCAACTTCCATTTTTTTTTTTCCATAATATTTACATCTGGCCTTAAATATTTTTTCTAATTTTATGTTTAATCTGGTATAGTTGTGGCAATTATGTTATGTATCTATTTGAAATATAATAAAATTTAATTCTAAAAGGTTTTTGTCTAACTTTACTTTTATTTTCACACAAATGCAAAGCTCAGCTTAAGTCTAACGGACTATAACACGTAGCGTACTTAATTCCTACTTTTTCTTATTCATAACGTTTAACTTGCTTAAACTTGCTTGGGTTGGTGATTTCAAACTAATAATTGTGAAATAATAATTCCAGGTTTCCTCACGATGTTTTCCTTCATCGTTTGTCAGTAGAGTCTTAATACTCTTAGAAAGTAGGTACATATGGCTCGGAAAAATCATATTCGTATTTGCCAGGATCGAATCCTCGTCCCCGTGTACAAAAGGCGGGCCCTTTAACCACTAGGCCACCACTGACTTCCATTCCATGTCAAACCATCTTATTGTATTATTTTAGCAGTATATACCTACATGTTTCATGAACATGATAATTTTGTTTAATGATTTCTAAAACATTCGCGACTACTCATTGTAGTAAATAACACTATTGCTGGTTTTTATATTTCATTATTTTATTATTCAAGTTTTATCCCAAAAAATCCGATAACTTCGCAGAAAGAAATATTCATTTCATCAGATCGTGATTGAATTTGATGCTGCTTTATAGCTTTATAAGAGTTTTAATAAATAAATAGTTTTATATTCCAAAGTGGGTAATAATAGAAAAAAATTAAGACAGACTTGTTTTCTTATTTAATTACTTACCCTAGTTAATATACTAAGTGCCTCCTTTGACAGGAAGCGCGGGTATGAAGGCATTTCATTACAGATGGACCAGAATAGTTCATCCTCATCGCAGCCACTGAAAGGACTCTGACCTATCAGCATCTCATACAACAAGACACCGAACGACCACCAGTCCACAGTCTGATTGTACTTCAGACCTTTTATTATCTGCAAAGAAGACAACGGTTCTATTTATATTGGTTTATTTATACAAACATACTGTTGAAGAAAATAATCAAGATTTTTATTGAGTTTTAATTGAGTCTGTAGTACACGTTTCTTATGTAGAAGTAAACATAAAGAACATCTTATATTTTCAAATGAAAAATACTGCTTACCTCAGGTGCCATATAATCTGGAGTACCGCAGAACGTGTCCGCCGTCTTATCTAGGTATATTTGTAGCTTACACATTCCAAAGTCAGCTATTCTTACGTGACCATCGAAATCTAATAAAATATTGTCTAATTTTAAGTCCCTGAAAATAAACAAGTTTTAATACTGTATCGTGAACAGCAAATGAACAACTTCTTAGTTTTCTCCGCAATTTTGATACTTTGAAGATTATATATAAATTTATGATTCCTTTTAAAATAATAACATTCGTTTATTATATATAAGAAGAGTTGTATTATTAAATTTTCTTTGAAATAAATACCTGTATACGATTCCTCTTTTATGCAGGAATTTAAGGCCTGACACAATTTCAGCGGCGTAAAGTCGTGCTCTCGCTTCCGGGAAGCGACCGCTCTGTTGTATGTGGAACATCAGGTCACCGCCGTTTAAATACTCCATTACGAAGAACAAATGCGACTGCAACAGTCCAATATGGCTTAAATGTCTCGACGAAAACATGTTTTATTATTATATCCTAAATGAAAAATTTAATAACTCACATCTGTTTGAAATGTAGCAAACAAGTGACAAAGATATGGATGATTCGTTCCCAGCGCTAACACCTTCCTTTCAATTAGAGTGCACTCAACATCATCGTCTTCTAGAACGACGTCCTTTTTCAAACATTTAACAGCATAGTAGTATTCTGTATCTCTGAGTTCTGCCAACATAACCTGAAAAAGTAATAAAGATTACTCACCAATATCTCGACTAGATTTTACCTAAATATCTGCATCAACTTCAAATGCAATAAATCAAGAAGTGTGTCTGTTTTATTAAATTATTGCCATTCGGTCTACGTTATAATTTTCGTTTAAATCAGAATTAATGCCATACAATATTTATTTCAATACATTTTGGCCCATCTTCAAGTCTGAGACGCGCGGTGTAAAGTTTAAATAGCGGAAAAGTGTTTAGTTGATAAATGTAATAATATTTCCTAATTGGTTAGATGTTTTAGCATGAGACGACGTTTAATTTTACCATGTCATTTCAAATTCGAACATTTATTTTGTAAAGACAAACAATAAAACATAATAATATAATGTAATCTATTTTAGTGTCAGTAGACTAATCAAATGCAACAAATGTTTGAACACGACTATTATTATTAGTATCATTTGTACATGAGGATGATGACACGTGCTTTGAAACGTTTCAAAGGTGCAGTGATGTCAAAACTGAGAATAGCCTGGCCGAAGCAAGTTGAGGGATAGGTAAAGAAATGCAGGTGGCATTCTGCCATTATGGTCTGCCAACCCACATACAGACTGTTTGGGTATAAGTACATGAACTCGTCTACAAGACACGTAGTGTTGTTGTGACTTATAGAGATAAAGATACTCGTACTTTTATTATGAAGTCTTAATATAAATGTTCACTTCTTTGTAGTTTTCCTGTAATTTCCGATTGAAATTATATTTCCTTTTATTTACTATATTTCAGTACTTTATGGACTGTGAATAGATATTGTTTTTGTACTTTTTAATAACTATTCTTTTTGGAACTTAGTTATGTAATTATAAATGTTGCTGAAGTAACAATATATTTCAGTAGTGTAGTATCACGTGTGTTCCTAATCTTAAACTGTAGATAGTTTGTCCGGAGGTTCATCGGCCTCTGTTTGGATACAAATATAATTTGACATTTCCACACACGAGGCTCGCGTCATTTAATGATATATATTTATCATTCAGTGGCTCGAAGATCCCAACGTCTGTATTTTATTTACACTGTGTATCGAAATTATAATATATTGAATGTTGTGAATATTATCCTCTTCAATTAATTTATTACAAATGTTCAGTATATATATAAAGTACAATAATAATATTTCATAGATTAACAAGGAAGAGGATTTACAAAACATAATTTAAATTTTCACGCCTACGAGACATGTCGTCGATGCCATTTATAAAATAGTTTACATAACACAGTCGTCGTTTTAACAATATTATATGTACATGTTTCCGTAAAAAAAATTAGCGGGGATTAAATATATTTATTTTATAGCTCGTTTTATTTTCATTTGTTACGCTGAGATAAAATCGGCAATAATAATACATTTGAAGATTTATCATTATACATATAACAACGAAAATATACTAATTCTATTGATAATATTTGTAGTACTTTAATGAAATAAAAAAATATATTTTTAACTTTCAAAAGAAAAATATGAAACTGAGACAATATTTACGACCAGAACATAAAAAGTTAAAAAGCTTTCAGACATATCTTTCATTTATTTTTTTATTATTAGTCTTATCCTAAAATATATCTATATATTTTATCAATCTACTTTTTTGTATGAAGCACAAAGAAATCGTAGAATTATATTTAAATACTATTTTAATCAGTCAAAATATGACTTTAAATTAAATTTATTTAATTTAAATATGTATTATATATTTTTAAGCGCGTAATTGCACGTGACGAATATTTATAATTAATAGCTTCGTCTTTCAGCGACTTCATAAATGTAATTGTCCCAAGTCTGCTAACGGTTTCTTAACAAATGACTACAAATACAAATACTTTTTCTTGGCAATTTTTTATGTTCCAGTTTTTTTACTATTATATTTAGAAAGAACCACATCGTTTCCTCTCTCTATGTATATTTTTTTCGTAAAACTAGACGTGATTATTGCATATAATAAAAAGTGATTAGAAATGCTTAACGTCATAACATGTATCACTTTGTAAAAGGCCGGTATGGACAAGTAAAATTACTTATAAAAAGTATTAACCATCTTACTTCTAATAGAATAATCCTTCAATTAATTAAATGTCTAATAAAATTTATCTAAAACATAAAATTCTTTGTGTAGAGAGTACGATCATATCCAAAATTAGTTTTCACTGATGACATTCTGGCAGTCTACTCTATTGACAATTAGGTCAACAACAGACAGAAAACGCTACCTGTTGAGATATTGCTACACCTAAATTTTATTTACGGGAGTTTTTTGGGAATTCATTTGTTTTTCTTTTATTTCTATTGTGCCGTAGACATACTTATAGATCACATAAATGTTTTAATATACGTCGAGCTTCATTTGTTAAAGCTATCACATGTTTGTTATATAGGTATTTTATACGCCGTACAATACGTCACCAATGCGAGGCCTGTGATAAATTGCCGGTCTCTCGTACAGAACAATTTATTTTTAGCATTGTTTTAAATTAGAAAAGTCATGCTTACTTTTAGCTTGGGATAAATTAGGCTGACATATTATGTATATAGTACCGGTTAGCATAGAGTTGTTGCTTATAAATAAGAGTATTTAAAGTAATAATTATGTTGTCATAGTTTAAGTCACTTACCTTGCCAAAACTACCCTTGCCTAATACTCTAATAAACTGGAAGTCATCGATCGTGTACTTTCGGAAGCGTGGGATGGAACGGGCCGGCGGAATAAATCGCCCTGTTTTTCTAAACAGATCGTATGCTGTCGAATGTTCTGTAAAGAAAATAGTTTAATTAGAAACAAATAAAAATAAACGGTTCACGTGTCACATAATTGAACTTTTATAATAAAGATACATTTTATAGTAAAAATACATGTGTATAGAAATTAAGTCAAATGTAAATAAAAATGTGAAAGAAGAAAAGGATTTGGGTTAAATAAACCAAATCAAGTGTAAAATATTATTAGCGGCTTTTTTTTGCTTAACTGTGTAAAGTATGCCCAACTCTTGATGCGGGTAGTTTGTAAAAATCGTTTTTTCATACAGTAACAATTTTAAACTTCCTTTATTTAAACTTCCTTTATTTAAACATATTGAAGTTCCTTTTTTCAAATAGCTTTATACAGCTTATTATAATTTGTGACTTCATCCGTCAGTCTTTAAATATCTCTGTAACTACTTACTTATTCAATTTAAATTAAATACTTAACATTAATAATCTATCACGCTAACACTGTTATTACAATTGAAGAAAATAAATTAGTCGTTCTAGAAAAATCATGTGCTCTCTAAAAATACGAAGTCAGTGAGAGCAGTATCAAGGTCGAAACGATAAATATTAATGGTAATGTGGATTGGGCATTTATTATAAATCATAATAATTTTAATATCCGAAGCTAAGGAAGGAATATGTTAGTAGTAAATTAAGAAAGTCGTATAGGTACCGTTACGATTATTTGCGTATTTATTAAGGATATTTTGTTATAAGAATATTTAGTTGTTTACAAGTGATTGATACAGATAAATTATAATCACAGTTAGTACATTTGGCAATCTGCTCCTTTGATGTCTTTACTAAATAATTATAGTAATAACTCAAATGTTATTTATTGCAACTTATAATAATATTTATAAGAATGTGTTTAGCATCTGTTTTTTCTTTAATATTAATGATATTTTTTAAATATTATTTAAGTGTTACCATGTTCTATAACACTTTTAACCTGAAAAATTTATTTTATTGATACAGTTCAAAGAATCTCATAAAAACAGATTGATTTATCTTTACATAGTGTTATTTACATTTGGTTTTTAAGGAAAACGCTACGCAGTTGCTTCGGTTCTATTATTGTATATTATAGAGAAGTGAATGATGACTGGCTTCTGATCATTGTGATTATCAAATTTTGTTCTGACTTTGTATACAGATTGAATATTAATACAATGTATTAATTCTAACTCTATTAAGTGTTCTTTATTTTAATGAACTACTAGTGTTGTATTACTGACATTCATTAATTAAGAATTGATTTAGTATTTTTAAAAATACTTAAGAAGTTATTATAAATATAAGAATTTTTAAAAAACGACATTTTGCTGTCAAGTGTCAAAAGTAATATGAAGTTGATATTTTATCAATTAATGGAACACGGAAATAATGCTCTCACATTAACTCCAGCGAATCGAGATCAAGTCATGACACGGGTCGAATACGTATTTGAAATTGACATTTTTAGAAGATTTCAAAAAATATATATATTTTTGCCAAATGTATTAGAAAGAAAACACTTATTGACCACCACCTATGAGATTTTTCTCGAAATAGAATTTATTGAGTAGCTTGTTTGCGCGAACAAAAATAAACTGGAAGTTTCAAAGAAAGTAAATCGATTCTTACCTGTTCTTGTATAGTGTTAGTGTTGGAAACTTATTATTTTAGTATAAAGAAAATTCACACTGATGTTAGTCGCTATAACAGAATATTCAAGCAGCGGTTGAAGCACAACATATTACATGATACATAGGAAGAAGTACGAATATCAAGAAAACTCGACTGTGTACAAAGTTATTTTCTTACCCAACTCTTGTTCGGAGATATCAAAGTTATAGGTTTGAGAGGTTGCGGGGCTTGTGGAAGTACTGGGGCTGTCTGCACCTGCAGATAAACATGATAAAAACGCCCCTAATAAAAATAAAAACAAAAGTTTACATTACTGATACAACTCTACTCAAAGGGCAATAAGTGATAAGGATACAATTTTTGTATAAAGTTCACATTTTACATGTAAAAAAATTATACATGTTACGGTTTTTAGTTGCTATTGTACCTACTGCCAATGTTGAAAACATTAAATAAGTACATTTACACTGACTACTGAGAATACTAAATTGTCTAATGGCTGAATCATTTTGAAAAAGGAAATCGCAGTATGGTATCTCTATATTACAAAAAAATTAGTATTCTCTTAAAAATGCATAAACAGGACGTCTTGCCGGCTATAAAATTGGTTAAATCATCGTATAACAAAACCTCTAACGAGCAGTGCCAACAAAAAGTCAGGCGGTCTAATGGATAAAAATAAGTGACGTTTGAAGTCCCGCCAAATAAATAGGTGATCATCGTAACTTTCGATTGCTATACATCGGTATATGGATTGGCAGAGGTTTTTCCTAATGAATAACCCTTAAAATATGAATAAATTAATTATGGACATTACATGTTCAACAATTTATATTTATTAGAACAATATTAATAGCTTTTCTTCCCCAGTTTGTGGTATTTGTTGATGAAAATGTTTATCAGTTTTAATCGTAATTATTGCTACCTTTGTTACTATTTATTCTCTGCAGGTGAGGTGCGAGTGACTGGCTTTTATCCAGACATTAGCGATCGTGTACATAAAACCCACGCAATTTTCCAACAACATAAACAAAGTAATATTAGATAAAAATGTTATAATCTACGAGTATATACTTAATACTGTGAACTTTTGAGTGTGTAACAGAAAGTGCAACCAGCAAGGAACTTGAATATATTTCCGTGTATGTTAAAATATCAAGGAGTATAAATTATGATCTTGTTTTATTCTACTTCCTTTATATGTATTATATTTAAATTTACAAATTACAAACCTTTTTTCGAAGTAGTACGAGTTGCCAAAGCTTCAACTAGTAGACGTTGATTCACACCGCATAAATTTGCAGTCAACTTTTCACACTTTCGATGACAATTTACATCACAGTCTATAAAAATAAAAGAATTTTGCTCGCTCCTATGCACTGACGTTTGTTATTTTTAGTATGCTTAGCCGTACAAAGCCTTCATGCCATTGCGGAGTTTATCATGCAAGGTAAGTGTATGCAACCTATAAAAATATTTACAGAGTGTGTGGAGTCTATAGTGGAATAGTAATTATCTTTTTTTACCTTTCTTAACATGTAGGAAACTCGCAGGGGACGTTGGTGCCGAAGAATCAAATCCAGAATCATTAGATCCAGTTGAAGTTCTTCCATCGACATTGCCCTCGCACTCAAAAAACTCTGTTCCTTCTTCGCTTGAGTCGGATTCCTTTTCATCCTCATCCTCGTCTGATGATTCTTCAGATGTTTCGGAAGAGGAGGATGAACGAATCACTTGTGGATTTCGCTTTTGTAATGGCCGAGGTGTAGCGATTAACACGAATGGTGATTTTTCTTCTTTCACTTTCTTTGGAGGTATTATAGCAGGTTTCTCCATCGGTATATCTTTTTTATCATTTGAAACATTGTTCTCTTTATTATCTACAATTGATTTCTTTATTGAATTTTTAACTTCATCTACGATATTTGGAATGTTTACTTCATTAGAGGTACTGGAGCAAGATTTTTGCTCTTCGGAAGATAGCAAGACAGAGCTTAGTTTTTCTACATTACTTTTATCTTTGGTATCCTCAATACTTTCTATGAGATCTGAACCAGATGTAAGTTGTGATTCATTTTCTTTTGATAAATTTGTTTTTAAGTAGTCGTGAACATCGACATTATTTTCACTTTTTAATGGTTCTTTGTCGCTTACATTATCGTCATTACATCTCTTAATTTCTGAATCGATGTCAATTTCAGATTGATTTTCATTAATTTTTTCAGCAGATAGTTTATCTGCATGTTCGTGATTCAAATTTTCTTTAGACATGCCTTGGATTGTAATTTTTAAAACTTCATCTACCTCCTTTACTACTTCTTTCTTAGCCTCTTCTAACATATCAGAATCCTTCTTTTGTGTTGAAATAATGTCTACTGATATTTTGTCTCGTTTACTATTATTTTCTAAAGTATTTGTGTTTACAGCCGCCAAACAATTATTTTGAATATTCTTTTCCTCTTCTTGTATTTTTTGAAACTCTGAAGTTTTTGGGCTTTCATTCTTGCTTTCCTTTATTTTAGAATCTACTTTGGTAACTAAGTTTAATTTTTTATTATTAGAATCAAGATTCTTTTTAACTTTAAAATTTCTAATTTTTGGTTTTTCACTATTAAGGTCACGGCTTGTATCAGCCTCTTTATTGGTTTTAGTGCAAGTTTGTTTCGGTTTTGTTTCATCTTTAGTTTTATCTAGGTTTTCTATTTCTGCCTTTGAATTTTTTGTAATGGATTCTTCTTTCATATCATTTTTTTCCTGTGCTACTGGTAGTTTTGTACTGTTGTCCTGAAATGTTTCTTTATTCAAATTTAAATTTACTTTTGAATCTATGTGATCTTTTACGTCTAATGAAGTATTATTAATAATATTTTTTTCATGGTTATTATCGAAAGCATCTGAATTTGAACATTCAACCTCCTCTTCTTCTCCTGGGAACCAAAATAAAGATCGCTTAATTTTTTCTTGTGTATCTTCTATGTTTTGTTTTCTTTTGACTAAGTAAACCGTTTCTCGTTTACCGATTTTATCCCAAAAATTTCCATCTTCCGGTTCTGGTGAATCTAAATTGCTATTTGCTTTTAAAACAGGTTTAGTTTTTATACTTCTTCTATGACCTTTAACTAAATTTTCTGATATATTAACTTTTATGTCATTATTAGAACTATTCGATTCCATTGATTCTATATTTGTATTATAATATATATTTTGTGTTTCTTCTGTATTAACTTCAAAAGGTTTATCTTGAGGAAGGATTTCATCTACTGTACTACTGTATATTATATCCTTTTTAGGTGGTCTGGATTTTTCCTCTACTGTAACATTTTCAACAATAAATTTTAAGGGTGAAGGTGGTGTTGTTACTTCTACTGTAGATGTTATTTTACGTTTAACCTTAGGTTTCACGACTTTTTTTGTTTTTTCATTTGTCTCTTGATTTTCAATAACAGACGCATCTAATTGTTTAACGTTTTTAGGTGTTTCGGTAATAGAGTCTAATCTACAAATACTACTGCCAGATGAACACTTTCTTATACTTCGCCTTTTTGAAGGTTTTTTATCAATTATTTTTTTATCCTTGAGGCGATCGTGTAGTGAGTGATCAGATTTCGTAGTGGTTAACGCATTTACTGGTTGTAAGGTTTTTCCTTTTTTAGACGTATTTGCTTGTGATTTTGTTCCAGAATCTCCCTCAGTTCCAATTTTACTTAAATCTAAGGTTACAGTACTTAAATTCTCTCTCCTTATTAAAGAATCTAATAAACATGCTTGTTCGGCTAAAAGCTCCATGGAGCATCGCCTATTTAATTTATCCATGGTTTCATTATTTTCGATATTATTTTTATTCAAAATATCTCTAATAACTACACTAGTTGGCGATTCTTTTTTTGTTACTGTATAATCATCATTTTCTTTATCTTTAAGTGTAAACTTTTCTACTAATTTTGCACCTAAAGATTTCTTTTCTTTTTGTACGCGATAAGACAAATCATCGGCTAACTTTTGTCGCCATTTCAATGTTTCACTTTGTTTCTCTAACTTCTCTGTCTCAGTCTCCGCATTAATTGCTTTATTTGAATCGTTTTGAACCGGCTTGCGCGGAGAATCTTTATCTTTACGTTTCACTGTATGAAGTCTAACAACAGGCCGGTCGCGTTTTATTGTAGTACGCTTACGTCCTGGAGATGAATCGATTCCGATATCAGGTTTGTCATGTCCGGTTTCTTTATTAGTTTTTGGACTATCATTTCTTGATGGCAACTTGGATGCTAGCTCGGGAGTGGTGTTCGATTTTTTATATCTATATTTGTCTCTAGATACATCGATATCAGCTGTATTGATATTAATTGGTTTGTGTGAATACTGGGGTGATACATAATTCCTGTTTATAATAGGAGCTCTCCTCGGGCTATTAATTCGTACAGGTGTTAATGTGCCTTTCTCAGATATTGTTGAAAGCATAGGCGAATAAGCACGACTGCCACTCGTTAGCCATCGGGATGTCAAAGGTGTCCTCGAGTATCCTCCAAGCGAAGAGTGTGAACTGTAATTGCTGCCCGGACTTAAGTAAGTAGCACTATATGATGATCCGTACGGTAATATTGAACTACTGTAACCGTAGGGTGCACTCGAGTACGAGGGAGATCCACTGTAATACATGTTTTATATATATATGTTTCGAAACATATGCGTACGCTTCACAAATCAGCGTGACGTCCGCACCGGTCGGACGTTCAGAGCTTACTGATGAGCGAGCGTGCGCTGGCGCAGGTGCGGTCCGCCCACCATCTGGCCTGCCCTTTGCGTCAGCTGATTGATAGCGGTCAATTGTCTATCATTCATATTTTTCTTAAATTAGACTTCAAGACGTTTGACATTTGTATACTATGTGTTACGCAACTATAACGGCACTCAACAAAGACCAAAACGAACAACATATAAGTAATAATTTCGCAGAGATCAATGCAAATGTTGGCTACGTTCTTGTATAGAAAGACGAAAATAAATCATCGCGGGAAAACATTATATTTAGCAGTTGTAGGTACTTCAGAAACATCGAGCACCAGTACTTGTATATTAATTTTTTATCTTTAAAAAAATATATAGAATAGGAACTTGTGATTAACTGCATGAGTCAAAAGTTAACATTAACATATTTAATTTTTATTCTATTATGTTAAACTAATAAAAAATATCCAATTCCATTATTTTGAAAACCGTGCCTTTTTTCTCCAAAGCGACAATTATATATTCATTGATTTTTTCAGAGATCATACGTTGTAAGCTTGAAATTTTTAATATGCAAGAGCAAAACATATAATTGAGCTAAGTTTTTTATTCTTGACCTGCTGATGCAACTCTAAAACATTTCTTGCTGTTGCTTGATAAAAGCATATTTAAATACATATCCACAGCATTTTCTATTTGCATTTAATCAAACTTGAAAATAGTATTAAAGTGTTTTTTTATTTTTTTTTAATATAAAAGATTATGTAGTCAAGCATTATTAGGTACTACCGACCTTTTGTACGAAAATTGTTGATGTTTAACCAAATGACGAAATAAACGGCGGCAACTGTTATTAAAGTTTTATTTATCTAAAATAAAACTTTATAAACTTATAAGTGGAAAAGTTTTATCCAATACAGTGATTAAAAAGAAAGTTTAAATTTTTAAGGAACTGTTCATTACTGCAAAACAAGCTTAACAAGTTATAAAAAATATATATTACTTATAATTATTATATATTACTTATATTATTAAAAAATATATTACTTATATTATTATTAATTACTGCAATGTTTTATCATAAAACAAGAGTCTTAGTTTAATAGAAAATCAAATTTAGGAAGCAGTGTTATAAGAAACGTTTTTAAAATCCATATAATTTGATAATATGTTTAAAAATTACTAAAGTATTAAAGAGTTTTAGAACTAAGAAAATTAGGGTCAGAAATAAAGTTACGGGAAGGTGGTTTAACAATAAATTTATGTTTCATTGTATCCGTATGCAATATATGTGGATTAAAATCCTTCGAAAACTCTAACATTAATAAAGTATAATAACATTTGTTCATATTCCAAGCACATCAGGTGCATCTGGAAAACGTCACTACAAATTAATGTGGTTTAAGTCGATAAAAATCCATTAATAACATTTGTTACACATATGTATGTGAGTTCAAACATGTATTTTTTGATTTTCAAATGTAACAAATAACATTTTTTTACCAAATGAAACGAATACTATAAACTCAAGTCCTGGCAAATCCCAAAGTTTAACAGAACTTATTCCATTTCCTCAAAATAATTTGTTACTGCGTTTATATGAACATTTTAATATAAATAAATAAATAAAAAATTGGATAGAAGACATGCGGTATGAATATACTACTAGGCAATAAAGTTCTACTTCATAAGCTCATCAATATTACGGAGCTTCATTTTTGGAGGGCATTTTGGATCCTTAACAGACCTGCTTACGAGTACGAGTATACATGTATACAAATTGTTTTAAGAGAAATATAGTAATAATGGTATTTGAAGCATCTTTCTTGCAATATTTTCAAGGTTAGCTTTAAGTTTGTAAACTTTTAGTCTATTAAACAACTTATTTAGATTTTTTTGTATAAAAAATGATGTGTCAACCACTTTTCTATTTAGCTCATATGAAAAAAAATGTTTTCTTTCCACTTCAGACAAAAGGTTCGTTAAACGTTAAACTGCTTGTTTATTTCAAACGTCTTTGCACATTTTTTACATCAAAAGAAACATTTCATCGTAATACTCAGTGCATTAATGATCCGTACAATGAGAAAATTTATGACTTACGGGACACTTTTTTCAAGTGACATTTATAAGATAGGACTAAATATTACTTATATTTCTCAAATAATTAATTGTTACAAATCTATCTAGAATTTCTAAAAAAAAATTGCAAACGCTTTTATGCTATTAATATTTTTAACCTATTATTTAAATATTTGTATTCAAAATTTGGGTTTATATAATTCAAATTATGTACGAATATTAATTGCAACACACAGAGTATATTTTTTTAAATATCATTTATCCTTAGAGTGTTTGTATAAAAAAAATCTCAGTAACCGATTCTTGCAGTCTAGCGCTAGGAACTATTATTTCATTGCTAACAAAAGGGCTTTTAATGAGTTCTTTAATAAAACAATCAAAAACTCATACTGTCATGCTTTAGAGGGATTGGACATGTGTTATTAAAACAGCAATATAAGATGAAGCGATAAAAAAAATAAATGGTTTTAATTAAACATATTAACAGAGACAAACAAAAGAATATATTTTTTTAAATGTTCGTTAAACACCAAACAGTTAAGTTTTTAAAGGACAAATCAAAACTTTTCACTAGAACATGCAACATACATTTGCTACTTTATCACTATACTTTTAATTTATATTAACTAAATAAAATAAACCAATTAAACAAGGTCTCAGGTAACCATATTTCGAAATTTGTATATATTTTAATTTAAATATATATATAAAAAAAAGGTTTTTTACTCAATGTACCTTCACATTTAAGTCCCTGCTTAAAAAATCCACATAACAGAGCACCGCAATGATCACAGAAAGTTGGTGACATGAACTGGTGTGGACGGAACCGATGAGGAACATCCACCTTAAACCGCTCTCTCAGATACTGAAACAACACGTAAAAGGTAAGATTAGCGGCTTAATATAACATGTCTTGATTGGAATCAGTACATTTGAAATATGATTCTAAGACATACTACATATTATAAAATAAAGTCCCACGCCGCGTCTGTCTGTCTGTTCGCAATAAACAGAAAAACTACTGCACCAATTACCAAGCGGTGTTCACCAATCGATAGCGTGATTTTCGAGAAAGGTTTTAAGATATATGTAATTTGTTAAGGTTTTGTATTGATTTGTGTGTACATTAAAGATATTTGTTGGAGATATTGTCTGTCAGTTTTTAACGAAAATGCAGCCAAAACCCTTTGAGATGTAACAAAACAATGTATGGTGGAATTATGTATTTTATATAGGTCTACAGAAAAGTCTGTGATGGCATGACTATCTCTCACGGATAAAATACTACATATATTTTACTACTTTTAAAAATTGGCATTCATGAGAGCTATTAATATAATTACGGTATAAAGTCTTATCAAAATAAAGTACTTAAAGTTCAAGCTTATATCAGTATCTATAAACTACTTTTTGAGTCACATATTTAATTCGGAAGAACCATTTGAAAGTTATCGTAAGTTTAATCATTCTCAAAATTCAATCCACGCGATAGCTCACTTTTCACATGATCACGATTAATGCTGTATACAAAATTTTTGTAATTTTATTACATTAAAAAACTATTATTAACATAAAAATATACCGTTTCTCTAAGTTCAAATGTATTTATGTTTAACGAAGAAAGATTTTTTTTTTTTTTTGGTGTCGGGTTGGAAAATCCTCATGGAGCCCCACCGCCGTCGGGGAAGGACGGAGGGGACTGTCAGACTCCTACTGACTAAAAACCAACCCGTGTGCCTCATCTACCCGTGTGCCGGAGAGGTGGGTATCGCCGAAGCATTCATCGCTACCTCCCCGGCAGGCATTGACCCGCCAGATGGTCAGGCGGGCCTCGTCACCCGGTCATAAAACCTTAACTATGAGGCGCGCGCGGATTACACGCCTCCCCCTCAAAGCCTGTAGCTGTTATCGGACGACAGGTGCCCCGAACCTGTCGTCCACAGGCTGCGCTCTACGGTGGCCGGAAATCGGTCACCCTACGGCGCGCAGTGCGTCTAGTGCGGGAGGGGAGAAAGGAGGCAACCTCTCTTTCCCTTTCCGCTACCTCCTTTGCGCGCATCACTGCCTCGCAGAAGGTGGCGACGGCACACCACCCTGACTCGCTCCCCACCATAACTGACACAACTGCCGGGAGTGACACGTTTCCTGCCACCCCTACCGCCGCAACCAAACGAAGAAAGATGGTGAATTATTGTTTGTCTCGATTTAACTCAAAAAGTAAGTATTAAACGCATTATGCGTAATATAGGCTAGTTTATCTTTTTTGTAAGGTACCCCTGCGAAGCTGGGGCGGGTAGGTTCTAGGTAGTTGAGATTATGTTTTGAAGCATTGGTATTAAACATTTTATATTTAATAAAAATGGACTTTTATTATCCAAAGAATGTTGTAATTTGTAACTAATTGTAAGAGAGTGCGAAAGGACTTTTATTCGTTTTAACAGCTACATACTAGCTAGTGAGTAAATTTATAACATAAAATACCAACGTGATTAAAAAGAAGTTTCCCTTGTATAGAATGCTTTAATTTCACTTAGTCTTTACTGAAACTTTTTTCAGGACTACGCATTTGCCAAATAGTATAATGTACACAACCTCTTGTTAAACAGTTGTTATTTGTTGTTTAAACCAGATTTCACCAAATGCTATACGGAGAAAATAAACTAGATTTTTAAAAAAAACTGCAATTTTGTTGCATAGTCCTAAATAAATACTGTTCACTTTATAAGGAGAATAACACAGTTTTAGATTTTATTTCTATTAAAAGACCTATTAAATGTGTTTCAAAGAGAGTTTAAGATTCAATATTATAACTGTCAAAGAACCATATTTATGTCATCATCTTCAACAGTAACAACGATACGCGTATCGTTATTGTTGAGCAAAGGCCTCTTACATAGAGAAGCTTAGAGATTAGAGCATGAATGCCTAGACTTGCACAAGGCGGAGTGGCGATTTCAAACTTATAATTTGAAATGTATATGTATAATTCCAGGTTTCCTCAGGATGTTTTCATTCATCGTCTGCCAGTGGCGTCTAAGTACTCTTAGTACTTTCTAGTAAAATATATAAAATTATAATTATAAGAAAGTTATCTTTTGTGCTTACCACCGTAGCTTCTGAATAAGCAGTAGAGCCGGGACATTTGCCCAGCAACTTATTGTGACATCTCTTATGGACAGCTGTCTGACACACGATGCAGCGATACCCTTGTTTACCAAAGCCCCACAGAAATTCCTTGCAGAATGCACAAAATGTTGGTTGACGGAAAAACTTCGCTGCAAATCGATGTCCATTTACTTCATGAATTCTATAAAATAAAAAGATGTGTTTAGAAAATATTTTTTTATATTTTAACCATGTAATTTAAATACTCGTTGTGTTTGACGATAATTCAGCCATCATAACATGTTTAAAATTTTATACGTTTCAATTTTACGTAAGGAAGATTGTTACATCATTGATTCCTAATTGAATAAACAAATATTTCAATTCATGCTTGAAATTTTAGTCCGCCCACGACCCACTCATTGTTTTTGTGTCTTAATAATAGCTTTATTTATAGTTAACAATCTTCTTAGGTATGACTTTATATCTTAAACAACGACATCCGATCAAACCGAAAATTTCGTGAACTAATAAAAATAGTGCAATATTATCTACGAAATTGATATTTTCATCTCTAACAAATAAAAGATCTATTTTTGTAGTGACGCGTTTTCTTATTATTTTTTCTCATAATTATATTTGAGCCAAGAATTTTAGAAATGACGATAAACGAAACAATACGGTAGTGGGTAGAATTTATTTGTGGGCGTCTATTCGAGAAGAGAGTCATTAAGAGGACGGACGTTAATGTAAAACTCAAGAACCCGCGCCAGACACTTTAATAACACATGGCAGTGTTTACTTTCATTTTCTTAAATTATATCTAATATACCATGTCTTGACATCTATAAGTTGTATTAGTTCGATCTTCTTAACTCTATAATAGTTGTAAACAAATATTTATTAACATTGAATACCGGATATTACAGTTATGGCTACGGAAATGTTGTTTTCAAGTAAACAAGTTTATAAGTTTTGTTATTTTTACCAATCCAGTCGCATTCCTTTGCGAGATGTCTTAGTGATGTTATATTTAGGATTACGTGAGGTACAACACATTATTATACGAACTTATGGTGCTTGATGGCCCCGCGCCGCTGCGTGATTCGTTTGCCGCGGGAGCGACGCACCTCGGCCCCCGCGACGCCTGCACCCGGCAACCACTGAAACGAAAAACGTGCTATTTTATTAAATGAAAATATTAAACACTTTTTGTAATTTATCTATAATAGGAAAAGAGGATTATTTTGTTTATTTCTCTGTCTAATATCGTCAATAATATTAAATGTTGAATAAAACGACAAAACAGATGATCTATAATATATTTATAACGTTTTTATTATTGAATTTGATATCGCGTTTTGTTATTGAGAGATATGTACTTAGGCTGAATAGTCTGTATAAAGATATAACAAAAAAGGTCAAATTCTTTTGGAAACTTTAATTCATTTAAAAGAATATCCAGTACTTTCAAAATAAGAATAACTTGCATAAAAATACCCATTGCTTTAGTTTAGTATAGCAATTTTTATCGCTTCACTTTCATTAACCAAAATTTGTTACTCACTTGAATCAAAATCAAAATCAAACTTGATTTTTAGTAAAGTTTAAATGTCTTAACGTTCTAAACTATTGTACTTAACCCATTAAAAGGTTTAAGGTATAATTTGTCAAGGAGACAGAAGTAACTTTTATTTTATTGTTTTTTCTTGAATGCCCTAATTTAAGGAACCACTGGTATGTTTGAAGTTTGAACTAGCTAGTCTGTCATCGTTGGAACCTCTTATTGCGGAAGGTTTATGACTGACAACTTAAACTTCCATATCATTTACAATTCTTATACTAAGTTTCAACATTTCAAGTGTCTATGCTTGTAACTATCGCTTTTAATTCCACTTTTACTAGTTAAATATTTTAAACGAATTCTGAAAACACTTAGACGTTACAAATATTTTAATTAGGTATCTTTTTGAAGAAAATTTATAGATGCACTTTATAAATTACTTATATATAATAAGTAATTAATTGAAATCCTTTATTTATCTTGTCTGATTTTTTATGGATCAAGACTATTTCTAAAAAATCATTAGTAAGAATTTGGTATATTGATTTAGTTTCGTTGACGATCTCACTTAGTTAAGTACTAAGGTAAGCCCCTTACTATCAAGTATATAAAATAAAACTTCTTTTGTATATACATTATAAATAATTAATCAATGCTGATCATGCTGGAGGGAATAAGAAAAAAATAAATAAATAAAAATATTACTGATATTACCAATATTTTAATAACATTAATATTAACATACACATACATATCGATTTATCAGTGGTGACTGGTGGCCAAGTGGTTAAATGGCCGCCTCTCATGCATGAGGGCGCGGGTTCGATCCTCGCAAGTACCAATGTGATTTCTCCGAGTCATCTATACTTTTTAAGAGTATTTAGACATCACTGATTAATGCATTCCCAAAGAGGGTTGATGTCAGGCTGGCGGCCGGTCGTAAAAAACAATTCACAACATTTAAGGCAGACCCTAACTAAAGCTGGGAAATTGCCAGGTAGAAGAAGATACATATCTATTAAAATAAAATTGTTTCATTTATTTTGCTCAATGTAGGACACGTTTACGTTAAATAGTTTAAAGTTTAATAATGTATACCTAAATATGATATATTCTACAATAGAGAAACAGAAACAGAAACATCTTAACTAAACATAACTGATAAGGAATTCGCCAAGTACTTAATTATAAAACACGTTTCGTTCTGTAAAACTTAAATATGTACTTTTGATATCACTATAATATATATATTATGTAATAAATACGAGTATATAATTCTTATTCAATTAACATTAAAAGTTTTTGAATAGATAGTTTATTAAAAAAAGGTTTAAAAACACATAATTACGTTTTAAAATTAAGACTTATTACCTGCAAATAAAAGATTGCGAGTTCTTTTTATAGACTTCTGTTGATATTTAAGTACTTTTTTCTTTCCGAAATCCTTTTGCTTCTTATTCATCTTTCAAAACCGGCCGGTATGAATATCTATATATTTTTTTTTGTAAATCCATATTATTTTTGTAAATCCATATTATCTATACAGGGTGACTGGTGAATTACTATCGATACTTGAGGACGTGAAATTTGACGATCATATATGACAAAATAAACTTTAATATAACATAAATATTAATAAACTTCTAAGTAAAGTTAACCAAAAGTTATCTAATTAATTACGCATCGTGTGAACACGCTACAGATTAGGTGTACACACACGCACACACACACGTGTGGCGGCGTAGTGTTGTATCAGCACGCCGCCGCACGCGTCCACACTTGGAACACTTGGAACGTGTCCACGCTTTATTTATTTATACGGAAATTTGGTCAAAAATTAAGTACCTATTTTTTTTACACAATTCGAATGAGAATCATGTACCGAGTATTCTCCTTAAATATTGATAGTAATTCACCAGTCACCCTGTATATTTTTTTTGTAAATCCCCAAATTCTACACCGACAGACAATTCCGTAAGTAATTTCATTTTATCTTCCAGTAAATTTCGAAATTTAACCTTGTGATTTAAAAATATGAAAAATAAAATAAATGACTCTGGCTATATTAAATATTTTAAGATTTTTAACTCTACATCCATAGTTGAAAATAGAAACTTCAGAGCAATTGTACCGTCAGAATATTTAAAGATTTCTTAAAGATCTCAAAAGACCTTTAGCGAAACATCGGAATTGAGCAAAAAAAAGATTAAATAATCAAAAGTGTGGTTAAAAACTGATTTTTAAAGGAATATACCGAGAAGTTTCCATGTATAATACAGAAAGCCTTTATTTCTAGCATATTTTTAATAATGTACAATGTACATATAACTTTAAAAGGAGATTTATTCTAGTTATTATGTGGGAAAGTTTAATTATTTCTTTTGATTTATGTAAAATAATAATAAAACATTGTTAAGTAATAGATAAAGTTTTTAGTAATCAAATTTTATGAATTCATTTAAAATGTAATCAATTAGGTAATCTACCTTAAGTACCTAATATGTATATTTATTATTATAATTAAGATACTTTATTAGTAAAAATAATGTTGTCAGTTTTGTAATGTTATCCATTTTCCGACAGTTTATGGACTGAAAATATGTGATTTAAGTATTTAATGTGGTTAAAATAGCTAAGTAATGTAGAGGTGGTAGAGCCTAGCTGTAGTCAAGTTACTACAGCTCGCACATGGGCTGGCTCGACCGGGGAAGTACCACCCAATCACAGGAGATCGGCGTGAAGTAGTCTTTACTGGCTGCGCTTCGTCCGATGAGTGAGAGAGCCGGTTGGTTGCCTTTTCCCTATTCCCACCCTTTTCTGTTACTTCCCTATTCCTACCCCTTCCTTTTCCTCAACAATCAAGGTTGGCAACGCATCCGCAACATCTATGTTACGGATGTCCATGGGCGACGGACACTACTGCCCATCAAGTAGTCCGTCTGCTCGTTTGCCACCTTTGATATAAAAAAAAGAAAAAATAAAGAAATAAAAGCATAAATCCTATTTAATGTGCAAAATTAATTTCGAATGACGTATTTAAGTTTGATATAAAAATTATTAGAACCCAAATTGCCTAATATGAGTTAGCAAAGTATACATCATCACACTATATGTGACAGGACTTAGGTATCCTTATTTATGAATGAAAAACGTTGAAACTTGGGGTTTTACTATAAATAATATAATTATTTAACCTTATTTTATAAAAGAGTGAGTCATAATGAGTACCGACTGACTGGCTAATGGCTATTGACTACTACACGATTACATCTGTCAGCTACTTCATTTTGTCATTCGTAAATGTTCTAATGTTTAATGTATTAACATAGGTGACTGATGTAGTGATATGTAGTTTATAATCAAAAATAAATACGCTAAGTAAAATCCGAAAATATTAGTTTCATTTAATTGAGTATTCGCGAAAATCTTAGATCTCATTATAGGTTCCTGAATGAAAAACGTCTTCAAGCTTGAGTAACTTCTGTCTCTTCTGCTAAATTTGAACGCTACTGTGACTTGAAGGTATTTCCTAAGTTGGAAAATTGCTTTTGACCACAAAGTTAAACATGTAGTTTAGGTTTTATTAAATAAAATAAACCGCTTATAAAACGTTCATAAATGATTCGTTACGATTATTTAAATTAAATGTATAAATTGATATAATAAATGTGTGAATCTTTAATATTTAAAAGAAGTTACAGGAAGAGGTTTCATGGTGTTGGTAAGCCTCAAAGATTTGACGAAAGATAATACAACAAAATTTTAAAATAAGTATGAATAGAAATTGCTCTAAATGATGTTAAAGCCGAGGAAACTTAACATTTAAATATGGCTAGTTTTAGCATCCCATATTTACGACAATTCAAAACTAGACTTGAGTCTTTGTAAAGAACTTAACATACCAACTTAAATAATGTCTGTCTGTCCGCAACAAAAACAATTAAGCTTTATGGCAATTCGAAAAAACCTGATAATCAATAGATATTAAACCTTCTTAATGATAGGTAAATGTAATACTATCGAACCGGTGCTATACTTTATATATTAAGTAGGTAATATGTACTAACGAGTATTGCATTGTCTCATTGACTAAATTATATTTCAATGTAATGACCTACAGAATACAACTGCATCGTAAATTAGTAAACATGTTTTTTCTGATACTCTCATTGGACAGAAGCCCATACGCATTGCATTGGGTGACGATTGATTGACACATAATATCGACATATCCATTTAAATTAAACGAGTTTGTTACTTGCTCCAATTACTTACTAAATAGTTTTTATATTTTGATCCATTATTATAAGCAATCTTTTAAATTGATACTGGCAACCTCTATCTTAATAATCAAAAAGATGTAAATTAACAATTAATTTGATCCAAGAATGTAATCAACCCATGATATAACTGCGAACATTCAGATATTATTTTTTCATATATACAAAATGTATGACTGGAATGAATTTTAAAACAAATAAGACAATACATCTTCAAACATACCCGAAACAAGATAGACATCTCACGACTGAGGAGTTGTAGTCTCGATTCATCGCCAAACCGGACGTCAAGGAAACATCCGTGGCATGATCACAACCATTTTCTCTTTGTATTTGTTCTTTGTTTACGCAAAATTATCGCTGCTACATTTGAAGGGACACTGCTGAAACGCTGTTCGCATAGAAAACGACTTGGGTTTTTTCATAAATTCCCTGGCAAGATTCCTATTTCAGCAGTAGCTTTGTACACATAGATACTATTGAAAAGCTTGACATATCTGACGACATAGGAACTTGAAACTGTGACTCACCTACAGACACATTCATTCACGTTGCTATATTATATATAAGTAGGCACATTCCACATATTGTCTAATGTACATAAACCGATACGTCTGAGCCAAACGCTAGTTTATATTAGTTATAACATTAGCTTATCACCAAAAAGAAGAAAACAATTTCAGGGTTCCGTGTTAAAAAATATAAGCTATAACCATTTATTTAGAGTAATTTTGAAGATAAATTATTGTTTGACATATCAAAGATTCTAATATTAGTAAAATACGGACGAAATAACTTAAATATGACGTCTGTAAAAAGGAAAAAATGGTTTATAAATTTAGTTAAGTGAAGATTAATATACAGACTTCAAATTGATATATATTTAATTATATTAAAGAAAAAAAAACGGCTTTCTAATTTATAACTTCACCTACGTTCATGAAATTGCTTTTTTCTAAATTTAATGACTTTAGATAAAGTTTTTTTTTGCTTCGAATGTGAAAACATTTATAAAATATAATTATAGTTGTCGCACAATTATAAGTATGATTTTCCATTATGCTTTGTATTAATATTAAAGGTGAAAACATTTCTTCAATAAAAATGAATTATTTTCTCAGATCGCCAGGAACTAAATCTATGGGTATAGTGGTTTAAGGAATTCATAAATTAAAAAAGTTTAATAATACAATACGTAGACAAACAACATACAACGATTTCATCAAACGTTTAACGCTCACCGTTAGTTGCTCTATTTATATCCATGCATTTACTGTTCGATCCTACGCCACTCAACCTTGATTCTTACCCAATTCTCTCGATTTTACTGCCCCAGATTAACTACCACATGTTATGCTATCACAGAACATGCCTTTGTTGAACACTTTAAATATGTCGTATGTTGATTTGCTTTTAGATATTGTTTAATAAAATTAAAATATTTCCTACTAGCTACTATCATTATGAATGGCAGCACGAGTTCTGTAAGCTATTGAGCTCATAATGTTCTTATGTAAACAAGCTATTTAAGTGTGACGAAAATGTTATTGGGTTAGATTTAATACAATAAAATATGTATTTGACACCGTGTTTATGTCGTAAATAAACCATATATTGTTTTTAGGATCACTTAATATAAAACCATTACTTAAGACATCTTTAAAAGATATAAGAGTAAGTTATAACTAAAGTTTTTACTCATTTTAGATTATACTGAAATAAAATAATCACTACCCAATATTTCTTTGGCTGGCGTTGTCTGAAATACAGACAGTGACATTGTTAATAGAATTAATCTAGAAATAATATAGTATAAATACTACTTAAGTAAGCAGTATATGCTCACATTTTCAGCATACAATCGCTGGTAAGCGGGAGAGCGCATGCGCGGCGCGGGCGAGGTGCGTCGTCGCGCCCCCCCGCCCGTGAATATCATCGGTGAGCGCGCATGCCCGCCACAACTCGCGTATTTATAAACGAAATACCACAACCGCTATTCCGCCGGATACAACTTTTTACACGACTTTCAGCACTTACGACGTACGGAGCACTGAAGAGCCGGCTTGTTGCCTGTTGGATAGTCTACCGGACTCCGTGAGTCAGACGCCCGCCTTCACGGAACTTTTAAATATACGAAAACTATGTATATTCCTAAAATAATTACACGAATACGAGAATACTGCCGCAAATAAATGATAGAGAAATATTTTTAGTGCTATCCGAATGTTTATTACTCTGATGATTCCAATAATACACAAACCAACATCAAACTATTTCTAAATCGCTTTATCTCTTCATTGAAAATAAATAAATGTCAGATGTGATTTATACTTATTCATTTTAAAATGTTTTATAATATTCAATGAGTAATTAATTGATTTTATCATAAACAAACATCTTTAATACTTTAACATTCAATATATTTTATGACATATACTACTTGATGGAAATAAATTAATACAGATTAACCGAAGACCAACAAAAAAACTAAGAATACAGATTATTTTTTAAATAAGGCTCCTAAATCACATAAATAGGTGAAATCTACCTTTGTATAGGAAAACCTGTATTAATTAGTTTGTAATTTGTATTGAGTATAGAACTCTACAACATAGTGTACAAAAACATTTAATCCAGTGTTACTTCCGATCCAAAATTGTAAAAAGAGTGTATGAAGATCTGAGCACCTGAAATATATTGAACATTCAATGTCAGGTTATTATTAAAAAAATATTCATTTGGAAATATTACATAATAGTTATAACAAATTAGCTAAGACTATAAAATGAAAGCCTATGTAATGCAGTGGACGTCTTTCGGCTGAAATGATGATTATGATAAAATGAATATTAAATACGAATTTGCAATATATACCTACAAATATATATTTTTTGCATATTATTTATATAATAAACATACTGAGATGTACGTTTCCATAGACAATGGTATGATGTAGGCTGTACGCGGCTCTATGCAGCGCTTGCATCGTTCCATCATCACGAGCAAGCCTCGTCTGAAGGCCGGAGACAGTGACAGCCATGAGGATTGATACACTGAGTCATTCACTAACTCACTCTAACAAACCATAATTATATACAATTAATTATCTGGTTACTTAATACTTTTTCACTCAAAGAAATATCTAGACTTTTTATGCTGTTTATTATTATGCCAGACACATCTTATAACCTTTGTAATAATATATTGTGTAAAAGGTAATAAATGAATAACTGTTTATGTATGTAGCATGACAATGACATTTTGTTTATGAGGCTTGTAAATTTTGTTTACTGAGGCTTGTAAATATAAATTAACTGTGAGCTTACATACCTCTACTTTTAATTGTGTGCCATAGTAGCAGTAAATATAAAGTTGTGTCATCATGCAGCAAAGGTACGTTGCCATTGTTAAGAATTCCGCGGATAAAATATGGAGCTGGAATTTAAAAGATATTAACCAATATGAAATATTTCGTTCCGAATTTAATACAAATTAAAAATGTTTCGATTTATTCATAAAACAACATAATATGTGATATTTTTTCCAAACATATTTATAATTTTATTCTTATTTACTTAACTGTTTATTTTACACTCGTAAAATCGATTCAAATATCAATTCAGCGTCTGTTCTGTTAATTCGCTGACGGAAAAAAATCGTATGTCTATTTGTAAATAGAATAAATATCTAATCATCTCACCCCAACTATCTTGTACACAGTCATACATATAACCCATAACATAACAACCAATTGAACAATTGTTGCTTCACCAAATATGGATTCAACCTCTTTTACTAACCTGTAAAATACAGAGCACATACAAATAAATTCAATGAATTCAAGTAGATTTATATATTTCAAATATTTATATTGAATAATTTGTGTAATTTCTTATTACCAAACGATTTCTCCATGATGTTTTACACAATCAACAAAATTCTTGTGAATCAATTTTTTATATATTCTATCTTCGTCGATATAATAACTTTTCCTATATTTTAGTTTTAAAGCATTATCTAGATGTTCCAAATTGTATCTTAAAATATGTAATTGCGTTTTTGCTTGAGCGTAGAAAGAAACGATTGTGCAATCCATTGTCACGTGGCCATATGCTTGAAGTGTAAGTAAAAGACCCATGAATGTCACTGTTAACTCGAACCTAAAAACTCAAATATAATTTAATATCTATTTTTGAATAACAAACATTCATACTTTGGAATGAATAAAACTTCATTAGTTTAGCTACTTACGCGGGTGAATCATTTGTATTAAAAGGAAAATATCCTGAAAGAAACACTGGTTGATTCCGCGCTTTGTTAATCAGTGGGTACATGATAAATAAAATGCCACAAAAAGCTATAGAAATGTGATGCAGAAAAAGGAGACGTCTCATTGATGTTGCGTTCATTTTCATTACATGTTCATGATACGGTTTCTTTGGTGCAAAAATTTCACCTGCAAAACAAGAACGATGTAGCTTCAAATTATTGGATAAACTTTAACGTACTGTCTCCAATGATTTAAGTCTTATGTTGTATATCGATTTATTGGACGAATATGTACATAGCTTCCCGGCGTCGGGACGTGACGACCCCATCGCCCACCGGTGTATTCCGGTGCAATTAGTCACGGGGGGGAAGGGCCTTGACCTCCTCGTGGGGTCTTGGCCCGGGCTGGGGGTGCAGCCCATGGAGGTGGGTAGGACGAGGCTCGGCGGTGTACACCGCCGCTGCCAAGTTCGGCCCTACGTGTTGGCGGGTGGCCTCGGCCACTGTCGGCGCAGTCCGGCGTCGGGACGTGACGACCCCATCGCCCACTGGTGTATTCCGGTGCAATCAGTCACGGGGGGGAGGGCTGGGGGTACAGCCCTGGGAGTAAGACGGTCACGGATCTGGCAGGAGGCCGTCCGTGGCTGTCTTGGTTAGGAGGGGATACTCGGGTCTCTCCGGAGGCCTGAGTTCGCTTGTGGTCGGTCGGTTTCCTCTCTGTCTGCCGTCGGGCGCTTGCGCTCGTCGGTGGGTGGTTGGAGACTGGCCGCGTGGGCTTGGGTAGGAGGGGTAAGGGGTTAACCCTCTCGCGATTAAGCAAGCCCGCCAGGCGGGGGGACACTCCTGGTCACTTGGAGTGAGCCCTCGGGGGGGGAGGTGGCCGTTCGCGGCCCGCCGCCGGATCTTCGCGGATGCATGCTTCGGCGTTTCCCGTGGCGATCCACTTGGCGGCAACGGAGAGTGACCGCTGGTGTTTTAGTGGGTAACATGGGCCCTTCTGGCCGTGAATCCCACATAACCGCCTCTGTCTCCCCTAGACGGAGGGGTAGGTATAAAACCTTTCACCGCGATAACAAAAAAAAAAAAAAAAGAATATGTACATAGCTTGTGACTCTTCAAGACGTAAAAAAGACTGCAAAGATAACGAGAGTCAAAGCCTTATTAAATGACAACTCTTTCGATTAAATAGGGGGAACGGGTGGTAATTTGGAACCTGCTGATAATTTGGAACCCCTTAATATCTCAGGACAAGGACATCTGTTAAAAAGCTATGAAATTACGTTGAACTGATGTCATTGAACATATTACTGCCACTAACTCCATTTTTCTATCGTGTTATAACATGTCATACGAAGTTAAAATTTTATGTTACTTGCAAATGTTTTTTACTTTTATTTCCTTACTAGCTTTCCGCCCGCAGCTTCGCCGCGTGGATTTCGGTTATATCGCGTTTCCAAGAGAACCTTTCAAAAGTCTGGGATAAAAACTATCCTATGTTCTTTCTCAAGGTCAACTCTATCTCTGTACCGAATTTCATTAAAATCAGTTCAGTGGTTTAGGCGTGAAAGCGTAGCAGACAGACAGACAGACAGACAGACAGAGTTACTTTCGCATTTATAATATTAGTAGGGATACTGTCAACACTTTTGTTTCTGTCTAAAAGTAGCTAAATACACTAGGTGTTACACGAAGTACATACACATAAGTTCACATTGTCAGAAGTATGTTTTAAGATTTATTTGAACTATTTTTTATTTTCTTGATTATCTCGTAAGAAAGTAATGTTTTGATTTTGGAACCCGATAGGGGCAGGTAATATGGAACCGAGTTCTAAATTACCCGCAATGTATTGAACACCTTTTTTCTTGGTTCTGGTCATGCCTCGAACTAAGCTGTCACTAAAGCTGAAGTCGAAAAGAAAGAGTTGGACTAAGGCTAACATGATTGAAGCTGTAAAAGCAATGAGAGAAAAGAAAATTCATTTGAAAAAAGCAGTTAAACTATATAGAGTTCCAAAAACTACTTTGCAAAGATTTGTGTACAGTGACCAGCCTTCCGATGAACTTGTAATATCAGAAAATGATGCCGTGTGTGCCCAGCCCACAAACCGAGATGACGCTTGTTGCATTTTTTGTTCTAAAATTTACTCCAACGATCAACGGGGTGAAACTTGGATTCACTGACAATCATGTAGGGTTTTGGGCGCATATTGAATGCTCAGGATGCGACACGGAGTATTATGTATGTGATTTTTGCAAGTAAATTAATTCCATACTTGTAATTTGGAACCCGGGTTCCATAATACCAGCACCAGAACTCCGAACACATTTTTTTCATTTTTCCAATAAAGCAAATTATTTGTTATAGGTCATCACCCATTGGTGATTTTATTTTATAAATTAGTTTCTAATATAAAAGCTAATAAGTTTTTAAATATAAAGATACAGTCCTGTAATGATTAGTCAAATAAGTTTCTTAAAATACTCAAAAAACAAAGTGAGTTTCCAAATTATCACCCCTTCCTCTGATAATAATTAATTTCAAAATATACATCCGACGACTCTTCTGACGATGATATGAGATATTAAAAAAGCTTCGTCGATCTTTTTTTACTTCGATATATCCAACGTAGCTTTTACCAGAAAGTCGCATAATAGTAACTATCTTCTATTCTTAAACTTACCATTAATAATGCCGATAATTTTATCAATGCGTTCAACGCGTACATTAAATGCTATTTGTTTGCCAAGAGAATTAAGAGTTGTTAACAGAATAAACAAAGTGTCCACAAGTTGATCAGTACACTGCCTTACCTAAAAAATACGAATTCAAAAGTAATTGTAATTAAAATTAGTATATGGTGATTCTGAGTTATCTAACCTGTAAAGCACGAATAATATGTTGTAAATTATAAATTAATACAGCCGTCCATATCAAAATCCTATAAAAATTGTGAAAATACATTCTCAATGTCTTCGATTGTCTTGTAACAATTTTGAAATAACCAACTCTCGCTAATGCTTCAAAATGAGGTCTGAAAACGTCAAAAGTGGCGTACATTATCATCCAGTACCTATAGTAAAATTGTATTGTATAAATTGTCCTTCGAATGAAAATTAATAGTAGAACTAAAATCACAAGTGTGTTCTTTTATATTTTACTAGTACATGTTGATTGAAGTTTGCTTTAAATAAATATAAAGGATGTTTCTTACAATTTACACAGATATTTAATTTTCCTACACTTAATATTTTTCATAAAATATAACACCGATGCTTTTTTTAAGTTTGCTAGTGTTATTCAGACCACTAAATATGTAGTTTTATCCATGTAAAAATATAACTTCAAAAGGTGTATAAGTTTATTTTTTTGTAAATTACAAAAACCAAAAATAGAATTAGAAATAAGGCAGTTGTCCAATAGATATACAGATTGTATTATCATAAAAGTTAGAAAGAGCTTCAGTCCAGTTGTATTCCGTAGTTCAGTTGCACTTTTTGTAAATTATAGTTTTTTCATACTGTGTTTCAAGTGAAATATAAAGGAGTTATATAAATATAAGTTGAAATATAAGGAGCTCACAGATGAGAGCCATTTTTGAGTAGCAAAATATCTTTGCTTTCGGAAGTTGAAAATAAAAATCCAAATAAGGCTTTAAGTTTGTAGGAGTACAATATAATTATAGTGCGTTTGATTTAAGCTGAGCTTTGCATTTGTGTGAGTGTAGATGTGATGTCAAATTTTTGAATGCCAAATTATTTTCTAGTTTTGAATCGGTTTATACTGCTTTTACTCCGTCCCGCACCTTCCGTACTTCACCCTTTGTACTGGTAGCAAAATCAAATGTTGAAAACACAATTTCAAGTGAAAAAGAATTTGTATGTATAGTTCTATAAATTTTTTGTTAATTAATAATTATTTTTCTATAATATTCATAATATTTCCATCTGGCCTTTTACAAGTTTTGCTTATTTTATAGCACTTATATATCTATTTAAAGTATAATAAAATTTAATTCTAAAAGTTTTTTGTGTAACTCTATTTTGCAAATGCAAAGCTTAGCTTAAGTCTAATGGACTATAACTAACTAGTTTTATGATAAGGACCTATCCGTTCTGGGCTTTCTCGATTATTTAAACTCAGCCCACCATGGCTCATATTAAATCTGTAACTTTATATAACTATGAGTATTAAGGTATGTAACATTTAATTGCACAGTATTAAAGTTACTTTTATATTCATAGACCATGTTTGTTACAGATGATATTATAAAATATTTAATACGTGGACATAATTATCAAAATACGTATTCAGCAAGTTGCAAGTAGGAACAAAACCCATAAATCCCCTTCACTAGAAATAGATCTTAAGAAATTATATGGTGTTGGACATACGTTAATTTGCTTAACGTTGAATTTAAATCAGTCTTAGTCTGAATTGGCCGTAAAATTTTAACCATATGGTAATTCAAATTCATATGGTAATTCATTCAAATAGATGCTGTGTTGTCAAAGATGTCAACTCTACCCTCTATCTCTTCTAGTTACTATTTTCAATCTTACAAATTCTAATATGTGTGGAGTTTTAAAATTTTCTTGCATAGGATATTTCATATTTTGATATTCATTCCTTTGAAATTCAAATCAATTTGAAAAAAATCAAATTGAAATTCCTTTGGAATTCATGGAAACATATTTTGAAATAAAATTATTTATTTATAATATGTACATTCCAATCCACATTTCATTGTTAGTTAGTTATTTTTCTTCGACTTGTATAAGGTTTCCATGGAAACTTTGTCTACATTTACCGTTCGCTTTAAATGATCATAAAAACATCATGTATACAGTTTAAAGACTTTAAATTATTTACGATGAGTACCGGTAATTAAGTCATTAATATAATAAGCACTTCTCACTCAAAACCAATGTGGTTATTGTTCTTGGAAAAAATTGAAAGATTTCTTTATAAATTTTTAAATTGTGTAGTATATAAATAGTTAATTTTAATGGTAAATTAACTTAAGTGGAGAGAATGAATTACTTCTGGAATTTTTGTAATTGTAAAATACAATATTTTGAATTTATACTTTTCTGGATCGTAACCAAATTCTAAAAATGTTCCTGCATGCATACAGTGGCCATTACACATCGTATGGAGGACAGAAAAACAATTTTAAAAGGATATGAACTACCCAACGTAAAAGTATAAAAAAATATTATCGGAACCATAAGATCTGTAGTCTAGAGAAACGAGTTTTTGTTTTCTACTGTTCTGACAAATACCATATTCTTGTCAGTACAGCAAAATAACCGTTGTGCCATACTCAGTATTCCTGTGTTAACCACTTAGCAGGAAAGGTATTCCTATATATATTTATTTATTTTTATATAATTGTGGTTAATTTTCAGACGTAATTGTTAAATAAGTTAACCGGTTTGACAAGTAAGTAGCTTAGTGACGGGTTTAGAATGGTATAGCATTTTCATTAATATTTTTTCTTTAACTTCTTGTAATTTTATCTTCCTAAACCGTCGACGTAATAATAAAAAAAATATCGTTTTGGGATTCGTAGACATTTTGGTCTTAACATAATTTGCTGACTTATACAGGGTGCCTGGTGAATTATTATCGATACTTGAGGACGTGATATTTGACGATCATATATGACTAAATAAAAATTAATATAACATAAATATTAATAAACTTCTAAGTAAAGTTAACCAAAAGTTATGTAATTAAATACGCATCGTGTGAACACCCTACAGATTAGGTATACACACACACACACACACACACACACACACACACACACACACACACACACACACACACACACACACTGATACAACACCACGCCCCCGCACGCGACCACACTTGGAACACTTGGAACGTGTCCACACTTTATTTATTTATACGGAAATTTAGTCAAAAATTAAGTACCTATTTTTTTTACATAATTCGAATGAGAATCATGTACCGAGTATTCTCCTTAAATATTGATAGTAATTCACCAGTCACCCTGTATAGTTTTATTCATTTCAAATATTCGAACCTAATTAATTTTTAAACTTGATAAGACTACTTTGTTCCTTTGCTCTGTCTTAATTTAAAATAAAAATCAAGTTATTTATAAATAAGTGAAATTAACGTAAGGATTACTTATGTATATTTAGTCCATAGAGGACGCAATAAATTTTGTATAATTTTTAAGAGCATCCTTAATGTTCACTGGATTATACTGAACAAGTTTGTAGATAAATGAATAACAAATTATACGTTAAAGGTAAAACTCTTTATTTGTATTACATATCAGAAAATAAATCACATGTACATTATGTATTTGGTATTCAGCTGCGGCCGAATCAAACATTTTCAATACATCGTCATCGTTGGAATGTGTTGAACAAAATATCTTCATCGTGTTTTTTTGTATAATCTAGTACATTCCATTTATTATTTATCCGTAACTAATATCTGAAGGTCGTAATGGGTATACACGCTTATTAATATTACATTCTCACCCAAAAAAAAAATTATGCAATTTGTTGCTATTTATTAATTTAACCATAAATATTTCCTAGTCTCCTTTTACCTTATTACATTTATAGAGCTTTTAGCAAGAATTTAATTTAATGTGTCCGTGTTGTTGAAGTTCCATGGTATCTTTCACTGACATGTTCGTAGTAACAGTCAGTGAGTTTCGGAACATTGTCTTTTGGGAGAAGTCTCTTCTTCGACCGGTTCTTTCCGTTTCATCGGTTTTGATTCCTTTTCTTCTGTTATATCTTCTCTTACATTACTCGTCTCTTTACTACTCTCAAGTCTATTTTCACTCTCCTCGTTTCTTTGATTGTCATTCTCTTGTTCTTCGTCGTCCTCTTGGTTTGAGTCTACATTTTTCTCCGTGTAATCATTGTCGTTAGTGGCAGCCTCCAACCTCTCTGCCGATCTCTGTGAGTTCTCGTCCTCCTTGGAGTTATAACTACGTTTGCTGAGTGATATACGAGACAGCAGTGCTCTATGTAATTGTGCTATATCACCCGGTGTTCCCTGGAAACAAAATTAATTGTATTAAGTGACGTTTCATTCAGATAACCTAACATAATAACTCATATAGGTAAATAATAAAAAATTAATAACATGATCTATAACTTCATTTAAACTTGATTTACATATATTTAAAGACTTAGCAAAAAAAACATACATTAGTAATATAATACTAATAATTTTCTTAACAAAATATTTTTTTTTACCACTTTAAACACTTATTTAGTAATTTAATACTTTTTCACTTATACATACTGCTTTACAAAAGTTTCGTAGCAGCTTAATCCAACTAATGACAACTTAACGAATGATTAGTCTAGATTGCCTACGGTAGGACAAATCTGTGGTGAGGGATTGGTTAGTTTTAGTTCGTCAACAACAGTATAGGTAATGTTATAATGTGTGTGTGTTTGGACGTTTTATTTTTCTTTGCTCCAAATGAACTTGTAATAATGGAAGCTTGGTTGGTTTGTGTATTTTTATATGAATTGTTTCGATTGATACTAATACTGTTTGTTTCCCAATAAATAAATAAATAATAAATGTTTCATACCATGATGAGGAACAGCTTGACCTGTTGCTGGGCGTCTGCGGCCGTGATCCTGAGCGACTTATTGGCTGCTCTATCCACTACCATGTCCGGCCATAGTTTAGTGTTGAGCACGACCCGTAAGGAGCCCGCCACACGCGCCACCAGCCGCGCGCCCGACCCGCCGGGGCTGTCGTTCAGACGGAGCACGCCGCGACCACGCTCACGCCAACTACCGCTCTCCCAGGCGAACAGGCGACACGATATCTGGAGAACATTGTTCATAACGATTATATTATATAAGGTAACACTTCAATTATTTTAATTTCAAAATATGTAATACGTTTTAATACACTGATCCATAGTCCCATATAGTAGTAATCCTACTAATATTATAATTGCGAAAGTTTGTGAGTGTGTGTGCATGTTTGTTACTTTTTCACGCTCAAACGGCTGAAACGATTTTGGTAAAATTTTGTAAACAGGAAGCGGACGTCCAGGAATAACACATAGGCTACTTTACATCCCGGAAATCCGCGGGTAACACCGCGGGGCGCAGCTAGTATTAAATATTGTAATATTACGTACGTGATAATAATTTCTTTCTAAATAATGTTGTGATATAAGGAGACACTTATAGATAATAATTATTATAGCCATAAGTATTTTATGATGAAAGTAATCAATATATCAAAAAATATGTAAAAAAAATATTTCTACAGATACAAATATACTAATGGTAAACAATAACTCTAAAATAACTAAAGCAGTGAAGAACTAATTTATTTTTTGCTGTCAAAACAACAACGGTATTAAAAATATTATAATAATGTTACAAATTAATTGGCAATAGCAAAATGAGTAATTCTATAAAATTGTCTCGATTGGACCTACATAAGGATCTCCTTGGATTGCTAAATATAAAAACACATGTCAGCAGAGCTAAGGTTAATGATCCAATTTTCGCTTACATAGAGTAAGTAAGTTTGAATAAAATATTTTTATTATTTTATTTTTGGTATTGCATAACTATTAACAATCTACACTAATACAAACATATAATAAATTAAAAAAAAAAAGATATTGTCTGTCAAATACAATACATGTTACAATTGATAATAATTTAACACTGAATACTGTTATAATATAATTATACCAAATAATATTAGTTCTTGGAAATTTAATTTACTATAAAAATATCTATGATAATACCTTAATAGCCATGAATGTAAATAAATTCATTTTTATTTTTAATATCAAAGCTTACAACTTATCATAATAGATAAAGTATACATTGATTTCATATAAAATTCAACACAATCATAGACATATTATTTAACATGGATACTGGGTAGCATCATCAATGTAGAATATATAAATATATATAACTATTTCATGTTCAATTTATTACTAATTGTGAAAAAAATACCTTAAAAGTCGTCAATATAGAAAATATTTCAGCTTAAAACTTCTTCAGTCAATCTGCTTCCAATGCAGATACACGGAAGTATTCAATGATAGTTACTCAGATTCTCAGTATCCCCGACAATATATATTATTCAGTTAATAGAAGCTAAAGGTCCTTTACCTGCATCACATTTATCTCATCTTCCTCTCCCGTCATTGTGCAGTAGTTAGCGGGCGGAGGAGGCCTTGCGTGTGATCGCTCATATTCAGCCGCGGCCGCAGCCAGACCTTCACCACTCTCATACAAACCTCCTTCCTCTTGCGTCTGTAATTCAATATTACATTATTATAATCATTTAACTAACATATCTTTAACATTTTCAAGGCTTAGGCTATTTCTATTATATAAAATAGACAATAACTAAGCAATCTTATTGATAGCAAAAAATATAATAACATTTCATATAAAATTTTAGTTTTCCCATAAATCTTTTCCTCCGACAACTAGATAAAGACTTATATGAATATTTCGAACATAAAAGCCATTAATACAGGAGCTAGCTGTAAAAATATCCATGAAATTTTTCAAATTCATTTCAAAGAATTTGAATTTAAAGAAGGAACCAGAATATATTGCATTAATGTGTTTTCCCATATTGTAATGCTATAAAGCATTTAAAGGTGCCTCAATAAATATTTTCCTTAGTTTTTGCTAATATATTACAATACATATAAGTTATGTATTATAATTTGAAAATCATTGACAGTATCTCCTCATAAAATTACCTGATTGTTTTCCTTAACAGATGCCGCAGCACTTGTGAAAAGTAACTCTGAAGTCCCATTCGAAGAACTGTGGTCAACTGAAGCTTCTCCATTGTTAAGTGATTCTTTAATGACCACCCTTTCACTTAAATTCTGTCCAAATACAAATCCTGACGATGAAGTGGCCTGTGATGGCGCTGGGAAAGTCGTTGCAGACCTCGATGCTGAATTACTTGAACCGAGAGGTACAAATTTGGGAGCCTCCTCTTCTTTTGACTCCTGTTGCCTGTTTTCTCCTGTTTCTTCATTTGAATTCTTGTCTTTATCTACACTAGGTTTATTTTCGTTAACTTTTAAAAATGGATTATTCCCAGGCTTCAGCTGTGGTGGACGTAAAACTGATCCTATTAGATAAAAAGCAATTTTTTATTAAAGGCAATATTATTACAATGAAAAGAATAAACATACTAGATATTGTATTATAAAGTCAATTTTGTTAGTGTAAAAAGGATAATAATTTAAAAGTTATTAAGTTTTAAGAATATTTATAAAGTCATAATTATGAGAAATTCTGAAAATATAAGTTTCATTTATATGGCAAATTTTATATAAATGTTTGTATTGTTTGTCCTTAAGAAGATACATACAACATTATTTAAAAAGAAGGTTGTATAAGTATTTATAAAGTCCATTAATACTTGCCAAATGGGTTACAGCTTTTACTTGTACTAGAGTTAAGTAAATTAGAGGATCCAAAGCCTCCTAGTCGAGGTTTCGCCAAAACAACACGAGACTGTGATGATCCATTATATATTTCTTCTGTTTTACCTATAAATAATGTATATCAAATAAAAATAACCTTTTCTTACTAAAATACTTCTCATGTGATAGAATAATCTTTTATACTGTAAACACGATAAAAATATTCGTAATTATAAAGTTGTATGCATATTGATGTACAACAAAGGTTTATTTAATTCTAGAAACTAGAAGTTGTGAATGTTAAATCCAAAAGCCTTCTTTATTTACTCACTACGAATCACATTAGAGCAATATCCTTTTCAATTTATTTATGGATTAAAATTGAGACAAAAAGAGCAATGATGCAGTGCTTGGTTATGAACTTTCTTTAATACATTTCTAATATTTGTAAATTAAATACAATTATTGTCCTTAAATGTATGCAACTAATTAAGGGAAAACATTTTATACTTTAAAAATAATATTATCAATAAAATAACTCACTTTGCTTAGCATCTGCCATCGTCGAACATCCATGCACAACTTTGTTAACTGTTGGAAACGTTATTTACTCTGTAACCGAGATTGTACCTAATCTCTACAAAGACGTAAAAATAATGATAGTTTGTATCATTGAATTGTATACTGAACATTAAAATATGTATTTAGAATAAATATTAGACAACTATCCTCTATTCCTCGTTATTTATAAATATTATAAAACAATTAAACTTAATAATTTTTATACATTTTAAATTTATAAAAAGTTAAATTTTTGTTCTGATTTAAATTTAATTAAATTTATTTATAATTATGTACTAATTTAATATAAAAAATAAAGAATGAAAACGATTATCAGAATAATTGTTATATCTTTAGACTCTTGCCTCTTAAGTTGTAAACAATCGGATGTCATTTTTATCAAAATGTCATTTTAATTGTCATAGTCATGGGAATGGGGACTTGATCAATATAAATTTAATTTTGTGAAAACTTAAAGAAAATATGAAATTACGTTTTTTCTGTGTTTTGACATTTTCGTACTTTGTTATAAGTGTTGTTCATAATAGGTTTTTTACAATGTGTTTAACAGTGTAACCAAAACGTTTCAGTTTTTGTTTTCGATTTTATTTTACAAAGGATGTTTGTGATAAATTAGTGTCTTTTTGTGCAGTTTGATTTGTGTTTATTTCAAAATCAAGGTATGTCTGAGATGTAACTAAATTTTTTTCATAATTTAGTTCTTCATACATCTTTGTTAAATAAATGTTGTACTGTACAATTAAATTGTATCTAAAAACTTATCTTATAATCTTAGCTGCTTTAACCTTCGGTCGCAATAAATATTATTATCTTATTTGCCTCAAAATCGCCAAAATGAATGACATATTTTCTAAACATGTAATTGTATATATATTTACTAAGGAATTTAAATGCTGATTAGCTAATAATATAAGACTAGTAGTGACAAAAAATTGTTAACAAAAACTTGTAAAATTTTCTACTAATAAATAGAAAAAACAAATAGTCATAAATTTAGTAGTCAATGATAAATTATTATATAAGGAACTCAATTTTTTAATTTACTCATTAAAATAATAATTATTTTCTTACCTTTAGAAACTTAGTTTATAGTTAATGGTAGGATTTTTTTGTAACAATTCAATCAAATATATACATATATTAAGTGTTTGTTACACTCAATAAAATAGTCCAGACATCTTAATTAATTTTATCGTGGACTAAATTGGTATAATCTATATACTTGTATAGTTTCTCAACAGTATCTTCATAAGAGTTCATATAAACAACCACTAATTCACTTCTTCTTACTAAATTCCTTTTAATTCTCATCTGAAATCTGAATTACCCAAACAAATTGTATTGACAGTTTTTTTTTATTTTTTGACTTTACTTTATTGTCACCGTCATAAATATATTTGACAGCTATCTGTTTAAGCAGTTTTTTTAATGCTCTGGTTTCAATCTGCTTAAATTTTATAAAGATCAAACTTCTTTTTGATTCACATCTTTAATAAAAACCTTAAAATGTAACTACTAACTTTTTTTATACATATAAGTACACAAACTTTGTCTTTTTTTTACAACATTGTAATATAAAAAATACTTTTTATAATCAATTAAAATAGGTAGTTTAATATTTTCCAAAATTTGACATTACTAATAGATTATGATCCCCATAGTTTAAAATTACTTGTTGATATTTTTCAAGGATTTCTTTCTACCTACTCTGATAAAAAAAACATTTTAGTATTGTAACATTCTGTAATTGATAGTACAGAATTAATTTGAGTTTTATTTAAAATAAAACCTTGACAGTGAATATATTTAATGTGATGTATGTATATATAATGTGATGTACGAGGCTTTGAAAGGGATCCTGTATAGATATTACTACAGAGTGAACTGTAAATTCTGATGTTGTACCATGTATGTGTCGTACCTGTAGTAAATTGGAAGTGAAGATTTACATACAGATAGAGTTCCATTAATGAAGAAGATTTACAATGGAGTCAGATTTGGCAAATTATTGACAAAGACAAGCACTTATTAAAGACCACAACTCAAACCGGTAAAAATACTTTTTATAATAAAATCTCTTCAAAGACCTTTTCAGACATGCAGCAAGACAATTTGGGCATCTCAAAGTTGTGGACAAGTTGAAAGGTGAAAATGTTCAGGAAGATCGGAAAAGATACTGTTGTTTTTGTTCAAAAGGCATTGTTTACCTTATAAACCGAATTTGTATAATTTCGTAATTTTAATTATATTTCAAGCTCACGAATCAACGTATATACTTTTAACATACACTTAGTCATTTTATATCCTACACAACAGGAAATCTAACTAAACAAGTAAAATGACTCGTAAGTAATGATTTAATGACTAGCCTTTCACGAAATATGTACATAATTTTTAAATTCTCTGCAAGTAGTCTCCTCTAGAGCGGCGTTCGTAACGTTCGTGTCGATGATATATAAAAATTATCACAGTATATCATAAACTAATACATTTAGTGGCTTTATAAAAATCTTGTAGTGAATTAGTGGGTGTCAACACTGAGAATCTTATTCCAATAGAAATGGCTGTCTCACAAACAATATTTTTCAAGTACGTAATACAAGAGTTGTTAAGAATTCAGTCGTAATAAAAAAAACGTCAGAATCGCAGTAAAGCTAAAGTTATGTATTATAAATACTGTTTTTAATTATAAAAAGGCGAACTTTTTTGATAGTTATTAAACACCGGATGGTTTTTATTGTACTGTCATTGAATGTATACGATTATTACGATAAGAATTCATAATTTTTATTTGTATTGATAATATGTACATATTTAAAGATATAAGCATTTAATCTCAAGGCCAATGGGAACTCCACTTTAGTTGGTTTTTCATTACATCACTAGCCGATACTATCCACTTTAGAAGCGAAAGAAATACTGAAAAGTTTTTCTATAAAAATATTGTTTCTAAAAACTTTTAATCTTTTGCATGAAAGAAAACATGGCATTTTTTTTCAATAAATGGATATGTGTCTAAAACATAATATGTACTAAGGAAATTTTATTAAAAATTATCCAGAAGTGTCTTAGTGATGAATACACCTGCCTTTATCTTTACATCTATTTATACAAAAAAAGATAATAATCTTGGTAATCCCGCTGACTTAGGTACACGCAGTTTCTAATACAGATATATATTTACACAATTACGATTATTGCATCGTGTATATCAAATTGTTCACTTATAACAAACTTAAAACATTTTGTTTTCGATTGGTAATATTTTTTTAGCATGTATGGATGTCATATTATTGCGGATTATCGGTAACGCCCTCTGTTAGTTAACATACTGTATACTATTTACAGACACCATGGAGACGGAAGACGAGTTTGCTCGTAACCTGTTGGACGACATGCCTCCCATCAACTGCGATCTTTTCGATGGACCCTACGGTGGCAACAATGACATAGGAGACATGACCTTCTGTCTGGGAAACTATGTTCCCGACTTTATGAAGGTATGTTTGATTGCTTAGAAATTTCATACAACTACTAGCGATGTTACAGGAAAAGATATACAAACTAAGTCTTCATAGATTACTGGCTTTCCGCCCGCAGCTTTGGAGTTCGGTTATATCGCGTTTCCAAGAGAACCTTTCAAAAGTCTGGGATAAAAACTATCCTATATTCTTTCTCAAGGTCAACTCTATTTCTGTACCAAATTTTATTAAAATCAGTTCAGTGGTTTAGGCGTGAAAGCGTAACAGACAGACAGACAGAGTTACTTTCGCATCTATAATATTAGTAGGGATTTGTTTAATAATAATTGCAATAATTTCTTCACACAATGACTTGGTATTTTTTTTCCAACTTGTCATTCATTATTGTTTTTCTGATAAGTAGTAAGATAACAAATAGCGATCAATGAATATATTATTTGATAAGAATAGATAATAAAAAATAAATTCTCATATAATTAATTGAATTAGATATACATGCATACTGCATTTGTTACTATCAGATTAAAAATAATATACAGTGACTTAACAAGAATCTGTACAAAATTTTTAAGCTTTTCACCGTCTCTGGCGAAAAGGAATGAATTTGTTTTTAATTTGTATGCGTACATACGTCGTAACACTGGATGAAAAAATTCTTTGAATAATATTTAATATCACTAATGATACTAGTTAATGGTTAATGTATATAGAACGTAGAATCAATCTGTATTAGTTTCTGTCATTTAGTATTTGGTGACAGAGATTTTTGAAGAGATCTATTTTGTTTTTTTTCCTCTTGATAATAACATATGTACCTATATTACAAATTGCCCCGTACCTTCAAACAATACTAATATTGGAATGCTGATATCTAAGATTGTGTCTGATAGCAGAAAAATTAAGAAAACCTTGAAAAAATATGATATAAACATCTGTTTTATGGTTTTTTTAAAACCAATCTGGTTCTAAAACGCTTGAAACGAAACATCATATCTTCTTTATTTCGTTGACGCAGGCGAGGAGTAAATAAATCTATACTAATATTATAAAGCTGAAGAGTTTGTTTGTTTGTTTATTTCTTTGTTTGTTTGAAAGCGCTAATCTCCGAAACTACTGCTTCGAATTGAATAATTCTTTTTGTGTTGGATAGTCCAGTTATCGAGGAAGGCTGTGGGCTATATACCATCACGCTACGACCAATAGGACCAAAGATATAGTGGTAAATGTGTAAAAAACTGGAGAAATTATTTCATCTTTGAAGCCTTTCGTTGCGTGCGCCGTGCAAACAGTTCAAGATACACAAAAAATATGTATTAAAGAATAATAGCTCTTTTAATGATCTAAAAAAACAGTCCGCGACAGTATATGTCTATCTTTTAAGATTAACTCACAAAAACCGTTTTTATGGTACCTAATTTGGTCGAAATAATTTTATAAAATTTTTATTCAAATAAACAAATAAATATGTTGTTGGTTAAGAGTACTTCATTGTGAATTTAAAAAAAACATAGGTTTTATCCTGAAAACTCTACGGGAACTCGACCATTCCGAAAACCCCGCAAGAACGGGAACTATGTGGGAAGAATCAAAAATCTGCTCGAAACCACTACTCCACGCGGACGGAGTCGCGGCAAAAGCTAGTAATTTAATAAAGATCAAATAAACCTTTTCGTATTGAAGTCAACCACAAATACATACTCTTAGAAAGATCTTTTTTACCATCTATATATTTGGACGTTTTTGTGACATTGAGTATATTCAATTCACTATGTTTTAATGATTAGTAATTTGATAAAAGTAGACGCAGTAGAGATGTTATGTACGGTCAATGTGATATGATGATATTTTTGTAAAACAACCCCGAAGAAATTAATAGCTAAGAATATTTGTCAAAAAAGATGAAACATTTAGATTAGGAAAAGTATACGTAAAAGGAGACCGTAAAATATTATGCCTAATTTGCGAACTCTGTTAAATATTCACTTTACTATTTACTACGCTTTTCAAGATAACATAATAATTATACCGAACAACAGACACGTTGCTCTGTCTTATGTAATATATAGCTTGAAGCATTACAAATATTTGAAAAATGTTCACTTGTTATTATACAAACAGTAAATGGAGAGGAAACGAATAATTGAGGAGTTTAAAGATTCAAAAGAAAAACATAAATTGTACACGGCGCGGCGTTACGCGATGTCGGTTTTCCTGTTGCGTCCTTCTAAGGATATCTTCTTCTTCTTAAGTTAGTGGCATTTCCTTATACATTTAGCCAATTTCTAAGGAAATCAATGAATATTTTATATTAGAATACTTGACATTAACATTGACAAGTGACAGTTGAGCAAAAAGCTTATAATAAAATCATTCTTCCAATCTACTCGACATTGGCAGAATATACTGTGCACTTTTCTGCACGGATGAAGGCCATATTATAAAAGAAATAATAATAATAAAATCATATAATTCATCTGAAATAATTATTTTATAGACGGTTCTGATTTCTGAGAAATTTACGTTAAAGTTTTTTTATTAATTCCTTTATGCGTTAGCAGTAATTAATGCAAGTTCATAAATATAATTGGAGTGTCTTTTGATAATTTAAAAATAACCACTTTGGATGTAATATCGATGAAGACATGGTTGAACCTCGTGTACACGGAATATATATCAAAACATTTTTTATAATTTTTATCTGATATTTTCCAGAGATATATTTAATAAGCAGTTACGCAGACTATTTTTAATTTATTTATTGTTATAAACATTTTTATTAAAAAAAAAAACTAATATGTTTTCCTTCACCGTCTGTCAGTGGTGTCTAAATACTCTTCGAAAGTACATATGACTCGGAAAATTCACATTGGTACTTGCCAGGTTCGAACCCGCGCCCTCGTGCACGAGAGGCGGGCCCTTTAACCACTAGGCAACCACTGACCAAAAGAAAACGAATATTTGGTAAAGTAATATTTATTAGAAACTAAATTTCCAATAGCATTTGTCTGGGTATTTACCGCACTGGAACAATATAATGCTTAGTCATGTGTTGTTATGTGACGTCATAAATAAAATGTAATATAACTTATACGTCCGTGTAACTGATAATTTGTAACTATGTTAATTAGTGTTAACTACCTATGGTTTAAAAATATTTTAGCTACTAATATTTATAACTGAAATAAATATACCAAAAGTTCATCTAATTATATTCTAATAGTTTAGATTACTAACGACATTTGTTATTTTTCAGTGACGGGACACAAAAAATACATATCATAATTTAAATAGGAAATATTTTGGTTCTAATTTCGTCTATAGATATCAAAAAAGTATATATTTTTTTGCTATTACTTGTGAATGACCTTGTAAATAATGTTAAATTTTATCATTAACGAAATACTTATTACACTAACAATTGTTATTACATTATATCTTGTACAGAATTCAAGGTTTTATAAATATCTTTCTATATTACAATCTGCAAAACACGATGACTTGACAAATTCACACCGTTTCATTGCTTGAAGGGATGCGATTTTTTACCTGTCGGATAATTGGCGTGTTCTAAATACGTACGTGATATGTTACAATCAACAGAAAATTGAACATAATGAAATATTCTAACATTTTTTGTTCACCATATTTGTCATCGTCTAAAACGAGACCTTATTTGATTATCCAAAAAACAACAATTAATGTGCTTCTGAAATGGTTGTATTCATTATGTCGACAAATATATAACATATTAAATAATCGAGTGATATTTAAACAAAATATATCAGTCAAAACATCGAATACAAAATAAGATAATACAGAAACAATATCTTATTCGGGCACACGCCGTTCATGTTACATAATTTTTATTATTTTGTTATCTAAAATTCCAATAAAAATTGCTTTGAGATAGTGGGGACCAGTTACATTGACTGATTCGTACAGAATAATACAAATAACGCATAAGACACAAATGTTAAGGTATACATACCATTTTCCTGACACAATGGCAATCTTGACAGTTGATTAAACAAAAGCAAGGCATGTATTGTTTAATGTTTAGTTCCGATGTTGAATTCAAATATAGACTAAAACATTTTTGTGTGTCAAAAATATGTTATAACATTCATAATTAAAATACGTTTCAAATATACACAGTAGACCGAATACGCCTACGTTTTAAATTAATTTAAGTAGTACTAAAAATATAAATTAAAGAATCGAAATCGTATAAGAAAAATAAACTCTTGTTTCAATACAAGTTTCAATCGCAATATAAAATATTAATTTATAGTTAAATTAGGTGTTAATTTATAATCACCACTCACTACAAAACGAAATCTAATCTACTGAATGGTTTTTAGTGCGATTTTTAACATTGGTTACAATTATTTATGAGTAATGTTCGGACGCACGTAACGATATTCGTAGGTAATAGGTATTAAGGTTTTGCATAATATAAATTCTAATACCACGGTTGTAGTGACTTATCTTGAGAAATATAATTATAATTTTGAATAAAGGTGTACAATTTTTAGCATTAGACACTCTTGTTGTAAGCGTGTATTAAAATATTTAGCCAGCTTTTATTTCGAATCTAGGATGATTTCGTAAACGTACAGAAGTTTCACTACCTTACAGCTTACTATTCAAATAAAAAGTGGATATTAAATTTCAGCTAATTAGTTGAAGACATCTGTTTCAATAGTTTTCTTTCTATCTCGTCTTATTTATTACTAAACTCTATTTATAAATTTTCAGATGCTTTTCACAATGCGATCACATCACATGTTAACAGACGTCGTCTTGGAAGTTGGAAACGAATTGTTCCACGTACACAAAGTAGTTCTAGCAGCTGGCAGCCCTTACTTTAAGGTAGAATATACGATAATATTTCTAATATATATTGCAATAAGTTACATTTTTGTATATTTGATCTTCATATGTGTATTCCAGGCTATGTTTACGAGCGGTTTGAAGGAATGCGAGATGTCTCGAGTCAAACTACAGGGTGTTTGTCCGTCAGCGATGGCTTGGCTGGTTTACTTCATGTACACGGGAAAGGTCCGTATAACGGAGGTCACCGTATGCCAGCTGCTGCCCGCCGCTACTATGTTCCAGGTATTACAATAATTTCTTGTTTATACTTAATTAATTGAAAATTGGCTTCGATATCCAAAATTAAAATGTAGGTAGTTGCAAGTTTATAAACCTCAATTCAGTGGTGGCCTAGAGATTAAAGGCCCGCCGCTCGTGTACGAGGGCGCGGGTTCGATCCTGGCCCGTGCAAGTATCAATGTGATTTTTCCGAATCATATGTACTTGCTAAGAGCATTTAGATACTGACAGGCGGTGAAGTAAAACATCGTGAGGAAACCTGGGCTTATAATTACACAATTATAACTTTGAAATCACCAACCCGTCTTGAGCAAGCGTGGTGATTAATGCTCAAACCTTCTCCATGTGAGAAGAGGCCTTTGCTCAGCAGTGGGCTCTGATAGGCTGATGACAAACCTCAAGTGGTTTTTATATGCTACTCGCTAAAATAAAAACAGCATTTTATTTATACGAAAGTAATGACATAAATTTCTTTCAATTTATATCCATAGTACCAAATCATTATAACAATATTATTATGATAATATTATAGTGGAACTATCATTAACATGTCTGCGTATTTCAGTTTTATATAAAGAAAATTCTCAACGATTCTATCATTATCTTATATAAATTCTTATACTCATAATAAATAAAATTGAAAGCATGATATAATGATTGATATCGAAGGAAAAAATTCTATTTCACCATATAAATATTATAATTTATAAGCTGTAATATGCATGTCGCAATGATGAATAATTTAAAACCTTCCCAGTAATTAAGTCCTACAGCATGACACTGCGTTTTATATCAGATAACGTTATAATTCAGCGAGAAATGCACGTAATACTTATTACATATTTTAATCGCATGAAATAAAATTTATTATTAAATAAATTTATAAATAATATGACAGATAAATCGATGTTAGTTATAAAACTCGAAAAAATAAGCACTCAGTTAATTGTTCAGTATATTTTGTCGTTGTTTATCAACACTCTAAACGTCAGGAAAAAGCCACTCAGATATCATAGAATAGACTTCGATATATGACATTAAAGTTACAAAAAAATTGAGTGCTAAAGAGAGTTAGAACTACAAATTGTCGCTCTCCCAACGTAATACGCATTGATGAATTCACATTTAATTTTATAGAATTGTCTTCGAACCGAGTGTTTATTATGAATGAATACTACCACAGAAATTTCGTAAAAATGGTCCCAAATATTGAACAAAATTCAAAATAATCCCCGTATAGAACATAAAAGATCGATACTATCGTAAAAAATGGTCCCAAATATTGAACAAAATTTAAAATAATCCCCGTATAGAACATAAAAGAACATCTATTGTAGTTATATGGTACAGATAACTAACGTGATAGACGCCTGCTGCGCCTTCCTCGAGCGACAGTTGGATCCCTCCAACGCCATCGGGATAGCGAACTTCGCGGAGCAGCACGGCTGTGTGGAGCTCAAACAGAAAGCTAACCAGTTTATAGAGAGGAACTTCACTCAGGTACGTACACGGTACAGTTCTTAAAAGACCAGGGGTCTAGCTTGAATGGTTTGAACCTAGCTTGGATTTAAATTTGTTATGAAATCTTGCAAAGACTTTTGCTCAATTATAGAGAAATCAGGATCCAAACAAATTTTCATCCAGGTTTAATGCTTTCAGTGTTACGAGTATAAGAAGTTATTTAATTCTTGTTCTTAGTCAATGTCCTCAGTATAACGTTGGATATATAAACTCAAGTAAGATTTTCAATTATAATTAAGCAATTTTTTATTAAATGGATTTTGGAGAACTGTTAAGACTCGGGTTCCAAACGAGATCCTTAAATAATTTGTACTTTTTGTGTTGCTAACTAGTTTTTATTAAGTAGAACAGTTCCCGACAAATTGAAATTCTTTGACGACTCTATATCAAGTAAAATATAAAAATATTTGAAATAAAAATCGTTAAAAATATAAACAATGTATATACACTTCAGTGATTGAGAAGGTCTAGTATTAGTTACGAGATTTAATTACAGCAGCCAGTGTCATGTTTCACTGCAGACCTACTATAACATATAGTGTTGTTTTACTTCCCCCTTTTATATAGAACATAAAATCGATAAATAAATACGTTCCATTATATATTATATTTCGCTTATAGATGGCAATCCTAGCTCTGTTCCATTAAATTCCAATAAAAAAATTCATTATCTCTTGTTCTTGTAACAGTATAGAATTATAAATTTAATATTATTAACATTTGACATTCCAAAAAACACAAGAAGAAATATCGTTGTTAATTTTTTTCCTCAACATTGATCATATTTTTGTTTTGTTCCCATCTTAATATAAAAATCGTTGCCAAAGATGTTGTATAAAAAAAATACGTATTCTTAATTTATTATTAACAATAATAAATCAAAATCAATCATTAATATGACATTAATTTTATATCAATAACGAGAAGTTGAACTTGGCATGATTTTATTTTCAAAACACCTCGTTAAATATAATTGCTGGTCAGAATGAACGGGCTATTTTACAGAAACAATGACAAGGAACATTATATTATTGTGGTTAAAAACCAGTAATTGTTCTATTTTCTATGAATTGCTTTACTTAAAGGAAAAGTCATAGAAACAAAAAAATATTAAATAAAATCAATTTTTTTATCATTGCTAAAATATTATTAGTTGTCAAACAATCTTTTTACATATTTTTCTCAATTATTTACGCACAAATAATATTATTATTTTGTTGTTCTTCTTAATTTAAACTTGTTATTTATGTACTCTCATAAATTCTAATTTTCAAAATTATTACAATAGCTGACATAAAATTATTTTTTTATTACATACTGTTTAAACATTCCTAATATGATTACGCGTAGTGTTGTCAACTATCGAAAGTCTAACTATCGATAGTTGACATCGTAAACTAATCGGAATATCGATAGTGCTGAGTCTCAACGAAAGCGAAATTAATCTTTATTTTTATTATAGGTTTGCCAAGATGAAGAATTCTTGAAACTAACACCACAGGAGTTAATATGTCTGATAAGAAAAGATGAACTAAACGTTAGGGAGGAGAGGGACGTCTATAACGCAGTGTTGAGTTGGGTGAGTTATATTATATCGATAAAATTATATGCTGTTTTCATCGACATTGTTTAAATCTTTATCATTATAAAATTTGTTTACCAAACAACTAGAATTCTATAAAAATGTCATCTCACTAAATCCATAAATGCTTCTCCCAATCTTATCATGATTGATCATATGTACTTTTTAAAATAACTTTAAACAAAATTTTAATTTAATTGACTGCGCTGCATAATTATTTAAAAGTTAAAACGGTACTTAATATTTATATAACTTAGATGTGAATTAATGTGATACAAAAGAAACTAATATTTTCAAATTATACCTACGCGTTATTTTTAACTGCTTATTCCCGACGTTTTGGCAATTTTGATCACGAGCAGACGATGTGTTAATCACATTTATATGATCACGGTTGCTGTAAAGTAACCGAAACGTCGGGAGTATCTAGTTTTTAATCCAAAAATATTACTTCCATTTCAATGAATACTCATGAAAGTCTTAGACCTCAGATCGTGATACAAATTTTGTATGACACTGTGAATAAAATTATTTATTGTATAAAAGGTGAAATTCGATGAAGATCGTCGTCATCCTCGTATGGAGCATATACTTCAGGTCGTAAGGTGTCAGTACTTGACGCCCAGCTTCCTGAAGGAACAGATGACAACGTGCTCTGTACTCAAGAAAGTACCCGCCTGTAGAGAATACCTCGCCAAGATATTTGAGGTAAGCTATTTCATAACATAATATTACTATATTCACTATCTACTGAAGATTCTTTCAATATTTGGAAACATTTGATCCTTAGTTCCTTCACGTATGATCAAAATCAGTCAATCAAAATTTATTTCCATTAGATCTTCTACATTTAACTGGCTACAATTTACAATTGAAAAAAAAATGGATGGAGGACATCTATTTTATTGTAACGAAGACGCATTTTATAATATCTTTATTAATGTAAAATATACGTATCCAGGTGATAAGAGTACCTGTTACCAGGGAAAGAAACTGTACACTACAAAATTACTCATGCAGTTGCATAGTAATTTACGTAGTTATATATAAAACGATCACGCTAGGTCTCAGCGCGTAGTGATAAAGAACAAAATAGCTTAAATGAAATTTCATCTATATTAAGGTAACATTAGCAGCAAAATAATATTACGAAGTCATCATTACATCCGTTTCATATAAATGTTGTAATATTTCCAGGATCTGACTCTCCACAAGAAGCCAGTAGTGAAGGAGCGTTGTCCGAACACTCCTCGTATAGTTTACGTAGCGGGAGGATACTTCAGACATTCTATAGACGTCTTCGAGGCTTTCAACTTAGACGACAACTGTTGGACAACACTACCTAGACTTACCGTGCCACGATCAGGGCTGGGAGCTGCCTTTCTTAAGGTACATACACATTACGACTTAATAACGCTTATTAGTTATTATTAATACCTATAATATGTTCTATATGGCATGTATTACGTGTAGGGTTTGTTCTACGCAGTGGGTGGCCGCAACACGTCCCCGGGCTCCTCGTACGACAGCGACTGGGTGGACGTGTACAGCCCTACCTCGGAACAGTGGAGACCGTGCAGCCCTATGGCCACGCCACGACATCGGGTAAACACACACACAAATACATGTATTATAATTGTCACTCACACAAATTAACATGTATCTGATATCTCAAACACTATTGTATAATAATTTTCTAAATCCAAAGTTATTTATATATTCTCCTTACAAACAAACTCACATTATTGAACCGTCATTGTGAATATACAGAGTGACTGGTGAATTACTATCAATATTTAAGGAGAATACTCGGTACATGATTGTCATTCGAATTATGTAAAAAAAATAGGCACTTAATTTTTGACAAAATTTCCGTATAAATAAATAAAGTGTTGACACGTTCCAAGTGTGGACGCGTGCGGCGGCGTGCTGATACAAAACCACGCCGCCGCGCGCGTATGTGTGAGTGTGTGTGTATACCTAATCTGTAGGGTGTTCACACGATGCGTAATTAATTACATAACATTTGGTTAACTTTACTTAGAAGTTTATTAATATTTATGTTATATTAATTTTTATTTTGTCATATATGATCGTCAAATATCACGTCCTCAAGTATCGATAGTAATTCACCAGTCACCCTGTATAGTCCGTTAGACGTAAGCTGAGCTTTGCATTTATGTGAGTGAAAGTTAATTATATTTTAAATAGATATATAAGTGCTAGAGCTATTGTAAATTAAAAATAAAATAAGCAAAACTTATAAAAGGCGACATGGGAATATTTTAAATATTATGGAAAAAAAATAATAAATTAATAAAAATTGCAAAAAAAACTTTACAAATTCTATTTCACTTGACATTGCGTTTTCAACATTTGACGTTGCTACTACAGCTGCGTGCAAAAGTATTAGGCACCCCTATTGTTAGTCACTATCTCATTATATTGCGGTCAAATGTGTGTTTTATGGTTTAGCTATTGTATTAGCGGCAATTTTTAACCAAATTAAGATAAAAGAAAATATTTATGACATCCAGGTGTGCTCCTAAGCGGTGTTTCTTCGGATTTGCTTTTTTTGCGTTTCGGGTTATAGTGTGTTATCAGTGCTTGCAGTGAACATACACGTCTTCTACGCAACTATTCCTATCACATTTCTAAAGACTAACATTTAACGTGTTAATCATGCCGAAAAAATCTGAACTTAGTGCTGAACAGCGTCTAAGAATTAAGATTTTACATGAACAAGGCATGTCTCAGGTTAAAATAGCCCGAGAAGTGAAGTGCTCGCGATGTGCAGTTCAATATGCTATAAATCGCTTCAAAGAGACTGGCACCCATGAAAATAGACCAAGAACAGGCAGAAGAAAAGTTACTACTGAACGGGAAGATCGATTGTTGATTAGGCAGTCTCTACAAAACAGGAAAAAAACTGCTTTAGAGCTCGCTGCAGCATTATCTGAGGCAAAAGGCAGCTCAGTGAGTGTTTATACTGTGAGAAGAAGACTTCTTAAAGCTGGATTAAAAGGATGTAAAGCAAGGAAGAAGCCGTGGCTGTCAGAACACAATAAGAAAAATCGGTTGGAGTGGGCACTCAAACATAGAGATTGGTCAGTGGAAGATTGGTCCAACATACTGTGGTCAGACGAATCTAACTTTGAGGTATTGTTATTTATTTTATGTACAATATTAAAACACATAAATGTTTTTAAAATAACGTACTGCAAGAAAAATAATAACTTTGAAAATAAATGTGTTTTTTTCGTTTGGCATAGGTGTTTGGAACACCCGGTGTGACTTATGTTAGGCGAAGGGTTGGCGAAGAATACAACCCAGAATGTGTGGTTCCCACTGTTAAGCATGGTGGAGGCTCAATAATGATCTGGGGCTGCATGGCTGCCGACGGAGTGGGCGAAATGGTGTTGTGTGAGGGACGAATGAATAGTGTTAAATACACTGAAGTTCTGGAAACAGCACTAGCAACGTCGATAACGCAAATTTTCGGTGATACAAACACCGATGGCCTGAAATTTCAGCAAGACAACGCCACTTGCCACAAGTCCGCGCATACCATGAAGTGGTTTGCTGAAAATCATATTGATCTCTTGGACTGGCCACCACAATCACCAGACCTCAACCCGATTGAGCATATTTGGTCCATTTTAAAGAAAAATATCCGCAGGCACTCGATTAGCAATAAACAAGCTCTATTGGCCGCGTTACAGCAGGAATGGAAAAATATATCAAGAGAAGAATGTTTCAGGCTGGTAGAGTCAATGCCAAAAAGAGTGGCTGCGGTTATTAAGTCAAAAGGTGGACCTACAAAATATTAATTATTTTCTTAAAATAAACCATTGTAATCATAAATGCAGTTTTATTTACACTCGCTATGCTAAAACACCCTAAAACTTGTCTTACTGTAGGGTGCCTAATACTTTTGCCCGTGGCTGTAGTACAAAAGGTGAAGTGCGAGAGGTGCGGGGCGGGGTAAATGCAGAATAATCCGGTTCAAACCTAGAAAAGAACGTGGCATTAAAATATTTAACATCATACCTACACTATCCGTGTGTACTCACACAAATGCAAAGTTCAGCTTAAATCAAACGCACATTATGCTAATTTAAAATTCAAGTCCTTATAAAACTATTTCTCTAATATGAAATTAATGATGCTTTCAAAGATTATTGTTGTTATCTATATATATATAAATGGATTGCTGTTCTTTAGTCTCGCTAAAACTCGAGAACAGCTGAACGGATTTATCTTATCTTAGTCTTGAAATGTTCGTGGAGGTTCAGGGAAGGTATAAAAGCTAAAAAAATTGATTCATTACTGGGAAAACCATAAAAACAGACCTATTCTATTTCCCATACAAACGTTTTTTTTGTCATTAGATTTGACAACTAACTAATATGTCAATCATTCTGTCGCATTTCAAAACACGGAGATTTATGGCTTACAGGTAAACTCCAAAAATATACCTAAATAAAAAAACGTAATAGATATTTCTTGATTATAGGGCGATACGAAGTTCGCCAGGTCTTCTAGTATATTATATAATGTATGTACAGGTCGGTGTCGCCGTGATGGACGGACTGCTGTACGCGGTCGGTGGGTCGGCTGGGTCGGAGTATCACAAGACTGTGGAATGGTAAGTGGATATATATGTATATATATATAATATTTGAAATATAATATATAATATTTGAAAAATTACATTTTACTTTATTCTTATATACTGTTTAACTGTCCGTTTTGATCCGAACAATGTTTGAAACGGTTGAACAGATTTTGACTGTTTTTATACTAGTATACAGAGAATGAAATAAAGAATAACGTTTGTTTGTTAAATTTTGTTATATCTTTTATTACTAACATTAAAATGTAATAAAATCATCACATCTCGTCTGTCCGTGATCACGGTTGCTGTAAAGTAGCAGAAACGTCGGGAGTATGTCGTTTTTTTACAAAAATAAAACCGCGTAGTATAATCCGAAAAATGTTAGTTTCATTTAAATGAATAAAACTCTCAGATCTCATTATGTATTAAAATAATTTAATTACTATTTTTACCAGACGAAGTCCCGGTTGTTACTATCAAGTCAATATATCAGTTTTTAATTCACTCTATCTGACCAACGAAATAAAATCAAATATAACGATGAGAATAGACGATAATGATATCTATGACTTTCTCGAGTATACATTTAAACAAAACTTACGACACGTAGTAATTCGGAAATAAAATTTATATTTAAGAGGATCAACAATGTTTTCAGTTACGATCCAGAGAAGGATACTTGGACTTACATAGCGTCGATGGGTCGCGCGAGGCTTGGGGTGGGGGTCGCTGTGGTCAACAGGCTGCTGTACGCTGTGGGGGGCTTCGATGGAGCGAGGAGGACCGCCTCCGTGGAGACATACCACCCCGAGAACAACTGCTGGACCGAACTGGCGCACATGAAGTACGCCAGGAGTGGCGCCGGTCAGATATATTATATTAATATACGATAACATTCATATCATAAAGTTGTATTTACGTAACCTTGATATGTTATATAATAACAATAATACCGAACAAGGAACAAATATAAACTAGAAACACCTAAAACTCGAACCAAGTAAGGCATTAAAACTATTTCATTTGAAGGAGCAAAGCTGTATAACTCTTTGCCTCTAAGTGTTGTCAATTCAAAATCTCTAAATATATTTAAACAACGATTAAAAACCCATATACTAGATGATTTCAATGATCTTGTTTAATATCAGTATGTACTGTTTATTATTTTTAATATCTTAATTGTAGTTATAATTTTTAAAATTTCCTTTGTAAGCGAACTTTGTTCTTTTTGGAAATGAACTTCTTTAAATCTAATTATAACTCTATATAATAATATATGAAAATCATGTTCAATAAAAGTTAACATTAATCTTGTTTTCCGTATGAAGTCACTTGTAACTATAGATAGCGCTGTCATTAATTATTTCTATCTATAATTAATTTGTATTTACGCAAACGATTTTGTTATAAATTAGTTGATTATTCTCTGTTTTAGGTGTAGCGGCGTGGAATCAGTATATATATGTAGTGGGCGGGTACGACGGGTCGTCTCAGCTGTCGTCGGTGGAGAGATACGACACGGAACATGACACGTGGGAGGAGGTCACGCCCATGAGGTCCGCGAGGTCCGCGCTCTCACTCACGGTCCTCGACAACAAGCTGTATGCTATGGGTCAGTCATACCTACTAATATTATAAACTAACTCTGTCTGTCTGTCTGTTACACTTTCAAGCCTAAACCACTGAACTGATTTTAATGAATGGTACAGATATAGTTGACCTTGAGAAAGAACATAGGATAGTTTTTATCACAGACTTTTGAAAGGTTCTCTTGAACCGAACTCCACGCCGGCGAAGCTGCTGTACTTAATATAAAAAGTTTATATTGAGACGAATTGATGTAGTGTTAACTAAACTGAGTTAGTCAGGCATTTTGTATAAATATAAAATCTGGCAGTAATATATACGACTTTTTATTTTAATATACGCGGTCTTACAAATCTGTGTTGTATGTTCACTCAGGACATGTAATTACGAAATGTATATAATAAATTAATATATGTTATTAAAACTAAATCCATCGTAGCTAGAGCAGGTCTTGTTGTAATTTCATATAATAAAAGTGTCACCTAATGACCTAACATGAATGTACCCAGGCGGGTACGACGGCACTTCATTCCTGGACGTGGTCGAGATATATGACCCGGTCACTGACACGTGGTCGGAGGGCACTTCGCTGACGTCAGCACGCTCGGGTCACGCCTCCGCGGTCAGCTACCAGCACGCGGCGCCCCCTGACGCTGACGCGCGGCGACATGATGACGTCACCATGAACCTGCCACACGCACACAGATAACACACACACACACAACAGCGCTGCCTTAATGTTACATTACATTACAAGTGATCTGACACTGTAACTGATGATATAAAACTTATTTAATTTGTCTACACTCATACTGAATATATCAAGTCTTCTTTACTAAAAGCTTGAATCGTTAACTACATATGGATCGTGTGAGGATTTTCAATCATTTTTCTACATCGATATCAACGTGTGCGAACATTTATTTATTAAACTGATAACGATCCGTACTTAGTTTGACGATTCGAACTTGTCCTAAGGTTAAAATTTTGTCACACGCAGTGCTGGTGTAAATTTGTTTAATGTCGAAGCTTCCTAATATGAACCTTTTATAAGTGTAGAGTCTATACAAAAATGTTTAGTCCATAGACACGATGAGATATAAATAAGCAGAAATGTAATGTAACTTGTACTATATAGTTTAAGTGTCATAATTTTTATTTCATTCCTTCCAATCAAACATAAGCAATACCTGAGTTATATTTGTATAATGTTCTGACATGTTCTATGTTTATATGAATGTATATCTTTAATTAATATTATTGTTTAATCCTATAAAATAGCAGTTAATTCACAAAAAAAAAACTAGTTTCCATATTTATTGTGACGCGAAATTCTTATTTATATCATTTGTCACATCAAACGAAGACCATCTTTATAAATTTATATAGCTCACCAACAGTTTATAATTTTCAAGTGATTTAAAGGCATTTAGTTAGAAAAACAATTGTATCACTCTTATTTATGTTTATTCTCAATAATCAGATTAATGTATGTTATTTAAATTCTCCCCAATTTGTTATTTACATTGAAATGTCATAATCCAATCCAAATGTATGGACTATGAGGCATAATCAAAATTATTCTAAATATAAAAATTTCTGCCATTTAGATAGTTGTACAAGAGAAAATTCCACATTTCGTGTATCATAATGTTTACAATGAAAAAAACTATTAAGCTCGTAGAAGCTAGTAAATATAATATGTAAATTATCTATAAATATAACAATAATGTTAAGCATTTGTTGGACAATTTCATTTTTAAAATTCGATCCTAGACTTCCAAATAAGGTTTTTAAGAAATATGAATGAACTGATGAATTGGCCTGTGTTTAAAAAACTTACTGTGGGTAAAAAACTAAATAATTTTTTGCTATATTGGTAATATTATAATTGTTTAGCATATTACTTTCATTTTTATTTAATTTTAAAATATAAAAAAATAAGTATAATTCGCAGGATTCAATAACATTGCTTCTTAGGATATAAAAATAAATGTAAAATTAAAACAGTACATATATGTTTATTTAAACGTTTAATTAAGACTACTCAGTCTGCTGACGCTTTTATTTTCCTTAATTAAGAAATCATAAATCCATTAATAAAACATGAACACTAGGTTCCTCTTAAATTTACTTCTTATTTAATTTATGTTAAAAAACACATCACTCTTATCCTATACAATGATGACTACATAGCAAACATTAAGTGAATTAAATAACGCATATTTACAAATTTCTATGTAATTTTTAAGTCTAAGCGGGTTTTTTGGTGATTTTCTTTCTTCTTTTCACGAATATTCTGACGTCTGGTACATCAGCATCATTTTTGATTTTATTTTCATTTGTGTTTATGCCGATTGGGGTGTGAGAAGTCAAGTCGTTTTGGTCAAATTTATTATTTGTAGATTCTCCCGGTACTAATGTAGAGTCCTGTTCAAGAGATTTCTGAGAGCTCTCTAGTTTATAAGGTGTCGATGTTGCGATTGCTGTACTAAATGTGCCCTTTTGGAAGTCAAATTGCTTTTGAACAACATTATCACGCGGCGGGACTTCTGTGTCTCGAGAAACACATTGAGGCTGTATTCCAGTAGATATTATGATTGTTTTAATAACATCAGACTCGTTGTCAGCTTTTACATTTTCATAGATTAGCGCTGAAGAATTGTCTTCATTGCAAATGACGGGTTTATTATTTCTATGTTTGTTGTCGTCGCTCTTCTTGTTTTCAGTATCACTACCAGGGACAGCTTGTATTGATTGTTCTTTACTCATTTCAACATCCTCTGTGTTATTGTCTTTAAGAGCCTGCACCGTCTTGACTTGTTCGTCGCTCAAGTCTACCGCATCCTGTGTATTTTCAAACATTGATTCAAATTTGCCTGTATTGAGTGTAGAGGCGACAGGCAATCCTAGATCATCGGGCGTTATTAAACTGTTGCTGTCACCGAACAAGTCGGTGAATTTATTTTTTGCCGGACTGGATTTATTTGGCTTCTCTTCCGATGCTATGCTTTCTTTTGGAGGCGACTTATCTTTCGAAACATTGAATTCTTCTATATCTTTTTGTTTTTTTGTTTTACGTCTCTTTGAAGTTTCACGTATCTTTTCTTTACTAGAATCCTTTTTATGTGATGACTTTTTCGAATCTTTGGATCTTTTCACTTTATCATCCGTTTTATTTGAACTCTCTTTCTCTAAACTTAACTGTACTTGTTTGTTAGTTACTTCGTAAGATATTTCTTCCTTCGCTTCATTTTTACTCGAGTCTTCCTTTATTAAGTCCATATTGTCACTTGTTTCGTCACTCAACTCTAAATCTCCTTCAATTGTACTAATATTGACGAGTTTATTACTTTCTGAAATATTAAAGCTGATAGAGGTGTCACTTAACTCTGTTTCGTCAATTAACTTTTGTAATATTGATTTTGATTTATCATATCTAGTGTTAGCGGTAGTCGTTTTATTTTTGGCAGTGTCGTTTATGTTCTCAGGGCTCTTGTCACTTAAATGTTTACCTTCTACAATAACTCTGAAATCTTTTCCAAATTCTTCTATCTTTTTATGTTCATCACTCTTTTCTTTTATGTTATTGGTCTTTTTGGCGTCATCAGCCTTTTTCAGACGCGGAATCTTGTAGAAGTTTATAGGCTTTCCAACATCTTTTGAAGATGTTTGTTGGTTTGTATCAACAATGGCACTACTTTTCTTGCAATTTTCACTCTTTAATTCAGTAATATTCGGGAAAATTTCTTTAGTTTGATCTTCACATATACTATGAATTTCACCTGATTCTGTCGATAAATTTTGTATATCCTCATCAGACTGTAACTTAGCATCATTTTGTTTAGTGGCCTTAAAACTACTATCAACTTCCCAACCAGTTATCGGTAATATGTCAACATTACTCCCAGCGACTGTCATAAGGATTGGCTTTTCACTATTTGATTTTAAAATATATTTATTACTTAAAAGTCTAGGATCTTGAAGAGGAGTTAGAGCTGTATGAATAATTTCTGAAAAATAAACACACAAATATAGAAATAAACAAACAATGTTTCAATTGAATTACTAAATGTGAGAATATGATAAAATTATTACCTAAATCTTAGTATTTGTTACAACTATTACCTTTAACCGAATGATGTACATTTGAATCTATATGTGTATAGTCAGGTGACTGGCATGTAGATGGATCTTGAAGTCCCTGAGTGTATGTATGTCTTTCACCAAATTCTTTTTCTTTGTCAATATTACTATGTCTTGTATAAGAGTCTATTCTTAACCGCTTGCTACTCGGTTCTTCAAGTTCATAAGGTCTCTTCACAGGAAGGTCACTAGTGTGATGGGTTTTTTTGCCATGCTCATAGTAATTTTCCCTTTCAAAATTATTCCTTCTATCTCTACTTTTAGCACGATTGTATCTATCAGTGCCGGGACTTCTCTCATATCTCCTTTCCCTTTTATTTTCTCTCTGATTGTAATTATCAGATGTCTCTTTACTGTATCTAAAATATTTGGTGATGTATAAAAACCACTCATTTTATTTTATATTTAAATATGGGTAAAATATTTATAATAAATGTCATGTTAGTAATATAATTACCTGTAATGATTGTCTGGGCTGTAATATCTTCGAGACTTGTCATATGTGTCGTAGTCATGAGTCCTTTGTCTTTCATATTCACTGTACCTACTACTTCTATGTCTGTATGAAGGTTGTAGTGGTTGGGTGTAATGTTCATATGACGGTAGACTCAAATGATCTTGCTGTTCATAGCGTTTTTCATTTTGCCAAATATCTTTATGAGGATTTTGGTGATGTTCAGGTATAGTCTTTCTTGAATCTTCATCAGAACTGTAAGTCGGTTCAACTTCCCTGAAATAAAAAAGTTTAATCTTCAATGTGATAAATTTCATCTTTTTTGAGACATTTATAAAATACATCATTAATGAAATTACGGATAGTTAGTTGATTTTCTTCTATCAATAATTTTCTTAACACTTTCTGTCTCCTGGACATTTTCATTTCGATGTGTCCTATTTTTTCTATCTTTCTCTTTATTTTCATCTGAAGTAAATTTATTTTTGTTGGTTATTTTCAATGTTACATTTTCAGTTTGATTCGATTTACTGTCTGCTGGTATACTGGCCACAGTATCCACTGAGGTTTGGGTTTTAAGTTGAGATCTGGAAAAGACAACTAAATTAAGGACATATTTAACATGATTTAATGAAACTCACTCATCATCATAACCTTGTTTGACACAAATTCACAAATTTTAATGCACATTCATAAAACACTTATAATATATGAAACAATTTCCTTGTATGTAAAATTGAACTTATTTATCCAGAAAATTATTAAGATTAAATCTTTCTCTGGGAACCTACTTCTACTATAGATATGCAGAATTATCAAATTGCACCAATCCTAACAATAAGTACATATATATAGTCAGAAATAACACAATAACCTAAAAAAATGAATAATATACAAAGTTTTATAAATGACGATAACATTTATCATGTTAATTTTGTCTTACAGGTTGTCTGAGTTTCCGGCTGAATCTTTGGCATTCTGTTTAACTTCATTGGTTTTATTTTGATAGACATCTTTAAAATTGCTTCGTCGGTTCTGCAGTATATTCTTACCCTTTTGCAGAGATTTAATTACAAGCTGATCTTTTCTGAAATAAAAAATATATTAATAAATAACAACCTCTGAAAAGTATAAAAGTTATTTTAACCTATTTTATATTAAAAAGACTTTAACAGCATGTTAATTAGTACTCACTCTAAATTCAAATTTTTTATAGTCTCAGTTTTTCTTTCAATCTCCGCTCTAGCTGTTTTTAACAGAGATGAATAATTTCTCTCCAAATTCTTAAACTCCCCGCTTAGTTTATCAAAGTCCTGCAAAATATTCTGGAATATCAATTTTGATCCATCCATTAACATAAGAACTTTCATAATAAAATAATTAGGTAACTAAACTACCACTCATATTTTCTTCTATTACATGTAAAACTGCTAAGTCTTTACTCTATTGGTGGGATTGAGATAGAATATTATATATCACATTCATAAACTTTATCTAGTTAGGAAACCGGTGCATGTCCAGTAATGAAATACATACAAAATGTAATTACATATTAACATAAAAATTTGTTTCTCAAACAAAGTATTTGTATTATAGGAAAAACATATACTAACTACTTACTATACATTATATATAGTAAAGATAGTGAAAATCTGTGTAACTAGCATTGGATAATTCCAAATATCTGCAGTGGAAGCAGATTATCAGAAGAAGGTTTAAGCTGAAATATTTTCTAAATTGACAACTTTTACAGTAATTTTTTCCCAATTAGTACATAATCATTTAGTGTTTCATTTATTATTATATGCATATGGAATAATCTCCAACGGTAGTTAAGAGGATTTACACTATCCCCAACAATATGTAGTTTATCACAACTAAAAGTATAAGTGTAAGAGTATAACATAAATATTATAAACATTTTGAACATTCCCATATAATGTAAAATGTCATACATGAAGGGTTTTGTATTTTATTTCTCTTGAATTTTTGGAAACTTAAATAACAAAATGAGTTCAATAATATATACATTGCACTTGATATTTTAGGCCACTGTTACTTTAAATGTGTCTATGAACAATGCATTCACCTTATCATGATTGTGTGATACATACGTAAAATAAAATGTAGCACTCAAAAATACTCACTTTTTGTAGTCGATGCAAAGCACTAGAATATTCTTCGAGTTTAAACTTTAGCTCCTTGTTCTCAGATTTTAGCTGTAAAGAAATATAATATCACAGAAAGAAATGTAGTAAAAAATAAATATTATATATTTAAACTAAATCGTATATTGATCAAAAAATTAATAGTAACTTGTAAATAGATTTGACATATTACAATTGGCGCTAAAATTACATACCTCTTGAACAAGATTCACTTCATTATAATTGTCTAAATCAGTATATATTACATCCATTATTAAAAAACACAATAACCTAGGAATTAAATCACAGTTAAAACATATAAAGATCAAAAGAAATTTAATAATTCTTCGCAAATTCTTATTTTATTTTAATTTTTTAATCTTAAAGCTTCGAATTTTGAAGTCAGTGAGTATGCTTGTCACTTTTTAATGACATTTACGGAAGGATTCACTCAGTGTTACTTTATTAAAATTATATTTCATGGAAATGTATGAAAATTTGAGAAAATGTATTATCTGAAAATAAATTTGTATCGTTTACCGTGTCATGATATTTTTAATTAGAATACAATGACAATACATACGTATGTAGATAAATATGTTTAGTATAATTTGAGGATGTCCTAGTTGGGACTGTTTTATTTATTTTTATACCCAAAATAAGATTTTTTTACGTCTAGATATTATTTATATACATTAAGTAATTACAAATTCAACAGAATTTTAATCAACATTAAAATCGTTTTAATAGATTGATATTCAAATATCAATGTCAATTAATATTCTACATATTTAGATTAATTATGAAAAAACATTTATTCAATATCTTAACAATTAATATAAAAGTTAAATAATTTATATTTTAATTTAAGTTTTAACAATTTGTGTCCGCCCGTCTTTATGATGTGTTGAATAAAGTTTGGCAACACTAAAGAATTGAGCAGTTTGTTGAATGGATACATAGTAGGTTCATATTTACTATTAGGTACTATTATAGATGGAAGGCCACTTTATTATCGCTGGTACAACCCGCGTCGTTTAACGTTTTGGTAGCTCGCTCGGTGCAGACGCGAAAATTGTGTAGTGTTTGTTTATAATGGGCTCATAGCATTAAAACAATTTAACTTGTGGCTTTTATTGTTTCGTCGTAAGTCTAATAATGTTTGTTTTATTAAAATCGTTCAGCGCGTGATTTAATCGCCCCAATGAAATAGTGCAACAGGCGGCTATAAGGGCCCGTGTAAACAGAGAAGAACATTGTGATTTCAATTTTCAAAATGCCTATAGATTCAGAGTGCGATTATGACTTGGTGACAAAAGAGTGGCTTTTAGCCAAATTGCGTTCAGACGAGAGAGATACAATTTTGATTGACTGTCGAGGGTCTAATGAATATGCCGTATCCCACATTCGTTCTGCAGTGAATTTCTCGATTCCGAGTATAATGTTGCGACGATTATCTGCTGGAAAGATCGAGCTAGCTTCTACTGTTCAATGTAAAGAACTAAAAGCTCGTATCACGCATTGCTGTTCGAGAGGAACTTTCGTGTTGTACGGTGACGGAGCCCCGCGGGATCCAGACTCCGTGCACGGCATCCTGCTGAAACGGCTCAAGCAAGATGGCGTGCAGGTGGTTTGTTTAGAAGGTAAAACAACTTAATCAATATTAACATAAATATATAATATTAATGCCTAGAACTAAAACACTAGGACCCACACTTTAATACAATAGCAGAACACATGAAAACATTGTGAGAATAATTTATTTTATACATTTCTCTCTCTTGTTTTTAGTATTTTTATATATTATTGTAAGTATTAGATTTGTGAATCATTATACACTTGTTATGTTGGTGCATCATCATATCATGAAGATAATTCCGTCCCAACTGATAGTAAATAAGTTACAAAGCTATGATTAGTCGATGGATATTCATTGTTTATGAAAAAAATATATAATTTGTTAAATTTCTTATGGTTCATTAGTCGAACAACACATTTTAGATACACAAGCATATAATTTTACAAAATAATTTTAACACTTCTATTGTATAAATTTCTATAGATAAATTTAATACCTATTGTCATAAAATATTTAGTAATTTGTATTAAAAACTTATTTAAAATTTATGGTAACAGTTTTCACAATGAACCGTTATACCAAATGCATATTTTTATTATAAAAAGTTATTTAAAATGATTAATTGTCATCTCTCATGACTGAAAATCAATTTGGCTAGATTTTTAATGTTGATAACTACTCTCAATACATTTAACAGATTTTTGATTTTCATATTAAACAATTACACTAAATAACTTTAAATTACTTCCATAAAAAACATTTGTCTTTATCAAAGTATTTATTTCAGTCACTAAAACTTCAGGTGCAATAATTTTTAATTTTATAAGTTTGTTATTAACAATAATGGTATTCGTTAAGAACAATTTGAAATCGGAGATATAAGTAATCTATAAAATATTAATTAATTCCTAATTGTTTACCGTTTGTCCAAAGGTTCTAAAATTAAATATTCAAGAAATGTAAAGATCAAATAAATTTGCTATAAGCTTTAAAATAGGAATTATTCTGAAAAATTCATAGAAATCGGTAGTAATTGAACCCACCATTTCTGATATATTGCATATCAGTTGCTGTGACAAAAAAGCTTTCAAGCACCGACTTAAGTTCATGAATTAAGCTTTTTATATATTCATATAGGGTTGAAGCCACCTCTTAAGGTTTTTTTACGAAAATCTTAATAAATTTTTCTATCTCTGCCAAGTTGCCACAACACACATTAAAAAAAAGGTATGAGGATGTATAACTATACAAATATTTCCGTATGTTTGGAGCTTAGTTTTGATAGCCGGTTCATTAATAAATATGAAGTGAATATATAAAAGGGTCTTAAAGTTACGCCGGAGGTCGCAAGTCGAGGCATCCGCTCTTCCAAACGTGGGAGAGGAAGTCTGCTACTTATTGTGCTCCTCAATGCGAGACGATAGATTATGATCGCCGTACTAAAGAGAACGCGCTCGTTTGTGTTTCCGTCTGTAACGTATTTACGAGCTATTAACACCGTACATATATGAATTGACTATTGCTCTACGTATTTTATGCTTATGTGAATGGAATTAACGTTCCTTTAGACTTACAGCGTACTGCAGCTCACTGTTATTAGTATGGAATTTTTATACATACATATGTATGTACGTACATGCGTATGGTATTATAGCACAGGTACCTTATATAATGAATCGTAACTAAACATAACTGATTTCTTAGAAGCTGGTTTTGTTAATGTTATGGAAGCTTGTGAAGGAGTCGTGAGTGAAGCATTAACACTAATAATAAACATAGGATCAAAGACGACCGGATGCCTGCGCCGATTCGGTCTTCGATAAACGGAAGAGTGCTGCAATTTTATTAATAAGTTCCTGTTTCAGTCACGTCCTGGTTATTCTGTTATGTCAACTTTTATTATATGTGCTTATAAAACCGTTGACGTTATACCTAGTTTATTGCTGAGAACCTAAAAGGCTTACAAACACTGCACTTATATCTTTATATATTTCCTTATGAAAGCACGTAACATATATCAATAAACAATACATATTAAATAAGTTAAAGGAAGTGATTCATATTATTTTGCAATTCAATTATATATAAATAAAATAACGTTTGAACCAGGATGTTGTCGATACAACAGGGTGTGATTCTCTTCATTATAATGATCTGGAAACTAATGATATGCATCTGGTAACTAGGCGAGGAGGTAAATTAAACCGTCGAGCTTTAAATATGCAAGCGTCTTTTATGACTAGAAATTAACCTTTAACATTAATTATTTCTCTACGACATACGTCCTTCAACTCTGATTATATAACGATATATATTTTTTTTGTAACATTAAAAACTGTACGTCCAATGTTACTATATTCATTGTAATCTCAATTAACTCCGGTTGGATGCGCAACGGTGCTCATGAATCGACGAGAGTATAAAGGTTACTAGTTACATCGATTGTATAGTAAATAAAATAAAAACATTGTGTCATTTATTGTATTGTTTACACTGTGTCGCTAATGTGTTAATATTACAATGAACTGATAGGTGTCATACGTGTAATGTTAAGTCATTAATGTTTCTGTAATACAGTCGCCGGTTTGAGGTCAGAGTGCAACAAAAACTTTGTTACATTTAGCTGCTATCTGTTAAATTATCGCTGTTCAGACGGCGCCACTACCATTAACGGTTTGAAATCGAGTACCGACTCATAATTGGTTCAGTACGTTTAGCCCAGTTATATGCATAGTATAAAATTCCTAATTATAATTTTTTTGTTCAAGCCAACAATTATTTTTATAGTACTTTCCGATTTTTGATTTATAAAACAGAATATTACTAACTTCCATCCAATTTCTTGCTATTAAAAAAGTTTGTAACAGGAAATCATCTTTCCTTATTGCTGGAATGTCTTAATTTATTTTCGTTTAACTCTCAAACATCCTAAACCTTCCTCTGGTTTCTTGGAAGTTAAATCTAAAGCGCTGACGTCAATCTTGTGTGTAAATTCTGAGAACCTGAATAATATCGTTATTAAAACATCCAATCGATTATTGGCATTGTTTACTTTATCTCGTCCGATTTCTGAGAATGCTTACTTTTATGTGTTTAAAGTTGTAAAGAAATAGATTCTTTAGATATATATTATGCGAGAATCATTTCATTCGATCTGATGTTACGTGTCGAGAAGTAATAAAGCTAGTATTTGGTGATGTTGATATAATTGACCTATCTTACCGACCGTTAAGTCAATCGTGGCCCACGCATAGCTATATGACTTGTTTCTTTCCAGCCATTCCTTTAAATTGGTCTAATTTGTCCCGACTGGTTTGATTGGACTCTATTTAAAGCTAAATGTAAAATGGACATTATCTCATACAGTTTTTAATGCAATGACTAATTAGCAACGTTATTAATCACCCTATTTCTTCGCACGTTTTTTACTCCTCGTATAAATCAAGTATAAAAATAATTTCAATCTGAAAATTCAAGATCCATTCCCTATCGACGTGAAAAATTCAATCGCTGTTTCTTTTTTGTACTTCTTATCGTAAGACAAATAGAGAAATGTTTTGGAAGCATTAGAATGCATAGACAGTAATTTATGTTGCCCGATCAATAATTCAAAACAATTATTCAAATGTTTTATAAATACAGAGGTTTATATTCTGTTATATGAAGTGGTACATTGTATGTAGGTAGTACATAGCTTTGCAGTTGTTCGCATAAGGTGATATATGATTCCCAAAAAAATATATATTTTATTCTTGTTTCTACAACAATAATAGTGTATGCAAACTAATTTTCGAAGATTGAACAGTGAATGTCCTATATACTGTTTAATGCTATTTAAACCACGGTAATCTGACAATGAGGCTTAAAATAGATTTTTATCTATAATGATCTTACCTTTATATGTTTTAGTAACGTTTCTGTCTTAGGTTCATGCTACATGATATAATAGTTAGAAAATTAAAACTGTACTTCAGACGCGTGTTATTAATTTATTTGCGCAGTCCGAAATGTCTTAAACGTTTCAAGAAAATCACATTTTCCATATATTGATATTGAACTCACAGATGAAATAACTTATTTTTCGAATATCCTTGTCTGGCGTTGAAATTAAAAAATAAACAAATGATTCTTCGAATGTTTTTGTTGAATGGACAATATCACTAAATATGGTTCGCATACTCTTGATATTTCTACCTACGGTTATGATAAATTCAAATATGATCAAGTAAAGATCTCATGTCTAGTTGGTAGTGGGTAGTGCAAGGTTGCCGGTAGTGCGGAGGACGCGGGCCAAGGCTACCGCCCTCCACCCACGCCGCGAGCCGCCTGCCTGCCTCACGTACATCCAGGCCCTGAACTAACGTTTAATACACGGCATAAATGTTCCATAACTATACATATATTTCTTGGACCTTAGATTCTTAGTTTATTTTGACTATGGCTTGTTTATTGTCGTTTGTTTTTAATTACTATTTCTAATTTTTACTGAAAACTACGAAAATATAATAACATAAATTGTAACAAAAAAATAGCATTCAATGCATGTGGTTGTAAACGAGCTCGCTTTCATTATCTAGGTTTACACGTTGAGGGTTTTTGATTCAGCAAACGGATTTAATGGAGTCCTTGGTAGCGAGGTCGAGGGTGGGTGTTCAGTGTACCATTGAGGGGTGGGATGGCTGAGGGATGGGTTCGTGAGGGGTTGAGGGTTGGGGGAGGGGCTGCTCGTTCATTGAGAGCTGCGGATGAATGGACCGCCGCGATGAGTCACCGGATCGATGCCGGGCGCCCCGCCGGCCTCCGCCCCTCACCAGCCGCGCCACGCGACTGCGTGCTTCGACCGATATGCAGCTCGGTCACATTTGGTCCAATTCTTTCCATAATTAATGTCAAGTCGACCTCCAGTCAACATGACCCTTTTCACTTTTAATAAGCTGTTCCAGTACCTATGAGATGATTCATATACATCTACGATGCATCACTTTTGAGCTATAATTTTAATGTTTTCCGGCTATGAAAAATATAAAGTCGCAATCGCAACGACAGCGACTCAGCTCTTAGAAACCATGGCACCGATACCATTTATCTTTATATTATTTTTCTATGAATACAAATCTAATACAAATCATTACGTATCTGAAACATAAAAATTAAATTGATTATAAATTACATTTAAATGGATATTGAATTACGTATGTATATTCGACCTTAATATTATACTACGGAATGTCATTAAAAATTCACACACATACATATTCCTAACGATTATAGAAGAACTTCAAGTATTGTTATCTCATTTGGTATATATATTTATACATATATATATATATGTCAAAAGTGATTGTTGGGTAGCGATATGTAAAGGGTTTGTCATTACCATTACAATAGCGTCTGGCAGCAGGAAGCTATCGTCTCTTGCGAAGTGTGCGCAGGAAGCGTTGACGTCTCTAGCGTTCATAATACACATTATCCAAATACAATCAATTAACTACGTGATCATAATTCAAACGGTCCTCAATATTTATCGATTATAACATATTTTTAAACCTAGGTATCTTAAAATCCTAATGATGATGTTAATTAACATGGTATTAAAAACAAGTTCGTGTCCATAAACCTAACTCCTAAGTTTCTCTGCAATGTGTTGTGGATCAAAATAATTATTAATAACTATAGTAGAATTTCTTGTATTTATATATAAATGTATTACATATAATCTCGTGTAGTTCTTTGAGTTCCTTTGCGGGTAGATAGAAGATATCTATATAATTACCATTTAAATAATTATTCCAAAGTAATAATAATTTCATATTAATCTGTACGTTATCCGTTATCAGGTGATTTCTGCGAGTTCCGTCGTGCGTATCCTGAGTGGTGCAGTGAGGCCGGGGCGCAGCAAGTGCCGCACCTGCCGTTGATGGGACTGCGGTAAGAAATACACAAACATAGATATATATACCACATTGCTGCAAAGTAACCGAAACGTTTATAGTATGTAGTATAGAAAAATACGCGTAGTAATCCGAAAATATTAGTTTCATTTAAATGAATACTCGTGAAAGTATTAGATCTCATTACATAACATATGTATTATAGGTACTTTGTAAAAATGACTCCTTGAACTTGACATAACGTTTGAAAGATAATGTTGGCATCGTATCTTATAACATTTTTTTGTTGATTGTGATTGATTTGGAAATATTATTTTTGATATCATGCTCGTTTTTTGGATGTAAATGACTTGTACGCTGATTTATTATACCTAACAATATTTAATTCCTGAGTTTCCCGCAACTTTGTACGTTCGGTATTCGGATTAACTACTTTGTGTTGTTTTTAATTTGTATGAATTTTTAAACTAATTGAAAATAAAACATTTTCTATGTAAAATGCACTATAATGGACTAGTTATAACTCAATTGAAATTCTTTTAGTTCTGAAATTATACAAATACAGCTACAAATAAACAAAAATGTTCACCATTACTATTTGGTTTACTCGTTTTTATAATATTTATATTAATTTACCATATACAGAGAGCGACACACACACACACACACATATGTATACATATGTAATATGTTTATAGTTATGTATTTTTAATCAATTAATTATGTGCAACTTGTGCATACATTTTAATCTGCAATGCGATTACGTAACCGCATTCGATCAAGTCTAGAAAATTCCAATAACCATATCAATGAACGCTGCATAGCTCGTTATAATGATAGTTAGTAAATGGTATATTTAATGTTGGCGGCTCTAGTATTACGCAGTGGGTGAGGCTGTATAATTACATGAACTACAGAAAAAAAAATACACGTGGGAATCTTATTTTATGTTCTCGAGAGTTTTTCCCAGAACAGATAAATTGATTCAGAAAACTCGCCCGACAACCGCATGAGTATATATCTCGTCGATTCAATATATATTTATGTGTAGCTTAAGAGCGCTAGCGACCTTGCCGGTCTTAATTACACGTTTTCCAAATAGAGTGTAAAACGGCGCAGATAAGACAGTTGTGATTGGAACAAGTCGTTTTCTACTGCGAGCTTGTGATAAATGGAAACTAAATACACTAGAACAAGTCGGAATATCTTGTGTACAAACTTGTATCATAGAATTATATTTAACACGCTATCCATTCAATTAAAACCTTCTTTATGTTATTTAAATATTATAATAATATATTTGAGTTGGAGTTCATTTTCGCGTCTGTACGTGTTGTACGCTCGTATTATATCCTTTGAAGGTCACTGCGCCGTCAATGTCGAACAGTTCATTCATAAGTATGAATATGCTCTGTAGATATAATAAATTTGCATCTATTCATGTTTAGCATACCAATAGTAATTAACTTATACATATTATATGACGTATTGGAAATTTACATATGTTTTTTTAAAATTCCGTGTATGTTTCCGATTGCAGGCATATATTTTTTCCGAGAATTCCAAAAGCATACGACTTTGAGCTCCCATTGAATGTCATACGTGTTACATAATGAATATTAATATGAAATAGCGTTATATGTTACATCAATGAATATTTATCGTGTAAAAAACGTAATAGTAAAAAATCTTTGATGTATGCGTTCAGTGAAGTGTACTCACTCTTGTATGAGAGTAAACGCTCGTACTTAGTGCACTTAACATGGCCGTAATATTGCCGATTGCAACAGAATACTTAGCAAACTTAAAGTAGGAGACTTGTGTAGGATTCATTCATGTAACAACTGGTTACATTATACACATTTCTCATTCAAACTTTGTTTTAATGAGTTACCTCTGTCAATGAACCTGATGAAACTACTTTATATTGTGTTATTTTTTTTTTATCGTATCATCCATTGTTTGTTTACTGAGAATGTGTTTCTTTCATATATTTCCGCTCGCTGGATTCCCATTAAATACAACTTTCCATTTATTAACATTACAACATGTTAATTCTTGTTAAAACTATGTATTAAAATTTAATATTAGCGTCGGATATAAGCTGTGGTATAATAATATTATAATTTAATTATTATTGGAGAAATATGTGAGAATGAATTGTTATATTTCACGTTTATAATTCATATTACTTGACATTGAATCAAAATTTTCCTTATTCAATATTCTCTCACAAAATATTATACTTGTGTTAAATGTAGATAGAAAAATTATTATTATTTATGTTTCATTGTCATAAGAAAACCAAAAGCGTAATTCTTAAACCACATACAGTAAGAAAATTAGCAAGAAAGGTACTTTTTATTTACATAAGTTAAAATTGAGTTACATTATAGCGTAGGTTTATGAGATCGTTTACTGATTACGTTTTAGGGTAACAAATTTCACTCTCACGCAATATTGCTTTTCATCAGATTACGTGTGACGTCACACCAAGCTCACCTACCGCTGATGACGTCATCACCACAACCATTCGTTCTATTACAAAATGATCAATAAAATTTCATAATATTAATATGACATTTCGTGACGATCGAACATGCGGTTTTAATGTTCCCATATAAGGTGTATCCGAGTGTTGCACACCATAGGTTATCTGAGTGACGTCACTCGAACCCTCAATGACGTCATAAGCGAGCCTCGTTCGCGTGACTTCATTCAAGAGTCGCTCCTATGACACACAAACTAACATATATTTATATATCTGATTCACGAAATACGATGTCATCAGTCATTGGTTCGTAGCAATTCGTTTTTGAAAGGAAACTTAACGAATGAGCTAGTTCTTGTTTATGGTTTATACCGACACGTGGCCGGTGGTTTGTTGTTTGTGGCTATCGTGTTTAATACGATTTATACGGATCGATTATCACTAAAGATATTTACTAAAGATATTTACTAAGGTACTATACTATGACTCACTATGAAATTATCGTCAATTGTGTCCTTGTTGAAAATACTTTGTACGTGTAATCGTAAATGATATAATATATATTGATTTCAAGTTCACATGTTCTCTTATATGGTGATTTAATAGGACCTTTTATAGATTAATTTGTTCATATAAATGAAAATCATATTATTCTCAAGGCTGATATTTTTAAAACGTCACATCATGTCAAAGGATTTGTAAATAAAACAATTTAAAAATATGTTTTAATGCATTTTTTGAGAAGAAATCAAACATAATGTTAATAAGTTGCTAGTTTTCTAAACATCGCATCTTTTATTGAATTGCTTATATAGTTAAAGACATTTAACATATAGCGAAGTATATAGTGTTAGAAACAGTATTAGATATTTAAAATTGAATTGATGATTTCATACAGCTAAGTTCTATATGAAACAGTTGAGACGGATGTTATGAAATCTAAACAGTGAGAGCGGGTCCGTTCCTTTGTCCGTGTAGGTCGTCACAGGACGGACCTGTGAGTCGGCCATTAAAAAAAGAGTCCCTTAGAGGCGGTCATTGGCTGCGGGTCGGCCGGCCGCATTCCTATGAACCAGCGCACCGCACGCAACCGCACGCCCACACGCACCCGGGGCGACGTTAACCTGCACAGTTAAACTGACTGTGACTCACACCCGCGCACGGACACACACGGACACACCGCGCCCGGCCGGCCTGTGAACATACAGCGTTCATTAATAAAGCGACCGGCCGTGTCACGGCTTCCGGGGGCCTCCATTCAAATTGAATTCGTTGAAAGCGTTTGTGTTCTATTATATAATACCTCCGGTTACATTCGAGCAGCATTTCAATACGATACAGATATAAAACTACGTTGGACGTTATAGATGATATTTATAAAGAATTGATGTTAGCGAACAGGTAATATAAAGATAAAACTGGTATCCTCCCACACTGGAATCGAACGAAATAGCTATGTTGTCATTATCAGATCAGTTAGAATGGCAGCAGGCAGGGTGCGGGGGCGAGCTCCCTCAATGGACGTGTCGAGCTTCACCCACGCACAGCCCACGCGCGTCTTACGATGAGAACGGACGAATACTACCCACGGACATACACACAGCACACTTATTATAATAATAGTCGATCGGGTTCACTACACTTGACACTAACACGCGATTAATATAATACGACACACATGAAGTTATATGTAATAGAATATTTCATAAAGGAGAGAAAATAAAGAAACCCTATTTTTTAGTTTATAATGAATACTTTGCTGATAAAACGTTTTAAAAAATAACTAACAACAAGCATTTGTATGAACATCACAACGCTATTGTAAATGTAAATCATTAAAGTTACAATAGCATTACATTTGTAATAGCAGTAGGTACATGACGAACGTCAGAGCTTTAAAATAATGTTCTTCATTGAGACGCTGCGATGTAGCTTGATATTGTTAAACAATATGTATGGTGTATGTTAAGTAAATAAAGAATGAGTTTTATCCGGGGAAAGCGTGGCGTGGGTGTAGACGCGTTGGCGGCGCGGCGTGTGGGGTGACGGAGTAAGGCTGTGTAGGCGGCCATTGATCGAGGGGAGGGTGAATGGTCCCCAGCCACCCCCATTGAGTAAAGACGATCGATCGGCAGCCCTCAGCCCCCGGCCGCAATCAGAATACAGCCTTTCATATCACACATAATAAACATATTATAACAAATCCACGAGCTACTAAAATAAACTTAATTACTACATGAATAGAGTTCATTTCTAATCAACTTACACATTGTTATGAGATACATTGATCATTGATGTAAGACTGACATAAAATAGCGTTTTATATCTAGAAATAAGTGAAGCTTTCTACAATAATGTTGTATTTATGATGTAAGATCTGTTTGACGTCACGTGATTTATGAGATCATAATACATTAATAATTATTATGGAAGATGTATGAATAATAGTAGACGTGACGCCCGGCTTTGATATTCAGAATATATTTCCAAGTCATTACATCCGACACGTACACTTTGATTATAAGAAAATCTGAAGTGAGAGCACTTCATATAAAGAACACATTAAGATCTGAAAAGGTCAAAAGTCAAATATTTGGGCAAATTAATAATAATTATTTCCGAATGGCATGCTCCTTTACGAACTAACGATATTTATATACGATATTTATAACGATTTCTATATACGAGTATGTATTTTGTTACAGTCGAATGATGTTTGAACTATTTGTTTCAGTTCCCTCCGTATATCTGGTTCTGGTTGTGACGACGCTCTCTCATCAGGCTCGTCTTCTGAGTGTGAGGACATGCACACACATGCGCCGCAAGACTTCCCCATAGAGATCCTTCCTAACCTGTACCTCGGGAACTCCAACAACAGCGAGGACTGTGAAGCGCTGGCCAGACACAATATTAAGGTATATTACACACTGTACTGGAGCTATACAACAAACAAATCAGATTCAACAAACAACACATAATAATTATTATATGGGCATATTTTTATTGAAAATAATAGTTCTTAATTGGTTTTTAAATGTTTTATTATTATTTCCAGTACGTGTTGAATGTGACTCCGGATTTGCCGAACACATTCGAGGCTGACGGTTGCGGCATCAACTATCTCAAGATACCCATCGCAGACCACTGGAGCCAGAACCTCGCGGTGCACTTCCCTCAGGCCATACGATTCATTGGTGCGTACTAACAAAATGTGTACACTACAGTTTTTTCAATGTAGCCTATGAATGACTCAATTCATCAAAAATACGTAATGGGTCACCCTTATTCTATGATAGTAATTGTTAAATCAGTTTATGTGTGTGTGTTCCAGAGGAGGCGATGTCAGCGGAGGTGGGCGTGTTGGTGCACTGCGTGGCGGGCGTGTCTCGCTCGGTGACCGTCACGCTGGCCTACCTCATGCAGCGGCACCGGCTGTGTCTGCGGGACGCCTTCGAGCTGGTCCGCAGCCGCAAGACGGACATCGCGCCCAACTTCCACTTCATGAGACAACTGCACTCCTTCGAGAGAGACCTCGGCCTGCACGAGCGGAGCGCCAGCCTCGCCAAGGTCTGCCTCACCAGCTGTTAGAGACCGCTACTGGTCCCCGTATGTAATGTGCCGGCCCGTGGTAGTAGTGAGCGCGTGTGTGTGGCAGGTGCTGGCGGAGCTGGGCGGGGCGGGCGCGGGCGCGGGCTCGGCCTCCTGCGGCTGTGCGGCGCCCGTCTGCGAGCGGTGCGGCGTGTCGCCCGACTCCGGCATAGAGTTCGACCGCTGGAGCGCCGCCCGCGACACGCCGCCCGCCAACACCACCACCACACACCACACGATAGACAGAGGAGGCCGCTGATGTACTTGTATGAACACGCGACCCGACACACTAGTGGACACTGTAGCACTAGGGACGGACGACGGGTGATACGTTAGTGCCGCGGTTGGAGTAATCTTAAGGAAAATCTATTATTATTAAAATATTACATATACTTTAAAAAGTATAGATTAAGTCAATTTTTATAAGTTTGATATAAAGTAATAAAATATATATAACTAGTATAGCGAATACACGATTCCGAGTGCATTCCCTGTGTATCTTCCAGTACGTTACGCGCGTCGCGTCCCGGGGCGGTGGTTGTTCGTTAATGTTAACTCCCTCCTCCTGTGGACGCGGTCTCTTTTCTTTTCCTCTATGAGGATCATACTCTCGTGCCACAGTTATTTCTATTCACGGATCGTTTTCTGTTGACTCGCCTCTCATTATTGAAACTTTAATAATTCCATGATATGACTTATTTTGTATTGCGCACAACGCAGATTTATGATAATAGTGTTTTATATACAAGTAACCACTCTTATCTATCGTTTTTATTGTTATTTTTCAATGAAGAAGAGTTAGAGGAGTGTTTTTATCTTTAGAACAAATTAAGAGTACTAGTGTTTATTTTTATATCAGTCTTCTGTAAATTTTAAACTCTAAATGGACATTTTACAAAATGGAAATGTATATTATATTAAAGTATAATGAATATTTTAAACTGTTAGTAGGAAGTCGCTTATAAATGTGTATTTTTATATGGAGTATAAACTTTTCATACAGATGTCATCGCACGTGTCAGCTGTTTATTTTATACCGCGTGTTACGTGTTTGTTTCCATGGTCACGTATCGTTTAAGTGCTGTTAATAATATTTTTCTATTCGGTCGACGTTTGTTTCATCGTGTCCTAAATGTACATAAAGAAAAGCTTTAATATTAAGGTCGTTATTATAAAAATGTAGTGAATTGTTACAAATTGTAAATTTGTTGTAGGTTAAGACTTGTATTGAGATTCGACTTCCTAAATTTGTTGCCAAGTTACGTCGCATTTATGATGCAGACCTCAATAATATTACAACACTGAATCATGAACATTCATACATCACTCGTTATAGGCCTCACAGTTTTTTGTGTTTAATATTTTGAGATCGTTTAAATATATTATTGATTTTTACTTAATTCGGATATGTATAAGGGCTATGGTGATAATTTATTTTAGCCTTAGTTGCACTATATACTCGAGTTTTATATTTCTAGGTGTAATTTAAATTGTATTGCACAAAATCACCAAAGCCTTAAAATTACATTAATACCTACGTCACTGGACGAGTGACGACGACATCTTGTACCTGTACTATATTGTGTTACAAAAAACAAACGGTGCTGCCCTCTGCCGGAAATGGACATCAAATATTAACAATGCCGACTCGTAGATGGCTTTTCTGCTCCACTTACGGTCGGGGCGCATCATTTGTCCACGGAAAATTTGTTCCTGTCTACAATATATATAATATTCTTATTCGAAGGTTAACATTTTGGATTTCATTTAATGATTTTTCTTAAATGGTGCAATTATTAAAAATTTCTCGACCAAAAAATTGTTATTGCCAATTTTTCGGTAAAGTGGAATGTCTGATGGAACTTGTAATATTAACCTCAATAACAAAATATAAACACTGTTAAATTGTACGTATTTGGCTTTTTATTTTCTATTCACCGGCCCTTATACTATTTAATATATTTTTGTATGTAGCTGGTTATCTTCTAGGTAATTGAAGGTCGTAAATAAAACACAAATTACAGAAAATGTTAATTTATTTAAAATAAAAATTGCTATGAAATTTAAAATGGATCGTGAAATAATTTCCAATTATATTTTATATGCAATTTCATAAGAGAAAATGATTTCAAATTCTAATTCTTGAAGATAAATATATACAAGCTAACCGAACATAATTCTAGAAAATATTAACTCTTGCTAATTGACTATCGTTGGGTGAAATGCCGAGAGCCCGTTACCTCTCAGCAACTACTATACGTTATACCTACGTTCAAATAGGTCTCGTTACATGCTAAAGTTAGTTCTTCACAGTTTTATTTTTAACATGTTTGTTAAATAAACTATTACATATACAACGAGTATACAATCTTCAAAACAATCGTAGGATCTTATAAACTACAATTAAATTATGTACAATAAAGAAGTGCCGTAGAAGAACGAAAAAGTTGTGACATATTACAAGTAGCTAAGGTACAGAACGTCAGATAGCGATCGCACCTCAATGTTTATTTGGCACATTATGTGCTTAATAAAGAGTTTTAAGCATCTGTATATACAAGGCCTACGAGAATATTGCTTTTTGTTGAATTTAAGGATAAGTACACATTTCATATCTCATTCATAGTCAAAGATGATAAGTCGAAATGATAATTAAAATTTCTTTTTTTGAGAAGATAATGAGAAAATCTTTCATTCTTTGGAATGTAATGAAGATTAAAGTAATATAAATATAGAGAAAAAAAAAATTGAGAAAAATGATATGACAACATGATTACGCACTAAAACACTTAAAGGCACCCACTGTCGTTAAATATAATAAATTGGTCCGTCTTGTGAATTAAATATCGTATATAAAATATTTCATATAGGTTATTTTTAATGGCACTCAGTAATTTGGGAGTCATATATATTTTTATCGTGCCATTTAAATTTGTCCAAAATATTCTTAAATATAACTATAAATTTTGGGTAAAAAACAAATATTTCTATATAATATGATAGATGCTATAATATCACTGTAACATTGCACTAGCTGCTAAGGCGATATAAATATAACTTTAAAGCCACTATCATAAACGAGTCGGAGTCCCGGTCTCTACTCATGGTCGCGTGTATAAGGTACTTCTCTTTACAAAAACTACACATTGAAATAGTTACCTTTGAAATATAAAAGCTTTGCCTGGTCCACGGTGATTGGATGTGTTTTGAAACAGAAAACAATAGTTGAAATGAGCTACTGCCATACAAATTGAACATTGAATATAAAATTAAAGTAAAGAAAAATATACATTTACGAATTACTAATACTTTAGATTTATTTTACTGCTGATGTATATCATGATTTTTCGTTTCGATTTAACGCTCGCTACTATTTATACGGCGTCGATTATCTGAATGTGTCCAATACACAGAACAGGCCAATTAATGTACCGCATCTATATCCCGCTGGGCGCGCGATATCTTTACCTGTAAGTACAATATACAGAATTATTTAATTTAGTAAGAAAACAAAAGCAACAGCAATCAGCCTCATAAATAATAGCGTCGGTTGTGTTATAGAGGAGAGAATGACGGTATAAAAAGAAAGTTGAAATAATTCAAATTTACTTACGATAAAAGGAAATATTTAATTATAAACAAGGTGAGGTATAGTATAGTAAGTGACCTTATCCTTGGGTGTGGAGGGGTCGCCTGACTCGAGCGCGAACATCTTCATCTTCTCCTTGAAGGACAGCTGCTCGGGGACCGGCGCCGCCGCCGCGCGGGCCATCGCCTCCGCCGCCAGGCGACGAGTGCGAGGATCCCTATAACATACGAACCAAAATAAATCACTTATAATTACAGTTCTATACCTATTAAAAAAAAAACTTGTTATCCTTTCCATAGTTCCTTTTTAAAACAAACATACTTCAAACCGCTGTGTGATTTAAGTTGCAGTACATGTACATAATAAGAATTACACGTCATTTTGATTTTGGAGAACAGTGACTTCATACACTTAATTTTGGAATAAACATGTTACAAAGAAATCAAAATTTTATTACCGTACGTAACTTTTAATCGGAGACTTATTCACCGGCGCATGGATTGTTTAAGGGACTCCAAACGATCATTTAAACCAAACCAGATATCATTATACAGGAGTTTAAAATCGCAACTAAGTGAAGCTTTTTTGATGTTATATATTTTTCAGTTGTAAACATGTTTTCATCTTTAAACGAAACTTTTTATAACCTTCTTTGGCATACCGTTTAAGTGGTTGTTTTCATTTTTCTGCTCTATTTTTTATTTTATTATTATTGCGTCTCTTGTAGGCTATAAGCTTTGGGTCAGATTTAATTTACGCGATATGATTCCAGGAAGCTACCTTCATCTCCAGAGATAAAATCTTTTATTTTTAGGATGGGATTTCTTTCAAATCTGTATCTCTCCGTTAAGAGGCAGGTTTATTTCTACCTCGAACAGAAGAGGTTTCTTTATACCTATCTTAGTCCCGTATATAAACATATGACTAATACCATGAATATGGTTGATTTAAAAAATTGCATTTATTTCACACTCCTTCAGTTTAACGCAATCAGAATAATTCTAATTTCCTTATGGTCACAAAATATTTTACAATATATCGTAAATTATATTGTATAATGTATTAAATAGTATGAAATGACAGAACCAAATACACTAGTAACGTTTTGTTTATCTTTAACAGTGAAAGTATTTATAACCACACTAAGCATAAACCAAGTTTGTTGAAGAGCAAACGTGTCATATTTTTATAACATTCCATTCATAACATACACATCAAATCTTATAAAAAGTGTAGTGTAGTCTGTAGTAAAAGTTTAGTGTAGTCAGTATCGTCTATATGTCTCATACCTGTACACTTCCTGTGCTCCAATAACTCCGGGCGTGTGAGCCGCGGTCTGCGTCGTGCCGGGGGACACCGGCCCAGACAACATGCTCTCAGCCTCCTCGATGAAGCGCTATATCATACATATATAATAAATTAATATTACACATATGTACATACATATGCATGCAGTTAGTACATATATTGAGTATTGAATAATAGTCCATATGAGCCACACGTTATTTTAGTTCATGTATCAGTGTAAATCGATTGAGTGTTGTTTGTGACATAAACATATCCATATATTTTTTTTAATTTAAGTTTACAAAACTGACTTACAACTAGTGCATACAAAATAAAATCTAAGCTAAACAGAGTGTCATTAAATTGCAGTCTTCTGGATGTAAACCTAGCATGCTTTAAAAAACATATACCTTGCTTAGTTAACAAGAACAGTACTTGTGTAATTACTGATTAGTTAATTATTTGATTATTACATAAAATAATGTGATTTTGTTTTAAGTTTCCTTTTAAGAGAACCAATAGATTCACTGAAAACATCTAGGTGTTGACGACTACAATTCGCAAGCGAGCAAATACGGAAGATAATGTCTTCTACCATACTATATACTATCATATATGACAGTGTTCAAAGATCGGTATATGGAGTGTACTAACGTCGGGGTCTTCATGTGTGGTCGTGGTGGTGGTGGTGACCGTGTGTGCGGGTGCGGGCGGCTCCAGGGGCGGCGGGGAGGAGGCCGGCGGGGCGGGGGGCGCGCCCGGCGTAGCTCGCTCGTGGAACGACACGCGCTTGTCACGACTACTGCCCACTGGTGACCTGGAGGACGGGCGGCGGTTTATACCGATGTATGGACAGGAGCATTTCATAGAAATTATATAGCAAACTAGATGACCTGGCGAACTTCGTATCGCCCTATAATCAAGAAATATCTGTTACGTTTTTTTAATAAATAAATTTAGGTTATACCTTAGCCTCAGAAACAAGTGGTGGTTATGTTATTATTAAATAGTCGTTCATATATGACGTTTGTATTTTTAACATAGCACCATCTATTGAATACTTACTTAATTTAATAGACAAATAATTTGCAGTAAAATAATATTGAGATGTAAGCTATTCTATCTTTCAAGTTGGATCAAAATGCACACGGAATGCATATCAAATTTAAGATCGGTTTAGTAGTTTAGGAGTCCATCGCAGACAAACACGTGACACGAAATTTTTATATATATAAAGATAATAGTGAACTGATTAATGTTGAATTGACTTGTACAAACACATTAACCCATGACAAACATATTGGATGTCAATTTATAATGTAATTAGAAATCTACTGACTGTGGAGGTGGAGCCGCTGTGGCGTCATGATGGTGTGTGGTGAGCGTGGTGAGCGTCGTGTGTGAGGAGTAGGCGGCGTCCGTCCGCCGGCCCGCCATCACCGCGAACGACGACCCGCGCTCCGGGGGCGGCGGCGCCTGGCTCGAGACACTCCCAGACACAGACAGGACGGACATACTGCTCGACACCTCTGACACACGGGACTCCTCTGACGCGGGCTGGAAACAAATAACTATCACTTGTAGGAACCCTTTTGACGATATACATATTATATAATGATATAGTTCTAACATACCGTGTGTGAAGAGTATCCGTTGGTGAGGTCGCTGCGCGGGTTGCTCTTGAGGATCGACTTAGGCGGCGCGGGCTGGCGCGACTCCCGCTCGGGCTCCTTCGGGGGTTCAGGTTCGGGCGACGGACTCTCTTCCTCACCGCCTCCTTCTCCTCCGGTGACGTCATCCTATAAGCATATTAAAGGAGTGGCATATGTTGAATATGTTTTTTATATTATTATCAAGCGTGTCTGTGTGTGAGTCAGTTAGTGTGCTCACATGTTGCGTGGCTCGCCTCTCGAAGTCTCTCTCCAGCTGCAGCGCCCGCAGCTGTTGGTTCTGTACGGGAGTGCGCGCGGCGCCCAGCGACACTAAATGAGCTATAGCCGCGTCTCTGTCAAATATAATGTTGATATAGCAAAACAATTTTAAATAAATGTATAAGTAATCATTATTTTGTGGTTAAGAACTTTATTTCTCATAAAGAACAATGTTCACTTGAATGAGATGTATTACATAATTCAATTCAAACAAAAATTCAGTACAGTAGCAACGACCCATACAACTCAAGAGCGGTTAATGCAAGTGCTCCCTACAATAACCCAATAGTTTCCTTCTAAACATCGCAAACATTTTTTCATGGAAAACTTCGTCAGGCAAGCCATTATACAGGGTGTATGAAAAACTGTGTCAACCCTTGAAGGCATGTATACATATAAGTATAAGCTTATAATAAAAAATAGTATAACTTAAAAAAAATCAAGCAGAGGTCAGTTACAGTGCATAGGCTAAATAAGTTTAAAATCGACATTATTTGAAAAAATGTTTCAAACATCTGACGCAATACAAGGTCAAGGCCCCGTATCGTCGCGAAGACGCATGCGCGGCCTTTGATCGCAGGCGCCGGCCGCCGGCGAGGCGCACTCGTCTTTTGTTAGTGTTTATTAGGTAGGTTTATCGATAAATATTCTATCGACATTTTCAATATTGCTATAAGTAGTTATGCTTTTCTTTAGTCATTTAAAGTAACTTTTATAAATAATAAATATTATTAATCAATATAATTTATAAATAATAAATATTATTAATTTGGAACTTCTTCAGGTAAATTAACTATGTTGTATTATTAGGATAAATCGTTAATCTATTTCTGTTAGAAATACTGTTTTACAATCAAAAATAATATTAATGTTTGATATATCAAAATAAGTATCGAAACAATGTGAATATTAAATATTTATTTATTGTTATGATTTTTTAAATATCGATATTTTCAATAATGTGAAAGTAACTTCGAGTTCGTCACTAGTAGCGCAGCTGTTATGATGACGCAATACAAGGTCAAGACACCGTATCGTCGCGAATGCCTCCTCTACACGTCGGCGGACGCGTCCGCCTACGTGTAGAGGGAGTGATTTGCTCGTCTGTGGTAGGTATTTGACGTCGGCAGACGCGTCCGGCACTTATCCGTTTGTTGTCGGTTTTTGTTGCACGGATCAAAGGGATCTGGCGCGGGCGCCCGGCGCGAGCGTGCGGTGTGTCCACACGTCTGACGACGCATCAGTGTTCAGCGGGAAGCGAGTGAGAGTGCACGCGTGATTTTCGCCGTTCTTTTTTACCTACCGCCGTTTTTTTCTTGCTTGTTGAAATGGCAAACATGAGCACAGAGGAAACATTTAAATTTCTGGAGCTGTATCAAGCAGAAAACTGCCTGTGGAATCCCAAAAATAAATACCACAAAAATAAAAATGTTGTAAGTACACAATTCATTCATTTTATTTAACTATCTACTTACAAATTACTTTGTTCGGTTTCTATGTATAGTCAGCATCCACCACCTTCTTCTTCTCCATTTTTTTTTAATAACTCTATTGCGATAGACGCTTAAATAATACTTGTAGGTACTAAATAAATAAATAGCTGCGGCAGCAACGGTCTCTATATCCATTCTGCGTGCGTACGTGTTGCATCTGACGAGAACCAACATAGACTGAACGACCTGGCGACGTGTGGACGGCTCGTAGAGATTCATCTGCGGATGCGTCTGCGGACGTCTGCAGACAAATCTGTCTACGTGTAGAGGAGGCAGAAGACGCATGCGCGGCCTTTGATCGCAGGCGCCGGCCGCCGGCGTGGCACATTCGTCTTTTGTTAGTGTTTCGAATAGAAATTTGCAAGTTTAAAAATTAGGTTTATCGATAAATATTATATCGACATTTTCAATATTGCTATAAGTAGTTGTACTTTTCACATTAAAATAATTTCATTTAAAATTACTTTTATTAATAATAAATATTATTAATCAATATTATAATTTGGAACTTCTTCAGATAAATTAACTATGTTGTATTATAAGATAAATCGTTAATCTACTTCTGTTAATAATGGTGTTTTACAATCAAAAATAATATTAATGTTTGATATATCAAAATAAGTATCGAAACAATGTGAATATTAAATATTTATTTATTGTTATGATTTTTTAAATATCGATATTTTCAATAATGTGAAAGTAACTTCGAGTTCGTCACTAGTAGCGCAGCTGTTATGATGACGCAATACAAGGTCAAGACACCGTATCGTCGCGAATGCCTCCTCTACACGTCGGCGGACGCGTCCGCCTACGTGTAGAGGGAGTGATTTGCTCGTCTGTGGTAGGTATTTGACGTCGGCAGACGCGTCCGGCACTTATCCGTTTGTTGTCGGTTTTTGTTGCACGGATCAAAGGGATCTGGCGCGGGCGCCCGGCGCGAGCGTGCGGTGTGTCCACACGTCTGACGACGCATCAGTGTTCAGCGGGAAGCGAGTGAGAGTGCACGCGTGATTTTCGCCGTTCTTTTTTACCTACCGCCGTTTTTTTCTTGCTTGTTGAAATGGCAAACATGAGCACAGAGGAAACATTTAAATTTCTGGAGCTGTATCAAGCAGAAAACTGCCTGTGGAATCCCAAAAATAAATACCACAAAAATAAAAATGTTGTAAGTACACAATTCATTCATTTTATTTAACTATCTACTTACAAATTACTTTGTTCGGTTTCTATGTATAGTCAGCATCCACCACCTTCTTCTTCTCCATTTTTTTTAATAACTCTATTGCGATAGACGCTTAAATAATACTTGTAGGTACTAAATAAATAAATAGCTGCGGCAGCAACGGTCTCTATATCCATTCTGCGTGCGTACGTGTTGCATCTGACGAGAACCAACATAGACTGAACGACCTGGCGACGTGTGGACGGCTCGTAGAGATTCATCTGCGGATGCGTCTGCGGACGTCTGCAGACAAATCTGTCTACGTGTAGAGGAGGCAGAAGACGCATGCGCGGCCTTTGATCGCAGGCGCCGGCCGCCGGCGTGGCACATTCGTCTTTTGTTAGTGTTTCGAATAGAAATTTGCAAGTTTAAAAATTAGGTTTATCGATAAATATTATATCGACATTTTCAATATTGCTATAAGTAGTTGTACTTTTCACATTAAAATAATTTCATTTAAAATTACTTTTATTAATAATAAATATTATTAATCAATATTATAATTTGGAACTTCTTCAGATAAATTAACTATGTTGTATTATAAGATAAATCGTTAATCTACTTCTGTTAATAATGGTGTTTTACAATCAAAAATAATATTAATGTTTGATATATCAAAATAAGTATCGAAACAATGTGAATATTAAATATTTATTTATTGTTATGATTTTTTAAATATCGATATTTTCAATAATGTGAAAGTAACTTCGAGTTCGTCACTAGTAGCGCAGCTGTTATGATGACGCAATACAAGGTCAAGACACCGTATCGTCGCGAATGCCTCCTCTACACGTCGGCGGACGCGTCCGCCTACGTGTAGAGGGAGTGATTTGCTCGTCTGTGGTAGGTATTTGACGTCGGCAGACGCGTCCGGCACTTATCCGTTTGTTGTCGGTTTTTGTTGCACGGATCAAAGGGATCTGGCGCGGGCGCCCGGCGCGAGCGTGCGGTGTGTCCACACGTCTGACGACGCATCAGTGTTCAGCGGGAAGCGAGTGAGAGTGCACGCGTGATTTTCGCCGTTCTTTTTTACCTACCGCCGTTTTTTTCTTGCTTGTTGAAATGGCAAACATGAGCACAGAGGAAACATTTAAATTTCTGGAGCTGTATCAAGCAGAAAACTGCCTGTGGAATCCCAAAAATAAATACCACAAAAATAAAAATGTTGTAAGTACACAATTCATTCATTTTATTTAACTATCTACTTACAAATTACTTTGTTCGGTTTCTATGTATAGTCAGCATCCACCACCTTCTTCTTCTCCATTTTTTTTTTTAATAACTCTATTGCGATAGACGCTTAAATAATACTTGTAGGTACTAAATAAATAAATAGCTGCGGCAGCAACGGTCTCTATATCCATTCTGCGTGCGTACGTGTTGCATCTGACGAGAACCAACATAGACTGAACGACCTGGCGACGTGTGGACGGCTCGTAGAGATTCATCTGCGGATGCGTCTGCGGACGTCTGCAGACAAATCTGTCTACGTGTAGAGGAGGCAGAAGACGCATGCGCGGCCTTTGATCGCAGGCGCCGGCCGCCGGCGTGGCACATTCGTCTTTTGTTAGTGTTTCGAATAGAAATTTGCAAGTTTAAAAATTAGGTTTATCGATAAATATTATATCGACATTTTCAATATTGCTATAAGTAGTTGTACTTTTCACATTAAAATAATTTCATTTAAAATTACTTTTATTAATAATAAATATTATTAATCAATATTATAATTTGGAACTTCAGATAAATTAACTATGTTGTATTATAAGATAAATCGTTAATCTACTTCTGTTAATAATGGTGTTTTACAATCAAAAATAATATTAATGTTTGATATATCAAAATAAGTATCGAAACAATGTGAATATTAAATATTTATTTATTGTTATGATTTTTTAAATATCGATATTTTCAATAATGTGAAAGTAACTTCGAGTTCGTCACTAGTAGCGCAGCAGGTGTGATGACGTCATTGCGTGTCATCGTGTTATACCAGGGCTTACAAAAATTTTGTTATTCTACATTAAATAATCAATTAATATTTAATTTTATTATTTTTATTGAAGAGTTTGTAAATTTAAGTTGTTTTAGTGTGTTACATTTTCGATACTGATAACGTAGTTAAGAGGGTTGACACAGTTTTTCATACACCTTGTATAGTTTCGCTCCCTCAAATTGTATAGTTTTAATTCCATATTTGGTCCTGGTCTTGGGTAATTCAAGTTTGTGTTTATGTCTCGTGCTATGTTTTAGTTTTAAATGTTATTTGTGCGTGTATTGTTTTTGTAAGTATTTTTCTATTTTCAATGTATTATCCACACCTCCTGGCTCGTGCGGCGGCTCGTCGTGCCTCAGCCTGTCTCTCCCGCTCCTCCCTCTGCCACGGGTTGTGTGCAGGTTGTGAGCGGCCGCCCGTCACACCGCCCGCGCCGCCTACGGGATACACCGATACCGCCGGCGGCTCGGACGCGCTCGCTACATACCGCTCTGTGCACAAAACGTTACATAATAATTATGTCGATCAGTAAATCTATGTGATTAAACAATAGAAAAATACTAAGTTGCAAATCAGTTCAATAACGATACCACTTAACTACTACTAGTTGAATAACGGAAATATGTACTAAAAACATGAAGCTTGTTCGAAAAGACATATAATGACGGTTTTTTGAATTTAAGATTTCAAATATTTAAATATGTGACAAATCCTACTTCAAAATTGGAGTATTTTAAACTATTGCTGTATGTTATAAAGTGTATTTTAATATGATAGTTACCGTCGTCCGGTTGTATGTTCGACATCAAAGTTTGTTGTTGTTGTTGATAGTGATCGTCTCCCTCCGTGTCCGTCCTTCTCGATGCCTAAAACAAATATAAATTGCAATATTTACAGTCAATCTGGGTAACTTTGATTCATCGGGTAACTTTGACAGTGGGACTATGAACTAGTTTCGATTATTTTTTCGCATGAAACCAATATTATTCATATATGTTTATTTTAGATTTGCGATATTAAATAAGCTTCCTAAATGCACTTTAAAAAAAAGTAAGTTGTGAAAGTAAAAAAACGTCATAACTTCGTTTCTGAATATATCGCGCGAATTTAAGTTTACTATAGGGTGAATAACTTTTTGAATATTTTGTTATTTTGGTTGTTGATAAGGTAAGTGAGATGTTATACAGAGCCATTTGTGAGTGTACTACCGCATTTTCATGAAAAAATTGCATATAATTAAATCTTATTTTGAAATTTCATGCATAAATATGAAAATACGTATTTTGAACCGTAACTGGGTAACTTTGACAGTGTCAAAGTTACCCATACATAGACAATAAAATGGTGGCGGAAGAGGTGTTAGAAGAGGTCATTGAAGAATTTGTTGTTAAAGATGGAGTTTTGCAACATGCACATCAAAATATATTGAGTTCTCACCTAGAACAACAGTTATATTTAAAACAGAAGGCACACTGTTTCCGGGAAAAGTGACAAGTTACACATTCCCGTATTATACAGTTGTTTTAATGAGTAGATCAACACAAGGTGGTTGGAAATGGTCAGATAAAAGAGAAATTATTAAAATTAGATAAGATGATGTTATATCGCCAGTAGATAACAGTGAAATCAGTATAAAGCAGCCTGGGCTCTACACAAGTATTATTGACGACTTGCTCTATATGGAGTGGGGAGAATAGACAAGTTATGCTGAAGATTTTACAAAATGTTTGTTTGTTAAAATTATTTTTGCTTGTTTTCTTTATAATTTGAATAAAAATGTTAAATTAAAGGAGTTTTTTAAGCGTTTTTGATGGTGTTAAACAATGTGTGTAATATTGCCAAATGTTGTAGACTGATTCTTCATATTTTTTTTTAATTTAAGACAAAATTGCAAAATGTTCGTTTTATTGTGTCACATGCATCCATTAGTTAATAAATATATACCCCAATGTTAAACAGATTGATAAAAATAATACTTATTACTACATTTTTATGCTTGGCTCTGTGTGTGTCAAAGTTACCCATCTTAGGAGGGTAACTTTGACACACACAAAATTTAGATTTTATACTATATTGGTATGTTTTATAAACTTTCTGTGGATGTCTAGAGACGGAAAGTAATACGAGAGCACTGATAAAATAAAAACACCCGAGTGATAGGTTATTTTTTTTTAAATATAGTATAAAATATCACCATTATCTGTCAAAGTTACCCAGATTGACTGTACTATACAGAATTTCATTTCATAGTACCGATTACGATTTTATTTTAAATACTTTATCTCAGTTAAAGAAATTAAATAATTAAAGTTGTATTTCTTTTGAGTTACCTGAGTCACTGGTTTGGGAGCTACAGGCGGTTGTGATCGCTGCGGAGAGGGGGGACCCGGCGGGTGCCAATCGTATCTATAATCAATAAAAAAGGTATTATTATATGAAAAAAAAAACATCGAAGTAGTTAGTCAGAACATTTATCCAAGTATTAGAGAAGACTTTCTATCAGGTTTATTTTTGTAAATAAATAGTACATATATCATATGTAACCTTTGCGACTGTCCGTGTTGGTTGTGATACCCCTGTTGGTGAGGTTGCTGTCCGACCGCGTGTGTTTGATGCATGTTGAGATGCATTCCCTGCGGTAGTTGTGGTGAGTGTTGTGTGTAGGGCCCGGCGTGACTCTGTATCGGAGCCGGGCTACTTTGCATGTTTCCAACCATTTGTCCTTGCATTTGCTGTGTATTAGTGTGCACGTGCATGGGTCCATGATTTTGTATAGCGTTTTGATTCTGCTGCATCGCATGCACGTGCATATTCAGTTGGGCTTGTTGGTTCGCGTGAACGTGAGGCGACCCTTGGTTATTCTGAGGCATTTGTGAGAGGACATTGTTTTTCTGTTGGATTTGCTGTTGCTGGTGTTGCAATTGCTGTTGCTGGTGTTGTAATTGCTGATGCTGATGTTGTTGTTGCTGATGTAATTGCTGATGTTGTTGTTGTAAATGATGCAATTGTTGCTGATATTGTTGTTGTTGTAATGGTTGCTGTTGTTGTTGAGTGCGTCGGGTCACTTCATCCATGAATTCTGCAACCTTAGCGGCTCGAGCATTCACAGCGTTTGATTGGTTGACCTTAAAAGTACAAAATAATTTGTTTTAGTACTATTTCATCCCTTATAAATTCCAAATAATATTAACAAACGTCAAACCTGATGTTGATGTGGGGGCATTACATTTGCACTCTCTGGTGATTGTTCAGAATTAGTAGCTGAAAAAAGAGCAGATTGGGGACGTCCACTTCCCGAAGAACTACGAAGCGAAGACCATCTATCGAAATATTTTTCATTAGATAAATAAAGATATACAAAAAAATACATATTATTTTATTATTTGTAACCTGTCTTGTAGCGGATGATGTCCATGTACGGAGCTGAGGTTCTGGTAGAAGGAGTCGTTCTGAGCGGTCAGGTTGTGACTACTGCGGGACTTGTGAGCCCACGAGCCCGCGCTGCCACCGCCGCCGGTACTGAGAGACATTCTGTAACGTAAGATCATTCATGTATAGGGAATACAAATCAAGATCCAATTAGTCGTTTTTAAAGTTAATACTAGAAGACCCGGTGTACTTCGTATCGCCCTATAATCAAGAAATATCTGTTACGTTTTTTTGATAAATAAAGTTAGGTTATAACTTATACCTTAGCCTCGGAAACACGTAGTGGTTATGCTGTTATGTATTAAATAGTCGTTCATATATGACGTTTGTATTTTTAACACAGCGCCATCTATTGAATACTTTTAAATCAATCAACAGATAATTGTAATAATGACAAATAATTTTCTTTAATAGACAAATAATTTGCAATAAAATAATATTAAGACTATAAATTGAGATGTAAGCTATCTTATTTTTCAAGTTGGATCAAAATGCACACGGAATGCAAATTAAATTTAAAATCGGTTTAGTAGTTTGGGAGTCTATCGCGGGCAAACACGTGACACGAAATTTTTATATATATAAAGATTTTATTGACCCTTGAGTGTGTGCGGGCGAGGCGGGGGCGGCGGTGGCTGCAGGCGGCGGCGCGTGGTGCAAGGCGGGTGTACTCTTGCTAGGCTTCACAGGCTCCGCGGCAAGACGCGCCGGCAGGTCACGCTCCGACGCACGCCGCGTTGATCCTGAAGCTGTGGAACATTAACATCAGTGTTAGATGGAAATGACAGATAGATACAGTGGAATGAGACAAAAATATGATTTATAATTGGAACACGAAACATCTATTGCTAATGACAGTTCAATAATACTCTTGTAGATATTCTTGAGTCAGCTCTTCATTACTTTACCTGTAGTGTAAATAGAGTCCTCGATTGTTTAAAGTGAAAACCTAGTGAGAAGATATAATATAAAATATTATAAAATCCTATTAAAGCATTCATAAAACATATAATACCACAGTGAAATATAAGTGCAAAAAATATATTTAATATTTAAGGATACTTAATGTCATAAACAAAAAATGTTCATTACGGTACGACTAATACTAGAGGTGACCGTCATGGACGTGAAACAATTATCACCTACTTCATTAACTGCTGTTTTGCAAACCTAAATATATGCAATAACATTTATCTACAAAACAAAACGATTATCAACTAAACGTAACAGACTAAAGAACCAAGAGTTGCTCTAACTTCAATAAAGATTCAGCAGAAAGGATCATCATGCAGCCCTGCAAAACAATAAGTTTTAAGATAAGCCGTGCATCTATAACACACCTATTTCATGCTCGGTGTGTGGATCGTCTTACAGGGAGTGGTGTGTCGAGGGTCGCTGTGGTCGTGGGCGGCCAACTCGGGGCAGCTCTGTACGGAGGACGCCCACGCGCTGTCCCGACGAGCCCCACGCTCAGCGTTCAAGTCCATAGACGACTTGTGTCTCCGGACCAAGTTACACTGCTTGTTTATTTTATTCATGACCAGCTTTTCCAAACTGTCCGTTATCGTCACCGTCTCTGGACTTTCTTCCGCCTGTGCATGACCTTTCGGAACGATACATTTAAGCTTTATGTTATCGAGGATTATTTTTTTAGGTTTATCGCTAATTTCATTAAACACGTAACTGCCGGTGGCGGATACGTTCGTCTCTGTGTGATCCTCTGAAGGGAGGTTCGGTAATTCGAATTCGTTGCCTTGAGCCAGTGTATCCTCGCTCCCACGAGATCCGAATTTGGACCAATCCTCTAGTTGTATCAGAATACTCTTTACTTCATCCTCAGACATTTTATCAGTTCTTCCGTCATCGGTATTGGATTCCTCATTTTCATATTGTATATCGGCTAAGCTAGTACTGCTTGGCAAAGTATCTTTGATTCTGATATCACTGCTGGTTCCAGCTACAGTTAAATTGGGGCTAGATCTGCAATTACGCTTATAACTTTTAACGCAATACTTTAGATTCATTTGATTAAAATGTTTCGCTAGAGCTCGCACTTTACCAAACGACGGCCGGTACTCGTCTGGCGACTTCCAAGACTTTCTTTCACAGGTATCTAGTATAGGATTGACTTCCATATCGATGTGATTTGTGGTCATTTTTCTATGAACAGCAATGTCGTATGACAAATCGTTAAGAGTTTCTGAAGTTGAAATGGACGGAATATCTGTATCATCGGATCTGCTTGAAACATTCGATATAGAAAATAGGGTTTTTCGTAATCGAGAATGTACGCCTTGTATGCTTTTCATTTCCCTGTTTAAATCTAGACCCAAATCCTTCTTCTTGCCATTAACACTACGTGGTTTGATTGGTGGCTTTAGAGAAGTATTGATAGTCTGACACATAGCATCGGCTGTCTGTGGCTTCTTATCATCCGTATAGTCTAGAGAGAGGGACGGAAGTATTCGTCTTATTTTCGGGGTCGATACTTTACTCTCACCGCAATCATTTTCGAATATTAAAGGCTCTGAATTAGGTTCATCTATAAACGGTATCTGTTGAGCCTCCGGCTGCGGCGTGCGGCAACACTCACACGCACTAACACATTCATCGACACCGGTACAACGACGTCTATGACATTCTTCATGTGTTCTGACGTTGAAAAGATCTAACGTTAATTTTGTATCGATAGGTTTCATTTCTGGCGGTAAAAATATAGCTTCGCCACTTTCACTGGACTGATCGTAATAGGCGGGAGGTTCTGGTACAATCGGTGGTTCTTCAGAAGGTACATGGGTATCTGGTAGGGTGTCTGTCGCCTCTTGCGCGTCATCATCATCACAAGTAAACGTGAACACTGGTATTGGATATAGAGGTCCCGGCCCAGTTTTATGATCCATGGGATATCCAGATACCTCTGGAGATTGGTCTTCCTGTAACTGATTGTTTTCACGGTCTAAAGTAATAATGAGTTTAGGTATTGAGCCGTGATAGTGCGGTCTGCACTCCTCGGTCTCGTCAGTGCTAGACTCGGAAGTCTCGTCTCTTAATAGACAACGTTTGTAATAAGAAAGACGACCGTCTCCTGAAAATAATACTTTTATGATATAACATATACCTTCATCTGTTTCAATCAACGAAGCGAACATATAAAAACCATAAAATCAATGAAAACGTCAACCAAAAATTAACTCAAAAAATAACCAAAACCAACGACAAAGTAAACAAAACCAATAAAAAACCGCAAAACAACTTCATAACAAATATGTAATATAATTTGCCTGCGGTAACGAGCTCGGTGAGGGGAGACGTCGGTTTCAACAACGCGGGATGAGGGTTTGTGAATGTTCCCGAGTTCCGTCTAGATCTGTCCTCATACGTCACTTCCTCGTCTATAAGACTCAAGAACAAGTTGCATACATTTCAATGACAGGATGGATGAACAAATATTATTATATCAATACATACCTTGCCGTTGGCTGTAGGTCGGTTGATGTAGGAGAGTTGCGAGACCGTGAAGTACTGCTCCTTGTTTAGCGACCTCGAGCGTCACGGTCGGACCAGTTCCTACTAAGTATTCCGCTGCCTGTTGAAAAGCATCATGTCATGAGTTAATTCGTATTATATAGTTACTAGAATCCGGGTCTTCACCCGGCGAACTTAGTATCACCCTATAATCAAGAAATATCTATTACGTTTTTTATTTATATTTTAGAGTTTACCTATTAAAGCCATAAACCTCCGTGTTTTGAAGTGCGACAGAATGATTGACATATTAGTTAGTTGTCAAATCTAATGTCAAAAAGAATCGTTTGTATCAACAATTACTAATAAATTAAAAATTAATTAAAAAAACATTGTAAAATTGTGAATCTAAACCATTCCCAGATCCCTTTGAACACACGAAAAATTTCATCAAAGTCGGCCCAGTCGTTTGAGAGAAGTTCAGTGACATACACACTCAGAGAAAAATTATATATATAAAGATTATTATATGAATGTTAGTCACCATCTCCTGCGTGATGCCCACGAGCGAGTGTCCGTCCACCGACAGCAGCTGGTCGCCGGCCGCTAGGCGCCCGTCCGCCGCCGCCGCTCCGCCCGGCACCACCGACTTTATATATATACCGAGCTTGCTCTGACCGGCGCCCTGACACGTATTATAAAATTATATCAGTTTGTATTGAAATAAGATTAAAATCCACGAAAATTAACTAAATAATAAAACGATAAAACAGTCATCGACGATGTTACAGATTATAACATTTACTACTTAAACATTTTCATCAATTTTCTATAAACCTGAAGAGTGTCATCACCTTGTATAATCTGTATATTTATTTGAATGTAATACTATACAATCAATTTAGAAACCATCCATTCATTTTTTCTACAGAAATGCGCTCTATAGTAGTTATACAACTATGATGACATAGTATGTCATCATAGTTGTATAACACTTTTTGAAAATTAAAGCGTAAGCTTAATATTAAACGTAATGTTAAGCGTATACTGCAATTAAAGTAAAATAGAAAATGAAGAATGTAAAGTATATCAAAGTATAGAAACTGTGAACTGAGATGAATGGGAGGTAAAGATATCGAATGAAGTTTTCTTTGTATAATATTTCCTATTAAATTTTATATCATAATACCTTAGCGGCCACGATGCTGAGCCCCATCGAGTTGGAGTTCTTGTGTAGCTGCACTATCTGTACCCGCGGGTGCGTGTCGTGGTGCGGCGGCGGCGCGGGCGCTCCGTACCCGTGCATGTACACGGTCCAGAGACCGAGCGCGTGCGGCTGGTGCGCCAGTCGACACAGGCCGCCTCTCTGCAGCGGGGCCACGAACTCCGCCAGGCCGGGCGGCACGCCGCGGACCACCTCCGCGCTGAACCCGTCGCCCGGGATCAACAACGCCGCTCCCAGCCACACGCTCTCCTCTAATGTGATCTGCGAGTAAACACATTTATTAACTACTACCCGCGGATTTCCGGGATATAAAGTAGCCTATGTGTCATTCCTAGAGGTCAGCTTCCTGTATACAAAATTTTATTAAAATCGGTTCAGCCGTTTGAGCGTGTAGAAGTAACAAACATACACACACACTCACAAACTTTCGCAATTATAATATTAGTAGGATATGAATTTTTATGTACCTTATTAATCAAATCTATGCGTTTCACAGAAATAATCGGAAGGGTATTTAAGATTCACAAAATTGTTTCGTTGAGAGTATAATAATTCAATAAAAATGGGATGTAATTTAAAACCATTGAATTGAATTAATTCTACTACAAAATTGCTATTGATAAAACAAAAATTTACACTACCATACTGTTGACACATACTAAGATACGTTAAAAGTATATTCTATGATCTAGCCTCAGTGAATGTCTAAAAATAATTATAATTATGACATAATTCTATAAAAGTATGTTTCATTAGTAATTTTTTAGATACGTATTGTTTTATTTACTAACAATTTTCAAACAAACGTTAAATTTAAGTACTAAGGTGGTAAATTTTAATACGATAAGGATTACAAATAAACAAAGTTTCTATGTATAATGTATGTATACCTCACGTCCATCAGCTCGATACAGTTCGTCTGCGCGTGCGCGTGCGTGATGCACGGCCGCCTCCACCAGGTCCGGGGGCAGGAGGGGGGCGAGCAGCGCGCGGACCTGAACCGAGTTCAACTTGAAGCACGCGCCCAGCGCGCCGCACACCTCCTCCGCGTTTCGATACGTACCGGATATAAGACGAGCTAGAATATATCATAACAAATACATATTTTAGAACTAAGGTATTTTTATAAAATTTTTTGTGTGTGTTCAAGGGGATCTGGGAATTGTTTAGATTCACAATTTTGTCCGCTGGACAATGTTTTTTAATGAATTTTTAATTTATTAGTAGTTGTTGGATACAAACGTTTTTATTTGACATTCGATTTGACAACTAACTAATATGTCAATCATTCTGTCGCACTTCAAAACACGGAGATTTATGGCTTTAATAGGTAAACTCCAAAAATATAAATAAAAAAACGTAACAGATACTTCTTGAGTATAGGGCGATACGATGTTTGCCGGGTCTTCTAGTACATTTATATAATGATCATGTTACATACCAGCCTGGTGTGTCCGTGCCAAGTGGCAGTCAGCGGCCAGTTCGAGTCCCTGTCTCTCAGCCCAGGCCGCTACTAGCGCGAGTCGCGCATGTAAGGCGCTGCCCCAACGAGCACTCACTGTGCCGGCTTCGGTCACCAACTATGATACAGTAATATGAGTTAAAACTATTAATAAAAAAAGAGTTTTTTTTTCTTATCTACTGGCCTACCTAAAAAATCATTCCAGAGAAAGGAGATAAATATTGCAAATAAACTATTCTATTTATCGACGAAAAAACATAGCTTAAAAATTTAATAACAAAATACTATGAGATATTCATTATAAACAAATCTACTTCGTAAATTGTTGTTATTGTAGAAAATTTAAAACTTTTTTCAACCTACTAGACAGACAAAAATATCCTTTTAAAATGATTAAACTCCCTTCGTTTCTTCTGTTGCAACAGAATAAAAACCTTAAAAATAAAATTTTATTTTAACTGCAATATACAGATAATATCTATACTAATATTATAAAGCTGAAGAGTTTGTTTGTTTGTTTGTTTGAAAGCGCTAATCTCCGAAACTACTGGTTTGAATTGAATAATTCTTTTTGTGTTGGATAGTCCAGTTATTGAGGAAGGCTGTGAGCTATATAACATCACGCTACGACCAATAGGAGCAAAGATATAGTGATAAATGTGTAAAAAACGGGAGAAATTATTTCATCTTTGAAGCCTTCCGTTGCGTGCGCCGTGAAAACGGTTCAAAATATACAAAAAATATGTATTAAAGAATAATAGCTCTTTTAATGATCTAAAAAACAATCCGCGACAGTATATGTCTATCTTTTAAGATTAACTCACAAAAACCGTTTTTATGGTACCTAATTTGGTCGAAATAATTTGTTTAAGTTGTATCAACATAATAATATTAATCTTGATTCAAATAAACAAATAAATATGTTGTTGGTTAAGAGTACTTCATTGTGAATAAAAAAAATATAGGTTTTATCCTGAAAATTCTACGGGAACTCGACCATTCCGAAAACCCCGCAAGAACGGGAACTATGTGGGAAGAACCAAAGATCTGCCGGAAGTCACTATTCCACGCGGACGAAGTCGTGGCAAAAGCTAGTTATATATATACCTTATTAAAACAGACAGCGTTGATATAATGGAAGAGGTGTGAGAACAGTTGTATGGTGAGTGCTGCGTTGACTCTACACCGTCGCAGTAGTACCATAGCGGCGGCCAGCGCCTGTAGCGTGGGGGCGGTGGCCTCCGTGGGGTCTGTGGGGCCCCCCGCCCCGCTACACAGCTCCACTAACGCACGAGACAACTCCTCTTGGAAACAGGTCACCAAGTTACTGGAACATAAACCAAATGAAAACTATATACTGGGATTATTTAATAACATCTCCTTAATTCATCAAAGTCCATGTAAATCTCAGTAGTTTAAGATCTTATTTATTTATTTTTATTTTTTGCTACACACATACATTACATATATGTATTATACAGTTATACAGAAGAAAAAAAAATTAAATTTGTAGCAAGGGGTCCATCTCAGTATAAGCTGTGCTAATGCACAGCGCTGATTTTCAGATGGCCCCTGAATATTGGGTAAACAAAACACAAATGCGTGCAAACAAAAATCAATAAATGAAATTATAAGTAAAATAAAAACTAAAAAGCTCTTATCCTTGAGAAAAAAAAACATATAACACAAAAAGAAAAACATCACATGGAATTTTGACATAAGAGAGACAGACAAACAGACTTTGAAAAGACATTAAAAATAAATATGATAAATACTAAGTCTATGAGGTAGTATGACTGAAACATGTATATTTGGAGGTTGTTACTCTGACTTCTGTTTATTTAAAAATAATACCGTCAAATGTTTTTACAAAGTCACCTGGGACGTACTATTACGCAGAGGAGGGGTTAAGTCGTTCCATATCTTTGTGGCAGAGTATTTAAACCCTCCCTTATATTGCAGATCTTACAGATCTTACATCATTTATTTTATATATAAATACGAATATATGTACATAAAATGTACCTCATACATTAATAAGGTAGCATAAAATTTTGATACATATGAACATTGTCCACTGGAATTTGTTTGGTCATGTGGTAAACAAAACTTTGCTTTCGTATATAATAATTGGTATATATAATCTTTCGGACTCTCTAGTATGTTATATATAGTGAGCACGTATATATGTAGCGAGGAACAATCCCAACCAATTATAATTTCATGTTCGTGTTGTTGTACTGACCTGAAAGCATTCTGTACAGTGTTCGGTAGTAACTCCTGTGCTTGTGTCGAAAACGATGATATATGACGATCGCATTTTAGAAAATGCAATAATTCACTTGCGTTCGCCATCCAAAATGCTTGAGCAGCGGAATCAGCACATCTCTCCTACAAAATCAATATTTAATAAGTAATTTGTAGAAGTACATAGCTAACAGAGTATTTAATATGTGAAATCTAAAATTATTGGCCGTCCATGTTTATATTAATGATTTCCTATCACTTTTATAATTTCACATTAAACGCTTTAATCATAATTTTAAATCTAAACCTAAGCTGTGATCTATCGTGATCTATGTAAGCCGCTAAATGGGCTTGACCTATTTCAAGAGAACGCCAATTTAGTTCATAACGTGCATACTTAAATTCAATTCATGCAAAAATAAACAGCGGTTATAGGGCTGCAAATAAAAAATAAAACCAATGTTATATGGAGTTCATTGGTTTTTTTTATATAGAACAAGTATATAGATATAGACAGAGTAATTAAGGAAATATAAAATGAATCTTCACAAGGTAACTTAAGCGACTTTCATATCAGAATAATGCAGGCTTATAAAGTACATATACGTTTGCAATTTAAACGTTACGTAGCCAATGTTTATTGGTTAGGACATAAATTACTTGTTAGAAGATGCAGCTGTATATATAACGTACACATACATGTATGCGTGTAATCGCGAGCGTGTGTGTGTATGTGTGTGTGTCGGTGTATACCTGTACTGTCGCATGTATGAGCGTGGCGACGTGGTGTAGGAAGGCGGTCAGTTTGTGGGCTCGCTCGGTCGGCGTTAACTCGGGTCGGTAGTGGGTGGAGGCGCGATATCTGAAACCACATATTATTATCTATCGTGCTATTTACTGTACCAACATGAAATATGTCATGTTTTTCCTAACAAAATGTTGAATTACATATTTTATGAACACTGGAAGCTTATTTCTGTAAAACGAAAATTAGTACTGATACAACTCATAACTGAGATATCATCTAAAAAGGAATAAAATATCAAATATATATTTAATTGCTTATTAAATTATTATTATTTTTTCTATATGTTCACCATATCAAATAATTTAAAAATAATCTCACCTCGCACATAAATATAATGTGTAGACGGGCGCTAATTTGAATGCAGGCGCGTGAGGGTCGAGTCTTGTGATGACGGCTGCGAGGAACTGAGCTTGACCAGCCTCAGGGAACTCCAGTACAGCGGGGAGAATCGGCTCCTGGCCACGACCACACACGCTCCTACAGAACCAAATACAACAGTTAACATGAGCCAAACAGAGGGGTCACAGTAAAATGGACATGACTTTATATCTAATCACATTTTTGGATAAATTACACACTAAATCCTAAGTGAAGGATTAGAAAAAAAATGTGGAATCCGCGGTATGCTATTACTAATGTGCTATCTAGCTTCGCATTGGCATCGGCTATAAAAAAAACTGCCCAAAATTATAATAATAATAAAGTGTAACGATTGAGGCCACATCGCATCGTCGTATATATAAATCGTTACCTGTTATCGTGTCCCGAGCCACCGCTCTTAGCGCTACATATGCTCTTAGTTTCTACATTCCCATCGAGATCGAAGGTAGTTTCATAATTGTCTTTATAGTGTGTGTTGTTGGCGCGGCTCGTGTCCTGGTTGTAGAGCGAGCCGGTCTGTTCGTTGCCGATGTACTCGTCCTTGTTGTCCACGTGTGTCGCGAGGAGCGAGTCGTTGTCGTTCTTGAGCGTGTTGTTGTTGTACGGGTAGGTGTCGTTGGAGAGCCCGTCCAGGTTGGCGTTGGCGTCCTCCGGGGACATGGCGGCGCTGGTGTCGCCGGGAGATCTAACGGGAATCGTTTGTATGGAGAAGGAACATGCGAACGGTAACACGACATTCAAGTGATTAGGAAGCGACTGTACAGTGAACGAAAGAAGGTTAAACAGTAAATAAAGTAAAACATAATAATGCTAACAGTGCATTATGTGACTAAACTATTTGAAGCTCTAGGAACATGTAGCTAAACTATAAGTATGTAAGTACAAAATTGAGATAACTTCACGACATCCATTTATATTCAGTTGATGAACTTTAAACTCACCTATCATATATGGAGCCGGAACCGAAATGTTGGGACTGTGAAAGATTTCTGTTCAGAAGATTCTCTTGAGCCGGATCGACGAAGCGAAATGTTGATACACGACCGAACTTAAGCAGACAGCTGTGCTGTTAGAGAAAATGTATTTTACAGTTTACAAACAAAAAAACAATAAGCAATACTAACTATATATATTAACATAGCTGTGATATATAAATGTAACAAGATACTCTCGCTATAGTGTTTTTCTATGCATCATAAACATGACATGTTGTATAAGCGTTACTTTGAAAACAAGAAGGCCAGAATGTAAAGGCTCCCTCAAGTGTTTATACAAACCAAAGAATAACAAGACGCGACTCAAGCGAGCCTCACGTCGCCTTCATGTTTTATTAGACTAGTATTACACTGGCACTTAACCACATAACAACGACTCACTTATTTTTACATAGCTTTAATTTTATCTAAGTATTTGAGTATATTTACGTTATATTATTTTGAGATAAATAAAAAATAGAAAATGGACACAGTTGCATATATTTTCGAACCCTGATTTATGACAAATAGCTTCTGACTTTAAGTTAGATATTTCGATATCACAGTGTTTAACTGTAAAAAATTAGCCAAAACTATTCTAAACATGTAAGGCAGACCCTGGCTAAAGCTGGGAAATTGCCAGGTAGAAGAAGAAGAAGTGTTTAACTGTCGGAATTCGGCCACTATGTATCAAAGTTTTAAGACGTAATTCTATTCAATCATCTTCCCTTGTCGAGCTATTCTAATCTAACATTCATAATCCATACTCACTTGTAACCGCTGTGTATGAACAGCCCTTCGTCCGTTGATGTATACGTGAGCGTCCGTGTGTAAGGGAGTGACAGTGTACCCTCCGCCCTCAGCCGGGGACACTACACAGTGTCGAGCCTGGATCGAAGGCCCGTAAAGCTGCAGCGAGTTACCATTTCCCGAACCGATCTAATGTTATATGATATTTTGAGTACATTCCACTTTTACTGGCTTTTAGCGTTATATTATTTCAACCTATATTAAAAATAGTAATACTTAAAGTTAACTAAGACGAGTGGTGAGTGCTCTGATAGCCAATATCATAGCTTGTGTATGTCTGTTTGTGGTTAAACGAAAATATTTTTTCATATTCGATTGATATTTCTTAGGTTAGAGCTACGAACATACTATACCGCTAGATCCGCTTTTTTAAATTGTTACAACTAATCTTGTTAAAAGAGATTTCAAATATTATTCAATTATTTACTGATGATAAAATAATATCAAATATATTATTAACGTTAATATTGATACATTATTAATTCACAGCATCAAAATGCCAGTGCATTGTAGATGTGTATAAAGCGTCATACCTCGTACAAGTCACCGGGGAGCCGTCTCTCGTAATGGTTAAATCGTGTGCATTTACTTACTAAAAGCTTTAGCGGAATTCGTATGATCTGAGAAGCATCCCCTCGCAATAATATGACGTTAACGCGACAAACTTTATTTATCAAATAGCTGAATTAAATAACTTAAAATTAACCATTATATTGCTATTATAATTTGCAATCATAGTCTGTAATATAAGTTGTTTAAGAATGTATGTGTGTATGTTGCTATGTAACTCGTAACAACATAACAAACGTCAAACGTATAGGAACCCTATTATAATTCCATTCGTGTATCATGAAACGGTTTATATGTTAATGAGATCGCTGAGTATGCGTCAAGTATTCGTAAAACACAGCGATTTTGTGAAGGAATCTATATATTTTCGCGTTACCCTGTTCTTTTTCTTGTATATTTTTTATTGGATTCATTTTTTTAAACGAATTCCGTTTTTTTTCTCCGAGTAATAAATTTCCATATTTTAAACGTCTTTCTCTACTGCAATGCGCTGTGCTGCACTTTATCTGCATTTTTATCGATGTTTGTGACTGAAGAGAAGAGAATTGACATTCAAACTGGACGAGGATATGCAAAAAGAGAAAAATACGTACATATATATATACGCTATACATCTATGGTATTACAATCTAACTATTTGTATTGCAGTCCTAAAATAAATATGACTTTGCTTATTAAAAATTAATATATTTATGTATAAAAAAAATTAAAAAAGTTTAATCGTAATATAAATTATCTAACATAGATAGTAGTTGATGTTTTTTACTTAACTTTACCCATTTTTACTACACATATCTACAATACCTACTAAAAACTTAAAATGGAAATAAATTCCGAAATTCCACATGTTGGATTACAAGAAATATTTATATAAAATATCAAAATCAAATATATTTATTTTGTCTTAAATTTAATAATGTAGACGACGCTTTATAGAGAACTGTATCTACACAATAAAACAAATCCTCTTGAACGAGACCCGAACGAGCGTTCAATAAGCTTACTTATTAAAGTGAATTCAATCAACATTAATTCTTAATGGGTCATCACTCTTCCAGGCTTTAATGCAATCCAGTTAAATGGAAGGTGGATGTCAAACGATTTGACACAGTTATTAGCTACAGTAAAAAAAATGTATTTGTAATGTCTTCTTCATAATTTTACCGTACATAAAATATACTATACAACTCAATATTAAACATTAACTTGTAACATATGTGTGTATTAGACAAGTTTTTTGGAGAAAACCAAAAACAACCAAACAGGAATGAACATAGTGAAATTCAAATGTAGCAATTTTTATCGAAATATATTCTGTTCATTAAAAAACTCTTTTGTAAAACTACCACGAAAAGTTGTAATTTTGCTAAAGGAGATCCTATTATTTTGTGAAACCGAATCGAATTGAATAAGCAAATAACACTAACTGTTTTGGCTTAAATATAACGCGAGATTTCATATTAAATCAAATAAAGGATTTTATGCAAATTGGTCATCTTCAACATTGAGTAAACTCAGACAACTATAGGTATGTACTTAAAAAATCTGCAGTTGATCGAACCCTTTACATACACTCAGTGAAATTAATAATTTTTATTCCATATTTTTATTACTGTCTGTTACTTATATAACTTAAAAAAATATTCATTTGCAGTACATAAACTTGTCAAATCTGATGCCTATACTTCAATCCTATATTACTTTACAGTAGGACATGTAAAATAGCTTTGTCCTACAGCAAAATATACGACTAGATTTATATAGGCGTATAGAGCGGAGAGTTTGTTATATACAGGGTGACTGGTGAATTACTATCGATATTTGAGGACGTGATATTTGACGATCATATATGACAAAATAAAAATTAATATAACATAAATATTAATAAACTTCTAAGTAAAGTTAACCAAAAGTTGTGTAATTAATTACGCATCGTGTGAACACCCTACAGATTAGGTATACACTGACACTCACACATACGCGTGTCGTGACGTAGTGTTGTATCAGCACGTCGCCGCACGCGTCCACACTTGAACATTTGGAACGTGACAACACTTTACTTATTATTACGGAAATTTTGTCAAAAATTAAGTGCCTATTTTTTTTACATAATTCGAATGAGAATCATGTACCGAGTATTCTCCTTAAATATTGATAGTAATTCACCAGTCACCCTGTATTTACCTCAATGACGTCGTTGATCCTTATCCGTCGGCCGTTCTCCAGCGCGGAGCCGTCAGGAGCGACCTCCACTAGGAAGGGTTCCAGGGCTCGCGCGCTACTTCCACCGCCGGTACTCACGCTGGTCTTCTTCTTACGACGACGGGGCTGAGCGTCAGACGGACGCCGCCGCACGTGGAACATGATGGAGCCTGGGGACGAAGGAAACATAAACATTTGATACAAACGTACTAAAACATTTAACATTTATAATTAGGAGATGTGTTTTTTAACATGTAAATGAAACGAAAATGCTTTCACGGTACACTAAAACGACATTAGCCGACACCTTTAAGTAGACTTGAAGTGTATAAAATTAAATTATGACGCGTCGTATTTTATCCTGGAGCGAATAAAATATTGGCTTTAAAGCTGAGTACTTTAACGGAGGGTGAGCGCGGTGCATGCCCCATGCTGAGAACTCGTTCAAGTCTAGTGTCAACATCATTAGCGCCTGATGTGTCGCGCTCCGTACAACGGACCCCGCAATACTCTAGGCGCCTATAATACACCTATACACTTATCAGACTCGCTGCCAACCGCTCCTACTTCAATTCACCTCACTCTACCAAACATTTATTCGGGTCAACGGGCATGAATATTTAAGACGCTGTGCTGATTCGGACTTAAACACTATTTGATATAACCGTTTGTCTAACGTTTAGACAAACAAATCATACGATTAACCTATTTGTATGAACGATATTATAACGAACTAGACAGATCAAATTGTGTTGGAAAGTAAAACTTTTGTTACATGTTATTTGTGCGGTGACCGCTTTCGTTTGTTTTTGGCAAAGACAAACGTAAGCGACTCTCATATGTAATGTACAAACATATAATTCTGGTATTTTTGTTTGAGTTATAAACATTAAAATTATGTCAATAAAACTTTATTTCAGCTCCCTAGGCTATATAAATATAAAACTTCACATGACTCACTATGAAAAATCAATAAACACGAGACGTGGGAAATAAATATTAATTCGCCATCATACATAACCTACCTACTGAACTTTACGCTAACTCGATGTATTGTTAATACGATATATTGAACTTAGTCTGATATAATTTCGTCTTTATTTGAGAAGGCTTGCTAGAAAGATATTTATATCGTACGATAATCGGCATTGCACGGTCATAGGCTATATTCATGATATATACTAAGGTCACACAAGGAAATCATAATAACTCACGAAGAAAATATAACCCAAAGGAGATTAAGTAAATCAATCATCGTCATATAAGTAACGTGCATTGCCTTAATGTACTTGTTCGTATTACCAAGAACGACTTCCTTCTGACCAGCCCGCAGCCTGTAGCTGAAGGACCTGTTGTAGAACATGTCCGAGTCCTATTCATACACACGAGCCCTCTCTCCGTTACTTCAAACCGACGCGACGTTCTAATTGCGACTGTTGTGTCTACGTCACGTGACACGAACAACCATCGGCTTCGGCTCGTGCATTATAATTTATTACATTTTAAATAAATTAATATGTCATAACCAACAAAGTTTAAAGACAACTTCTTCTCTTATGGTTTATTTATTTCAAACTCGATTTATTCAACAATTATTTTTCCACTTCTGAAATTATCTTCATATAGGCATAATTTTTAAACTCAGATTAATAATATCGATAGGAATCGATAGCCTTAAAAAAATACAATAAAATAAAATAATTTAATATACTTAAAACACAATTTAAAAAAAGTTATCGTTGTATGTAGTAATATTTTGTAAGAAACAATAGCAAAAATCTTTTTTTTAAAAGGAGGCTTAAAATTTTGTTCTGAATTATATAATTTTAAGTTTTAAATGAGTTATTATTTGTGTTATGTACTAATTTTATATTTTACCTGCTACTGCACATTTGTTCAAAGTTTTTTGACCTTTTATTTTGTAAAACATTAGACAGGATTCAGTCATACATTAATAATTTTCATAATAAATCTAATATAAGTTTTAACAACATTCCGTTATTTATACAGGGCGTAAACAACTGCTTAACTTGACATAAACATACAAGAGATATCTGTGTAATATATTATTAAAGGATTGAACGCAAGAATCACCAGGAAGAAATATGTAAATAATCATAAAAAATGTAGTGCCCAACACATATAGCAAAAATATGTTATAGAAATATGTATAATGCCTTTTACTAGTTACGTAATTGGTAACGAGGTCGTGTATTTGACATTGTAACTATAATTAAGTCGACATAGAACGTAAATTCATACACAAAATTGTATTCAAACGAGTAATTACAGGTTCGTATCTCAAAAGTTTAAGTAATTCTCTTAATAGCATTATTATAAAGTATGACATCTAACGGAATTTTAATAAAATTATAAGAGTGTACTAATTGGACTTAGACGTAAAGTGGGTCTGTGTTACAAAAGGGGAATGACAAATTGTAACAGTTCTACGACCTTTGAGTCACCTCGGTTAATATTTACATGACGTGTGTGACAAATTTCAACACTTGTTGCGTTCAAAGCAACCCCCTGTGTGTTGAAGATGTAAAAAAGTTAATTACAGCATATCACATTATATTATATACAAATTAGCAACAGTCTAAAATCTATATCATCTTCTATATATATAAAAATGGATTGCTGTTCCTTAGTCTCGCTAAAACTCGAGAACCGCTCAACGGATTTATCTTATCTTAGTCTTGAAATGTTTGTGGAGGTTCAGGGAAGGTATAAAAGCTGAAAAAAATTGATTCATCATTGGGAAAACCATAAAAACAGCCCTTTTCTATTTCCCATACAAACGTTTTTTTTGACATTAGATTTGACAACTAACTAATATGTCAATCATTCTGTCGCACTTCAAAACACTGAAATTTATGGCTTACAGGTAAACTCCAAAAATATAAATAAAAAAAACGTTATAGATATTTCTTGATTATAGGGCGATACGAAGTTCGCCAGGTCTTCTAGTATTTAATATAATTGAGATGGATTTGTATGAAGAAGTTACAAATATAAAGATTCATTCAGGATTCTATAAATACCTACGACAATAAATTCCGATCAAAATTTAAAGGATAAATAGTAACATCGATCGGGTGTACGGCAGTGGTGAGTCTATTATCCGTATATTTATGTATTTGTCCATAAACGTTGAACGGTGACCTACTAACAAATAATGTTTTTGAATGACACGAACCGAACAATGTTATAACAGGTTATACGTACGAGTGTTATTAAAATAACAAGTAGCTACATATAGCGAATATAGTTCAAAATGTGATTAACAATAAACTAAGCCCAAAAGGTGTAAGAAATACACGAGTATTATCCACACATCAATGTAGAACGATTCAACCAAAATTTCTCATAAATTAACATTGAAGAGTTTCTGTAACAACTCTTTAACGGTCCAATGGATAAAAAGGGGCAGCAATGTAAATTAGGACAGAAGACTATGTTACCACAAGTTTGCATCGTCACGCTACACACGAATTGTTTCCCGTTCTCATAAGTTACTACTACACTATACATTAATACTATAATGTATGAAGATGTACTGTTAAACATTGAAGTTTGTTTTAACAACAAATATGAATCACAAGTGTAATAGCAACAATACGTATTGTCTTACATTTCTTTTAAGCCAACTAGTTTGAAAAATGTTGTCATATAATTAGTATAAAAGTTTTATAAAATATACAAAAGCAAAGCCTCCTGAGCGAGATTCTGTAAACAAGAGCCTCTCAACTTTCCTACGAAATAAGCAAAATATTTTGAGTGGAAGTATAGTTCAATTGTTTACTTTAAATATAATCTCAGTGGCATTGTAGTATTGTAGAAATACTTATGGTTTTTATTTTGTTAAATATGTGATATAAGGTATCTTTAAAAGTATTAAAAAATGTTGTAATATAGATATATTTTTATATGGGAAATAAAAAATACATTTAAGAATTTCTTATCCTGATTTTGGCAACGTTCACTAAGAAGGCTCGTCACTCAAACGGTGAGAGTCCTTTCAAGACAATATCTCTGGAAGGTAAAGATGTTTATCATCCGTTCTGAGTGGTTCGCAAACATCTTCCACCAACATAAGTATATAATCCCTACATTATTTAATAATATATGTTATTCTTCTTCTTCTAGAAGATTCTATGTTATTATTGAATAGTAATTAGAAACAACATTCTTCTATGTTCATAATTAATAACGTTTGTATAATGTATGTAACTGTTTTCATTAGAGGTCATCTGGATGACAAATTATGAATTCACAAAGTGAACACCCTCATATCTCTACGCACGTGAAAGGCGAACCCATATTTTTTATTAATGTAATTGGACATACGTCGCACTTTCGACAACCATGTTTTTTCTCTTTCAAGAAATATGATTATGATGCTTAAATTTCTCGAATTTGTTTATGTCATATTCACAACAGAATACACGTTTCTCTTTGTTTTTATCGAACAAAAGAATCAATGAGAAAATTAGAATATATCTAAGGATCTAGAAATAACAGTTGATTTCAAAGAATCGTTCAACTTTGAAAGGGCAATATAAATGCTTGTCTTCATCTCGAGACGAGGCGATAATCTTCCATTATCCTTAGCAAAGTACAACGTAAACGTAATTGTCGTTACTACGTGACCTTTCAAAAAGTGGAACGTGATCTGTATCTAACGTAGTTTTCGGAAGCGAAGGAACTGAGGGGTTTTATCTTAAAAGCACTATAAACATGTGATGATGTACTACTTTTATAGCTAATATTATAATTTCCCCGGGGATGGAATTTTTGTATAAAACTAGTAATTCCCTATAGCTTGAGCCTCTTATAACATATTATAAAAATTAAGTATCTATATTTAAGTTTTATCAAAATACTTACATAGATTGAAAGGGTCTATAATTATCATTATCGTATTGAAAATCATACTCTTCGAGATTATAGAACACAAAGAATCTTTCTTTATATAGAGATGATATTGTGTTAAGAGATGAAAATGTATTAGTTTTTCACTACTAAGAATAGTAATAGCGTGCTAATGATACCATAACAATAAAAAGGTATACGTGATAAACAACTAGAAATGATGTATATAAACTGAACTCACGTGACAAGTTCAAGTAAACCTATTAAGTCCCGCGACGTTGGCTCCTTTTAAAATAAATACTAACATTTAAGTGCCGGAGACAATTGCACCCTTTGGAAATTAAACGTTTGGCTTTCACATCACGTCTTTAAGCTAGAGTCTAGATCCAAAATAAATTGAATGATATTCAAAACTTATAAATATAAAATAGTTATATAGAAAAAAAAAATTGTGTAGGATTTGCAAAACCTTTTATTACGTTACATTTTGAATAAATGCCTAACACGACGAGACTCACGCCCTACAGCGAACAATAAATTCACAATAAAATGAAATACAACGTTTTAGAAATATATGTAATATGTGTCTTGTATGTGAAAACAAAAGATCGGAGAAATAACAGTAAAAGAAGTAACGAAGATCTCGCATGTTATATGCGGTTATAAAATATATTTATTACTGAAGTAATACATTCTTTATATCACTTGATTTACGTTCATGTTTAATTATTATGTTCAATGAGAATTATTCCACACGTAAAAAGATGATTTGTTATTACAATTAATTTTTACTAACACGATACATGGTATTTTTCTGTATTAGAGAACGTTTTTATTTCTAATAATAACACGTTTAATAACAAAACCCATATAATTTTACTGTAAACAACATAAAATTATATATTTTTTTGATCATATTGAATTAAGAGTGTAAGATTATCAATTTACCCTAAGGCTTATTTCGGAGCTGAAACACAAGTCATTTGTCTTAACGTCTTATAGGATTATTGGCTCACATAACCTTGAGCCTGTGGGACCTGACGTCTTATATTGAACCCGTAAAATACGATCTAAGGAATAGGAGCCAATGAAGTCTTTGTATTAAATTCATGGGTATATAGAAATTAAAAAAAAAACACGAATACATTCGACTTCATAATAAAAAAAACTTGAATTGATAATATATAAATATGTACTATTACTATTCGTACAATGGATCTTGGTATATAACAGCCACATCCACTAAAAATCCTTATACATTGTTTGGCACAATTCCCCCGACACAAAAGGTCAATTACTCGTGAAGATCATTTTAGTGGTCTATAAAAAGTGTCCTTTATGGTGGCGAATAAAACCGGTTCGCTCGGATAACAACTTTGACATTTTAAGAGAGACGATTAAATACGAATTAGAAAGTACTCGTTACAGAGGAGAGTGAACGAAATCACGCGTTACAAAGTTCGGAACAAGTTTGTGACTTACTAGAATGCGGCGAAAGTTAGCGCGCTCCCTCGGTACGGCCTTTAGCAACCATATGGGAATTTATAAACTTTAGCGTTTTTAAACATTCAAGGACGGCATTATGCATATCGATTCGGCGATACAACGGGCATCGAACCGCGGAACGTGTTAAAAATAACAGCGCCGGCGAGCCGACCGGCATCCGCGGGCACACCGGTCACACTGCTCCACTGTGTCACATGCGTTTGTTTACTATCGGGTTCGATCGCGCCGGACAGAGCCAGTACGCCCGGCGGCCTAGCAGCCCGCAACTATCTGTTTTGGTAACTTACGACGGATGCCCCAATCCATGTCTTAGAGTGGCGGCGGCGGCGGCGGCTGAGAGACGACTGCCGCCCTCCCGTTCCCGTCCATGTATTCCCATTGTGAGTCTGTACGAACATTGTCCGCTCAACACACTCGCCGCACCCGATACTTACCATTAATACCATACACACATTCATATACTTTGAATGACTTCCTAAACATACTATTACTAGATGAAACTAGTTTTTAATGGATTAGATTTTTTTTTACTTCTTTATAGTCTTAATTGTTAATTAATTTAAAGTTTTCCTGAATATGTGCTTTGTCACATAATATTCTAGTTTTCACTATCTATGTTCCACTAATCTTTATGTTTCACACACTTATTCGTACGTGAGCTTTACGATGTTTAATGTGTATACGGGCACGAACACACTATAAAATGCCAAAAAAGTTTAATGACTCGTCAATGGCTTCTATCTATACTAGAAATTTGATTTTTTTATATATAAATGCCATCAGTGGAAAGATTTTATCCTTAATTTTTTTTTTAAGATTTTATATTGTTAGTCAAAGAAAATGATTAACAACATAAACGATTCCAATAAATATTTTTATTCCCATACAGATGGGTTTATCTTACACACACAAACACACATACTCACACATCTGTCTGATCAGTTTTGGAGATGAATAAGAAATATTGTTATAGACATACATACACACACGATTTTAAACCGATTACTGTTTTATTAGAATTAAGAATCTGTTCACAACAAATTTTTGTGATAAATTTTCTCGTATCGCAATAAAAATAAACTTATAATGAAACAAAGCTAAATAATTTTAAAAACTTTTACATGAAGTCGTTATTATAGGTCACGGTCAGAGAAAGTTTCTGTACACAATAAATTAAAGTTTTTGAGAAATTATTATAAAAATAGCATATTAGCCTTCACTTCATATTAACAGAAGATAATATTTCGCACACTAAATGTCTTACGTAAGGACAATGAAGAAAAATAATAGACTGTTGATTAGTTCGAGAAAAAAAACAATGTTATGAGGCAGTTGGAGTTAATAATATAATATAAACCTTACTACATATATAGATCTTGATTGTAACGAAATCACACAAAAAAGATCCATATTTTTAAAATCTGATGTATTTAAGAATCATAATAATTTATATTATATTTCTAAAGCAACTTTTGATTTATTTAAAATCGTGAAACTGTAATCGATCCCCAACTCTTCAGAGCTTGGTCTGGAAACTTAATACATACGTAATTAATGCGCGAAATGTAGATATTCGCTTTATTATAATTCAAATAAACACAAACTCAACAACACCGGGAGCTTAAGGGCTTAATTATTAACATTTCCAAGCTCGGGTATTTCGTGTATTTTCACATAATGAAGGACTTTACAAATTTGTTGGAAACTCTATTGAAATAAAAAATATATTTTGGTTTACAGTAACAATAAGATTTTACGAAGTCCTAAACAAATATTAATAATTTCATAACTCTTGAATTAATAACGACTGTAAGTAAACGAAATTTGACGTTAATATAGAATTAGTCTGAAGCAGGCGAATTCTTTGAAGTAAAGACTGAAGATAGGCAAATTAATGTTCTTACCGAACACGAAAAGTTTCGAGATTCAATATTCAACCATAATAACCCCGAACACTTACAAACATAACTTCGACATTTGGAATTAATTAGTTTGATATAACTACGTTACTCGAGCAAATATTTACGTATTTGTTTTGAAGAAATTATTATACAGAACTTTTCAAATATTACGTTTAATTATCATCATAAAAGGTATTTAATTTGAATTCAGTGCAATATCGATTCTGTGATAAAAGTTACATCTGACTCGATTTTATTTTTCAACTCCATTGTAAAAGCATACTATGTGCGACAAACATTTTACAAAGTAAAGTTAGTCGTACATCTGAACGACCTGAGTCTGAAATCCTATTGTTTTTGTTATACCATCTGTGAAGGCGAATGTTACGACGAATTATTAGATAAAGTTCCAACGTTACGCTTTTACGAACATACTTTACTACGGAGGACTCATTTAACAAACAACAACAAAAGGTGGATCGTATGAGTTCCAGGTTGTTTTTCCTTTGAAAAATTACATACGTTATTATTTAGCTAATTTGTAAGTATATGAAGTTTAATATATATACCAGATTCTGTGCAGATAAATGAATTTTCTTCTCGAATGTTTCTCATGTATATATGTACATATTACATATTGCACTTGCAAGATAAAATAAAGATAGATTACTCTTATAAAGAAGATTAGGAAAAAAGGTTCCAATTACATTCATCTTCATAGAAAGAAAAGCAATCGTGGTACAAATAAGAAGCTTATTGTATCAGGCTAGTAAACTAGTACAGACACAGGAAATACCACCAATACAAGTGCTGTAGTCAATTACAGGCTAAGCGTAAGAAACAAACTTAATACCAACGTTAGACCACTTATTGTAGCTACCAAAGTAAAAAAACATCTAAATTACTTTATAATCAGTTTGAAGAATCAATTTTAAACCGAAGGATGGAACGTGTTTCATATGTTAAAAGGTGATCAGAATATTTGAATGTGGTGAAAAATATTCAAACTATCACTGTAAAATATACATAGGAACTCGTAATGACGACATTGTTGTATGACCAACGTTGTAGTTATTTATGCTGTAATATGTCCATAATAGTTATACCCGCCGGCAATATACATAATTACTATCAAGTCCCAGAAGTCCTATAAAATATTAATCGCTAAAGCGATCACCGAGGAACTTCAACTGAACGGAAATAAACATACTAACTATAGAAGGATTTAATTTAATATAGTAAGCGATTGTCAGGAGGGTCACATATATTTAAAACGTTTACCAATGCTATGTTTCATTGATACATTACTCAACACCGGTCTTCACAGAGATTTACAATTGTATTCGTTTTGATAATTTGTTAAAATTAATGATAGTGCCATCTATCCAAATTTAACGAAAACATTTTCGAATGGACCGATACTAGCGCCATGTCTAGAGAGTGCAACCATGAACTTTATTTGCTGCTTGTACTCTATACCTAGTCAAAACAAATACGTCACATCCTTTTTAATATACATGTACAAAATATTTGTATATTTTGTTATCACTTATCCATGGTCTGAATAGAGGGAATAGGATAACAATGTGTTTTAACCGTAGGATTATAGGATATCCTTTGTAGGATTCACTAAGAACCAACGTGTTTTTTTTTTGGTAAAGAGTGGGCAGATAGGGTTGAACCGTACGCAATACAGGAGATTTAAATATAGTGGACGCCCCGTAATCCGACGCCTAATAGTCTTTTTCTTACCACTCACACTTGTAATCTGACATGATCTATATATTGTATTATTGAATATTATTTTGACAATCTTCGTTGACCCATCTTTGTTCAACTTATAACTTCTGCATCACTATCTGTCCTCGAAACGTTGGATGTTTTCCTGACTCTGATTGGCTACTTTGAATTTGAATCCATGAGATAAAAATAGCGGTGTTATCTATGCTTCAGAAAATATATAAATATTAATGCACATGTTAGATCTCAGACAGTCCTCTATAATCCGGCAAATTTGACAGTCCGAATACAACAAAAACAAAACAAAACCACGTGTTTGTCGGATTACCGGGGCTTTCACTGTAAGAATAATTCGGCAAAGGTGTATAGGGAGCATATTAAGAGACGAAACCTCTTAGTATTCAATAGATTTACTGTGCGGGTTAGGGTCCATCGCATTGCAGGGAAAGGAGCTTCAACAGCGTAGTACAACTACTACATATTTTGAGTGAATAGATATTGTAACAGATGACTGTTTCCGTGCAAGACCTTCCTTCTCTCGGTAACCGTACGGTGAATTCATTAAATTGAATTAAATCCAATGAAAATCAGTTTCGTCCCTAACATGTAGTTTGAAATTGGTTAAAGTATTAATATATTTGTAATATCAATATATTGACTTACTGCGGTGTTGATGTGTCATCACGATGGCGAGAGGACATTCGTCATCTTCTAAGATGTATTCTGAATTGTCTGCTGCATCCACCTGCAAAATATTCACTTTTATTATTTTTTGTATTGCTAAACTATTGATTACTTTTTTATTGGATGTCCCTAGTTATAATGATGATCCATCGGATTGGAACCAATAATATTTACTAGTACAAGTGTACAATTTTTAATAAATATTCTTCACTACAAATAAAACCTGCATTATTAAATAATATCGTTATTTTAAAATATCTACTAGCGTTAGGTATGGAAATAAAATCAGTTCTCATAATCGTCAAATAAATGACACAATACTGTTTTTAGTATATTGATGTACCTGTACGATGCAGAATTGCTGAGGGTCGTGTCTCGACAGACCGTATTTGTCGAGCATCTCACGGACTACTCCGGCCGCCGTGTCGCCAACAGATAACAACAACGTCTTGTATGGAACGTCCGGACAAAGGGACGAACCGTAGATCTTTAACGTGCCACCTAAGAAAACAATACATTTAATAATATTCTAACATAAATGCAGCTAAACTTCTGATTATATCTGTCATCTACAAGTGAAATTCCATTCAAAATCAGTTCAGCCTTTTCAGATATTACATAGACAGACAACTTATAGAGAAAAATTGAAAGAAATGTTTTTTTAGTACATGTATCAAGAATACACATAGATTAATTATTTAGTCTAATTCATTTTAATATGACAAACAGATAGTTTTATATCCTTTATTTGTAGCAGTATATATTACTACATAGTATTATTTGTGTACTGAATCTATGAATTTGTAGCAGTATATATAAATACATAGTGTTATTTGTATACTAAATGTATGAATTTCATACCAGTATCAGGTCCTCCATCCTTGGAGCGGAACTGCTGCAGCTTCCTCTCCAGTTTCTGTTGTCTTCGACGTCTCATGACGGCTTCAGGGTTACTGATGCTGCGAGTGAACGACGTTTCAGGAAGCTCTGGAACAAAACAATGGTTATATTAATACAATTACTAGTATAGTAATAACTATTAAAACTATGTGTTTAAGATTAGATTGCTTGGAAGTCATTTATTTGTTTTCAAAACAATTTTATATGTTATATGGGAGTAAGAGAAAAAAAACGTAAGGCGTCAAAATATAATAATAATATTTTTTTAATCAACTTCATAGACTATGGTTACAAAATTAGTATCTAGTATTAGATCTACAGTATCTGATATAAGATATTGCATTTATCTCAAATCGAGGGTATAGTAATTAATTTTCTAGAGTATTTTATTAATACAATATTAATTTTCAAAGTACTTATGTTATTAAAATACTGCAAATTCTAGCAACATTGAATTTTAACATATAATATCCTTAACATAATACCTGTATATAATTTCTCAGCGACGGGTCTATTTTCATCATTGGTGTCTGATTTAAGTCTTGATAGCTTTTCTTTTTTCTTCAATTCTTTCTTTTCTCTCTTTGACAATTTCCGTTTGAAGTTCTGATCGCTCTTCTCGTTGACTGATGATAGAGGAAGCTGTGAAAATAAACCAATTTTATGTAATTATAAACACAAATCAATACTAATAGGTCTCCCATAGCAACTGAAAAGCAACACATTATTTTGATATTGCTTGATTTTGTCGATGTTTTAACAATATTTTGAAGACATTAATAAATTTGATAAATATTTATTTACTAAGAGAAATGTAATTAGTTCAATAAAATAAAGTTTTGCCTTTGTATGATTGATATAAAACAAATGCAGAAGTATTATATAGTTCTTAAGTATAAATATTCATCAGTTATTATTATAGTAAATAGCTGCTGTCTGCCCAGTAATAAGAATCTGTTTGATATATAAGGAACTGGCTATAATTAATAAACACTTATGCTCTACAAAGAACCTATGTATATATTAAATATACTTAAAATTTTAATTTTTGAATGGTTCACTCAAGACTTCCTAATATAAGATCATTTTTAGTCCCCACTTTTCTCAGACCAACAGTTCTACTATAATTTAGTAGTTTTCATTCATTATCCTCATTTAGATTTTATATATATATATTTTTTAAATCTTTATTCAAGGACTTGTTTACATAGATTTTATATTAGATAAGCTATATCATAACCTACATCACTATTAGTGAGACACTTGAGCAGGAACCGTCCCTCCCTGTCATCAGCGTGCCAGTTCAGTTGTACCAGCAGCGGCTTCTCGTGAGGCTCCAGACGCCGCTCGTCCTCCGGCCCGTGAGTCTCCCACAGAGAGTACGAGCCGAGGGACAACATGCGCATGTCCGGACGGAACTTCTCTATCAGGGTCTCTGAAACACAAGAATATGATGGAATGATTTTTATGTCTATTCATTTAGAGATGATAGTCCTCACTAGAACCGATATGGTGACATGACTAATAATGAATGAATATTATATCCCATAGAATTTTGTTATATGAACACCAAAACAAACAGCTAATGTTAATTTTAGTGAATATAAGGAAATTTAGATGAAAATGTTTTAAATGGCAACAAATTGTTTATAGTACAAGTCTAGAATATCTCTTGATTTAACTGAGGCAAAAATAAATAATATGCTGTAATTATATGAATAAATTTTAATTGCTCGACCAGACAAAAATGTTGAAATTCTAACATTATCTTAGCTGATACTGTTTAAATAATACAACAGTAAATTCCCCTAATGAATATCAAAATATTATTAATTCTATATGAACAATGTTCCAGCAACCCTAGTGTACGAACGTTCTCATCAATTTGTTTACAATGTAGTAAACGTTTCTCGGATCTGTTAACAATGCCCTCACCTATAACATCACTAACTGTAGCGTCGGAGGCGACCCTGATGCACTTCGTCGCTATCTTCTGACCCGAATCTTGGAAATAGAAACGCATCACACCGTGGAACTCCAAGTTCTGTTGTGCACGAAAGAAATATATGAGTTTATTGGTGATTTAGAAAATAACTTTCTGCCATGAGCGAGTTTATAACAAATATATACACATATTTAAACAATTGGTATTTCAAATGTTATTTATAGTTGAAAGTAATTGAATACCCGATGTAATCGTTCACGGTTTACATCTGTGCAGTCGTGTGCTAGGTGATGACCGCGTGTTCGTTCGTGTTGTTTTCAAACTAACGAAATGTACATAAAAACACATGGCTGTACTAGTAGTACTTACAAAAATAGTATATAACTTAAATTTATATTAAAAGGAGATGTCCTAGTACATTTTTCTATAAGAAATAAGACTCTTAGTATCTCTATACTGAAACATCTATAATTATATTTATAAATATAGATATATGTATATATTTGAAAAGAATAAGTTGAAGGGCATATTTTAAATTCCTTTCGCAACATAAACAGAAATGCAAATAACAAGAATGCTTCGTAATAACACAAAGGATGAGCCGTTATCACGATCCCTTTATAGATATGATAACATACCAACGTTAAATGTTCATAAACGCTTCTATGAAATAATGCTTAAAAATATATTTTGAATAACATAAAAAATTATCTCGCAAATGAGTAACGACTTAAAGGCGTATGATTAATATATTTGTCATTACTAAACGACACTATATTCAAATAAGTTATGTGTAAAATCTGTTGGTACGATAAAGATATGAGGTGTATAAGATTTTTGTATTTATATGGGACCAATTTGTATTTTTTAGATGTCACAAATTGATAGACAAGATACAAGAGTAAAACTTATATTTACGGATTACTACGCGTGTTTTATTATTTTTAAAACAACATACTCCCGACGTCTCAGGTACTTTTTAGCAACCGCGATTACGGCCAGACGAGATGTGAATTTCACTTTCAAAAATTTTACACTTTTAAAAATAATAAAATACGCGGAGTGATCCGAACATGTTAGTTTCATTTAAACGAACACTCACGAAAGTCTTAGGACTTAGATGTCCTTAAGGTACAAAAGTACATTTCTTTCACTCTACTAATATTATAATTGCGAAAGTTTGTGTGTTTATGTTTGTTACTTCTTCACGGTCAAACGGCTGAACCGATTTTGATAAAATTTTGTATACAGGACGCTGACGTCCAGGAATAACACATAGGCTACTTTACAACCCGGAAATCCGCAAGTAACACCGCGGGGCGCAGCTAGTAAAGTATAACTTCCAAATGAACACCAAATTTTTTCATTGTTTAAATAAATATGATAGTATATGTATATATGACCTCATTCGGTTCGCTGAGTTCAAACAGGTCCAGTCTGTTGGCGTTCCACTGCTGGATCATGTTGCGGAGCGCCTCGCGATCCAACATCCGCTTGTCCGCCGCATCCATCCTGCCTCAACATCAAGCGAAACACCTCCCTGAAATATATATATAACAATACATTACTTGAGAACAATAATAATAAATTAATATATAGTACTTAGTTACATCATCAGTCTAATCAATTTTATAGTCAAAACATTTTATGATTTGTTCGTATTAGCTGAAGCCAGAGGTATAATTTCAAAAAGCGGTTCATTACTCAAAAAATTACTTCATTATTATTATATAAAAACGATTTAAAGCGAAAATTAATGAATCGTCCGTACCAGAACTATATTTTGAGAATTAAATTTTACAGAATGCTGACTTTATTAGAACATTGATGAAGATTAAAATCTTGTACTTATACATTTTTCTGTGTTAAAATAAAAAATAATAATTACTATCATTGATATACAGTGTACATTAATCCAACATAGAAATATAAAACTAGTACCTTTAACATATACATATGTCTGTTATAGATATTTACAATCTCGCTAACTTTTTTATTGTTAAATCGAGGTGCGGCAATATTGACCGATAATATAATATAGACAATATGATAACAGCATATAAAACTTATTACTTATCATTAGAAGAAAGATTAATTTGTTCGTCATAAGCCAAAGTTAACTTTGTATTCAAAATCATTATTAAAAATACTCATTATTTTATTATGTATAAAAACGAAAGAGTTATAATTTTATAATATAATGTTTAGATTTGTTTGTCTTTTACTGCACTTAGTACGTTGTTAAGAAACTTTTAGTTGGGTATACAAGGAAATGACTTACAAAATTACTGTTTAAGTATAACGAGTTAATAGCAGTCTTAGTATCAACTACCGGTCGGTTTCCGAAACACATTCATTATATTTCTGCTTGTTAAGACACATTTATCAAGAGTACTCTTTGTTATATTTTTACGATAGTCTAAATTCAGATCGTTTATAACGTTATAAATCTATTTAACGCCAAGAAAAACTTTCCATGACCTAAATAATTATGTATCGGTAAAAGTGAAAATAAGAAAATTATCTGGTGGGCGGTTCCTGGCATTCGTCATGTTCAGACGCACCTACACTGGCGTTTGTATTTATAAAGTAAACATATGGCCCGCTGGAACGAACGAACCAAATGTATTGATGATAGTAAATCAAATTACAATTATCATATGTATACGTTTATATCCAAAACAAATTTCAATTAAATGTTTTTATTTCATTATCAATTAAATATATGTCGAAGGTTATCGATATATCATTTACCTAATAACCTTTTATATGAACAAAGTACGCTGATAAAGTTAATTTAACACCAAACCGGAACATTTAACTTCTATCAAAATATTCAAATTTAAATCTAAAAATAACGTTTAGATCTCTGTTCGTGTAATCAGAATAACTATGTTTTTTCAAGTGTTTAATGTTACTTTAATGATTCTTAGACATAAACAACATTTTTATATTTTTGTTTCGCGTGTCTGTACGTTTGTTTGAATTTGAGATCGGTTGAATGCAATTTAATTGACTTTCACAGAATAGTATTCAGCTTAAAATAACTATAAAACATTCGACTTATGTACAATATTAAGCTTAAACATATTACTTACTATTTTCATAAGATAAATGGTTAACACGTGTCATGGGATACAAAAGTATGGAATTATAATGAAGAAAGTATTGTTTGGTATTGTTAAAAGTAAGCGATAAGCCTATGTTTGTTTTCAATAGTATCCTGGATTCGTTCCCGTGTATGGTGTGCCGTAGTTATGGCAACAGCGGACGGCGTTGTTATGGTTAGAGCCGCTTCCGTTATTCGACTCTACGATTTATAATCCGCCTGTAAACGTGCTGAAATATTCAATACTGTTCAATGTGTACTAACATTTTATTTCTGTACGCCTAAATCTGACATACTTGCGTTACGATTGATATACATCGTATTACATAGTATTGGAGCTCACTACACGAATGTACGCCGGTTTCTAGGTAACGAGTAAATTTCTTCAATATCAAGAATGTACTATCGTTTACTTGAGTATAATTTCACAGCTTTAAATATAGTCTATAAATTTTGGTAATACATACATCATCATAATGAATTGAATTAAAATAGATTTTGTTGAACAATAACATAAAAAGAAAAATTAGTTGGATAACTGGATATTGTAAATATTAAACCTTATATGTATTTTTTATATCAGAATTTTGTTCAAACTCCGGTCAGAGATCCAATGGAAACTTCGTTTCTTGATTTCTTTTTCCACGACACTCTAAACATAACATTATTTAATATATAATGAATGTATCACTATCATTCTGACGCTTTCTATGCTCATTATTTTTTAATTAAGATATTCTTGTCTTTCCCACGAGACAGCTGTCAAAAAAAAACATTTTTCTACAAAATATAAAAGCGTCTTTTGCTATGATAAAATCACCACATGATGCAAACATATTAGAATTCAACACAACTACATATTAAGTATTTTTGTGCTTTAAATTTTTAAATGTTTTCCTCAGTGCTTAATGTTGTAAGCACACAAACTTGTTGCAACCAAAAATTATAAAACAATAAAATTATTCTTTGAACATTTTAAACGACTTCAATGGGAACAAAACTTTTAAACTCCTTTCAAAGTCTTATATAAGTAAATTGATTCGTAGAAAAGAGAAGAGTACCTATTATATATATTTTTATAAGTCTGAAAACATATTAACAACGAACGAAATAACAGTTAAAACTTAGGTTAATGTAAAAGTATAGAAGCATACACACATGAGACTTACAGTTCATAGTGTGAATTCACCCACACACACATGACCTGCAGTCGTTGAGATTATATGAAGCTATATAACTGTTTTATAATAATGATATGTGACGGTGTACTTTTCAGTTCACTCCGAAGTTGTCAATCGTGTCGGAGGTTCACGCATGGCCGCCGACCTTGCTCCTTCCCGTTGTTTATAAACGAAACGAATTTTTTTAAAAATACCTAACGCCGAAATCAACAGCTTCGTAACATGTCAACATGTGACAGCCGTCTTGGTTTTAGATTTTGACTATATCAATTTCTTACTTTCCATTATAATATTCCGTATAAAATACTGTTGGAATATTCGTTTGGATACATATTAATATATTGCGAATGATATAAACAGTTAAATAAAGTAAGAAAATCCATAAAACTTTGTTAATTTGTCTTGGTTTTTTAAACTTCAAAGAAAATTCTTTACAGAGTGTATATCACAAAACATTATAAGTAAAGAAATATTGTAGACTAAAAAGAACTGAATATTTTAAAAATTCTCGAGTGGTAACAGAATAAGACCACTCAAATATGTGATGGTATGAGCACAGCGTGGGAACAAATTGAGTTAAGTAATGAAGGGGTGCAAAAACTATGAGCCGACCCCCGCAGCAAGTGCATAGGGGCGGAACAAGTGCCAATTCAAACACTGGAATACAACGACTGGAACGGGACTCCTAACACAACGTTTACTACTATTAGGCCTCGGCCTCGAATTTTGCGGGCAGCGGAGCGACGGCGGCGGCGGCACGGAAACGCATACTATTCTCCAAACTAGCGGGCAGCGGGCACCGCTGTATTCGAGGGTCGGTCCATTTGATTATACGCGTAAGATCCTGCCGCTCCCGCTGCCGCTCCGCTGCCCGCAAAATTCGAGGCCGAGGCCTTAAATACTCTAAAAGAATTCCAATGTAGTCGACTTCAAGATATTCTACGTTCTATTTCACCACATCGTGTTTTTATTTCAATGTTATAGTAATAGGTATATTTATTTTCTAATATTATTTTTCAAACTCTGATAAATAACATAAAATTATGATTTTTGAATATGAGTATGTTTAAAAAATGTGAATTAAGGTTTAATAAAATTCTCATTTCGTAGGACACAATAGAGAACCGATTTATTAAGAAAAATATCATTTTCTATGGTTATTGTCAAGCTTATCGTCCCCTTCATCTAATACATAACTTGATAAAGATTTATATGAGATCAAACTGAAAACAAACCCCATCTCAATACAAGAGGAATGAACAAAATCAATACATATATAATCCTGTAGAATACCTCATGCTTTTAATCGAAATCGATTAGAAATACAAGGATTATTACGACGATAATCTAATCTATTGCGTATCACCAGTCGGTTTTTATATCGACAAACATCCAACTAAAATCTCCTTCATAATGTATAGTAATTTAAGAGTTGAGAAGTAAACATTAATAATGGTAATACGTATGAAGTCAGGTCATCTTAGCGGTATCTGCATACACGGAACCCTGTGACAAGTGGTCACACACACACACGTAAACCATTCATAGGATCGCGTGCTCATCTAACTCAAGTTACGGGAATTGTGAAACTTGATGTCTGCGCACGATGCTAACGTCGCCAACCGCCAGCCATGTGAACCTGGCTTTGTGTGAAGACTCCCATGTGTATGATGCAACAATGTACTGTTATAATACATCATGCAATACTAATTGATGTCTTTAATATTATAACGTGTGAGCTCTGTATTCGTCGCGACGCGCTACCGACTACGACCCACGCTTATCTAAGGCAGGCTTACTTAGCGTTAAAAACCGGCTCGAGTAGGTCAACACATTATTGCCCTTGTTATTAAGGGTCAACTAATTGATACAGTAATATCATTCTGTTCAAATTAAATATAAGTAACGTTAAAGGGAATTAGAAAATATAATTACGAAATCTTTTGTATTAAAAGAACAATAATATTAATCAATATAAGCATTAAATGTAAGAGATAAGAAAACTAACGCTCACACAATAAATAAAGCTCGCATATACAAATGGAATGCAAAAGCAAAGAGCTAAAGGTAAGATATGACTCACAAAGAAGGCACGCAAGTCGACGACAACTAGGTACATGGCAAACTATGCTCCTTTGAAATGATTTTTAATACTTCTCTTTAAATACTAATTATGAAAACTTAGTTAATATCGGAACGGAATTAACAAGACGATAAATTA